AGCACATAAAGCATTTAAGAACCATATTGTCAGGAAAGCATTGTTTAATGTCTGGATAAGATATAAGGATTTACTGGAAAATAAAACCCCAAGGTGGTTGTCACCGATGGAAGCGAAAGCATTGAAAAAGCTCAATATGGAGGCCAAATGGCCAAAATATTGGGAAATTCTGGAACAAGAGGGAGACAGATTGAAACTGCAGAGTTTTGAGAAACTAAAAAACAAAGTGCGAGATTGGCTTCATTATTATCAGATAATGGAGGCATATAATTCGGACAAAAAATTTGGCTTCCAGGTGGAAAAATTAAAATTAGAAACAGAACTGTTAGAACCCAAAACTAATACTTTATCAAGGATGTATAACTTGCTGTTGAAATGGAATACTCAGGATGAAACGGTGAAATCCGCTATGATTAAATGGGCACAAGATGTTGGACATAACATAATGATGGCTGACTGGGAACAGTTATGGACCACAGGTATGAAGTTTATGGCATGTAATGCCTTAAGAGAGAATATTATGAAAATGATTTACAGGTGGTACATGACACCAGTCAAGCTTGCAAAAATCTATCATTTGCCCGATAATAAATGTTGGAAATGTAAAGAAACCGAAGGTACATTCTTTCACCTTTGGTGGACGTGCCCAAGGATTAAGGCTTTCTGGGAGATGATCTATAATGAATTGAAAAAAGTATTTAAATATGCCTTCTTGAAGAAACCAGAGGCCTTTCTCCTGGGCATAGTCGGCCAATTGGTGCCAAAGAAGGATAGAACTTTTTTTATGTATGCCACAACAGCAGCAAGAATAATCATCGCAAAGTATTGGAAGACACAAGATCTACCCACTCTGGAAGAATGGCAGACGAAGGTGATTGACTACATGGAACTGGCGGTAATGACTGGCAGAATCCGAGACCAGGGAGAAGAGTCAGTGGAAGAAGATTGGAAGAAATTTAAAGACTATTTACAGAAATATTGTAAACTTAATGAATGTTAGAATGATGTTGGATAGAAATTAAATGGTTTTTAGCAGAAATATTATAAGGGAATATGAAAAATGGATTACTAACAGGTAAAAATTTAATGTTACAATACTTTAAGATTAGAGATTAGGATAAACAAAGAGGGGAAGGATTTGCTGAACCAACAAACTGAACTGGAATACAAAAAAGGGAGGCGTGAGGAGGTCCGGGAAACAAGCTAATGAAAAATAAGTAATCGAAAGATTACCTTGTTTTTAACTAATTTTATTTTGTATTTTTATTTTTTCTATTTTTATTTTGTAATATTTTGAAAATCTTAATAAATATCTTATAAAAAAATGTTGGAATGAAGTTACATGGCTTTAGTAGAAATGTTATAAGGAATTAAGCATAAATAGATTAATAGAGTATTAAAGGAAAAAATAAGGTTAGAATGAGTTAAGATAATTATAGGATAGAAAACAGAGGTAGATGGAAAGGAATTGCTGAAATAATTAACAGAAGTGGAATACAAAAAGGGAGGTGTGAGGAGGTCGAGGAAATAAGTGAATGAAAGATGGGATAATGAAATTTGATTTATTTTATTGTTGTTGCATTGTTTTGTTAGTTTATTGTATTGTATGTGTTTTTCTTTTCTTTTAGTGTTTAATTTTTTTGGAAAAGTTATAAATATTATTTTTTTTAAAAAAAATTAAAGTCAAGCGACAAAAAACCCAGAAGGCCAAGGGTTGCCCACCCTCTGCCCCAAGCACTAACTTGGAAAGTGACTTCCTTCAAAAAGCAAGTGAATGCTTTCTGTGAACTTTGTCAAAAAAATTTCCTTTTAGGTGCCATTGAAGAAGCACAGCATGCTCAGATCAATACGCTGATGCAACATAGGAATTGATACTTTGAGGAATTTGATACTTTGCCAGAAGCAAGGGAACACATTGGACACTAACAATCTTTGGCCGATGAAAACTGAAATTTGCAACATGGCTTACAGGCTGCAAAAGCTCTGAAAAAAATAGAGCGCAGAAAGACTTTAAAAAATCTCAGCTGGCAAACTTAACCCATGAAACAGGACTATTAAACTGGGTTGCCATGCTATCCCCTTTGAGTTAGTATGCCTTGTGTGCAAATGCTATCTGTCAATGTGCAGTCGTTCTGCCGTGTTTCTTTTCTCTTCTCTTGACAGGTAAACCGGCCAGAGGCTATCCTGTTTCTCTACAGCTGTTACAAGTCACTGGCATCTGTAACACCTGGTCTACACCTGATCTACATCGGCCGCTTCGACTCACCCCAGACGCTCCAGCCTTGTTGGAAGGGACCCAAGACGCCCGATGACTGCGAAACGCCCTGCTAAACGTCACCCCGGGAAGCTGACGTTTTCTACGCACGGCTGAAGAATCCAGCATGGATTGAAAAGGGGACATTTTCTTTCCTTTCCTTTTGCATAACTGAACTTTATAGAAGGTTGAAGGGCCCCTGGATAGCTTTACCCCACCCCTGCAGGGAAGGGTATTTGTGTGGGACGTTCAATCAGGGAAATTACGCCCCAGCCCGCTTCCACCTGGCAGAGCTCCAGCCAGAGCCTCCAGAACTTAACTGAAGCCCCCTTTGAACCACAGCACCGACTTGGTAATGACCCTGTGCACAAATGGAATGAATCATCATTTACAACCTCAATCATTCCATCACCGCCAGTGACAATCTGAAATTGTACATTCCCAGCCCAAACCGTTACACCTGAGTCCACGCCAGGAACTTATCTTTTGGCTGCAATCTGACTGCATGCCTGACACGCTTGGTGTGGTGACAGCTGACCTAGCAACAATTGCAGGAAGCAGCTTCCAGCTCCCAAACTTGGGGCAAGCATCAGTGGCCTCAAGAAAGGATAGTGGTCCATTTGGGACAGGCCTGGCGGCTGTCCAAAAACTAAGAGGGGGGAATGAAGGGACAGGATACCCAAATCCTGTCTGAAATCACCCCAGGCTTCAATAATCACACCAGGCCTCAAGACTGTCCAAAATTCCTTTTGTCTTCTAAAAATCCACAGCTACAGCTTTTCTGTGGATTCTCACAAGATGCTGTTCCAAAGGCAAAATGTTATTCTTTTATCAGCACGAGAAGGCTTCAAAAAGCTAATGAATAGGCTCTGTTCAAAGCAGGCCTGAGAACTGAATCTTATCTCATTCTAGTTGCAACATCTTTGGACATGCTGAACCGCTCTCATTCCCCCTTTCCTGGGAAGGGTGCCAAGAGTCCACAATAGTCCCAACATAGGAGCTTTCTGTTCATGCTCAGAGGAACTCATGGGCAGGACTCCTGGAAAAGGAGGAGAAAAGGGGAGGGAACTAGAAGGGGATATATACTCTTTGCGTATGATTGTGAACCCGTGCATGCTTTTTGTGAGTTATCACACTTGCTCCTTCTACCAGTTCATGGATGGTAGAAATAAAGCTTTTTCTCTGAAACTATTCCTTGAGTGTCTGTTGATTCCCACCTCCCTTTCCCGGGCGCAATATTTTTCCCACCCGGGGGCAAAGCCTCATAAGGCTACAATATGTCTCCGTTTGCAGCTGGTTGCTGCTGCAATGCAGAGACCTAACCAGATTCAGAGAAGCCATACATGGAACTCAAAATCTCAAATTCCCTTTTCTTTTTTAACCAATGGGTTTTGGTCCAGTTTAATTACCGGTACTTGCCTCACCCTTTTTCTAGCTCTTTATTAACACGCAGCAGAGAAAGTGGGGGAGAGAATGCACACCACATGGCAAATTATCAAGTGTGCGTGGTGGGGGGTGTTGTTCATCGCTTCTAGTGCGTTGGAGCAGAGAACGGTGCCCAGATAGGCTGAGAAACACTCGTCCACGTTTATGCTATTGCAATTATGAAAATGTGGGGTTGAAAGCCTACCCCATCCCACCGTTTCATTCCAAAGTTGCTTTTAATTCAAACTACTTTATATCCCTACGAGGAATGGTCACTCTGGGGAACAAGACACAAGCCAAGGAGTGGGGGGGGCGCTAGATGTTCCCTAGGGTGGGTGTCTGTCTGTCCCCCCACCCTAATCTAGGAAGGAAGAGCATCTTGTGCTTCAGGGACCTCCTTCAACAATTTACTGCTGTAGAGTCGACTGATTTTGGTCACTGCCTAAATTTAATGCCTAATTCTGTGCCACATCTAGGATTTAAGAAGAAGGAAAAATTGTATCTTATTAAAGAGAATCTAGGGGTGCTCTCAGACTGTTGCTTTTCTGCATAGGATTTAATCACATGCCAGCAAATTCAGGTTGCACAACTAAAGCAAATTTGCAGCTCCGGCACAAACAACTCGCTTCCCCAAAAGACTGGACTTTTTGTGGTAAGGGAAGTGATAAGAGCGAGCCCTGGAAAGTGTGTGGTAACGTGTGCTTGACACAAGGTCACCTAACCAACCTGCAAACCAATCAGGATGAAGGCTCAATAAACCGGTTGCCTGGGAAGCAGCATCTCTTTACTACTCAACACTACCTATTTGGTCAGACAAGCTGCATCCTGGCCATTCTTAGCCCTGTCTTCCAGCACCTGTTATAAAGGTATTCTCTTAAACAAAGGTTGGAGACACCACCATATGTGGAGGGGCAAATATGGCATCTACCTTTGACCCGATGGAGACCACAGCCCAGCAGCTCTGGGCATGCAGCAGTTTGGTACTGGTATGCAACAGTCTCCCACTGTACTTGAAGCTCCTTGATTGGGCTGAGGCACAGACCAGCAGAATATCCGCTCCGCTCTGCGCCCCCCTGTCTCAGGGCCCCTGCCAGGAATCTGTGGCATGAGGGAAGCGCAGATATTGCATGCTAATCCCAGATAGGGGACTGGGAGGGAGAAGGCAGGAAGTCATTCAGAACCCCCAGCGTCTGGGGTCCAAGGTTGCAGAGATTCTTAGCAGAGATTCTCTTCTTCCCTGCCCTCTGTTTATGGCACATTTCCTTCCAGGGTTACAATTAAATTGAGAATGGATACTGGAGGACAACATGAGCAACCAAGCTAAAGTTTCATTAACAGGCAGTTTATTGTGCTCACATAAAAGGTGAAAACAAAGAAATCAACTAACACATGGACAGAGAGCAGTACCTTAAATTAACATCTGACTCCCACATGAATGTGCTACTCTTACTCCCACTCCTGTTTTCAACTGTTCTCATCTAGTGCACAAAGCTGGTGAATTATTGTGCAGTACCAAAAGCCCACGTTTTGTGGTGAGGCATGCATCTTGAAATGGGCTTGAAGAAAGCAGTGGCTAAGGCGTGGCAGTGAAACTGTTGTAAGAGTGTATTCTCTTGCTATGGTGAAGGAGGAGGGAAGTGCCTGCTGGACTGAGGTCATCTCAGGCTGCAGAAGTGACAAGAAATTGCTCTAGCTAAAAATGTAAAACTGAAGAGCTTTGGAAGGTGACATTAATTAATTTAATGATGTCCCCAAGAACAATGGGGTGTAGAAAAACCATACTGTGCCTTCTGAGCAGAAGAGAAATGATCTGGGAAATCTGTCTCTTTGCCCCCCCCCCCCCCGCAATCCTCCCCTCCAACACCCTATATGTGGATGCAACTGAGCTGCAATGAAATGCTGGGCTGCTGAGTGAAGAGCAGGAGAGAAGCTTCTGGAGTCCAGCTTCTGGGGAAGCCCAGGCATCGTGAGCTGAGCAGACATACCCACCCTTTCTCTGACCCCCTGCCTAGATTGACAGTGGAGCTTCCCAGCCTTACTCAGCCCTCTCAGCTCCCCTTGAACGCTGCTTGACAGGCGGGCAGCTCCCAGAAGGCATTTCCCACCCAGCACAGCACAGCATAAATTTAAACTGCGCAGGTTCTGCTTTGAGCACGATTCTTCTCAACTACTCAAAATTCAGCCCCCTTCAGCCACTATTCTGCTCTTGAGTGTAGAATGGATCTCCCTTCTCCTCTTGTCTGTCTGCTTCAGAATCCCTCAAAATCCAAAATGAGAGCAGAGTCAGGATCTAAACTGAGCTAAACAGGCAGGGCAGTGATGTTACCGGCTATTAAATGGGCTTTGGGATTTTCTGCCAGATTATGCCCACTAGCGTCCTTTCCTACAACAAATTAGGGAGGCAAAAGGCAACACTTGGATAATCTTAAGGTCCACCACCAAGAATTCTTAATCCATCTGTTCTGGGTTTGAGTTCGCTTCCTGCTGCCGTGCAGTTCAATGACTGGGAGAGGGAGAGCAGACTGAAAGGCAAGGTCACTACAAAATGGCAAAGGAATAGGCAACTGTGAGAGAGGTATCAGTCCCACCTTGAACATGGAGGGCTGACCACACTATAGTCTATGGGAAGCAGCATTTAATTGCTTTCACTCTCCCCAAAAGGGAAAGAAAAGCCATGGATCCCTTTGAAAAGCAGCTATGGTCCCCAAAATGGGGGTCAAGGAAGGGTGTCCAGATGTTGACTAGCCTGGCAAGCAGACCAACAACCACAGCAGTCAGAGAGGGTCGCCACCACTCAAGTTGTTCCGGCTTTTCTTGCGCTTTGTCTTGGCTGACGGAGAGGAGAAATCCAGAGATTCGAGACGAAAGGGACGTGGCTGGGGCATCTCCACCGTTTGGGCAGGGGGAATAGGTGCCAGGCTGGAAGTCAGGATGGAGGTATTGTTGTTCAGCAAAGGGGGAGAATTATGGGAAGCTGCAAAAGACAAAAATACACACACACACACACACAGAGAGAGAGAGAGAGAGAGAGAGAGAGAGAGAGAGAGAGAACATTGAGATACTTGGTCTAATTTCAACATGAAACACTACATCTCCCTGGAGAAACCTATACATCACTTAGCATAAATATTTCTTAATACTCGGGGCTGCAGTCCCACCTTGCTCCACTCACCAAACCATTTGCCAATCCTGCAACTTCCCTCTCTTCACCTCACCCCCTTGCCCATCCCCTCCTTCTCACAGCTCACCTGAACCCCCTTCAGAGGGTGGTTTTCTGACACACCTCCTCTTCCCCTCCATTAAACCTCGCTGCAGCCATGTTTAATGGATGGGGGAAGGTGCTTCACAGAGCGGTTTGGCAAATAGGTTAAACAGATCGCCCAGTCCACCTGCCCTCACCTCCTGACAGCCACATGAACTACATCATCAATAGCTTTACATTGTTATGTATATAGGAAGATTTTGAGGCTATGCTTTTTAAAGATTTTGAGACATGCTTTAAAAAAACAAAACCCTGTACATTGCCTATTGTGTACGTGTGCATATTAGATACTTGTATAATAACAGAGGATGTTGATGATATGGAATAGGTACAGTGACATACTAACACCACAGTCCTAACCATGTTTACTCAGAAGCAAGTCCTATTAACTTCAGTTAAATGACTGTAGGACTGCAGCATAAGGCCTGACCTTGTGTAGTACAGTGCCATCCAGGAAACTATTAAGCAGTAAGTCCCTAGTTTCAGTCTTGTCACTGGGCCCTTACAGACTGTTGTTTGGGTGGGATTCAATCACATGATGCCAAATTCACATTGAAACTAATGCCAATTTGGTGCTTTTGCACAACAGAACTACTGCAAAATCAGATTATAACAATAAGGAAAGTGATGGGGAAACAGCAATTACTTGATGCAAGGTCATCTCTTTGCAACCTCTTTGCAAAGATCAGGATGAATGCTCAATAAACAAGTTGTTTGGAAGTGAGGATTGTCATGGACTTACTGGTAGGTGCGTCAGTCCCTCCAACGCAGCTCGTCATTTGCAAAACAGAGATAATAATACTTCCTGGCCCATCATCCTGGGTTGTTGTAGAGCAGGGATGGGGAGAAACCTCTTTGGCCAGATCCTTATCATGACTGGTCTCATGGGCCAAATATGACAAGTGGGCACAGCCTGTCAATTACATGGCACCACAGCAATGCCATCTGCAAGGTGCTACTGAATTGGAGAGGGAAAATCCCTTTTAGCAAGAGCAGAAGATTCCATCAACAGGAGGGGGGGGGGAAGAGAGAGACTGAGATTTTAGCATTTTGAAGGTGCTCCCTTTTTTTACAGTGGGCATTTGCAGAGCAGGCTCTCAACATTATCCACATAAAAAGGAAGTAGAGGGTAGAGAGGGGGGGGGGGCAAAGGCTACTGAGAAAGGAGTCTGCTGATTGTGTGCTGCTGCAAAGTATTTTGCAGCCCTGGGGGACCTGAACTGCATGGACACTCTAGTGCACAGGGCTAATCCTTCCAAAGGTTTGCCTGCTCAGCTGCTACAACCTTGAACTTTAGAAGTCTGGTAGAGAGGGAAAGCAGCAGCTGGGACTCCTCCTGCCCACTGCCAATGCTTGCAAAAGGCACCTTTCTTTCTCCCTTCCCTGTCACTTGATGAGGAGGAGGGGAAGAAATTACGTTTTGGCTTGCAAGCTCATGTTCCCTGTTGGGAATAGGCAGTTGCAGCCAAGGCAGAACTGAACTCTGCCCTTGCAGTCTTGTGTTGACAGGTGGTTCTGGTGCAGGCATAACCGGACCCCCTGGTGAGCCAAGATCCTCCCACAAGTGGGAGTGTTCCTGCCTCTGTTGTAAGGAATACTGAAATAATGTTTCGGAAACCTTTTGGACACCTTAAGAGTACTGTACAAATGTTGGGTATTATGTAGAAGTCAGGCAAACCTTTTGAAAAAAAAGGAAAGAACACATGAAGGGGTTTACCTAGACTCTTCATGGGGTCAGCACTGAGAATCTGGCTTGCTCGTTTTGAGCGAAAATAGTTACTGGCAATATTCTCACTATCACTCTTGCTCAGCATCACTTTATAGCGGTCTTCTTCCTGCAGGGAACATAACCAAGCAGTCACCAGTTTGTCATCATTTAACCTAAAGAGGTCACTACTGTTCACATTTTACGCATGAGGGAAACTGAGGCTGAAACCTGACATGTCAGCCCCACTTTTAACCTGCTGAACTACACTTACTTCTCTGTCTAGTTTCCACACTGGTGTCCAAAAACTAGGTTACAAAGCCATGGAAAAAATAATCTAATCCAGACCAAGTTATCCATGGGGTATAAATGAGAGGGTTGAGAGCTTACTTAATGTATCCTATGAAAAGCCACTGTGTGTAGAAGAGCTTAACTTCTCATTTAATTTCTGGGGGAGTAACAGCACTGTGGAATGTATGCACTCTGGTTAAACATGAAAAATCAGAAAATATTGTTGCATGCCACCCCACTCTGCGCAGTGTGAGATTCCAGGGATTCAAGGAGTTTACCCAGAGTTTGTGTTTCTTTTGGAATGAGGTGCAGCACAGACTGTGGTGTCCTGTTTACACATATCTACAACCTGAGCCTACAATGGAGGAGTTCACAGCATTAACACCGCAAGAGGGTCTTGCTTCACCATGACCACGATTGCTCCCAGTTGGTCGGTCTGAGCTTTCCACACTGACTTGGGGACTGATTTATATATTGTACTCTAAATTAAAGAATGCAGGAGATAGGGCCAATTCCTTGCTGCTGCTGCTGCTGCTGCACCTTTGCCTTGGCTGCTGGAAGAAGGCAGGAGCTAAACCCTGCCTGCACTCAAGCCCCCACCCCTAATATCTTCCTCCAGTGACCAAGCAGTAGGGCGTTAGTTTCACTCTTTCCCCTCATTATGAAGGCAATGTGTGAACCAGCTTGGAGATCAACAGAATCCCCTGAAGTTTTACCTTCAGCGCAGACTCCCAGCTGTCATGCCAGTGAAGCACGCTGGATCATTTATTATGTGTACATTGTGTAACATTCTCAGTATTGCCCAAGTACCCTTCCTTAGCTTACCATTGCTGCTGCATCCCCATTCTCCGATGATGAGCTCTTCCTGCCTGCTTTGGTCTGTGACAACGATGAAACTGCTATGGAAAAGAAGAGTAATGGTGGCTCTCAGCCTCAGTGGTGGCTCATTTCTCTGCTAGTTTCATGTCAGCTGGGGCCAGGATCCAATATGTGTATAGACTTACCAAGGTCTATTTAACAGCTTGCTTTCTAAACGTTTTTAAAGCGGGGATGCAATAAAGTCCATCCGTTCATTAGTCAACAACAGTTGCTGTTGCTTAATTGGTGGAAGCCAATCAGAGGGCAAATGTCGATTGGTTGGTCAGGACTCATATTTTGACCTGAGGCTTGAGCAGTTTAGTCTCTTTCTCACAAACCCTCTATTGATCATCATCATCATCATCCACCCTTTCTCCCAAAGGAGCCCTGGACAGCAAGGAGCCTTTAAGGCATCATTTTTGAAAAAATGCAAACATTAATTGTGGGTGGGTGTGATTATTGGGATCACAGCAGGCAGGCAGGACTCTCCAGGACTCCTGAGGAAAATCCTTCATTTGAAGCTGCTATTTGCATTGGGAGGAAATCTCCATTAGCACCAATAGGGATTTTCTGATATATAGCTGCAGTCATGTACACACTTACCTGTGAGCAAAAGAATGAGGCTTAATTCTGAGTAGGCACGTGTGGAGTTTTTCAGCTGGAGAAGCAACACCTCACTGCATTCTGCAGTTCTTAAGTTGTTCTCTCTCCAGCTGGTTTCCATACCAGAACTGAGCTGGGCAGAGAGAAAAACTCTTAAAGGAACAAAGCGTAGTGGTGGAAGGGGTCACATTTTGCTCCCCTACTCTGAGAACTCCATTTTGAAGGCAGTAAGGAGATCCACACACACACCCAACACATCTTGCTTAGCTCCAAGTCCATGAGCCTGAAGCCTGTTCCCGATTTCACTGTGCATGAAGGTGAGATGTGAAAAGTATTTTAAATAGTCCCAGAGTGACCGTGAAGGAAATAAGATACCCAAGAAGTCCTTAAGAAGTGAGTGAAACCCGCATGAAAATCCTGGGAGACCATTTTTGCTCCATTTTGTATGAATGGGCAACCAGAGCAATGTAACATGGTAATTCCGAGTTGTTCTTCTTACCTGCAGGGAGACTGGTCTTTTGAGTGACAGGCTCTGGGATTTTCCAGCAGCCTGATTCTTCATCCCACGTGGACTCCCGTTTGATTTTATCAAAGTTGCTGTAATTACAGTCCCGCCGTATGAGGGGTTGCACCTGGTCCAGTAGCTGTTGATAAAGGAGGAGCTCCCGCTCTTGACGGCGGATGGTGGCCAAATAATCAATCTTCTCCATTTCAAATTCAGACTGAAGGTCTTTGATTTCAGTCTCAGCAACCCTCAGCTGGGAAGAAAGTAGCCAGTTATGGGAATAAGAACTAAGTAAAATGTTGGGATCCAGAGTACACAAGCTCACGAGTCCTTACCTGAGCCTATCATAGGGCTGGCTCACACCTGCATGAGCATCACCTGAGGAGCTTGCACTTGATGATGGGCACGGAACTAGCTCAGTTGAAAATCATAATATAACTACAGAACTTTTTTTTTAAAAAAAACAACTTTTTATTTATTGTTAACAAAACAAAAAGTGAAAACAACAAAAAGAAATACGACAAAGAATCAACAATATCAGTCATAAAGCTCATCTCGCTGTCAGGCCGAGGGAGCCGGCGTTTGTCTACAGACAGCTTTCTGGGTCATGTGGTCAGCATAAACCGCTTCTGGCGTGATGGAAGCCAGATGGAAATGCCGTTTCCGTGACAGATGGCCATCCAACCTCTACTTAAAAACCTCCAAGGAAGGAGAGTCCACCACCACAAGATGAGCTTGAGCTCTTGGTACAGCAAACTAAATATGACATAATAGGCATCACTGAAACCTGGTGGGATAAGTCCCACGATTGGAATGTAATAATGGGGGGATACAATCTATTTCAGAGAAACAGACCAGACAAGAAAGGAGGAGGAGTGGCGTTATATGTCAGGGATGTGTATACCTGTGAAGAGATCCAAGATTTAGAACCTCAAAGCCAAAGTGAGAGCATTTGGGTCAAAATAAAGGGAGAGAAGAATAACAGTGACCTCATTGTGGGAGTTTACTATAGATACCCAAGCCAAACGGAGGACATAGATGATGCCTTCCTGGCATAATAAGGACTGATAAAACCCGGGACCAGGAGGAAGGGACGCTGGATGAAGATTGGATTGTCTTTATTTCTTTTTTTTACTACTAGGATTGTTTTATAAAATTGATGAATGTTAGAAAAATGTTGGAACGAAATTACTTGGCTTTAGCAAAAATGTTTAAAGAATTATGTAAGAATATTATGGTTATGAGAAGTTGGTAAAAATAAGATTTAAGTTTTAAGCTTTAAGGTTCTTTATAGTAAGATAAGATTAAAATAGATTAAGGTAATGTAATGACAGAATATTATGAAATATGGAAAGGATTTGCTGCGACAATTAACAACTAGGATACAAAATAAGGGAGGAGGAGGAGGTCAAAGAAAAAAGGTAATGACAGTTGAGGATTTGAGAATGATGGATTTGTTTTTGAGTGTTTGTGGTGTATTTTTGTTTTTTGAATTTGTATTGTTTGATGCGGTTTGTTTTTTCTTTGTTTTTTCTTTCTCTTTTTCTGCTTTGTTCTCTTTTGTAATTCTAAAAATTTTCAATAAATATCATTTAAAAAAAAAAAATTGATGAAGATGATCATCCAAATGTCATAGACCAAATGGAGCAAACAGCACGCAGTCCTATTGGCTGGAGGAAAAAATCCTTAAATAAGAGACACGGGGGAATGATTAATGGACTTCAATGTCTGTACACTAATGCGCAAAGCATGGGAAATAAACAAGATGAGCTTGAGCTCTTGGTACAGCAAACCAAATATGACATAATAGGCATCACTGAAACCTGGTGGGATAAGTCCCACGATTGGAATGTAATAATGGAGGGATACAATCTATTTCAGAGAAACAGACCAGACAAGAAAGGAGGAGGTGTGGCGTTATATGTCAGGGATGTGTATACCTGTGAAGAGATCCAAGATTTAGAACCTCAAAGCCAAAGTGAGAGCATTTGGGTCAAAATTAAGGGAGAGAAGAATAACAGTGACCTCATTGTGGGAGTTTACTATAGATCCCCAAGCCAATATAGGACATAGAAGATGCCTTCCTGGAACAGATGGCCAAGCATGCAAAAGGAAGGGAGATAGTAGTAATGGGGGACTTCAATTACCCGGATATTTGTTGGATGTCAAACTCAGCCAAGAGCATAAGGTCAAACAGATTCCTCACTGGCCTTGCAGACAACTTCATTGTCCAGAAAGTGGGAGAAGCAACAAGAGGAACAGCCATTTTAGATCTGGTCCTAACCAATGTTGATGACCTGGTTAGTGGGGTAGAAGTGGAAGGATCATGCTCTTCTGAAGTTTACTATACAGCGGAAAGGAGCAGCCAAGCATACTAGGACTCAATTTCTTGACTTTAAGAAAGCCGACTTCATAAAACTTAGGGAAGTGCTGGGTGAGATCCCATGGACAGTAATACTAAAAGGAAAGGGAATTCATGATGGCTGGGAGTTTGTTAAGAGGGAGATAATAAAAGCACAACTTCAGGCAATACCAATGAGACGGAAACATGGAAGGTGCCTAAAAAAGCCAGGGTGGCTATCTAAAGAACTTTTAACTGAGTTAAGATTAAAAAAGGATGTGTACAAAAAATGGAAAAGGGGGGAAACCACCAAAGAGGAATTCAAACAAATAGCCAGCACGTGTAGACACAAAGTCAGAAAAGCTAAAGCAAAGAATGAACTCAGGCTTGCTAGAGAGGTTAAAAGCAACAAAAAAGACTTTTATGGGTATGTTCGTAGCAAAAGGAAGAACAAAGAAACAGTGGGGTCACTCAGAGGAGAAGATGGTGAAATGCAAACAGGGGACACAGAAAGGGCTGAACTCCTCAATGCCTTCTTTGCCTCAGTCTTCTCCGATAAAGAAAACAATGCCCGACCTGAAGAATTTGGAGCAAATGATTCAGCAAAGGAAACACAGCCCAGAATAACTAAGGACATAGTACAAGAATACTTGGCTAGTTTAGATGTATTCAAGTCTCCAGGGCCAGATGAACTGCATCCAAGAGTATTAAAAGAACTGGCAGATGTGATCTCAGAACCACTGGCAGTCATCTTTGAGAATTCCTGGAGAACAGGCAAAGTCCCGGCAGACTGGAGGAGGGCAAATGTTGTCCCTATTTTCAAAAAGGGGAAAAGAGAGGACCCAAATAATTACCGCCCACTCAGTCTGACATCAATACCAGGGAAGATTCTGGAGCAGATCATTAAGCAAACAGTCTGTGAGCACCTAGAAAGGAATGCTGTGATCACCAATAGTCAGCATGGATTTCTGAAAAATAAGTCATGTCAGACTAACCTGATCTCGTTTTTGACAGAATTACAAGCCTGGTAGATGAAGGGAACGCAGTGGATGTAGCCTACCTTGATTTCAGCAAGGCATTTGACAAGGTGCCCCATGATATTCTTGTAAAGAAGCTGGTAGAATGCGGTCTTGACTATGCTACCACTCAGTGGATTTGTAACTGGCTGACTGACCGAACCCAAAGGGTGCTCATCAATGGTTCCTCTTCATCCTGGAGAAGAGTGACTAGTGGGGTGCCACAGGGTTCTGTCTTGGGCCCGGTCTTATTCAACATCTTTATCAACGACTTGGATGATAGACTCAAGGGCATCCTGATCAAATTTGCAGATGACACCAAACTGGGAGGGGTAGCTAACACCCCAGAGGACAGGATCACACTTCAAAACGACCTTGACAGATTAGAGAACTGGGCCAAAACAAACAAGATGAATTTTAACAGGGAGAAATGTAAAGTATTGCACTTGGGCAAAATAAATGAGAGGCACAAATGCAAGATGGGTGACACCTGGCTTGAGAGCAGTACATGTGAAAAGGATCTAGGAGTCTTGGTTGACCACAAACTTGACATGAGCCAACAGTGTGACGCGGCAGCTAAAAAGCCAATGCAATTCTGGGCTGCATCAATAGGAGTATAGCATCTAGATCAAGGGAAGTAATAGTGCCACTGTATTCTGCCCTGGTCAGACCTCACCTGGAGTACTGTGTCCAGTTCTGGGCACCACAGTTCAAGAAGGACACTGACAAACTGGAACGTGTCCAGAGGAGGTCAACCAAAATGGTCAAAGGCCTGGAAACGATGCCTTATGAGGAACGGCTAAGGGAGCTGGGCATGTTTAGCCTGGAGAAGAGGAGGTTAAGGGGTGATATGATAGCCATGTTGAAATATATAAAAGGATGTCACATAGAGGAGGGAGAAAGGTTGTTTTCTGCTGCTCCAGAGAAGCGGACACAGAGCAATGGATCCAAACTACAAGAAAGAAGATTCCACCTCAACATTAGGAAGAACTTCCTGACAGTAAGAGCTGTTCGACAGTGGAATTTGCTGCCAAGGAGTGTGGTGGAGTCTCCTTCTTTGGAGGTCTTTAAGCAGAGGCTTGACAACCATATGTCAGGAGTGCTCTGATGGTGTTTCCTGCTTGGCAGGGGGTTGGACTCGATGGCCCTTGTGGTCTCTTCCAACTCTATGATTCTATGACCTCCCAAGGGAGACTCTTCCACTGTCAAACAGCTCTTACTGTCAGAAAGTTCTTCCTGGTGTTTAGTTGGAATCTCCTTTTTTGTAACTTGAAGCCATTGGTTTGGGTCCTACCCTCCAGAGCAGGAGAAAACAAGCTTGTTCCATCTTCCATGTGACAGCCCTTTAGATAATGGAAGATAGCTATCATCTCTCCTCTGAGACTCCTCTTCTTCAGGCTAAATATCCCCAAGTCCCTCAGCCATTCCTCATAAGGCTTGGTTTCCAGGCCCTTGATCAACTTGGTTGCCCTTCTCTGCACACGTTTCAGCTTGTCAACGTCTTTCTTAAATTGTGACATGCAGAACTGGACACAGTATTCTAGGTGGGGTCTGACCAAGGCAAAATAGAGTGGGACTTTTACTTCCCTTGGCGCATAAAGGTGTATAAGTGCACAGTGTACAGTTAACACTGTGATGTATACTGATACTACCGTATTTTTCGTTCTATAAGACTCACCAGACCACAAGAAGAACCTAGTTTTTGGAGGAGGAAAAAAAGGGGGGGAAATTCTGAATCTCAGAAGCCAGAACAGCAAGAGGGATCGCTGTGCAGTGAAAGCAGCAATCCCTCTTGCTGTTCTGGCTTCTGGGATAGCTGCACAGCCTGCATTCGCTCCATAAGACGCACACACATTTCCCCTTACTTTTTAGGAGGGAAAAAGTGAGTCTTATAGAGCAAAAAATACGGTATTTTATCAACAGAAGTGCCCTACTTCCCTTGACTAGAACACTATACATTATTATTATTATTATTATTATTATTATTATTATTATGTCACCCTTCATCTGTAGATCTCAGGAAGGTTCACAACAAAAAATGCAAGATAAAAAACACAAAATACATAATAAAGACAAGAACTAAGCCAATAATCCCCGCCCCCCCACTCCTACAACACATTTAAAGGGCTATGGGATATTAATTAGCCAAAGCGCTAGTTGAAGAGGAATGTTTTTGCCTGTGCGTAAAGGTGTATAATGAAGGTGGCAACCAAACCTCCTTACGGAGAGCATTCCACAAATGGGGAGCCACTGCAGAAAAGGAACATTCTTACCGAAACTCTCATGGAGGAGGCACATGAAGAAGGGCCTCAGGTGATGATCTCAGAGTCCAGGTAGGGCACTTCTGTTGATACAGTCTAAAACAGTATTAGTATATATACACAGTGTTAACTCATTTTAAGCTTGTGGTCTACCAAGACCCTGAGATCCTTCTCACAGGTTGAACATTGCTTTCCTTTTTGGTGAAGACAGAGGCAAAGTACCGTATTTTTCGCACCATAGGGCGCACCGGACCATAGGGCGCACCTAGTTTTGGGAGGCGGAAAACAAGAAAAAATTATTCTGAACCCCAGAAGCCAGAACAGCAAGAGGGATCTGGCTTCTGGGATACCGTGTGGCTGTTCTGGCTTCTGGGGTAACCGCGCCAAGCCTCTTCAGGGCAGCGGGATGAAGGCTCCCCCTGCCCAAAGAGGCTGCGCAGGGCTAAAGCAGAAGCCAGGACAGAGGCGTCGCTGAAGGGGCACTGCGCCTTCTCTCTCTCTGCGCAGCGCCCCTCCTTCACAGGAGAGGTGCTGCACAGAGAAGGAGAAGGCGCAGCGCCCTTCAGCGAAGCTGGAGAAGGAACAGAAGAAGACCCCTCTGTTCCTCCTCGGGCTTCGCTGGACAGGTGCGTCGCTGCGAAGCGGGAGGAGGAACAGGAGACCCTTCTGTTCCTCCTCCGGCTTCGCTTGATAGGCGCGTTGCTCAAGGGGCGCTGCGCCTTCTCTCTCTCTCTGCGCAGCGCCTCTCCTTCACAGGAGGAGAGCTTCCAGGACAGGCGCGTCGCCGCGAAGCCAAGGAGCCTGCATTCGCTCCATAGGACGCACACACATTTCCCCTTCATTTTTGGAGGGGGGAAAGTGCGTCCTATAGAGTGAAAAATATGGTAGATGCTGAGCAGTTCCGCCTTCTTTCTGTCCATTCTCCATCTTCTCCATGCAAGGGACATACCACTGGGTCAAATATGGAGGTAGTCTTGGCTCCTTTAAACTTGAAGCTAAACCTGTTGCAAATTCCCTTTTCTATACAACTATTTCTGGTAAAGGAGCTCTGCCCTCATTTCCATAAGGCCTCTCTGGTTTTCTCCTCTCTCCCCACCACCCTTTCTCCTCTTAAAAAATCAAACTAAATGTAGATACAAAATAAAATGGGGGTGATACTACTAACACTACTTATATTAGTATGAAAAGCAACGCTTTAAAGCAATGCTTCTCAAGCTAGAAAATTGCTGAAGGTCTTGGTGGACAACTTAATCATTTTTCTGTCTGTTACAACAATTGCAATGCGCTGTGTGAGATGCTGTATGCTTTTTGAATTTTATGGAATTTAAGTTGTAAAACAATACAATGTAAGCAGCATTGCTGGATTACCAAATAGGCAGAGTTGGCACTGGCCTAGGGGTCCACGCCTTTTAGGGATCCCACAACAACGGATCAAAATTATATTGATTTGATCTTGAAAGAATTTGAATTTGGAAAAGAAACCTGCATTGAGTCAGAAACCGAGCCCACCATCTGCAAGATTTCAGCTGCCTAGGGGCCTCCACAGGGTTTAATCTGGCACTGGTAAGAACTTAAAGAAACAATAAATATACCATTAAAATCAATGACTACTGAACATGGACAAGGCACAGACCACCTGAATGAAGCTTGTAGACAACTGGTGGTCCATGCACCATAGTTTGGGAAGCCCTGCTTTAAAGGTCATGGTGAGAAGGACCTGGTCCTAAGTCCGTTACTGCACAATGCCCTTGAGTATCTAAATGTGGTGTGGAAAGCTGTCCTTACCCACCACTGTACAAGACTTCAGAGGGGAAAGGAATCACCTTTTCCTTCATCTTCTCCAACAATTTGCTTTTGGCTCGCACTTCTTCCTGGATGGAATCATAGACGTTGAGCAGGACCCAGTCACTGCTGTCCTCATCTGATTTCTGCAAAGCTGCCAGCAGCTGCTTCTTCCGCTCATCCGCAATTTTCTTTCGCCGTTTATGCTTTTCCTTCAGGTCTTTGTTCTTGGCCTGTTCACCTCCCACCACCTGCTGCTCCAGCATCTGCAATCTAAGAGGGTCGGAGGCAATGTCTTAGCTCTAAGCACACCTTGCCCAACTTTCTATATTCAGTCTCTCCCACCTCCATTTTGCCACTAACTTGTCTGCTGAGGATCCCTGAAACTTGGAACCCCGGAACTTTGCAAAAGATTGTTGGGTGCTGGCCAGTCCTGTTCAGCTTCCCAGCTGCTCCCCTTAGGCTGTGCAGATATGAAGCACATTCTTCCCCTCAAGCAATTCTGGGCACTATATTTTCCTCCTCACAGAGTTACAATTCCCAGCAACCTTTAAAAAACACAGTGCCCAGAATTCTTTGAAGAAAAGAATGCTTTGTATGTGCCTTATATTCCCTATAGTGTGGGAATATATGAAGACAAACTGTAAGCAATTAAAAATGTTAGTAGGATTGACATAACATGAGCAGTAAGAAATAACGGGAGTAAAAATGATAAATTTGTAAATAGGTTTGAATTGGTTAGGCAGTATGATTATGATATAAAATAAGGAACCGCAAGGCGGAGGGGAGGGAAGTCAAATAAATGTAGGTTAAATTTGTTTAGATTTAATTATTGTTGTTGAAACATTGTAAAATGGAAAAATTAAAAGGGGGAAAAATAAAGCTATAGTGTGTAAGTCTAAACTGAGACTAGAGGCTAGAGATGGGTGGGGTAGAAATAATAAATTATTATTATTATTATTATTATTATTATTATTATTATTATTATTATGTCCAACACATTGTAGGAGAATACTGGTGATAATGGGCAGGCTATTTTGCAGTTTTAGGGAAACTTCCCACTATTTCTGATTTTGTGACTGAGAAACCTCAATAAATCTGTCAAAAAACCCCCAAAACAGAGTTTGAGAACCAATGTTCTAGTGCACTGAAGAAAATAAATACCTCCAAAAGGGAAAATAATTTTTCATGCCCGTCAGAGCCTGCACATTCAAAGGTTGTTGGAACTGAAGCAGGAAGTGGGGTCAGCAGGGAGACAGACTTCAAAGGCTGGCCGGAGAGGCAGCTGAAACAAGATCCTCTGGACCACAGCTGGTTGCTGAGAAGCTGAGCCAAGGGCTGAGAAGGAAAGCATGGTGGAAAAGCCAGCGGGGACAAAGGAGGAGCAACTGAGGATCCACTGTCATGAGGGAGGAAGAAGTTGCCATTCAGGTCACAGACCTTCTACCTTCTGAACAACAGAATCCTCCACAGACATTGCCTTGGCATGCCAAGTCAAGGTGTGGGGAGAGAAACTGTGTTGGCCACCAGGCAATGGCTTTTCCCACCTGCCTTGCCTCCCCCCGCCCCCCCCCCCAGGCCAAGGAGCCTTTCCCAGACCATGACTTGTAAGACAAGCAGAAGCAGAGGCAAAGAGAGGAGTTCAGGGCTTTTCTTTTCTTAATTTTATAAGTTGTGCGTCTTTGTTTCTCAGTTTGATCCTTTTACATGGTTTTGTATGTATTGTGTTATTTTATGCATTGTGGCTTGATGTTATTATTATTGATTATAGTTTAGCAATTATTTATTGTAATTGTTAATAATTAAACAGAAATTCACTCTTATTTACTGACATTTAATTTTATTGTGCACTATTATATTCTAATGGATTACTTTATATGATGTAAGTTGTTTATTTTAAAGTTAGGTTTTTATTATGACTTTTTTGTATTGGAGGAGGTGCATAATCTTTTGTTCTTTCTTCAGCTTGTGCATAGATATAGAAAGGGGGCATACACATTAAAAATGAAATGAAATGAAGGTGCAAGCGGGGACTCCACTCCCCCAACACGGAAGGAAAATGGAAGAGTGTCTGCTTCAGGCCTCGAGGGCCCACACAGGAGCCTCTCCGGATCGGAGCAAATGAGCAAGTCCAACAAACATTGCACCCCTTGATGGTCTGTCTATTCCTCACACCGACCTGGCAAGTACTTGCTGCTGGTTCACTGCCACTGGGAGTTCCTCAGCCACATCAGTCCCAGGTGTCCCCGGTCTGACAGCTTTCTCCAAATTCTGGGCCACAGAAGGAACAGGCGGCTCAGTTGTGTTGGACTCCTGAGTGTAAGGGGAAATGGGAGGCAGCCATTCTGAGTATGCATGATATCCACATTGAGGGATGGACTGAAGCTGATTCACATACAAGTTTCCAAAATTCAACATCCTATATTTTGCCTGTCTCCCAGAAGGGATCGGGAGAAAGGAAACAAAGACTGGCCCATCCACTGGACACACAGTCTGAAGTCTAAGGTCAAGGCTTGCTGGAGCATTGTGCACCCAGTGCTTGGTTACTACTGCTGTTGGTTTTGCTGCTGCCATACTTCAGTCCCAGCCAACCCAGCTGTGGTGCAAGGTTCTGGGAGAGGAAAGGGAGAGGAAACAGTTTGCTCCCTGGACATGCCCTGAAGTTGCTGGGCAACAGTGAAATGCTTCTATCATCAACCAGCAGAGGAACTGAGCTGCTGACTTCACAATGCACACTGCAGTGGAGGAATCTCAACAAAAGCATGTTTACCCAGAATTAGTCTCACTTATTTCAGTGGGATTTATTCCTGAGCAAAGCCTGGGTGTAATCCTATACCACTTACTGGAGACCTTAGTGGGACTCACTTCTAAATAAACATACATGTGCTTGAAGGACTCATCCACACTTCCATTTGTCCTATGATTTCTAGGTATGGGTCACAGAGGTCCTTTTTTTGTCCCACCACTTTCCCCAGGAAAACCCGCTGCTTACTGTAGAATTGGAACAAACAATTGGTTTTTCTGAGGATTGATGTTTGTTCCGATTCAGCAGTAAACAACGGGTTTTCCTGGGGAAAACCTCTGAGACCCATGCCTAGAAATCGTGGGAGAAGCAGACATCTGGATGAGCCCTTAGTCTGGTTTTCAAAACTGTTTTAATGCAGGAGAATACCTATTAACTTCAAGTATAATTCCTTACTCGAAGTTATCTCATGGAACTAAATATATAAAAGTACTGGCTTTAATCATTTGTTACATCAGACACAGTTCATTAAATTCACTTGAATCCCATAATTAAGCACCACGAAGGGTGCTTAAGCATCAGCAAAAGGGGGCATTTTGGTAGCAGCAGTCGGGGGGGGGGGCAGACGCACATTTCTGTTTCACTTCACTTCACAGGATGGGCCACCACTGGGTCCCTCTAATAACTTGGAGTTGGTATAATGGATTAGAGTAGTCCTTGAAAACTTATACTAAAATAAATTGGTTTGTCTTTAAGATGCCACTGCTGTGTCTGAGTACACCACAACACAGCATATATTCAAGCAGGGCTAACCTGTAAGATATAATGGTTGAGAAGTGGTTTGTGACTAAAAGACTACTCTGCTGTGAACCTGCTAAAAAGCTTTCGGGAAGTCACTATCCACCCTTGCTGACCTAATTTACCTGGCTCTTGTAAGAATTACACCAAGGGCTATGTTTCAATGTCATGATAATCCACAGTTTATTGTGACAGTAATCAGAATAGGCAGGCCTTGGGCTTGGGCGCTTCCCTCCCCTCTCTTCTCCCACCTATGCTGTAGCTGCAAAGAGAAATTTAGAAGCATTCACACCTGGGGTTTTTATTTATTAAGCACAGGTTATTGCATAAAAAACATAATAGATATTAACAAACCTACTTAAAAATTTGGTTTAAGAAGTTGGCTTGCTTCACAAGCCCATAGCTAAGAATAACCATGGTTTAGGGTTGGGCATAATGCTAAACTGCAGTCAGTCAAAGACAGAAGCAGAAGTGGCCAGTCTCTTTGCAGCTGCTCCTAAAGAGGGGGAAAGGAAGGGGAGGAGGGTGTATCTAAGTCGACAAAAAGTCATGGTTTCTATCATGATACCTAAATGCAGTGATATAAATGGTATATTGTTAAATGGCTATTATTATTAAATACAGAGCTATTCTGCATGGCCATCGGTGGTTCACGTTACACAGACCCTGTGCCATTTTAGAAGTATTTTTAAAGGGTTTCTGCATGGCCATCATTTCATCTGTTGAGGGAAGTTCACCTTCCTGGGTACCTTGGCTGACACTTCAGTTTCTTTAGCAAGACCTGGAGGCAAAGAAGCTTGGTCAGCAATGGCTTCAACTGTCTGGGTGGTTTCTAGAGAAAATAAAGGAAACGCAGAGAAAAAATGAGTTTTATCCTGAAGCTCTGTTAAGCTTGAGAGAGGCAGTAGTTTTTAACTGAGAGTGATGCAATTTTATACATTTATATATTGACTTCTAAAATATCTACTTTGCCTTCCATACAATACTGTGGGCACTTTCAATAAATAAGACAACAGAATAATAAATAGAGCAATAATAATAACAAAGCCTTAAAACATTCTAAAAGGCAACAACAGCAATCACGATTTCTTTAAAGAACCAGTCTCTTCCTAGTCATATTGCACAGACGTTGCCTCAAAAGAGGGTCCTCAGGTTAAAAGGTATAAATGAATACCATCAGCTGTCGATTTCCAACTGGCGGGTAGGAAACAGACACACCTTATTGGTAGATTATCCTGCAGATTGACTATTGACCATTAAAGAATTAGCCCAGCCCCTAAAACTTTTATCTTGAATATTGCAGGCTGGAGGAACAAATTAGCTGACTCAGATTTTAAAAGGTACCGACACACATTTGACATAGTCTGTCTGCAGGAGATTTGGCTCCTGGAGACAAACTCTCTAAAGCTCCAGGGATTTAGGACATGGGAGCAACCTGCCTGGAAAATTTCCTTGCTCAGGCGTGGAAGTGGCAGTTGAGCTATTCAGAAATCTGTCACTGTAGATGCAGAGATCGCAGAGATAGAGGACACTTCCTCTAATTATTGCCAGGTGCTAACCATCCGGGCTCACAAGCTGCGTCAGTTGATTTGTATCAGCCTCAGACATGACAGCAGAGATTTGGCAAAGGATAGGAGAGTGTTGCACAGAGTCTCTACTGGATATCCTAACTACCTTCTTATTGTATGTGGGGATTTTAACGCCAGGATGGGGAATGACCTTACTCATAAGTAAGGCCCTGGGCTCAAACAAGAGGATGTCTTGAGCATTTCCTGTTCCTCAAATGATAAGACTGTCAACAAATCAGGCCAGGAGCTTTTTCCTTTAATTTAAAAATATCAGCTGGTGGAGCAGCTGGCTCTGAGCACCATCTCTGGGACCAAAGAAGCGTCAAAATAGTACATCCTAATCCTATTCAAGAGTGCAGCCTACAGTCTCCTAGTTTGCATCATTTGTTCTTTTAATTTTACTACGTTGCATAATTTAACCTGAAACTTAATAACCTGAAATTATTAAACATAATCTAACTGCTGGTCATAGAGATGTCCAACTCAAAGGAACATTATTCAGCCGCTCTTCTGGCTTCATGGCTATACCTGCTTCCTTTTGGAGGTTCTCATCTAAAGTATGGAACTTCATGTCATAAGCATTCCTCAAGGCGCTGATATCCTCCTCCAGCCGGACACGAGATTCTTGTTCAGCTTCGTAGTCAGCCTTCAGCCGCGCCAGCCTCTCCTCATACTCCTGAAAAGGTCAAGGAAAACAGCTGAGGGATCCTGGTGTGGCACATTCCAACTCTAGAGAATATTTGTTGAGGGAGGACACACAGTGGTTTTGCTCATTTATATTTTCAAGAGAATTGAAACTTTAGATTTTTAAGAAACTTAGCCTTAAAGTAAACTTTGCTAAGCATATCTAACTAGAAGGAAATACCATGGATATCATTAGAGGTTTGTTCATTTTTTTTCTTCAAATGGCTGTGCTTAGAACCACAGCTAAAATCAGAAGGTCAAACTCTGGCAATCAAGTAGTCAGGAGAAAAGATCTTTTCAGTTGTGATGACCTATCTGTGGACTGCTCTCCCAAAGAGGGTCCATCTGGCATTGTCACTAGTTTCTTGGGTGTTTTCTCAATGATGCTTATACACACACATACGCATATAGGTTGGTTAGTTAGTAAGTTATTAAAATAATGATAAACCCTTCATTATCCAATTCCAGGGTGGTTTATAAAACACACTACAGCAGCATATACTAAAACAACTGTATCTCATAACATTGGTACAATAACCACAGTAGAAAAATATAAAGGCATATTACCAAAAGCTAGGTATTAAACTCAGCAAATTCTTGACAAAAGATAAATATTTAATAGATGATGGAACATAATTTAAACCATAATATGTGTGGTTCAGCTAATTAGAAAAGTTACCTGGCAAGTTTGAGCAAGGAATACTGTACTGGAATCCCACCCGTCCCTATTGCCAGAAGATATGGTTGCACCAACTTACTTCTCGAATTAGCTGCTTCTCTTTCTCAATATCTGCCAGGGATTCAAGAGAGGGCTCTGGCTTCGCCTCAGGCTGAGCAGCCTCAGGAGGCAGCATGTGAGACAACTCCACTAAGGAAGGAGAAAGGACATAACTGAGAAGATGGTACACCTAGAAAGCTTGGAAATTGGGCCTGGGAGCAAAGCTCACTTTTTCCTGATGACCCAAAGGAATTCATTTCCAAATAGTTTGATATAGTTTATATATTATATATTAAGAGCCTTTCAAAACCCTGGAATGTTCTGTTTCTTTTGTTATTTAACAATGGGAAATATACACTGGTGAGTCTGTTGTTGCAGCCAATCTTGATTTCATACCCTTTGTTTGTCTACCTAGCTGTAGGTCATCTAGCCTGGTGAGAGGACTCCTCCCCTCTGAACTGTATTTCGGCCACGATGCTGAGGTGTCTCTGAAGTGCAACAAGACCTGTACCAGCAGTTGGCACTTCCAAGAAGAGGCGAGGGAACAGACTGACCATCAGACTGACCATCATTGCTCTCTCTGACATTTCTCTTTTACTGTTATCAACCTCCTCAGGAGGAGAGCCAGCGGTGTGTCATCTCCCCCTCTCTGAAGCACACTTGGAGTGCAGCAAGACCAGCACTAGAAATGTTATTGTCAGTTAACTCTCATTTTTGTTTTGTATTTATGCATTTATGTATGTTGAGATTAGTTTTTTCTTTGTAATACTGAATTTATTCTGTGTTTGTTAAATTGTTGGATATTTGTTATTTTTAATTTACTGACTTGTTTTGTATTACATATTTGTATTTCCATGTACTCTATCGATGTCCTGAATGTTTGCCATAGGCCGCTGTGGGTACAGCTCATTGTGGAAAAGCGGCATATAGGTAAGTAAAACCAATCAATCACTGTGGGAAATCACAATTTTCCGAGCACTTAAACCAGGGACAAAACTAGGCTTTCTTTTATCTGGGTCAAAGACTCAGTCTAGCACCCCCTTGTGCATATATTATAATAGAAACTGTGATAATGATCAGACACATACCAGAGAGTAAGTCCTGTTGAACTCAGTGGGACTTACTTCTGAGTAAAAATGCTTAAGATTGCAGTATAAGACTGTACAATCTTTACACAGTGCCCTCTTTACATACAAGTTGTCCTCTAGATACAAACACATTCAACACACACACACACAGAGAAAACATATTACAAGCAAACAATACTTCAAAGTGCTTATCTTGTGAATTTGCCATTTATATTGTCTAATCATGACAAAAGCTCCTGTTTCCGAAAGATACAGGAGGTGGTGTTCTGATCTCTTTACCACTTTTAGACTTCTGGGTTGGCGCCATCGGCTAACGGCTGAATCCCTCTGACTAAGAGGAATTTGCTCCGTGGAAATCGGGTCTGGCCACCACGGCGAAGGCGGAGACCCTTCAGAAATCACAGGCGGGTGAAGCCTGTGAACGCGGGATTCGGCAGGCACTCTCAGCGCCTCCCCTACTCGCAGGGAAACCCGTTCGCGGGATCCGTAGCGAAGTGGGGTGAGCAGCACGGTGCTGTGAATCGACTGCTCTTTCCACAGAGTGAAGCCGCAGAGCCGTTGCCGGAGAGCGCTGGCTTTTTCCTGTGAACAATTGGACTTAAAAAGACACTACCCGTGAGTAGAACAATTGGATTTCAAATATATTATTTAAGAACAATCATATTGGAACTTGTTAAAGGAAGAAATTTGCAATTTGGAATTGTAGCGGGGAGGCATAAACAGGAAGTCTGCCTTCCGCTTTTGTAGACACAACAAAGCAAAGAGGCTGCAAGCTAGAGTCTTGGAGAGCCGACTGGAAAGGATTAAAACCCCAATTTCTAAATTAGAAAACTCCCCCCTGGAAGCAGGAGAAGAGGGGGGAGAAGTTTTGGACTTTTCATACCTGCGAGAGAGAGGGAAGGAAATTAAAACTCCACTGCTCAGACCCTGGGAACGGGCTGCAAATAGACAATAGACAATATTGCTGCTGTATTTGGAATGCGCTCAGACTGTTAGCTGTCAAAAGAGAGATACATTCTGCTTAATTGCTTCTAACTGCCCTTCTGACTCTTAAGGGGGAGAAAAAGTAACGGAAAATGGAAACTAAATTTCCTTTTTGAGCTACATTTCAAAAGAAGTTATTTTGGATAATTATAAGCACAGACTGCAACTGTTTCCCCCTAGAGGTATTAGTGGAAACTGTTGTAAGAGCCGGGCCAGGGGAATTTTCCATTAGAAAGATAAAACTGTCTGACTGTGGGATTGACCTTGGACTTTTTGAGTGTTATGGCAAATGGGAAAGAGAAAGTAGATTTATCAACAACGAGATCTGGGAAGCCTTGGCAGCGAAGAGCGTCAGCATCTGGTCCTTCTGTACCATCTGCAGCTGTGCCAACTCAATCTAAACAAAGAGGAATGTCATCATCAGAAGAGGCTTTAGCGGCGGTGCTGGGTAAAATAAATGAATCTTTGGAAAAACTCAGCAGGAAAGTAGATGAGACAAATATAAAAGTTGATGCATCTAATGCGAAGGTGGATGCCGCAAATGCCAAAATTGACATTAATACAGAAAGTATAAATAGTCTGGGACAAATGGTGAATATTAATATAGAAGCAATACAGAAATTGATACAGGAGTCTGCCTCAACCTGTCAAATTGCAGAGGAAGCAAAGGGAAAAGTGAATCATAGAATCATAGAGTTGGAAGAGACCACAAGGGCCATCGAGTCCAACCCCCTGCCAAGCAGGAAACACCATCAGAGCACTCCTGACATATGGTTGTCAAGCCTCTGCTTAAAGACCTCCAAAGAAGGAGACTCCACCACACTCCTTGGCAGCGAATTCCACTGTCAAACAGCTCTTACTGTCAGGAAGTTCTTCCTAATGTTGAGGTGGAATCTACTTTCTTGTAGTTTGGATCCATTGCTCCGTGTCCGCTTCTCTGGAGCAGCAGAAAACAACCTTTCTCCCTCCTCTATGTGACATCCTTTTATATATTTGAACATGGCTATCATATCACCCCTTAACCTCCTCTTCTCCAGGCTAAACATGCCCAGCTCTCTTAGCCGTTCCTCATAAGGCATCGTTTCCAGGCCTTTGACCATTTTGGTTGCCCTCCTCTGGACACGTTCCAGTTTGTCAATGTCCTTCTTGAACTGTGGTGCCCAGAACTGGACACAGTACTCCAGGTGAGGTCTGACCAGAGCAGAATACAGTGGCACTATTACTTCCCTTGATCTAGATGCTATACTCCTATTGATGCAGCCCAGAAATGCATTGGCTTTTTAGCTGCCGCGTCACACTGTTGGCTCATGTCAAGTTTGTGGTCAACCAAGACTCCTAGATCCTTTTCACATGTACTGCTCTCAAGCCAGGTGTCACCCATCTTGTATTTGTGCCTCTCATTTTTTTTGCCCAAGTGCAATACTTTACATTTCTCCCTGTTAAAATTCATCTTGTTTGTTTTGGCCCAGTTCTCTAATCTCTCAAGGTCATTTTGAAGTGTGATCCTGTCCTCTGGGGTGTTAGCCACCCCTCCCAGTTTGGTGTCATCTGCAAATTTGATCAGGATGCCCTTGAGTCCATCATCCAAGTCGTTGATAAAGATGTTGAATAAGACCGGGCCCAAGACAGAACCCTGTGGCACCCCACTAGTCACTCTTCTCCAGGATGAAGAGGAACCATTGATGAGCACCCTTTGGGTTCGGTCAGTCAGCCAGTTACAAATCCACTGAGTGGTAGCATAGTCAAGACCGCATTTTACCAGCTTCTTTACAAGAATATCATGGGGCACCTTGTCAAATGCCTTGCTGAAATCCAGGTAGGCTACATCCACTGCGTTCCCTTCATCTACCAGGCTTGTAATTCTGTCAAAAAACGAGATCAGGTTAGTCTGACATGACTTATTTTTCAGAAATCCATGCTGACTATTGGTGATCACAGCATTCCTTTCTAGGTGCTCACAGACTGTTTGCTTAATGATCTGCTCCAGAATCTTCCCTGGCATTGATGTCAGACTGACTGGGCGGTAATTACTTGGGTCCTCTCTTTCCCCCTTTTTGAAAATAGGGACAACATTTGCCCTCCTCCAGTCTGCCAGGACTTCGCCTGTTCTCCAGGAATTCTCAAAGATGACTGCCAGTGGTTCTGAGATCACATCTGCCAGTTCTTTTAATACTCTTGGATGCAGTTCATCTGGCCCTGGAGACTTGAATACATCTAAACTAGCCAAGTATTCTTGTACTATCTCCTTAGTTATTCTGGGCTGTGTTTCCTCTGCTGAATCAACCCTTGCAGACCATCTTGGGGCATCCAAGAGGTAAAACCACTGGCAATTATTATCTCACACACTTCTGCAGCACACAAGCCTATTGCTGCTCCTGGGCACCCTCTTCCTCTCGGGGAAATTCCGGAGAAACCAGCTCAGGAGGAGCCAACTGCTCCCCTGGCAGTGAGCGGATGCAAGCCTGGAGTTGCTCCTTGGTGTTTTCCTCCACTGAAGAAAGTGCCATTTCCCCTTGTGCACAGACAATCAACATCTTCCTTTTCCATAGGTGCTGGCTTCTCCCCCAACTCCTCAGGAACAGTTTCCCCTCTTTCTGGCACCTCCGCAGGCACGGGTTCCTCTGGCAGGCTCTCCGGCCCCTCCATTTTCTCCTCTTCCACAGAAGGCTTCCAGGGCTCAGGCAGCTCAGGTGGCCAGCCTTTCTCCTCTGAGGCATTTTCTTCCTCCACTGCTGGAGCTCCGGGAGTAGGAGAGAGATCAACTAGCAGCTCCTCCTCCACTCCAGCCACCTTGGTACCTTTTTCTTCTGCCAGTGGCGCCTGGCATGGAGTCACACTTTGCTCTCCAAGGAGATTTCTTTCCCACTCTATTCTCATTTCAATGAACCACTGCATCTGCTGCCCATGATGCTGCGTTCGGTGCTCCTCCATCAGCTTGAGGAATACTGCTATTCCTCCCTTCATTTTGACTTCAGGAGCATGGTCTCCTAGGCCTTCTCTCCAGGAAACACGGCTCCCACTTCTTACACCAGTGTAACAAAAGCTGGGTGTCACCCCCACTCTCTGCTGAGTGGTATTCCTGAGGGGGTTCCAGTGCTCCCCTAGGGTCTCTGCTCCTTTGAAGAATTGAAAATGCAGTGGAGACTGCTGTAACTTTAAGAAGTACAATTTATTCCCATATTTACACCTTCAGTCTGCATGGAGGGAGTCCAGATCTTACAGCATGGTCACCTTAAGAGAGGTTTGTTCCCAACAGCAGAGCAGCCCTGGAGTCCAAGGCATGCTCCCCCAGCACATCTTGCTCAATACATTCTTTTCCTGTCACCTCACACCCACTTACGCTGGCAACCTTAAAAATCCCCAGCCTGCAAAATCAGGGCAAGGGGAGAGGACAGTTCTCTTGATTTGCCAATGGCCCTCTGTAGCCCTGTATTGTTTCTTAATGGCCCTAGCTTGGCCTGGTCCTTTGCTTCATAGGTTAGCTCAGGAATTCCTCTGCAACTTGTATTTCTCCCTTCACAGCCCAAACAATAAAAAACCCATTTATTAAATTCTAGGGTTTAGGGGGTCCCCCCCCCAAAAAACTTATAGCAATATACATGCAAAGCATGCACTCTACTGACTGAGGCACCTTAAAAGCCACTCTAGCAAACTTCTCAAGATCTCTGCCTACAAAGGGGTCATCCTGAGCCAGAATGGCAGAAGCTCTCTGAGGTCTTTTTCTCAGATCTTTTGAACTGGAGTTGCCAGATGCTCCTGCATGCAAACCATTTGCTCTACCACTGAGCTTATGCCCCTAAGGTATGCAGGTGTTTTCAGACGCATATCAATGGGCTTCATTGTCTCCTGAGACAGATGGATGTCAGCAATACAATCAGGGCAATCATCAAGCCTGTGATCATATTGTCCCTTTATTTATATCTCTGTTGTTGTTGTTATTCTTAACCTGTCCTTCACTTTAAGGTCCCAGGGTGGGGTACTACATTAAAACAGTTAAAAACAACTTACAATCATAAAAATAAAGTGGCCCTTAAAATACTCTGGTGTCAGAAGTCAGGGTAAAAGAGGTGCGTCTTAAGCATTCACTGGAATCTGTATAATGAAGGTACCAGAACCCGCTCTGTGGGAAGGGGAGATGCACTGCTAGGGTCTCTCCTGGTCCAGCCCCCCCTCAGTCTTTGAGAGAAAAGGAACCACCAAGAGGGTCCCCTCTGCCAGTCTTAGCACCCAATAGGGTCTATAGGAAAGAAAGCAGATATAGTGGGTAGATAATGGCTTGAATTTTTAAAAATGAAGTACTGCCTTTTAGGAAATGGTCCTGAAATATTGCTGAAAGGGTCGGGTATCCTGTGATCATTGTGAGGGGAGGGAGAATTGCACTTACCCTTCATCTGAGACTGTGTGCACACTAACCTATTTGTAGCACCAACATGTACCTCAGTCTGGAATTGTTCATGCACATCCTCAACATGCTGTTTTCAGTCCAGACTGTTTCTAAACCCTGACATCCACAAGGGTGAGTACAGTTACTTAACATGCATTTGAAAACCTTTCCCTTGGTGAAGCTATCAATGCCTCCTCCTCCCTGCATATGCCCCAGGTTAAGGAAAATGGAAGTGGTGACTGCAGCCTACCCTCAAAGTCACTGGGCAACTGTAGGTACAACCTGGCTGGCATCACCTACGTCAGTTTTTGTCTTTTTCAAATGTATGTACTGTGCAGTTACACAGAATCAATCTGCAATGAGCTTGTTTTCTTTTAATGAAACCATTTTCTCAATAAGTGCATTTCTGATTGGAAGGTATTCCACTATGAGAAGGAAAACTCTGATCCTAAACCTCTGCTGCCTTGCAGAATATATTTGGAAGAAGAAAAGCCTAAGGAGTAAACCCTACACAAATCCAGAGTACAGTCTTAAGACAGTGGGATGGCGCCTTGTACGCCTCCTCCCAGCAACTCCTGCAGCCAAGCTGGTGTCAAACATTTCTCTGCTTTCCTTTGGACCACCCCAAGAGGGGTGTTTTGCCATCTGGGCAGCCCAGGACCTCCATAAACACTGCCCAGGCTTATGCCCTGGGAAGATCACTTCTGTGCTACTAATACAGTGGTTTGACATCACCCCCAGATGCACACTCTATTGTCTGTCAAGACAGATGGATGCCAACAACAGATGGGGGGGAGGAATGTGCAATAGATTAGTTTGTGTGTGCCGTGTGTCAAAAAATCCCAAGGATTCAGTTTCCATTGATTCTTGAATATGTTGTGTGTACACAGACTAATTGTTGAGAAGGGGGCACCACCTAAGATTAGAAGAATAGCTGCTGTTGTCACTACTGGTGGACAGAGGTTTTCCCCAATGATTGAGGCACAGAACATAAGCAATTCCATTTCGGTACAGTAGTGCCACGCAAGACGAATGCCTCGCAAGACGAAAAACTCGCTAGACGAAAGGGTTTTGCGTTTTTTGAGTCGTTCCGCAAGACGATTTTCCCTATGGGCTTGCTTCGCAAGATGAAACGTTCCGCAAGACGAATTTCCCTATGGGCTTGCTTCGCAAGATGAAACGTCTTGCGAGTTCTTGCGAGTTTGTTTCCTTTTTCTTAAAGCCGCTAAGCCGTTAATAGCCGCTAAGCCATTAATAGCCGCTAAGCCGCTAATAGCCGTGCTTCGCAAGACGGAAAAACCGCAAGACGAAGAGACTCGCGGAACAGATTAATTTCGTCTTGCGAGGCACCACTGTAAGTGGTGAAGCAGCTGCATGAAGGGATCCTACCTTGCAAATGGCTTATGTTCATCTGCTGAGCCAAGATGGCTCTCAGCTTCTTGATTTCCTCTTGGTATTCCCTCAGCAGAGCATCCTTGGGATCCTCATTGATGCGGGGTTTGTTCCGTATGTTCTTGGCTCGGTGGGCATAGCGCAAGGTGCTGAGAGTCTCGTCGTAATTGTTGTCCGCAGGAGACAAGCAGGCTACCATGAGTGTCTTGGTATTGCCTCCAAGCGAGTCCTGCAGCACCCGAGTCAGCTTGGAGTCTCGGTAGGGCACGTGTCTGCACCTCCCGTCTGCCAGGGCTGAGATGACGTTGCCCAGTGCCGAGAGGGAGAGGTTGATTTTGGTGGCCTCTTTGAGGCGTTCGCCAACAGCTCCCGTTTTGGACTGCCTCTCGCTCCCAGCCAAGTCCACTAGGTTGAGCTTTGCAGCCCTCAGGTGATCTTGCCCCCTCTCATCTGCAAGGAAAAGAGTCTGGGCTGAGTTGAGTTCTTGAAAGAAGGGAACAATCCTGAATTGTCTAGACTATACCAGACCTGAAGGGCCTTGTGCTGAACCATTAGCTGCTTGCTGTGATAAAGTGTCTTGGGACAGCCCTACTTGACATCATCAGACAGCAATGAGTTCTACAGATTATCACAGAATTGTGGAGCTGAACCCCAAGGGTCATCTAGTCTAGGGTTGCCATATGTCCGGATTTCTCCAGATATGTCCTCGTTTTACGGTTTAAAATTTCTGTCCAGGTGGATTTTAAAAATTATGCAAAATGTCTGGGGGGGGGTTGTTGTGGCCCTCGCCCACGCGCTCCATAAGGCTGCTGGCAGCGGCTGCTGCGGCTGCTCTGGGACTAAGAAGGGACACACGGTGCCTGGTGGAGGCGCTGCTGCTGCTTTGGAAACCTGGGCTTTATCACAGGCAGGGGCTGAAATTGCTGGGGAGCCACTTACAAGCAGCAGCAGCTGTGAGTGAGCAGGCAAGCAGGCAAGCAAGCGCGCTGGGACAGGGCTTTTGAGATCAAGCATTCGACGTCCAAGGCCTTGCTTGCTGGGAAACATGCCTGTGCTGGGCACGGGTGGAACTACCTTTATTGAAGGAAAAGAAATCAGAGAGGAGGAAGGGAAGAGTGTCACCCCCACATGCCCCCACTTTCTCATGTGTGTGCTCAGGGACTGAATCTGATACTAACCCCACCACAGCTTGGTCAAAAGTCGACAGGCAAGCCCTGCATATCTGGGGGGAGGGGGTGTCTGACTTCCAAAGCTATGCCTTTCAAAGTTGCAAGAGAGGATTTAAAATGCAGGTTGGCCATTGTGAAAACTGTTGAACGCTTATTGTCTTATACTGGGAGTGGGGGTGGGGAGAGGCCGGAAGGTGGCTGGGCAACAGCAGGGGGGCCTTTGGAGAGACCGAGGAGAGCATGTTCTATGCAAATAGGCAGAAAGGGAAGGCCCCAAATGCTGGCCACTGACAGGCAATGCACGCCGTGGCCACACTGTGAGGGGAGAGAGAGGCTTCCTTATGCCGCTCTAGGCAAATGTATCCTCTTATTTGCTTTTCAAAATATGGCAACCCTAATCTAGTCCAACTTCCTGCAATGCAGGAATTTCAGCTAAAGCATCCATGGCAAATGGCCATCCAACCTCTGCTTAAAAACCTCCAATAAAGGAAAGTCCAACACTTTCCAAGGGAGTCAGTTCCACTGTCAAACAGCTCTTAAAACTTCATTTCAAGCAGAATTGCAAGTAGCTTTGCTTCACCCACGGAGAAACAGACACTGCTGCCACCCGGCACCTTAACTCTAGATGCACCAGTAGAGCACAGGCAACCTCTGCCGTGCCTGAGGCAGACCAAAATTGTTGAGCTTTTCTGGGGAAATCAAAGTTGTTGAGCTTCTGTGCTCCAGGCCCTGTCTTGTCTCATTCACATCCTCAACACAGGAATTTCCAGCTTTTACCTACGACATAGATCTCCATGTTGATGGTGAAGATGGAATGGGAACGGGAGGAGTCCTTGTTCATCAGGGTGTAGCCCACGGCACGGTTTCTCCAGCCCATCTCCATGATGCGCTCACACTGGGAGATGCTGTGCACTGTGTGCAGCGACAGGCCTTTCACGTAGACCCCTTTCTCTGGATGCTCCTTCAGCTGCAAGGAGGGCCGTTACAGCAAGTTACAGTAAAAGCTGCAGAAAGACACTTGAACTAGGAAATGACCAGAAGCTTGAGGGCCACTGCTATAGAAGGAGAAAGCTCTTATGCACTGACAGTGGCACTCTACCCCAAAGAACAAACCCTACAGAGGTGATGGGTTCCTCAATCTTTCCCCATCACCTACAAGCAAGATGGGCCACATCTTGCTCTGCCCATTTATACACTGGTGTATTTTCCCAGATGGATTGCATCCGCTTATACACCTCTGGCAAACTGCATTTTTGGAACAAGAATTGCAAATGTAGGTCTTGTCTTTACCAGTAATACAACAGAACTGGGGGAGGACTATCATACAGCATATGGGAAGGATACAGCAGAAGGTCCAGTCCCGAGTGTCTGCTGAAAGAATCTGGGTAATTGAAAGGCTGGGGAAGATCTGAGGCCTTGAAGAGCGCCTGCCATTTACAGTAGAAAATACTAAGATAGTCTGGCTCATTGTAAGGCAGGGTCATCTGTTTATGTGTGGCATTCATGGACATGACAGAATGTACACGGCCATTAGCGGATGCAACACTCCCACCCCCAAACTGATCTATCTCTAGCATCTCCTGTCGTGAAGGAGTGATTCTGTAAGCAAGGCAGATGTTAACAATTAGTCCCCAAAGTGGGAGCAGGTGACAGGGCTGACAGCATTCCTCAGCCCCTATAAATCTTTGTGTTAACCTGCTGAGGGAGGGGGAGAGAACATGCCATAGATTAGACTGCCGTGTGGTGTCTGTAGCTGGTGCCAGAGAAGACGCCAATAAAGCCTGATAACCCGTGCCTACGTGTAAGTTTTTAGAAGCTTGCAGGGAGGACTTCGGAAAGTGACCTTCTCCGTGACATGGTGGCATAGTGGCACATTTGAACAGGAGCTTTGGAGCTTCAGCACCTTGAATGTGAATGGCAAGTGGCTGTTTAGACGGCAGAAAGTGTTCATCAGTTCCAGGGGAAATGGCAGAAGAGCGCGCTTGTCTGTTTGGTGAGAAGCAGGCAGGGGGCCAGGTAGTTAATAGCTGAATGACCCTAGAGACGCGGAGATGTAAAGGAGGAATATGGTCGGGTGTCAAGACCTAGAGTGGTTTGGAGCAAGGGAGACTCCTCTCCAGAAAGATCCTTCAGGGGGAGAAATAATTTTGTTTATTGGGACAAGCATATGTTCCCCCCATATACTGAAGGGCAGGGTTTAGTCATATTTTGCACTCTCTGAAGCTACATGTGAGGACTTTCTTGTTCCTGTAAGCCACTGGATAAGAATTCTGCTGCGGTGTTGGTGGAAAACATGAAACTGAATCGCCAGTAAAGTTCTTACGAAGGGGAGGAGTGGGAAAAACAGAAGCTTTGATGATAATAATAACAGGAGATGTCACCAAAATTTATATTTAAAGATGATCAAGGAAGATATATAGCAATTGAAATTCAATTCCAAGGACAGAAATTCTTGATATTAGGTGTATATGCACCAAATGAGGGAAAATCAGAATTCTTCAAGAAATTGCATGAAACCCTCTTGGACTATTTGGATTACAATATTATTTTGATGGGAGACATGAATGGAGTAGTGTCTACAAATATGGACAAGGCCCAAAGACAAGCAGTGACAAAAGATGGAAGATTACCAAAGACATTCTTTGAAATGACTGACAATATGGATCTTGTGGATATCTGGCGAACAAAGAACCCCCTGGAAAGAGAAGGAACCTTCTTCTCTGAAGCAAATATGACATGGACAAGAATAGACCAAATCTGGATAACTAGAGGACTGGCTCCTAAAATTAAAAAAGCAGTGATTTGTCCGAAAATTTGCTCCGATCACAATCCAGTAAAGATTGAAATGACATCAATGCCAATTGGGGCCTTTAGATGGAGGATGAATGACTCCTTATTCAGGAATGAGGAAATTATTAAAAAGGCTCAAAAAAATTTGAGAGACTATTTTGAAATAAATTTGAATACTACGACAGAAAAAAGAGTGATTTGGGATGCCAGTAAAGCGGTGATGAGAGGACTCTTGATACAACAAAACGCAATTAGGAAAAGATATCAAAATGAGAAGAGAGAAAAAATCTTGGAGAAAATAAAGGATGGAGAAAAAAGATTGAGAGCGAAACCGAACTCACAGGAGATCTTAAAAGAGATAAAGCTATACCAAGTACAGTATATGAAATTGATGAATCAGGAGATAGAATGGAAGATTAAACAGATGAAACAAAAGACCTTCGAATCGGCAAATAAATGTGGGAAGTTATTGGCTTGGCAAATGAAGAAAAGACAAAAGCTGAATACAATCACGAACTTGGTTGTAGAAGGAAAGAATATACAGAATCCTGGAGAGATTCGGAAGTGCTTTCAGAACTATTTCAAACAGTTATACACGCAGGAGACTCAGAAAGATCTAGACATTGACCGATTTTTGGAAAATAATGGATTACAAAAAATATCTCAAGACAGTAAATCAATATTAAATTCGATTATATCTGATCAAGAAGTGGAAGGAGCCATTCAGAACATGAAATTGGGCAAATCTCCAGGGCCGGATGGATTAACTGCAAAGTACTACAAAACTTTGAAAGAATGGTTATTGCAACCGTTGAAAGAACTTTGTAATGAAATACTACGGGGAGGAAAAGCACCCGAGTCGTGGAAAGAAGCGTATATTACACTTATACCAAAAACCGAGGGGAGAAGACACAGTTGAAGAACTACCGTCCCATATCCCTGTTAAATGTGGATTACAAAATTTTTGCTGAAATTATGGCTAAGAGATTAAAAACGTATTGGTAAAAGAGATTCATAAAGACCAGGCGGGTTTTCTGCCTGGGAGACATTTGTCAGACAACACTAGGAACATCATTAACATTTTGGAAAAATTGCAAGTCAATATTAACACTAAAGCTGTTTTAATATTTGTAGATGCAGAGAAAGCGTTTGATAATATTTCTTGGAGTTTTATGAAGAAAAATCTGCAGGGGATGGGGGTAGGCCAAAGTTTCGAAAATGGTATAGGTGCAATTTATTCGGAACAATAAGCTAAGCTTATTGTGAACAATGTAGTTACAGAAGAATTTAAGATAGAGAAAGGAACAAGACAGGGCTGCCCAATCTCCCCATTGCTTTTTATATCGGTCCTCGAGGTTTTGCTCAATATGATTAGAAAAGACCAATTGGTTAAAGGCATACAACTCGGAGCTAAACAGTACAAATTGAAAGCTTTCGCTGATGATTTAGTTTTGACAGTACAGGAGCCAGAAGCTAGCACAAAAAGGGTGTTACAATTAATACAAGAATTTGGTCAAGTAGCTGGTTTTAAATTAAACAAGATGAAAACCAAGGTATTAGAGAAAAATCTTACAGAGATAGAGAAGGAGAGGTTCCAGAAAGAGACAGGATTAACAATTGTTAACAAAGTGAAATATTTAGGGGTGAATATGACTGCTAAAAATGTGAATTTGTTTAAAGATAATTATGAAAAATGTTGGTCAGAGGTGAAGAAGGATCTAGAAATATGGTCAAAATTGAAGTTATCATTGCTTGGCCGAATTGCTGCGATAAAGATGAATGTACTGCCTAGAATGTTGTTTTTGTTTCAAACATTACAAATTGTGGACAAAATGGACTGTTTCAAGAGGTGGCAAAGAGACATTTCCAAATTTATCTGGCAGGGTAAAAAACCTAGAATAAAATTTAAGATATTAACAGATGCGAAGGAAAGAGGGGGGATTTGCCCTGCCAGATCTTAAACTTTACTATGAATCAGCCGCTTTTTGCTGGCTGAAAGATTGGCTACTTCTTGAAAATGTGGACATTTTGGATCTAGAAGGTTTTGATAACGTCTTTGGATGGCATGCATATCTATGGTACGACAAAGTTAAAGCGCATAAGGCCTTTAAGAATCATATTGTCAGGAAAGCATTGTTTAATGTTTGGGTGAGATATAAGGATCTGTTGGAAAGTAAAACACCAAGGTGGCTGTCACCAATGGAGGCAAAGGCATTGAAAAAAACTAATATGGAGACAAACTGGCCAAAATATTGTGAAATCTTAGAACAAGTTGGTGATAAACTAAAATTGCAGAGCTTCGACAAATTAAAAACTAAAGTTCGAGATTGGCTGCATTATTATCAAATAAGGGAGGTTTTTAATTTAGACAAAAGATTGGTTTCCAGGAGGAAAAATCTAAACTGGAAACGGAATTGTTAGAACCTAAAACTAAAAATCTGTCAAGAATGTATAATCTGCTGTTGAAATGGAATACACAGGATGAAATGGTCAAATCTGCTATGATTAAATGGGCACAAGATGTTGGGCATAACATTATGTTTGCTGACTGGGAACGGTTATGGACCACAGGTATGAAATTTACGGCTTGCAATGCCTTAAGAGAAAATATAATGAAAATGATTTACAGGTGGTACTTAACCCCAGTCAAGCTGGCAAAAATTTATCACTTGCCTGATAATAAATGTTGGAAATGTAAAGAAAATGAAGGTACTTTTTTTCACCTTTGGTGGACGTGCCCAAAGATCAAGGCCTTCTGGGAAATGATATATAATGAACTAAAAAAGGTATTGAAATATACTTTCCTGAAGAAACCAGAGGCCTTCCTCTTGGGCATGGTCGGTCAATTGGTGCGAAGGGAAGATAGGAATTTTTTTATGTATGCGACAGCAGCAGCAAGGATACTCATTGGGAAATACTGGAAGACACAAGAATTGCCTACCCGAGAAGAATGGCAGAGAAAAGTGATAGACTATATGGAACTGGCTGAGATGACCGGCAGAATTCGAGATCAAGAAGAAGGGTCGATGGAAGAAGATTGGAAAAAATTTAAAACATATCTTCAGAATCACTGTAATATAAAAGAATGTTAGAAAAGGTTGGAGAAGAATATTAGACCGTATTGGCAGACAGAGTATAATGGAATTAAGTAAATATGAAGGGTAAAATAAAAGATAGAGGAGAATTAAATATTTCTGAATGTTAAAATAAGTAAATGAAAAGAAGGTTAGAAGGATTTGCTGGAGATACAATTTGAATTAGAATACAAAGCAGAGAAGTGTGAGGAAGTCACGGAAATAAGTAAATGGGAAAACGGTTCTAATGGTTTAAGTTGAATCTTTCTTTTGTTATTTTTTATTGTGATTTTTTGTCTTGTGCATTTTTCCTTGTATTGTGTGTTTTTCTTGTAGGATGTATGTGATTTGTTTTTCTTTTTTTACTTTTTTCTTTTTCTGTAATCTTAAAATTTGAATAAATATTATATATATAAAAAAAAAGATAATAATAACAGGAAACCCCCTAGGCGGGAAGGTTTCAATCTCGTCTCGGAGTGGCCTGGTTTTTTTTGTAAACAGCCAGGACATCTTAAGAAAGACTGTAGCTTTTTGCAAGACAGAGAATGGCAGACAGGTTGCGTCTCAAGAGCAGCACAGCTGAGGAAGCTTCGTGGGAGGAGGAAGGAAGGCCAAGGGAACAATCTATAGCAGCCCCTCCCACTCCCCAGAATCAAGCTTCAATAGGAAATGGTTCATCAGAAGAGGCGCCAAATGGGGTTCAACAGACTGTGAGAATGGTATTAATTGACCCACGTCAAATCTAGATGGGCTCAGGTGCAATTCAGTGAGGAAATTAAAATTAATAACGTATTAATAGTAGAGTTAAGGGATACGGGGCTGATATTTCCTCCGTATACAAGGGGTTATTATAGCCTGGCCAAATTTTAGAAGGCAGAGTTGATTGTAACTCCCTATGGGGGCCAAGCAGTAAAAACCAGTCTAGCCCAGGTGGATTGTGAATACAAAAATTTTACAAGGTCCTTACCAGTTTTAGTACATGAAAAGGATTACACCTTTGCCTTATAGACAATGATCTTGCTTTTAAGACAGCATTTAGCTCAGCTGTTGCCTGACCCTAAACGGTTAACCTTTGGTGAATCGTCTAGCCCAGGGGCCAGCAAACTTTTTAAGCAGGGGGCTGGTCCACTGTCCCTCAGACCTTGTGGGGGGCCGGACTATATATTTGGGGGGGGGGGAATGAACGAATTCCTATGCCCCACAAATAACCCAGAGATGCATTTTAAATAAAAGGACACATTCTACTCATGTAAAAACATGCTGATTCCTGGACCGTCCATCGGCTGGATTTAGAAGGCGATTGGGCCGGATCCGGCCCCCGGGCCTTAGTTTGCCTACCCATGGTCTAGCCAATGTGTTGAGGAGCCTGTCACTGGAAATGTAAATCAGTTTGATTAAGCTTGTGAGTCAGCATAAATTTCCTTGGCAAAGTCTGGTGAGAATATCGTGACTTCTCCTTCACCACTTCATGATATTGAATTTAAGAAAGAACTGCTTAAGGATCCAACTTTAGAATTATATAGAAGTGTGGGGGTGCCTAGGGCTGGCGCTGAACCAAGAGTAGTTTCATCTGGGAGGAAGGGTTACTTTATAGCCGGTTCCTTCCAAAGAAACCGGCCCCAGAGTGTGAACTGAGAAGACAGTTGGTAGGACCCAAACATACAGAAAGACTGTTTTACATCTGGCTCACAAATCTGCCTTTTCAGGACACTTGGAGTTCAAGTGTACATTATGAAAGGTTACTAGGGAATTTTATTGGCCTGATGTGTTTGGAGATGTTAAGTTATATGTCAGGTCTTGTGATGTATGCCAACGAGTGGGACATGACGGAGGTCATAAGCATTTCCCATTACAGCCCAGTGGTATTACTGGGGAACCATTCACTAAAACTGGAATAGTTATTATTGGCCCAATGCCACAAGCCACTCCTCCATTTGAAATTAAGATTTAGTATGTAATCTAGCATGGGTTGTTTTGTCAGACTGCCAGATCTTGGAGTCTGATGGTAATACTTAGGGTTTTAGCCGCCTCCTTTGTTTGGATCCCCAGGAGAAAGTCTAAAACTTCAGCATGAAGCAACAAAATCAAATTTCCTGATTGGCTTGAGAACTGTGCTCTTTGCTCTAAATCAGAGGTCAGCAAACTTTTTCAGCAGGGGGCTGGTCCACTGTCCCTCATACCTTGTGGGGGGCCGGGCTATATTTTGAAGAAGAAAAAATGAACAAAATCCTATGCCCCACCAAGCCCAGAGATGCATTTTAAATAAAAGGGCACATTCTACTCATGTAAAACACGCTTATTCCCTGACTGTCCGTGGGCCAGATTTAGAAGGCGATTGGGCCAGATCCAGCCCCCGGGCCTTAGTTTGCCTACCCATTCTCTAAATCACCGCGTCCGTCAGGCTCTACCCAAGTCGCCAGTCTGTTGCATGGCCCACCAGAGGCACCACCTCCTGCTCCACCCAGGCTCCACCCCCATCACCAATATAAGGCAACCTCTTGGCCCCCATGTTCTGGGGAAGGGCTGTGGCTCAGGGGATGAGTGCACATTTAGCATCCAAAAGTTCCCAAGTACAAACTCCAGATAGGGCTGGAAAATACTTCAGACTGAAACCCTGGAGAATCTTTCCCAGTTTCAGTAGACAGTGTTGAGTTGACGGACTAATGGTCTGATTTGATATAAGACCCTAAAAGTTCCTACTTATTCTACTGCTTATTCAGATGCTGAACAAAAGGGAAGCGGGAGCAATGGAAAAAATACGAGCAAAGAGCCGCATCACTGAGGGTCCTGGAATAAGAAGGGTTCTGGTGATGATGGTGACAAGGAAAGAGGGATGGATTTCACATACCAAGTTAACCTACCAAATTTTTCAATTCAGGTTTCTAATTTTCTCTGAATAAATGTTCTTTACGTTCCTGGCAATTCATTGTGTGGGGTTTATTTTTCTCACAGCGAACTGTCAGAATTCTGGTTTCTGGATTTTTGTTTTGTTTTTTGACTTACTTCAAACTAAGTTGCTAGTCTGGTGTCCTCACCTCCAGTTTTTGTTTGGTGTTTGGACCAAGGAGGTCTCTGATGTCTTCGTTATAGATCTCCAGGTAAGAAGCCCTTACCAAGAACTTGGAGTTTTCGGCACACTGTAAAAAACCCGAAGCAAAAACAAGAATAGGCTTCTTAAATTTCCAAGCTGATTTATACTCTGTCAGGATTGTCTGCTGGGAGGACGGGGTTCTTGATGGCATGATGACTGTGTCCTCCCTCCAGTATTAGAGGCAATGCCTCTGAATATCAGTTGCTGGGAACTGCAACTAGGAAAGCGCTGTGGCGCTCATGTCCTGTTTGCAGGCTTCCCATAGGCACCTGGTTATTCACTGGGAGAATCAGACGCTGGACTATGATGGGCCTTTGGTCAGATCCAGAAGGGCCCTTCTTACATGCTCATGACTGTATTTTGAACATCTGAAACATGCTTGGAGCAGGTTCTCACTGTCTGGTCTGTACCACTTCAGATGGAAAGTGGGAGAGAATGCCCCATCATAACGGAAATTCTTGCTCTATCTACTCTAGCTACACAAAGGGAACCCAATGTTTCTACTCCGCTAGTGAAACCATTTGAATATGACCAAGATGCGGAGACTTCTGCTCATGGTTGTTAGGAGAGAAACCAATTTCAAGCCCACATCTGCACTCAAGACAAGCCACGTTCTAGCTTGTTTCCTCCCTGGCCAGGGGCATACTGAGGAGTTGGTTAAGGGTGCAGGCCCAGAGGGGGTGCAAAAACTGCATGGCTGATGACATGTTGTGCAGCAGGCACCTCCTCTGCAAGCCCAAACCACACCAACCTTTCAGCTTTTCACAGTGCAGAGAGCCTGTGATTGTCTGGATGCCAAGGAGGTGAGGGTCTGGGAAGAGAAGAGGCCAGTCTTCAAGCGGGAAGAGGTGTGTGGGATGCTGCAGGAAAAGGAGTGGCAAGGCTGGCTGCTACTTTTTAAGGGAAAGCAACGCTTTAAACAGCTGCCCAGCAGAAACTGAAGGCAAGGGCAAAAGTAGGCTTTATTTCACCTGGACCAAAGACCCAGTTTGGTGCCTCCCCCCCATGTGCATTTGCATACACACATACAGGCTGGGAGCCTCAATGGTGCTCCTCTGGAGACTTCACCAGGGCAAAAAACCTGGCTAGCCCGTCCCCCCCCAGCTACGGCTCTGATTGAAGGGGGTGGGTGGAGGTATAAATGATGGTGATGAGCACCTGTGGATTCCTGACCATCAGAGTGGGAAGGCTGCTTCAGGCAGCTGATATTGGGTGTCATGGAAGGGGCAGCAAATTGTTAAAGATTTTGATTTATTATCACAGTATTTTTATGGACTAGGAGCAGGAAAGGTGCTTTTTGGCTTTTCTGCCTCAGGTGCTAGAAGAAACTGGCCAGCCTTGGCTACTATGCACCTTGATGTGGGGTGTGGCGTCACTGGCCACTCCTCGGGCATTAAAATGACTTAAGCCAGCTCTGGATAATGGGCTGAGAATACATTGTTTGCATATCTGGACAGCAGACCGCAAGGTTCAGGTTCAGCATTTCCCACATTTTGGTTTGCAGCATTATAGGAGAAGTCAGAAAGATAATAGTTTGTGAGGTGGATATGTCATAAAGAAGCCATAGATCCAACTCCTGCCAATTCTCAAAAGTTCAGAAGAGAAACATGATTTCATAAAGTAGATATTCATCAAGTTGGTGCTTGTTCAGACTAATTAACTGGGAGCAAAGTTGTGTGGCCCTCACCTGTTCTGAATCCCTTCCTATCCTTCACCTTTGCAAAGAAACTGTGGACACTTAAACGTTGCAGCTTCTTCAATTCTTAGAATCTAAGTGCCTTACCTTGGTTCAGAAGGGATTGCTGCTTCACAATTAGTATTGCTTCTAATTTCCTTATGAATACTGCACAATTATATTCCATTTATTTAGTCACTACTTGTAGACCAGATTAAAACAGCAAACCTAAAATTATATACTAGGTCCAACTGAATTCACATTGGATAAACATGTTTAAAGATTACAATTCTGGAAGAAACTTACAATGAACTCATTGGGATCTACTTAGGTGTTTAGCTTCTGAGTGACAGCACAGTGTGGTTGCTGTTGTTTTCAATAATTGCACACCATTAAAAAAACAACAGAAAACTTTTATGTGCTTAATTCTTGTTTATCTGACTGCTGGTTAAGACCCAGGAGGACAGCTGGTATTTCCTAAATCCACCATCCTAAATGCCCAATGTTCTTTGGAAATTAGATTATATATTTCTGCCAAATCTCATGCGCCTTTCTATGTCTTTCTGCACCTGTGGCTCACATCTATGTGCCTTAAGCCAGCTTTTGCCAACCTGGCGCCCTCCAGATGTTTTGGACTACAACTCCTGGCCTTGCCTCACCCTCACTCCAGAAGCTTCAAGTATTTGGGTTGCATTTGTTTTTCTCCGGGGAACCGGTGCCAGTACAGTGCCTAGGTATACCTCTGCTCCCTGCCCCCCATGCCCTGGCACAGTAAGGAGCAGGAGAGGAGCAAACTGCTTGTGCACATTAGATCATGGTTCAAAATAAGTTATTTTTAAACAATGTGTTTGAACCAGGGAGCATCTTTCTACTGCACCTGAAGGCAATAGGTTGTACGTCACAGAAAACTATTATTTTCTGCCCACAGGATTCGCTGCCTGAAGCAGCCTTCCAACTCTGCCTAGTGGTATGGCTGGTCATAACTCTTGCTGGTTAACTGGAGTCACAAACAGGTCACTGAATTTCTCTATGGAATGAAGTACTCCACCAGCAAGGAAAAAACCACCTTACAATTATTTACATGATCACATTTCCCAGGGAGAAAGAAAGACAAGTCAAGAACCACCGATCTTGCTATGGTAGGGTTACCAGACATCCCCGTTTCCCGGGGACAGTCCCCAGATTTATGAATAAGTCCCTGGACAAATTCCATCCCCGGAATGTCCCTGGATTTCATCTAATGTCCCCGGGAAATGCAGCAGCGGCAGTCTCAGAAGCCTGGAGCAGTTGGCTCTGGCTGGCTTCAGGAGCTGCTCGGAAGTCCCCATCTGATGGTGGTGCAGGGGCTCTAAGATGCAGCTTCCAGGCTGCCTCCACCTTCTCTGACCCAGCAACTAAGCTGTGAAGGGAGGCTTCATGCTGCCTATTGGAGCAGCCTCCCACCTCCTACTTGCGTGCAAGCAGGAGGGGGCAAGGATCTCTCAGGCAAAGGGAAGCCTCCCTTCCCAGCTGAGGGATCCGTGCCCCCTCCTGCTTGCACGCAAGTAGGAATGGGATTGGGGCTGCTCCAATGGGAAGGGAGGCATCGTGCTGCCCAAGCCTCACTGCTGCTCTTGACCCTCCTTCTCTGCCTTCCATGCCTGACCCACCGCACACTGCTTCACCACCACCATCACCACCGAAGAACCAACAACTCAGGGGCTGCCTAGGCTCATGGAGAAAGGAGATAGAAGCCTCAGAGGAAGGGGAAACGTGGCGGTTGAGGTCAAGGCCATCACTGCAGCATCAACATCCCAAACATGTAGTATGTATGTATGTATGTATGTATTTATTTATTTATTTAAAGTGTCCCCGGATTCATTGAAAAAAATCTGGTAACCTTATGCTAAGGGTTGCTGGCTGACTGACTTTCATTTCATATCAGTCTGTTTTACTTCAACACCTCTGCTCAGAAAACTCAACCAAAACATGACTTTGCTCTCAGGAGCAACCTGTGGCTCACACTCCATGTTCTTGCTCCCCTCATGCAAAACGAGTCTCTCACCCACTTCCTGATTCACAAGCCAGAATCAAAATTCCATTCAAACTGATATTTGTTCTCTTTTGGAGGTAATCAATGCTGTGGGGCTCTGTGTTGCCTTATCTGTTGTGATGTCCCTGCTACCGATTTTAGATGTCTTTGGGGAGATTATGACTCGGCTAGCATTGGGGGAAGTCACGGTGGGGCTTCTGGATTTTCTTAAGCCAGTCTTGGATTTAATAACTCACCTAGTAGCAGGAATACTGCAGGGAGCATTTCGATAAAAGTTTGTCATGTGCCCTCCTTTATTTGTCCCCTATACAAGTGTACCTTGCTTATCAGTTTTCCCAAGACAGCTAAGGTTCAAATTTTATCAAATCAAGTGTCCAAAGAGAGGCCCTCTAGATATCAGAATTGCTAATTGTGTAAACAAGCCCTTAGCCAGCTAGTCCATTGGACAATTTTAATCATATGTACCTGCACACTCTCAAATAAGTGTTCAAATGCTCTGGGAATTATGCCCTTCTGGGAAGATGGATCCAGAATCCCTTGCATGGTAAAAGACTTCCCACTTCCCGTCTGCCCATAGGCAAAGATGGTACCATTATAGCCTTCTGTAACACCCTGGAATTTAAACAGAAAATGCAGATTAATAATAACCATCAGCTTGGATTTGTGTTCTCAGTTCAATGTCTACCCTTCCTCAAGAGATTTTGTTTGCAGGCAAACTAACCACAAGCATCAGCTTCTATTAAGATCCACTCAAATATTTAATTAGAATAAGCAAGCATCTCTGGGAGTGTTTCAAAAAGAATTGGATACGAGATAGCATGGATGTAGGGGCTCCATAGCCCAGGACTTACAGAAGTTAGAGTTACTGCTACTTGCAAATTCTGCAATGAATTCTGTGATGAATTCTGTGTAGGCAGAATAGTCTTTCATACATATTGTCCTATAGATCAGCAGGGAACTTCAATTCCCATCATCCCTCATCACTTACTATGCTAATAGAGTGCAACAACATGTGGAAGACCAGAGACTCCCCACCCCAATAGATAACCATCAGTCTTCAACCATGCCACAGCTGAATTGCAATCTGATCTAACACAGGGCCCATCATCATCTACAGGAGAAAGAGGGCGGGGGGAGAGGAAATTGAAAAGTGTGTGTGATATATTATTATAACTACATACTGCACTCTTTCCTGAGGTATGTCCCTTTGAATTGGATTTACTTCTTGGTAGTCATAGAATCATAGCATTGTAGAGCTGGAAGGGACCCAAGGGGTCATCTAGTCCAACCCCCTGTAGTGCAGGAATCTCAACTCAAGCATTCCTGACAGATGACTACCCAAACTCTGCTTAAAAACCTTCAATGAAGGAGACTGCATCACCTTCTGAGGTCATGCATCGGCTTGCTCTGTAATTTTGTTTTGAGCAGGTTAACATGAAATGAGGGCCCTAAGTCTGAAAAAATTAAGGCCATTGATACAGATTTTTTCTGCTCCAGTACCTGCTTTAAGTTGCCCACTTCCCTAGGGTAAGCAAAGTATGAACGCACACACTTAAGTACAGTATGTGACATTTATATCACTGAGCTGTAGATTTCCCAATAGGTAAAGGACCCAGACAGCTTTCTGGATCTGCTTCTGGTGCAATGGAACACCACGACGGAAGCCAGAGCGCTTGAAAACGCAATATCTGCAGCTGGTTGCACTCACCTCTATGAGGGGGTAGGCAATTTCATTATAGATTTGCTCTGTGTTGTGGCTCATGCTATACGCCCCATCAAAGGTGAACTGTTTGGGTGGGTCTTCTGATGCCATAGGGTTCTGGATAAAGCACTGGCCACAGGAGCTGTCCATGTTGAGCACCACCTTGCAGCCCAGCTGCTTTTCACGCTCATTCAAAGGGCGGCAACGCACAATCACTTTCACTGCTTCTGAGGCCATCTTCAAAGCCCATGAACTTGGGCTTGGAGACTTGGTGTGGGGCTAAAGGCACGTTACTTCCAGCACAGGAAGTAGGGCTTGTGCTCACTTCAATGGAGTGTCAAGAACAAGGCAGTAGAAAAAGGCAGCTTGAAGGCTGTCAGACAACTGGCCAAGGGTGAAGACTGTTTTGCCTGGCAAAGCAAGTAGTACAAAACAGGTAATTCCTTTTGGGTAAGATCAGGGCAGGGGGTGTGACCGTAACAGGGCAACATGTGCTACACCAGGTGATGAATTTCCTAGGAAAATATGGGACACCTGAAGTGCCACAAGAGAAGTGCCAAGAATGTGAGCGGCCGAAGGCAGTACTATGCTAGGGCAGTGGGGTGGGAAGCCTGGCAGAAGAACAGGTGCTCTTCCTTGGTCTTGCTTTGGCAGGAGCAGCGATGAGCAGTAGAGGCGTTTGTTTCCTCAGAACCTGGAATGTGAGTGTGACCTCACAAAGCCCCGGCTAGGCAATGAAGGCTCCGGTGCCAGCGGCCTGCAGCTCTGCGCAACTGGGCATGGGCGGGCATGGAAGCCCTTTTCTTGCTTCCCCCAAGGACTGGGTGTTGCTGAAGGGAACAATGGGTGGGGAGACACGCATCAGTTTCACCTCGAAATCTGCCAGAGATGATCCATAAACGGGGCTGTCAAGCCCAGAGCAGCCTGAGCAGCTGTGAACTGGCACAGAGGGCGCGGAATGGGGGCAGCTGGCCCGGGAGGGGGGCCTTTCTCCAGCACCGCTCAGGCCTGGCCCACAGGCGGAGCAGAGGGGGGGGACAGCTGAGGGGCCCGGGAGCGCGCGGCAGGAGCGCGGGGAGCCTCACCGCAGCCTTACGGGGGCTCCGGAAGGAGCCAGGCCCGGCGCGACCGAGGCGCGGGGGACGCGAGCGCAGCCCCCTGCCTACCCGCCTCGGGGGTCGAGGGAGGGAGGAGCGGGGCTGGGCGGGGCCGGCATGGAGGGAGGCTCGGGCCGGGCGCCTCCGAGCGGGCCTGGCCTGCGGGGCGCCGCTTCGCCGTCCGGCCCGCCGGCTCCTGGCAGTGGCAGTGGCGGCGTCGGCGTTGCTCGGGCGACCGGCCGCGTCTCTGGGCGCCTCTCTGGGCGCGCGCAGCCTCCGAGGCGGGGCGAGGAGCGGCGCAGGCCGGCAAGTGCGCGCCCCGCTCGGCGGGTGGCTTTGGCCCTCGCCCCGCGGACGCAGACCTGGGCTGGGAGGGGAGCAGAGGCCCCTTCCTGGGGAAGTGCGCGGCTGCTCCGGCGCCCAGCGGGTTTTCATGTTGAAACTTTAAAAGCAGCTCAGGAAAACTGGCTTCCCGCCAGGAACTCGGGGGCTGCCGCGGGATGGCAAGAAAGTGCGCTCAATCGTGCGCACGACCAAAAAGCGCGATCCCTGAATTGCCCCGGAGCATTAAAACTTTCGCATTGGACTGAATCCAAAGGTGTGGGAAATGATGCACCAGGCGCGGCAATTCGCCGCCGAATTTTCACTCAAAAATAACATCTCCACCGGCTTTCTTTCGAGCATTTCTGCCCTACCGACATAGGAAAGGATACAAAACGCTCAGAAATTGGGTGCTTTGTTTTATACCTGCGTGTGCGTTTTAAACCTAAAAATACAAGCAGCCCTCCCTCACCTTCGGGATAAAAGATAGTTAAGATACACGAAAGAGAATCGGGGTCGAAGAGAGCGACCCGGCGGGAGGCGGCGCGGCCGGGAGTTTTGTTCCGGGACCGGCCAGTTCAGCATTTCTCTCGATTCACTCGGCCGAGGGGGGGCAGCTGCTCCCCGCTGCTGAGGCCTCGCTTTCCTCGCGCTGCTCCAACTCGCTTCGCAGAAAAGCCGCTTGTTCCCGGCAGGCCCCCCCCCGGCAGCGCCCCGCCTGCTCGGGGCCAGAACTGCGCGCCCGGGCGAGTCCGAGGCTTTCTCGGAGCGGAGATTCGCGCGTCTAGGGGACAACCCGGACCGCTGATTGCGCGGCACTTCCGGGCGGGGCACACGCGGCCGGAAGTGGAGCGGGCCGCGTGCTCGCTCTTTCTCCGGAGGAGCCCGAAGCCGCCGCCGCCGCGATGGGTCGTCCGCGCAAGGTGAGGCCGGGCCGGGGCGGGCGCGGGAGGGGGGCGTCCGGGGAGGGAGGGAGCGGCGCCGGCCTGCCTGCCTGCCTGGCCGCCGGCCCCGCACGAGCTCTCGCGTTCCTCCCTTGCAGACCAAGAACCAGAAGAAGGAGCGCGCCGCCGCCCAGCTGCGCGGCCAGGAGGAGTTCGGCTCCGTCCCGCACTCCTTCGTCTTCCACCGCGGCCGCGTGGGCAAGAACCTGCAGCAGCTCATCCTGGATGTCCGCCGCGTGATGCAGCCCTACACGGCCGCCAGCCTCCAGGTGAGGCCGGGAAAGAGAGGCCCAGGGGAAGGAAATGGGGGCCGGTAGGAGAGGAATTCCATAGCTTACAAATGGAATTTGGCTTAGATGGGTTACGATAGGAAATGCAGAAATTGGGGCTTCTGATGATTCTAAGGGGAATATAGGCTACTATATGGGGATGAGGAATTAAATACACACATAAATGCCCAGAAAACAGTTTGGTTCTCTCTCTACATACATTTAAAAATGTGTGGTCTTGGACCATTTTTGTTCAGAACAATAAAACATTGCTCCAGTCAGCATAATCTTCTCCCTCTGACAGGGGCTGTCTAAATTCTGGATCATTTAGGGGGTGGGCTGTGTGGTTGTTTTAAAAAAATCTTGCGAACATTTTGCCAGTTATACAGATCTGTGTTTATGAAACCTGGATCACATAGTACCTAGCCATTTTGCATATTTAATGCAAAATGCTAGTCCTTGCGATTGTTTAGTTTTGTTGCAAAAGTGTTCAAGGATGTAGTTGGGAATGGCTGGGGGGGGGGCAGGTAGGGTAAGAATACCAGAGGCTTTCCTGAGCACATGTTTGCTCAAAATGGATTTCTAAAACTCTAGTAACTTCAAAGCATTTTACTTCAACTAATTTAATTAAGTAATTTAAAGACAATTCTATGTCCTAATTTTTGTCTGGCAGCACAGACAGCAGAGCCACACTGATTACAGGTCTTGACTTTTTCAGGTGCGCAAGAAGAACACTCTGAAAGACTTTGTGGCAGTGGCTGGACCTCTCGGTGTGACTCACTTCCTGGTGTTCACAAAAACCCCCACCAATATCAACCTTGTAAGTTAAGCAGTGAGAAGTTGCTGAGTGGTGGCAACAAGTGGTTCCAATATTGTTCTGCCCTGCTAGTCTCGTGTTTTGGTTCTGTTAGAACAGGCATCAGCAAACTCGGCCCTTGAGATGTTTTGAGAGTACAGTTCCCATCATCCCTGACCACTGGTCCTGATAGCTAGGGATGATGGGAGTTGTAGTCCCAAAACATCTGGAGGGCCGAGTTTGCCTGTGCCTGTGTTAGAATGTGCAACTTGAATTCTTTCTCTCTATATTGATGCTTTTCAAACTCTTGTCTTCAAATTGATTTGTCTGTTGAGGACAATTTTGTGTTGTCATTGTGAAGCTTTTACTCATGGCAGGAGATTCTGGAGCATGTACTAGATTTTACAGTCAATTCCTATGGAGCAGTGACCAAGCTTCTTGGGCCTCATTGCTGAGTGTGAACTGAGTACAGCCTCCTAGGACACACAAATCCCCCTGCTTGCCCCGGACACTGATCACTCCCTGCAATATGTAGTCACAGAGCAGTCTTCCCCAACCTGATGCCATCCAGAAGGGCACCAGGTTGGGAAAGGCTACCATGAAGAGCAGTATGGCAAGGCAGAATTGTCGGAAAGGCTTGTCTGGTACTGACCCTCTCACTGAGGGAGTCCTGATAAGCTTCTGAAGAACTTTATCATTCTCCAGAACCCTGCTTTGCAGGATGGACTGTTGTGAAAGCTCAGGTCCTCTTCCTCTTATACCCTCTGATGGTTTTGTTGGCCCAATTGAAGTATCATTGTAACTCTGCCTGATTACCTGATGCAAATGATGACAATGTGTTTTGCTGAGTGAAACCTGTGATTCTCACTTCAAAGTAAACGCACTGATGCATCTGGATTTGGCAGAACACTAAAAGCAGAGTTTGAATTATGACAACCAATCTGCCTGTGGTAGAGGCTGCTCTGATTGATTTCTCTCTTCCTCAGAAATTCTTCCGTCTTCCTGGTGGACCAACCTTGACCTTCAGAGTTGCTCAGGTACCAGTTGCTGGAAATAGTAGGGTAGGCTAGGTAGAATACAGCTGCTTCTGAAAGACCCTTTTATAGCTTGCTAAGGTTAGAAGGGTTTTTTGCTACCTGTTCTTTCTAGTGGGTTATTTATTTATATATCGCCCTTCATCTGTAGATCTTAGGGTGGTTCACAGCATAAAAATACAAGATTAAAACAAAATACATAATAAAAACAAGAACAAAAACCAAGCAAACCAATAACCACCCTCCCACTCCTCTTACAGACTCCTAATGTGGTCTGCTGTGAATCCTTGATCTAGGTGAATTATTTATCTATACTTCAAGACAATCTAAATTTTGCAGCCTGTATCACTTATGTAAATTGCCTAATTTATCCTGGCTTTATCACTACTGAACATCGTATTCAGCCACCCCTCTAGCTTCAGGGATTTCAGGAGTACAATTTCCTAGCATATATTTGCTGCTATGAGGTCTAGAAACCTTTTTTTTTTTAAACGACAGCTTGAGATGCTCATGAAGCTGAACCAGTACCAAGTCTACAGGCCTTCTGGATATCGGGGTTTACATCAAGGATGGGCACTCCAGATACTGCTGGAGTATAACTCCCATTATCCCTGACCTTTGGCTGTGCTGGCTAGGCCAGATGTGAGTTGTAGTCCAATAGCATCCAGCCCAGGTGTGAGTTGTAGTCCAATAGTGGCCACAGGTTCCCCACCACTAGTTTACAGGTGGTGAGGAACTACCTCTTGGTGGTGGGGCACTACTGTGGTGTACTACCTCTTGGTAGTAGTACAAGATTCTCTATTATTATTATTATTATTGGTTATTATTTAATTAGATTTGTATACTGCCCTTCATCCGAAGATCCCAGGGTGGTTCACGAAAAAAAAAATACAAAATGAGAATACAAAGTACAAGAATACACCTCTGCTGCTGCCTCACTCATCTGTTTCACTTCAGTATTCGCTCATCAAAGATGTTGTGTCAACCCTGAAGCGGCACCGGATGCACGAGCAGCAGTTCACGCACCACCCACTCCTGGTCCTCAACAATTTTGGCCTTCAGGGCATGCACATCAAGGTCATGGCAACTATGTTCCAGAACATGTTCCCTTCCATCAATGTCCACAAGGTAGGTGTGTGCTGGCCTGGAGACTGTGGGAAGTCAGCTTGATGGTCCTGCTCTGCTACTCAGATGCCTCTGGCCCTGGTCTCCCATGGGGTGTCATACAGGTCAGCTCTGCCCTGCTTCTCAAAAAGAGCGTATGTTATTCATAACACTTGTGTCTTCTTCATCTGCAAATCTCAGGGCAAATTTACTTCTGTGAGGTTGGTTAAGTGGGAAACGTGTGGCCTCAGTTAAGGTGTGTCTTGGCTTTACCATGTTAGATTGGAAGTGAAAGCTCACATAGTTGGAAGCTTCTTAATAGACAAAAAATATCCCTCACCTAGAAAACATTGGGGAGGAGGCAAGAGTGGAACCTACTCCCTGATGTGAGTTAGAGAGGTTAGTTTTATAGAGCATTCAGTCTGAAATGGCGCCTCTGTGACAACAAAGCTAGTGACAGGATGACCTCATCCAGGATATATAGAGTGCGTTTGTGATTTAGACCTGTTTTCCATTCTGGAAAGGGATTGTGGAAATTAATGTACCGTATTTTTTGGCCCATAGGGCGCACCTAGGTTTTTTTGGGGGGGGGAGACAAAAAATTATTCTCCCCCCTCAGGCGCAGGGCTGGGGCGGGGGAAGCCCGAGCTTCCCCCGACCCCAGCCCCCAGAACAGGCTGCTATCCGCAAGCCTAGGGAGCCCGGTGGGAAGTCGCGCCGGGCTCCCCAGGCTTGTGGATATCTGCCCGAAGCCCGGGGCGCGCTGAACTCAGTACGCCCCAGGCTTCGGTATGCAGGCTGCTATCCGCAAGCCTAGGGAGCCCGGCGGTAACTCCCGCGGGCTCCCAAGGCTTGCGGATAGCTTCCTGAAGCCTGGAGAGCAAGAAGGGTCGGTGCGCACTGACCCCTCTCGCTCTCCAGGCCTCAGCGAAAGGCTGCATTCGCCCCATAGGACGCACACACATTTCCCCTTCATTTTTGGAGGGGGAAAAGTGCGTCCTATAGGGCGAAAAATACGGTATATCTTTGTGTTGGAACTGCAGTGCATCTTGACGCCATTCTTGTGCAGTGGGAATCATTGTAGAGCTGGAAGGGACCAACCCCTTGCCATGCAGGAATCTCAACATGTCCCCCATCCAATTTGAAGCCATACCAGACCCTACATAGCTTGGCAAATGTGCTAACAGTCTTTTTACTGCTCCATATGTGGTTGGGCTCCAGCTCCCACCAGTGCCAGCAGCAGGGCCAATGGGCTGGAATACTGTGAGCTGTAGTCCAGCTACATCTGGATGGTTGCAGGCGCCCCACCTCTGCCTAACTGGAACCTTCCTATGAATTGGAATTCCTTACCCATTAAAAGGAAGCAAGGAACAGGGAAGTATCTGCTCGCAAATGGTCCTCATAGCGCAATAAAAAGGTAAAGGGACCCCTGACCATTAGGTCCAGTCGCAGACGACTCTGGGGTTGCGGCGCTCATCTCGCTTTATTGGCTGAGGGAGCTGGCGTACAGCTTCCGGGTCATGTGTTTGATACCAGGGGCACTTGAATTAAAACTGGAGGGATGTGTCACTTGCACTTAAAGAGATGCATATACATTTTCTTGGTCAGTTCTCAGGACAGTGGGCTAACCCCCCTCCCCGCATCATTCTGCCTTCAGTTCTATTTCTTCCCACCCCAGTCAGGACTGGGCTCATGTTTCCTCAGCAGTGCTGGTGCTTCTGGGATTCCCTGTGTCTGTTAGCTGCGGGGTAGAGGGTGGTGAGGGAATCTCTAGAATATTGTAACTGCATTTCCATTGAGGGATGGGGTTCAGTGCTGGATAGAAGACCTTCCTGCTCCAGTAGGCATAGAGCAATTCAGAGTGATGACATCAGTATTGTGGCCGTTATTTTTTTTAAGGGACACCTCACCCCTTCTTGCCACCTTAGTTCTAATGGTGGAACAGATGCAAATGATGATAGCATACCTTTGACATGCTCTGTGATGGCGCTGGTGCATCTGTGCTTGGCTCCTTTATGGAGGTCCTTCTGCAGTTGGTGCTTCTAGCATTAAGCTGTGGCAAGTACAGCCTGTCTTCTTGAGAAACTCTAGGCCACGGTTTGTGGGCAAATGAGGCAGAACTAGTCCTGAGCTGCTTGGGATTTTGTGCTTTGTTTCTGGATTTGATTCTTTTGTGGACAAGTAGGATTCCCAAGGTCCTTCACTGGATAGCACTCACTTTATATGTAAATACCTAACACTCGTCACTAGTGGGGAAAGATTCCAGGGATATAAGAACAGGATGAAGCACAACCATGAGTTAAACTTACTCTGAATCAGCACTGTGTTTTTGGATACATTGCATTGGTAAGTCAGGGGTCCCTTTACCTTTTTAAGCTCAGTTACCGAAGTTGGATACCTAGAGCTGGCTACAGCTAAGTTGTGCACTAGTAGAAGCTAGCACATTGAGTCCTGCTAGCAGAATGGGACTTCCTGTCTCTCCGCCCAGAAAGGTCAAGAGAAGCCCCAGGAGGAGGAGGAGAAGGAAGATCATTCCGTCTGCCAAGCAGAAATGCTTGTGCAGACAGAACGATTGCCTTAGCACAATGTTGAATTCCACCTCAAGAGTACTAGGGAAATTGGGTACTAGGCCTCCTGGGTTCTATAAAGGCTGTCAGAGCTAGGGAATCTTCATTGCCACCTAAAGTACTTGTCAGATGAGGAACTTCATCATCATCATCATCATTTATTATTTATACCCCACCCATCTGGCTGGGTTTCCCCAGCTACTCTGGGTTGCTTCCAAAAAAATATTAAAATACAGTGGTTTGTTAAACATTAAAAGCTTCAGCCTTCAGATGTCTTCTAAAAGTCTGGTGGTAGTTCTTCTCTTTGACATCTGGTGGGAGGGTGTTCCACAGGGCGGGTGCCACTACCGAGAAGGCCCTCTTATGCCATATTGTGAGCCTTGGTTCTCATGCTGTTGTGTTCTCTTTTCTTCTACCCTGCCCCAGGTAAACCTTAATGCCATCAAGCGTTGTGTACTGATCAACTATAACCCAGACACCCAGATCCTTGAATTCCGTCATTAGTAAGTATCTTCTGTCTCATGCTGTGCTCCTCCCCAGTGCTGAAGGATCTGCATCTGCAAGAGGGACATATTGCATGCATGGCCACTTTCATAAACTATATTTTAATTAGTCTGTGTTTGCAGTTCATTGTTTGTGTGCCAGTCCGCATTATGCATGTCAAACATTCATATTATTGTGCTCATTAAACAAAACACTGTTTTGCACTGTAAGGATGTACACTCAGGGAAGAAATACTTCTTTGTGGCTTTGGTTTGATGATAAAAGATAAAGCTCAGGGCAGCATACCAGGGGTACATCCTATTTTATCCTTGCAATGTAAAATAGTATAGACCAGGGGTCACCAACCTTTTTGGACCGGGGCACGTTTCAGATTTTGAAAGAGTGCAGTTTGCACTAGTCACAAAATGGTACAATATGGCTGCTGGGGGCGGGGCATGGCATGGCACAAAATTAAGAGAGTAGCCACAGTGAAACGTTTCCTGTAATTGTATTTCTATATAAGAAAGGAAGACAGGAGTGCCTGGCGTGCTCTGGTCCATGGGGTCACGAAGAGTCGGACACGACTAAACGACTAAACAACAACAAATATAAGAAAGGGTTTAGCCTATTGAATTTCAGCCTGACACACAGCAATTAAAGGCACAAGAATCCTGTTTGCCTCCAATTCCAACCATAAACCCAAGCCTAGGATTCCATCCTGCACCTACTTACAAATATTACTTCTGAGGAAAAATGTACACCATTGTTCTGTAAGTTAACTAGTTAGTGAATTCTTAATGCATGCCAAGTTTTAGCTTCTGCACAGCAGGAGGCATACCCAAGCCTCTTAGCAATGTTTTCACATTTGCCTTTGGAGGGGAGGGAGATTTATTATCCTCCATCCACACTTGTTCTGTCGTAGTACTTGCAGAAAATAGCTTCTAGGTGTGCCTGATCTCAGATAAGCCACCACAGGAAAGATGCATTCTGGGAGTTAGGAGGAAAAGAAGGGCAAACTAGGTGAACATGGTGAGAGTGTGGTCTGCTGGTGTGTCTCTGGTCTTAATCTGAAACAAAACATTCTGATGAATCTTAAGCCGCTTGGGAACAGGAGTTTAAGGGATTGCTGTCTGGTGGTGTCACACTACTTTCTTCCTTTTCAAGGTGTTTTTTTAAAAAAATATTTTATTAAGGTGATTTCAATTAAAGTGATACAGAAAAAAAGAAGGAAAAGTGAGAGGGAGAAAACTAATAACAAATATACATATCAAAGTGAAAAGGGTTTTGAACCCTGGAAAATTTATCTAACCAACATTTTTTCTAGTATATTATGCCACCTGCCTTGTTGGGGCCCAGAGCAACTGGAAGACAGCCAGGTCATGGGGATACTTCCCTGGATAAAGTGAGGATCAAGGAGTTTGCCCCTGAATCTAACAGCTAAATTTTCTAGATTGTATTCCACACCCCTAGCTGGAAGCCAAGCTTGTTTCCAGAGTTGTAAGAAGATTATGTCAGCTAATATAGGAGCAAGGCAGGGATAGCTCCTGCCCAGATGATAATGTCAGCACATCACATTTCACATACTGACCCTTGCCAGAGGCCTCAGGCAGAATAGAGAAGAGTCTTTCCTAGGCCTGCATCCAAATAACCTTTAATTGGAGACGCCAGTGACTAAATTTAGGACCTGGTACATGGCAGGGCATATCTGCTCTGCCTCCTCCACCCTTACCCACCAAAGACAATAGCAGTGGCTTGCTCCCCTTGCTTGATGGAATGCCTCCACGCACCTCTCCTGCCCTTTGTGTTTTGCAGCAGTCTGAAAGTGGTGCCTGTGGGAATAAGCAAAGGGCTGAAGAAGATCATGCAGGAGAAGTTTCCTAACATGAGCCGTCTGGAGGACATCAGTGAACTATTGGTTAGGTGAGAAAAAGACCCTCCACCTCCCCATAAAGCTAAGCCCCCACTCCCACCCCATTCAAAGTGTAGGTTCATTTTGGGTCCTGGGGCAGGTTGAGCTGTTCTTAGCAGAGCTAGAGACTCAGTAGAGACTAATGGTTTGTGAATAAGGCAGGATGTAAGGAGGTTTGTGCATTTTGGGCCCTCTTTCATGATGCCCTTGCTCTTATTTTCTGTTCCTTTTTACTTCTTCGTGTATGTTTAAACTCCTGTGGAATGCCAAACCAGCTTGATTCTCATGCTCCCACTGATACATCCTCTTCTTTATTGGTGCCCATTCTTTTTCCACCCCACTTCTTCCCTTGTGTGTCTCACCTTGCTTGCACTGTAAGCCTGAGGACTGTAAGGCTAGTGTCTTTTCTTGCCTTGTTTTATGTGCAGAGCTCCTCTGTTAGCAGCATGCCAGGAATAATAATGTTTTCCTTCCCTCCCTGCAATGCAGAGACATCAATCTTTCTGAGAGTGAAGCTGAGCAAGATGGCAGTCACAACACCACAGAGCTGCCTCAGGCCTACGCTGGCCGGGGGAACATGAAGGCCCAACAGAGTGCTGTCCGCCTCACTGAGGTCAGGCCATGGAACTCTGGAGCTCACAGAATGGGAGTGGGTGAGGGGGGGCAGCAGAGAGCTGACCTCTGCTCTTCCAGCTGCTGTCTACTTTGGCAGTGAAAGTCCTGATCATCCAAACTGGGATAGCCATGAGGGCTGCCAGGTGGTGGTGGTGATGGTATCTCTGAACTAATGAAGTCTCTGCCTCTTTTCCCAACAGATTGGCCCTCGAATGACCCTGCAACTGATCAAGGTGGAGGAAGGGTTAAGCCAGGGCAATGTGCTCTATCACAGCTTCAGTGAGTGTCTTCCCCGTTCATGAAGCCCTCCTCTCCTGAGCTTCTATGTGGAAAACAATACCCCCCACCCCCACAAACACATTTAAAAGGCTCTAGAATATTAATCAGCCAAAGGCCTGGTTGAAGAGGAATGTTTTTGCCTGGCGCCTAAAGGTGTATAATGAAGGTGCCAGGCAAACCTCCCTGGGGAGAGCATTCCACAAATGGAGCCACTGCAGAAAAGGCCCGTTCTTGTGTCGCCACCCTCCCGACCTCTTGAGGAGGAGGCACACGAAGAAGGGCCTCAGAGAATGACCTCGGGTTCTGGGTTGATTCATATGGTGAAAGGCGGCCCTTGAGGTATTGCAGTCATCATCATCATCATTTTATTCGTATGTCGCCTTTCCACAGTTAAAAACAATGCTCAAGGCGGCTTACAACATGACAAGATTTACATAATTACAAAAGTCATAATAAATAAACCACATCAAAATTACACAACCAAATGGAAAACAATTTCCACATAAATCAAAATCTAAAACTAAGAATACAGCATTAATATAACAGTTTAAAATGACATAGGTAAAAAAATAACAGCAATTTCAAAAACAAAAATGGAGCCCTCTCTGCCCAGCGACAGCAGTCCTTTATGGAGCCCGTCAGGCCCCGCCCTGGGCCAGGTGGTGAGTGGCAGGACCCTCAGGTGCTGAGCAGGGGAGTCCTGAGCCATTTAAAGCTTTATAGGTCAAAAACAGCATTTTGAATTTAAAGGTGGGGGGAAGTTAAAGTGAATAGCTAGGGGTGTACCCCAGTATTAAAGATATTCGACAATAAGTCTGTATAACATCCAGCCATGTTCAACAGTGCATGAATAAATCTGCCATTGCTGCCTCCCCAGAACAGCAAAAACAGTCTGTTGGGCATCCAAGCATGTTGCATTCAGGTTGGTGAGCCTGTTGTCAGCCATTGTCTTCAGTTGCTGAGTTGTGTTAGTGGTGCCACCGTCACTTTCTTAGATAAAAAGCACTTGTATGTGATACCTGCTCCCACTGGGTTCCCAGCTGCCCTCTAAGGGAGTAGATATTGAGTGGAACGCAATCACTCCATTGGTGAAGCATTTAAGCTTGCCAGATGGAATGATCTCTCTTGGAGCCCGCCCACCCCAGTTCTGGGGTTTCTACCCTTCCCCACCTGCCAGTTGGGGAGAGAAGCCCCAGTTCCACTAGTGGGACTCATTAGGTTGGCTCCCGCTAAGCATAACTGCTTAATTGAATCTATCCCCATGTGTTTGTTTTATACTTGCTAATGTGTAGTGTCAACGTTCACAGCTGTTGGTTTTAATTTCTCACTCCTGCCCTCAGTTTATAAAACGGAGGAAGAGCTCCAGGCGGCCCTGGCCCGGAAAGAGGCGAGGCTGCAGCTGAAGGCTGAGCGGCGCCGCAAGCAGGAGGCAGATGTGGAACGCAAGCAGGAGCAGAAGCAGGCTCACAGGTGAGGGAGAGAAGAGCCAGAACCTTGCGTCCCACAAAGCTGCTGTCCCTACATGCACACATTCCAAAGTAGCATGCTGCTTTGCTTTGGGAGGACCGATATATGCACTTGTGATTGTATTGTTGGTTTGCGGGCTGCAGGAAGAAGAGTCTGGAGGGGATAAAGAGGAAGAAGAAGCAGGCAGAGGGAAGTGACAGTGATGCGGAGGACCCTGGGATGCAAGAGGACCAGAAGGTGGATGAGCCATCAGACGATGACATGGAGTATTATCGGCAGGAAGTAGGAGAAGAGCCTGATGAAGGTTGGTATCTAATTACATAAAAAAATTCCTTCCAGTAGCACCTTGAGACCAACTAAGTTCGATGCATGTATCTGAAGAAGTGTGCATGCACACGAAAGCTCATACCAATAACAAACTTAGTTGGTCTCAAGGTGCTACTGGAAGGAATTTTTTTATTTTGTTTCGACTACGGCAGACCAACACGGCTACCTACCTGTAACTGGTATCTTAATTAGTAGTGCTGAAAAGACTTGGCAGCTAGGGGCCCTCCTGGATGCAGCTGATGAAAACAGTTGTGCTTCTGAGCATGAGCTGGGACACTTGCAAGGTAAACGCTCAGGTGCATCTATCCAAGGGGAGAGGGAGGGAGGGACACTGCATGTGTGAATGCTACCTCCTAGCTTCGTATGGACCACCAGTTATACCTGTGTTACATGTAATAGTCTGCTCAGAAGCAGCCACCGTCCCACCCTTTTACATGGGACCCTGTCCTAACTTTCTGACCTTGAGTGATGTTCTTCCAGAGTGACCAGATGCAGAGGAAGGGAAAATTTTATCAGCAATTTCCTAGTCCAGCAGGACAAGTTGCCACCTTCCAAAATTTCCCCTTTGTAATCTACAATGCTACAAGTTTTGTTTTTCTCTTCCAGCAGCTCTCTGTTTTTCTGAGGGTCCTGACATACCACTTGAAGACCAGTGGCCTAAAGAGCCTTTTGGACTTCAAGGCAGCGTAGAGGCTGCAGCTATCTTTATCTTCTCTCCTTGTGACCCTCCTTTAGATCTGTTTCCCCAAAGCGCTAAGAGGAAACGAAGGCCCAGTCAGTCCACCAGAGCTGGGAAAAGGCATAAATGCACCCATCCTGCTGGTGACCAGAGCCCAGCAGCATCTGCAGGGACCAGCACCAAGGCAAGGAAGCAGAGGAGCCCACGGCCCGTCCAGTGGAAGCAGCAGAAGTTGAGAGGCTTCTCTCCTCGACAGCCCAAGGGGGCCCAGAGTCAGCAGCCGAGGGAGGCTGGTCAGCCCGCGGTGCAGCACAGAGTGTCACCAAAGGCCAGGAGGAAGCGGCCCCAGGCCCCAGGGCAGCACCACACCTGGCGGCAGCCTGGCTCAAGGCCCTGGGGGCAGGGCAAGTCTGGACTGCGGCAGAAGCCGGTGCTCAAAGGGAAAGGAAGCTTCCGAAAGCCCGGACGTTCAGGGAAGAGGCCAGCCTAGAGCCCTGGGCCTCCCTCTCTTGGTTTTGTATAGCTGTTTGCAGGATACATATACCTACTGATTCACCGTGAGCTGCCTGCCTTTGTCTGACTGTCTCTGTGGGGCTTGCTCTTTCCCCATTGCTTTGCAAGGCACAAATATCTTTGAATCGCTACAGAATTGGCCAGCGGTGTCTGTCAGCTGGATATGGTGGCTGATAAGGCTTGTTTGCTGGCAAGGGGAAACGGAGCAGGGGGAAATCAGTTGTTGCTGGAATAGTGGGCGATTGAAGACAGCTGAAAAGTGTGGTGGCTGGTATCCACTGGAACTGGTGAGGCAGAAGGGAGAGAGGCCAACAGTAAGTGGAGCCCGAGCCAAAAGTGGGCCGATCCCATTCATTTTGTTTTCTGCCTCTTCCTAGAAGGGCAACACTGATAATAAGGGGGGGGGGACAGATTGGCATGCCGTTTTGCCCCCTGAACTGATTGTAAGTGAGAAGGCAGGTGCGGGGGCAGGCAGGCTGAGGTTGGTGAGGCAAGTGCCTAGTTTGTCCTCTTGGGCCAGGCTGATTCCTTCACGCAATATGTAGTGATGGCTGCCATTGCAAATGTCTTTTCAGGGAGGATAATTCTTAGCCAGCAAGCCTAGTAGTCACTGATACACATTACCTCCATTATCAAGTGTCAATATGCCTTTGAATAACTCTTGTTGGAGAGCAACAGTGGAGAGGGTGGCTGCATTTGTGTTTTGTCTCTGGGTTTCTCACAGGCACCCGACAACTGAGAACAGGATAGGTCTTTGGACTGATCCAACAGGCTCTTCTTAAGTTCTTAACTGTGCAGCTTATTGAGGGTATAGTTCATAACTAATTCTGTTCTACTCTTCTTTGCTCTTTTTAAAAGTAATTTAAATTACTTTTGGACGCTCCTTAAAATGGGCCATGGAGCACCAGTGACCCCGAGGTTGTTGGATTCCAGCTCCCATCATCCCTGACCACTGGCCACGCTGGCTGGCTGGGGCAACTGGGAGGTGGAGTCCACAATTTCTGGGGAGCCACGCGCTCTCCATCCCTGCCTTTGAAGGTGGTCAGAGCAAGATAGACAAAGTGTGGATATTCCCCTTTGAGGAGACCCATTTGTCTGAGAAGTGGTTGATACTTGATCACACTGTTACGGTGATGAGATTCCATGAGCAATTTTCAATAGTTTTCTGGTCTCAGAATGAGACCCATTAAAGGAAATTGCTGCTTAGCCATGACCACTCTACAGATTCTTCATAGTTGTGTCCATGTTTGGAATTCCGAAAGCCTTGCCTTCTGAAATAATAGTAAGAGCAAGTATTCTAGTCCTCATGGGCAAGACAATTTTTAGAATAGTGATCTCTGTGGCTCATTTCAGGCATCAAGCTGAACCATGGTTAACACAGCTTGGCATGATAATCTCTCATTGTTAAAGCAGTTGATTTAAGAGGTCCTTATTTAGGTTTCTCTGTCTTTTTGCCTGAGAGAACAAAACACCACTACAGCTGTTTCTCCCCCAACAGGAAAAAAACTTATGTGAGAGACAGATAAATGGAAATGATAAATGGAGCTCTCAAAGTGGCAATCACTAGCATCCTTAATAGTCTGCACCACATTTTGACTGTCAGAGGAATGCTCCATAGGAACTCAAATGTCCATCAAAAACTGGAGAACATTTCCTTTTATCTTAAGGTGGGTGTGGGACCTTTTCTCTGACAGGACTCTTTAGGCCTGAAATTTGCTTATAAAATACTAAGCAGCCATCTGTACGTTGATCAAGAGAAATATATCTTATAGGAACTACATACCCTTCAATCTATCCCTCCATTCCTGTTTTGGTGACTGCTGAATTTAGGCTGTAAACATGTTTGAGAGGATCCACAAAGTGTCCAGTTTTCTGTCCTGTTTGAAAAGCTCTTTGCCAAATGTTTTCTTCAAGTCCATGTGTCTCACCTTTCGCCTTCGAGTCATAAGTTCGTTGGCATCTGTCTGTCTCAAGACAATGGAGTGTGCCTCCTGGGGCTAAGTCAAACCACTGGAGAATTACAGCGCCTGCTGTGGCTGCAGAGTCTGTTAACTGCTGCCTCCAGCTTTGGTTTTGCCGTGTTAGCAGCACTGAAGTGACCTTTCCGGCACAAGCCTGGGCAGTGTGGATGGAGGTCCTGGGTTGCCCAGACAACAAGACCACACTCTTGGCCCCACCGATGTGGTCCAAAGGAAAGGAAAACAGTACATTTGACACTAGGTTGGTTGCAGGAGTTGCCGGAAGGAGACGTACAAGACACCATCCAACTGTCTTAGATACTCCACTCTAGATTTGTGTTACGTTTATTCCTTCGCCTTTTCTTATTCCAAAGATGTCCTGCCAAAAAAGTGGGTATGGGTTTCTCCTCCTCCTCCTGAAGCCTTTCTCATAACTAGGTAAAGATGTGAGGCAGTGGAGCTTTGGATCAGAATTTTACTTCTCCCATGTGGGCTACCTTCTCAGGTTGTTGAGCCCCATCCACCTCTCACTTCCATCTCCAGCACATGCAAAAGCCACCTTGACCATTGGACCCACTACTCAATACGCTGAAAGCTGTTTTCTCATAGAATCATAGAGTTGGAAGAGACCACAAGGGCCATCGAGTCCAACCCCCTGCCAAGCAGGAAACACCATCAGAGCACTCCTGACATATGGTTGTCAAGCCTCTCAGGCAGGGGAAGTCCCTATCTCCCCAAGCCGGCCAGTTGAAGCCATTTCTTGGGTGTTGCCACTTGCATACTGACAGCTTCAAGGAGTCACAGGTGAGAGCTGGAAACCAAAGGTGGACAAAGTACCCCAGAAGGAGCACGACATCTCCCCCACTAAAGGGACTACCCCTCCCCAACACCCCATAATTGGCATGACCCAGCTAACTTTAAACATGCCCAAATCAATGGAAATTGAAAACATTTTAACTCTTGACTGGATTGTGCCCAACCAGTTCTGCAGTTTGTATCAACTCTGCTCAGGAGCCATGCAGGGCGCTGAAACTTACCAGGTATTATTTTTATTTGACTTGTTAATCACTTGTTTCCAAAAGGTCTTTAAGCAATTTAGAAGAAATCTATTCTAATGATTTCAAGCATACTTTGCACCTTGTGCTGTTGCTTTGTTTGGGTGGAATTGCCTTGTGCCTCCAGGGGCCAAGTCAAACGACCTGAGAGTTAAGACCTGCATGAGTTCCCTAAGGTTACATTCCTTAAGCAGTTGGACTTTTGACCAAGTAGTACTTGATCTTTAAGTTTATAGGACCTTCTGACTATTTCTTCCCTCCTCCCAGTGAAGCAGACTTCTGTTTTTTTTTCTTTTAAAAAATCCTTTCACCATAGAACAACATTTAATTACAGACATACAGTAATAAAACATCCCACTCTCACCCAGAACCTGATATTTGCATGCAAAATAATAACAGAAGTTCTTATCTGAGACACATATTTGTATAGAAGGCGATAAATGGTTGAAGTTAACCAATACAGTCTTATGAGAGGAGTCCTCTAGTTTGGATTTTAGCCATGTACTGTATGTAATAAAGCTGTGCCACTGAAATACAAATGAGTCTTTGCTTCAGGCCTTGTGCCAATTTTCTTTTTAAAAATTTCACAAGTGCTATTTGCCATACTTCATTGTACCAATTTGTTAGAGAAGAACCTTCTAAGTTATTGTATTACCTAATTATTGTGAGCCTGGCTGTTAGTAGAACTTTTTAAAAGTTTAGACGTAAGTTTTATTTGGACAAATCCTTCCTCCCAGAACAGCCACCTCCCCAAAGGTCCACCACACCTGTTTGTAAGAACCAGATTCTACAGCCTCTGGCGGTTTGTTGAGGGGCTTATATGGGGTAACTGCATAGGCAGGAGTGCCATTTCTGCACTATTTTAAGTGCTACCTCTCACAGAGACAGATTTCCTCTACACTGAGATCCACACCTCTGTTTCCTGCATTTGCCTTAAACCATCTGTACCCAGTCCTTTTTAAAAAGAAAAAAGGTGCCAGTACTCACCATGAAGTTGTTACAGTAAGTGCCAAACTTTTAACATTTTAATTAAAAAACGGTGCCAGTACTGCATACCCCTGAGTACCCCCAGAAAAGCAGCACTGGCATCCCGTGTCTATTTGCATTAACAGCTTAAGACACTAGACCCTGTTCTACTTCTTTAGCAGAATCCCACAGTACAGTCATACCTCATGCTGCGTCCGCTTCAGGTTACCGTATTTTTCGCTCTATACGACTCACTTTTTCCCCTTCAAAAATGAAGGGGAAATGTGTGTGCGTCCTATGGAGCGAAGACGCCATAGCCCCGCGACCCTCTCCCGGCTGGAGAGGTGACGCACGGCTATGGCAGGAGCCTCTCCACTGCGCCTTTCCGCTGCTCCCTGACCTGCTCTTTGGGGCTGGTGGTGGGCTTCCCCCCGCCAGCCCCAAAGAGCAGGTCGAAAGGAACCTGAAGCCTGGAGAGCGAGGGGACACACCGACCCCTCTCGCTCTCCAGGCTTCCAAGGTAGCCGCCTGAACGCACCTTAAACGGCACCTTGTTTTAGAGCGGGAAAACAAGAGGGGGAATGTTCTCCCCCTCTCTGCGCAGCGCCTCCTGCTGCTTCGCTGAAGGGGCGCTGGGCAGAGAGGGGGAGAATTTTTTTTCTTGTTCTCCTCCCTCTAAAACAAAGTGCGTCCTATGGTGCGAAAAATATGGAACGTCTTTTCAAGCTGCGTCCCACAGCAACCCGGAAGTACCGGAATGATTACTTCCGGGTTTCACAGCATGCACAGAAGCGCTAAATCGCACTGCGCACAGACACAGCACTTCTGGATGTGAACACTTCGAGTTGCATAAGCTGTATGAAGTCACCTCGAGTATGCACTCTTGCTTAAGAACATACTGTCTGTCTGACCTACCATTCTTTGTAATAAACCCAGTAATTGTAACCTGTTCAGCAGATGACGAGATTGGCCAGTGATGTACCAGTTGACAAGGCTCTATCTCCTGTTCTGAGGGGTGGGACAAATAACTTCAAACTTTTATCCTTATTTAATAAGGTTGTGAAGTGTTTAGCCACAAACCACACAACACAGGGAGTAACAAACTAAGCTGCAGTAATTGTGAGAAAACCTTTCAAGAGGTTATGGATGGATGATAAAAATAGTCACGAGTTATAACCAGGACTGCAGAGGGCCTGTTTCAAAACTCAGGCAAAGTAGTGATTTATGGAATATCAGAAAGATAACATCAGAAGCAACATGCTGAGCTTGGGTTACCACTAGTCAAGAAGTTAACAGTAGGGCCTTAACCAACAGTTGTACTGGAGGCCTCCCACACCTAATCTGGAGTCCCTCCACCACCCCAGAGGGAGAAGAGTTGGGGGGGGGGTGGAGGGATAAGAGGGAAAGCAGTTGGCCTCTGGCACTGCTAAGGCACGGTACCTATTTCCTGTTTGCCTGAAGCCTTTTGCTAAGCTAAGCAGCAAAAGTTGCACAAGGCTATGCTGAGTGGGCAGCCTCCCACATCCCAAAGAAAGACAAGCCACAGGCCACAGAAGAGAAGTGTGACCAGGCTCCTTACACCAATACTCGAGCAGCAATGCATTGCATGAAGATATTTCTCCAATGGGTCAGTGCCACCAGCAGTGCCTGTTTGCTGGTCAGCTTAATTTTTTAGAAAAAGGAAGGTAAGGGCCACTGTGTAGATGTGACTGCATAGCAAACTGCACCACCTTAAATTACTTTTGCATGGTTGTAAAAAGGTGCAGCTGGCATCCTGGCAGAAAAGATTAAAAACATGCAAAAAATGTAAAGTGGATCTTACATTGCATACTGGAATTAAAGGGATATTGTAAGATTGAGAGCCTTTTCTAAAGAGAACTGTAAGAGTCTGTTACTTACTCCCTCCTCTTAATTTGGTCATTACTGGAGGAGGCTGCAGAGAGTCCAGAATGTGGCAGTAAGTCAGTAAATGGCATCAGCTGAGCAAGCCACACAAAGACACCTTCCTTTCGCTACACCTAATCCCACTCTGGATCAAACCCAGTGAAACAGTTCAACATTTACTTTGGAGGCCTGGGTCTTCATCTAAAACGGGGTTATTAACATAATAAAAATTAAACACTCTTGCATCAGAAAGCCTGTGTATTTAACAAATCACTCAGTAAAAAGAAACTCAGCTGTTAAAATGAAATTGGGTGACTCCAGCAACAATAGGGCTATTTTGATGAGGGACCGAGACAAACCACAAGAGAGTGACTGAAAGGAACCTTTATTAGTGACTATTATTTCCAGTGAGGAGCAAAACTGGGCAATTTCCAAAGACAAATGCCGGACAGGAAGCCTCAGTTGGTGGAAGGTCTGGGGGTGGGAAGGGAAAAAAGAGACATTAGTATTTTAACAAGTGGACGACTGAATATTTTGCATCCAATGCATCACCTGGAGAATCTGTTGCTCATATTTAAGAACAAAGCTGTTGCTAGGCCTCATGTTGTGAGAAAAGCTTGAAAATTTAAGGGCAACTTCAGCTATGGACTCGGAAACAGGATTTAATGGTGACTACTGTCTTTCCCCCTAAGTGCCCGTTGCTCTTCATTCCAACATGCTAATTGTGGCTGGCTCCAAAAGATGGCAAGGTGGGAAATTTGCTAGGCTGCCAAGTCCTGCCTCTTCCTCCTCCTCCTTTTTTTGAGGCGGTGGGGGAGAATGCACTGAGGTGCTTTGTTCCCCCAATCACTGGTCCCAAGTGCTCCTGACTTTGCTTCCAACAAAATTGTCTGATTCAAAATTCCACTAAGGCTGAATTTTATGGCCAAAACTGAGGGCTATTTTTAAAAAACTAAAATAGTGAATCCGCATAGCACTGCACCACTTCAGACAGCAGGCAAAAGTTCTCACAAATGAATGATCCTCCATACTAGAAGATAGATTTTGTGTAAATAGGTATCTTATCATGAGGGAGAATTCCATTTAAAATGGTACAGCTGAAAGACTAATATATAGAAACAGGTCTACTGTCTCAGTGAGAAGCAGGCTGAACATTTATGTAAGAAACATAAATTTGCAGTAACAGCAGAATTTGAGGCTGTTCGACAGGCACACTGCTGAAAGGAATTAAATAGCCTACCCTATACCCTATATAAGGGACACGGGTGTAGCTGTGGGTTAAACCACAGAGCCTAGGACTTGCCGATCAGGTCGGCGGTTCGAATCCCCGCAATGGGGTGAACTCCTGTTGCTCGGTCCCAGCTCCTGCCAACCTAGCAGTTCAAAAGTATGTCAAAGTGCAAGTAGATAACTAGGTACCGTTCCGGCGGGAAGGTAAACGGCGTTTCCTGCTGCTCTGGTTCGCCAGAAGCGGCTTAGTCATGCTGGCCACATGACCCAGAAGCTGTACGTCAGCTCCCTTGGCCAATAAAGCGAGATGAGCGCCGCAACCCCAGAGTCGTTCGGGACTGGACCTAATGGTCAGGGATCCCTTTACCTTATATAGAGTCCTACTTACTTGGCCCATTCCACATTTAGGATCAGGTGATCATAGCCAAAGCCAGATACCCCTGCAATGGCCCTAGCAGCATCTTCTCGGCGATGGAAGCTGATGAAGGCAAAGCCCTGAAGGTAAGCAACAGGAAAGATGAAAATAAGAGATAAGGAAGGTAATTTTTGCTTGTATCTATATTATTATTTATAATTAATTTATTATTAATCATTTGTATACCGCCCTTTACCTGCAGGTCTCAGGGCAGTTACAACAAGAAAGCACAATATAAAAGCACAATGTCTTCCAGCACTCACCTGTTGCCACCTCTTTCCCCGCTTTGAACCTACCAAGTTCAGCCCAATTATCAATCCCTCTTTCTCACCTTGGATTGGCCAGTGGTTTTGTCCTTGGCTAAGTAGATGCGGGATATGGACCCAAAAGGACGGAACAGTTCCTGCAGGTCAGTCTCTCGGGTGTCCTCGGACAGATTGGTGACTCGGATGGTGGCATTATCATCGGCTAAGATACAAGGAGAACTGTTGGATCAGGGTAGCAGAAACTGAAGGACTCTTAAATACCTGCCAGCTCAACTATCTTTAAAGCAGGCCTAGGCTTGTATGGCACAGAATATACACAGGACTAGACTGCTAGATGCCAACAGCTACTGCTGTCAGGACACGTCAGATTCAGTCCCTACCTCCCCTCAAAGGCAATCTACCTCTACGGTTAGGCTGCATGGACTCCCCTCTGCGCGTGGCTCCATCTCTCAGGCTGGGTGGGACATACTTCCCAGTCTTGCTTTGCTGGGCTTGAACAGGTTCTGGTTCTGCAGAAACAAAATGCAGTGTTAGTGAAACTCGGAGCACAACTCTCCTTCTCATCCCTGGCATAAGCCAACCTATCTGTCTCTGCAGGAAGGGCTCACCCCATATCCTCTGCCTTTTTGCACCCCTCACCTCCTGGCAGTTTGTCCTTCTCGCCTGTGGAGAGCCCCAGCTGCTCTGCCAGCTCCTTCTGCATAGGTCCCAGGGTGTCCTTATATGGGCAGCGAGTGGTCCAATGATCACCCTTGCAGATACGGCACGACACAATCTTCTGCCCTTTCAGCTTGTTCATGGGGTCCTCCTCCTCTTGGCAATTCAAGTCCTGGCAAAGGACACATCTGAGTGTGTGAGCAACTGAAAGTCTGCTTGTCTTCCCACCCACATTCAGAGCCCACAAAACGATTAAGTTCCAACCAAGTGTCTCTACTGTGCCAGTAGTCTTAGGAATGTCAGAATGTTAACAGGCAACGGCAACAGCTCAGTGGCAGACACCTGCTAGGAAGCAGGAGGTCCCATGTTTCATTTTCTCAAGGTAGAGATTGGAAGGACCTGCTCCCTGAAACCCTGGAGAGCAGCTGCCACTCAAGGTGGACAATCCTGTGCTAAATGGCCCAGGGGGCTGACTCAGAACAAAGCAGCTTCCCGTGCCATTTCCCCCCAGAAACACAAGCACCACAACCCATCTTGAAGCCTCTGCTCTTTATTCTCACCCCCTGCTTTCCTGCATGCTGCCACTCACCTCCTTACTGGTGATGAAAGTCATGAACACATCATCGCTCACAGTGGTAGTGGCCACATTTGGGCCAGGGGCATCAAACTCAGAGTTTCCAAATTTTTTCCAGTTCTAGAGAGCAGAACAAAAGAGCTGGATGAAGTCTTTGATCTCATTTGCAATCCCCAAGAAGTGGGGGAGAAAGATGATGCAAGACAGACATAGTGGGAATAGGCTGGAGAGACCAGCAGGGTGATTTCTAAAAGAATCCCCAGCTGGCAGATTCCAAATTTTGAGCAAACTGCACACCAGCTGTTCCAAAGCAAAACAGCAGCAGCAAAACATTCTGTCAACAAGATGTAAAGAGTATCAAAACACCATTTAAGATCCAGCATCTCAAAATATGAGATACTACAATGAAAAAAAAACCTTGGGTGTCCCCCCCCCTTAGCCAGCCTCTCCCAACATGGTGCCCTCCAGATGTTGTTGGAATGTAACTCCCATCATCTAGCCAAATGTGAAGAATACATGCAAAAACAACGTCTTCACTCAGAAAGAGAGCAAGACTAAAATGTAACAGATCAGGAGGCTGAGTTCACAGAAAAGTCTGATGAGCACCAAAACTTGCATAACTGTGTGTGCAACTAATGGTGGGACCTCCCTTCAACAGGCCCTGGCTGAGGGTGGGCCTCAGGTCCAATTTTAAGCCAATCAAGAACAAATCCCAGACTTCACTTCTTTATGGACCTATTTGTTTTTCATTGGAATACTGGTTTGAGCTAAAAATATATATTGTTTTGGCTTTTAGACATCTCTTGCTCCAGTACCATTACTTCAGATCTGATGATGGCATAAAACAGGGGTCAGCAACCTTTTTCAGCCGTGGGCCGGACTATATGGGGGGGGGGGGCGAGATGAACGAATTCCTATGCCCCACAAATAACCCAGAGATGCATTTTAAATAAAAGGTCACATTCTACTCATGTAAAAACACATCAATTCCCAGACCGGCTGGATTGGGCCACATCCGGCTCATGGGCCTTAGGTTGCCTACCCCGGCATAAAATGTCAGTATACATATGCCTAGTATGCCTAGTGGTCAAGGAGGAAGGTGCAAGGGGATAAGCTTCACTCTCTTAAGTGACTCACCTTTCGCCTAGCCACAGCCTTTGAGGCCTTCCGGGTCTCAATTCGAAAGGTGCGGATAATCTGGCAAAGGATAGCAACATGTCATATTACATTCTCAGGGCAAGAATCAACAAAGAGGAAATGGGAAAAGTCTGAGGATCACACCTGCAGGTAGAATTTGCTTGCTTCTTCCTGACCACACAGTTACTGTGCTTAAGTCACAACCAACCTCCACCCAAAAACCTATTCACTCAAGCCTGCAGAACTCGAGCAACATGGTATATTGGAGGAAAACATCTAGCAGGGTCATCACTTTCAGACTAAAAACAGAAATGAACCACATGACATGGAGAGTTCTGCCCGCGTACAACCTAGGAAGTGGCGTGCTGGGAGATGAACTTTCACTGTCAACGAAAGGCAACTGGAAGTGAGGGTGGGGCCAAATCCCTAAGAACACAAGACACCACAAGACACCAAGAGGATAATATGGAGGTGACCCTGAGAATGAGAGCTGGGGGGTGGGGAGAAGAGAGATATAGCTTGATCCCAAGCCCTCACTCACCTTCACCTTGCGGCCATCCTCCTCTTCCCTGTACTCAGTCACTGTTTTGATGTTTCCATTCACAAGCTCCTTGGGTGATGGGAGAGGTTCTGTAAAAAGTAGTGGGGGTGGGAACTATAGTAATCTTTCTGTGTCTCCAAGTCACCCAATACTGCAGTCCCTTTTTGAAATGCAAAGTGAACTTTTACCTCCTTTCACAAGCTCAGGCTCAATGCTTACAGTTACATTTACAGCTCCACCTCCACCTCCACCTCCACCCAGCACTCCACTCAGGGGGATGTCCTTGAGCAGGTCACTGGTGATGCATTTATCTGTGTTGGGAAAGCACAATAACTCAATTAAAGTCTTTACATGAAGGATATTATCATTCTCTCTAATAGTAAATTAGTATAGTCAAATTTGTAGAGCCATTGGGAATGAAAACAGGGCTGCCCAAAATAAAATACATACATGGGATTCCAGAGGTAAGGATGCTTATAAATACCTAAGTACTCCTGAACATGGCCCCATGAGCTTCAGGTACCTTTGGAATGTTGACAGCACAGAGATAAGAAAATTTAGAGGAAGATCTCATTGTTTGGAGTGGAGGGTTCTGGGTTCACAATGAATATTATTATTATTATGAGAAAGTTAAGACCTCTTGGAAGGAATTCAACATTAGCAGTTTGCTCCATCTGAGCAAGCATATCTGCTTACCTGATGGAATGATCTGCCCTCAGTGTGGCTCAGAAACTATTACTCAGAATTACCGTATTTTTCGCCCTATAAAGCGCACTGGCCCATAGGACGCACCTCGTTTTTGGGGGGGGGGGGAATGAATAAAAAAAAATTATTTCCCCCCCCCAGCCGCGGGGCTGGGGCGGGGGAAGCCTGAGCTTCCCCCGACCCCAGCCCACAGAACAGGCTGCCGCCTCAAGTCTTGCACGCCCGGCGGGACCTCCCGCCGGGCGTGCAAAGCTTGCGGACACCTGCTCGAAGCACGGGGCGTCCTCCGGAGGGCGCCATGTGCTTCGGGCTGGTGCCCCAAGCCTCGCACGCCCGGCGGGACCTCCCACCAGACGCGCAAGGCTTGCGGACAGCAGCCCGAAGCACGGGGGGGTGCTCTGCAGCCCGCCCCGTGCTTCGGGCTGCTGGCTGCCGCCCCAAGCCTCGCACGCCCGGCGGGACCTCCCGGCGGGCGCGCAAAGCTTGCAGACACCTGCCCGAAGCACGGGGCATCCTCCGGAGGGTGCCCCGTGCTTCGGGCTGCAGGCTGCCGCTCTCAAGCCTTGCGAGCCTGCAGGAACTCCCGCCGGGCGCTCAAGGCTTGCGGATAGCTTCCTGAAGCGTGGAGAACGAGAGGGGTTGGTGCGCACCGACGCCTCTCGCTCTCCAGGCTTCAGCGAAAGTCTGCATTCGCCCCATAGGACGCACACACATTTCCCCTTCATTTTTGGAGGGGGAAAAGTGCGTCCTATAGGGCGAAAAATACGGTAAAATGTTTAACTTATACTCCCTCCTTGCCCCTTCAAAATGGATTGTTGGGGCCAGGCTTCCATTTCTTTGGAAGAGCACTGTGACTTCTCGGGGTGCGGAAGGAAGTGTGGTGAGGCAAGAGGAATGGGGCCACACTGGGAGGCAGGCAGTTGCCTGACTTGTATAGCACCATAAACTTGTCTGAAGGCATCCAGGTGGGATAGACAAGGAAAAAGCAGAGGCTAGCTGCAATCTAATTTTCTTGGTGTGTTCAAGATGTGGGTACAGATTTCAAGGTACAAGGAAAATAAAACTCATTCTAGATGGGGTGGAAGTCTGCTCTGACTTCTCCTGGGTGAAAGGGGCTGCTCTTCCTTTAACATGCACCTTGTTCAATGACACATGAAATTTCTCACCATCATCCCCTTCCTCTTCCACTTGGTCTGCCCAACTGGGCTTGGAGCTGAAACAGAGTTAGAGATACCAACTTAAGTATCTGTTCAGTTAATGTAAATGTATAGAGTTCTTGCTTGATCCTCTAACCTTGGCAGTTGCTCTTCCCACACCCAGTACTTTCTTACTACTTACTTGTAGTAAGACTAGTCCCTGATCCTCACCCATATACCTCATACTCTCATTGCGAGTCACTTTAATTCTACCAAAATGCACATTGGCTTCTTCATATAAAAGATAGGAATGTCTTCCAACCACATTCCAAATGGCATCCATAATACTAACTCCACCCTGAAACTCTATTCCAGGTACTCTGCCATTAACCCATTTGGTCAACAGCTGTTCTTTTATTTCCTCTTCTGCCCAACCTCCAAGGAAAAGCATCCGACTACTAGTCAGCCACAACCTACTAAACAGTCTCTCACGCTTTCTGCCCAAGGCCCAGGAGTTCTGCCCCCAAGAGATAAACACGTCCCCCAAAGGGCACAGGAGTCCCGCAGAACAAGGTCTCCCAAGCTAAGGCTTCGTCTTCTCTCTTCTACACTCCTGCCTGCTGTTCGCCTTCCAACGCCCCCCTCAAAACAGCCCCAAGGCCAGCAAAGAACCACCTTCTCCTGGCCAAAGTATTTGCCTCTCATTCTAACAGCTCAATCGCCCTGACCAGGCCCCCAATGCACCCCACGCCTTGCGGAGAAACTCGGAGGTGGCGGCTCAGCCGTCCGGAGCTCCTCCGCGCCTGCCCAAGTCTCCCCGACTCGCAGAGCACAGACCGGCCTCTGGAGCCCCTGTCTGTGTCCGAACAGGGGAGGTGGGGCAGCTCTGCAACCTGAAAGGGGCCCAGGGGCGCCGCCAGGGCCACTCCCGCCTTGGGGCTTTCTGGGGGCTGGACTAGATGGTCCCGAGGGCTCCCTCCATCTCTGCCACTCTGGGATTCTCCGAGCCGCGTCTCCACGAGGCGCCAGGCGGAGCGAGCAGGCCGCGCAGCCCCGGCGGGGCTCCGGGAGGCCTCCGGGCCGCCGCCCTCCCCCCCCCCCCGCCCGGCCCCCGCTCTCACTCGTAGTCCCCCGTCGGCATGGCGGCCCGGCAGCGCGCGAGCAGCAGCAGCAGCAGCAGGGGAAGCGCGGGCCTGGGGCGCACGAAGCGGGTCGGGCCACTCTCAGGCGCGTCGCGGAGCCCAGCAGAGGCCTCGGCGCGCGCAGCACCCTGGGAAGCGTAGTCTCTCCGGCGCGGGGGCTGACGGGCGGGGAGGCGCCTCGCGCCTGCGCCTCAGGGTCGGGCCGGCGAGGCGGGCGGCCATCTTGGAGCTCCCCGGTTCCCTTCCTCTGAGCCCCCCCCCCCGCGCCCCTTTCAGCCCGAAAGAAGCAGCAGCTTCACCAAAGAAGATGGAGGACACGTGGCTGACCAGCAGGGCGCGTTAAAGGATCCAGCAGTCTGAGGAGACCGCAAAATGAGTCAGCAATGGGATGCTGCAGCAAAAAAGGCAAAGGCTATTCTTGGCTGCATCAACAGCAGCCTAGTCTCTCGATTCAGTACTGCTCTCTTCTGCCTTGGTCAGGAATCCTGTGTCCAATTCTGGGCATCGCAATTTAAGGAGGATGTGGAGGGAGACCAGGATGATGGTTGAAGGAGTTAGAGGAGGCTGAGGGGAGACAGGAGAGCCATCTTGAAAGATCTAAAAGTATCTCACATGATGAAACAAGGACCTGAACCACTGGCTTTAAGTTACAAGGAGATTCTGGCTAAACATTAGAAAGAACTTTCTGACAGCAAAAGCTGTTCAGCAGGGGAACGATGTCCCTGGGAAGGTTGTGGACTCTCCGTCCTTGGAGGTTTTTAAGCGGAGGTTGGGGGTGGACTAGATGACCCTTCCAACTCCACAATTGTAAGATTTTATGAAAGGTCCTTACAGCATGATGCAATTTAGTTCCGTATGATTAAGCAATTATAAATAAATGAGGCCCCCCCCCCCGAATAATGTACTCAGATAAACTGGTCAGTGCAACTCTTTTGGGGTAAAATACTTTGGTTATAATTACAGGCTACATCCAACTAAATCCTGCTTAGTGCAGACCCTTTGAAATCAATACTTGGATTTTTATTTCATTTCAGTGAGTCTACTCAGAGGACTAGAATCAGAGGTAAACCATATTTGTGTGTGTTGTGTAAATTTACATAGCAAAAGGCAAGGGAAAACGAGTGCTGAGAGCAAATGCAGAAAGGATGGGACAAGTGCATATTCTTGCACAGCCGTGGGTTGGCCTAGATGATCCTCATCGGGGTCCCTTCCCACTCTACAATACTGTAATTCTATGAGAAAGGAGCCAAAAGGGGAAAATTGCTCCCCAAAGGTTTCTTTCCAGGGTGAGAAAGGACTTAAAGAGAGGCAGGAAAGACTTAAGCAGGGAGATGTGGAAAGGTGGGAGGGGGTGAAGAGAGAAAGTGTCACTGTTAATCTGTTCACAGCATTAACAGAGCCTTGGGATACTTCAGAAACACAGCACATTACTCAGGAAAATAGTGGGTGTAAGTGCTTCAGCGTGCACTGGCCCCCTCTGCTTCCGCCTCCCAGAGGAGTACAGGGAGGCGCTGCCCGAGCCTGAGCGGGTTCAGGAGGGGCAGCGCAGGCACAGCTCTCAGAGGGAGGGAAAGGGGGGGGAGGAGGAGCAGGTGAAGAGGATGCCCCCCTCTCACTCAGACCGCCCCCCTTTCTCCACTGTTGCCTCACCGTGCTAGCCATCTACTTGCAGGAAGATTTTTTTAAAAAAATAATTACACTAAAAACATACTCTACGGCCTGTATATATAAAAGGTCGGGGGTCGGAAGTAGCCCTCTTGCTGATCACGTTCTCTTCCGCAAGAGAATCCCTGGCACATGATCCCAGCTGAACTAAATAAAGCCCTTCCAATTTTCATCTTCCAGCACAGAGTCCAGGCAGGCAGACATTTCTGCCCTTAAAGCAGACATTCAGGCCTGCTTACCTACTAGCCATAATTTTCTTGGTGTGTAGAAATGAGCCAGCATTCTCGTGCTTAGATTTCAGAGGCAACACTAGCACACCAGACACAATGGGCAAATTCATCTGAAGAAAGTCAGAAATACCCTCTTTGAATAATTTATAGCAGAGATTTTATTTGAAGAAATATTACAACATATAAAAACTACATAAAGTATTAATTTCCACTTGTACAAAGTGGTTGATTAATTTTCAATACAATGCATAATAAAAACACCCGCAACCCTTCCCCCCAACACACACACACACACACGCACGCATGAAGTGGCAGGCACTGCACAGTTGGATCACTTGAGAATGGTTATTTGGAACATCAAAACAGCTTCAGAATGTCAGCCATGTAGACAAACACTGCTCACAAATACAGGCTTGAAAAGAGAAAGACAGAACACAAGATAATTCCCCAAACAAACAAAAACTTCCAACAATTTTCAGCATGTCCAGAAGAAAGCAAATAAACCAGAAAATGAAACGAAGAAAATTAAAAACAATCAGTGCATGTTTGGGTGTTCAGGTGCTGGAACAGAAGAGCAGCAGGTGACGGGCTACTGACAAATTAATCTGAAATGTCCATCTTTTCCTGCTTGATGCTACCTGCAGAAGAACAAAATATACCAGAGAGATAAATTAGATATGTTATTCCAGGGATGGGAAACTTGTGGCTTCCCATCAGGCAGCATTTATTGCTAGTGGTCAGGGATGATGGGTGTTGTAGTCCAACAACATCTAGAGAGCTAAATGTCCTCCAGTCTCTAGGTGTGCATGTGAGGGTGTCCAAGAAGCACATGGGCCCTGTGCAAATACAGTGGTACCTCAGGTTACATTCGCTTCAGGTTACACACTCCGCTAACCCTGAAATAGTGCTTCAGGTTAAATACTTTGCTTCAGGATAAGAACAGAAATCGGGCTCCGGCGGTGCGGCGGAAGCAGGAGGCCCCATTAGCTAAAGTGGTGCTTCAGGTTAAGAACAGTTTCAGGTTAAGAACGGACCTCCAGAACGAATTAAATACTTAACCCGAGGTACAACTGTAAAAGCAACCCCATTAGTTCTTTCTGGAGTGGGGGGAAATGCCTCTCTCCCTCCCTTAGCTGCCTCAATAGTTACTCCCAGGACAGGCAAGAGATACAATGGTAGCAACTGACCTAAGTCAGGGAAGATAATGCAGAAGTACTGTGCTGCTAAAGAGGCTGCAATTGTAGCCCAAACAGGTGTGGAGGCATGTCCCTGCTTCATGCCACAGATGGGAGATGGAGTCTGCCAGAGCTGTGGTAACAGGTTGCTCAGAAGTCCTCTTTAAAATACATCACCGAAATTCCATAGCTTACCTGTAGCATCCTCTTTCATTTTGGCCAACACACACAATTTGATCTCTAGTCCGATGGCTTTGGCCAGAGGTGGAGGCACTGCGTTACCCACCTGCAAAAACACCGCCAGGGCAGGGGCAGAATAAACAGTCATCACATGTCTGCAAACCACCTCACTTACTGCTAAGTATTGGTAGGGCCACCAAAGCAGGTGGTGGTGGGGTGTGTGCAAATGGAACCCAAAGGTACCAAAACTTTCTCCCTTCCTCTTTTTGCTCACTGTGAGCAAGCCACCTGTTGATTTGGCAATCAAAAGTTTCAGAGTATAAAACGCATTAGAATATTAAGCCATCATCTAATGCTATCTTTTACAATAAGTATTTCAGCAAGGGTATTTAATCTCTTTCCTTGTGTATGCGTATTTGTATACACGCATGCAAACACGCTCACTCTTCCCTGATGGAGAAATCTCTTTGTTGCATCCTGCTGGGCAGCTGCTTCTAGCATCTTGAGTTCTTCTCAGTTTACACAAATTCAGAAATTTGAAGCATCAGGAAACTTTAAATGTTTCATCAGAAGGTTTTTAAACTTGTTCCAGCTTACATGGCTTTGATAACCTCTAATCTTCTAAAGAAATGTGCAAGGCAAGACAGCTATATGCTTGTCAGCCCCTTTATTTTAATTTTGAAATAATGATAGGTCTGTGCTCTAGCACTAACTTTCAGACAGCTAAATAACAAACAAACAAAAAGTAACAAAGCAACAGGGATGCTTTGGCATCTTTCTGGGCATCTCCATTTCTTTTAAAAGCAGGGATGAGGAACTTGTGGCTCTCCAGGTGTTGTTTGACTCCAACTTGCAGTAGCACCCAGACAGCATGGCCAATGGTCAGGGATGATGGGAACATTTAGAGGGCCACAGGTGTCCTACCCATGCTCTAAAAGCGTAAGAAGCTGTCCCATAAAAGTTGGCATCTAAAGGTCTCCCTCCCCACTCAAAACATCTGTGGCAACCTACCTGTCTGTGCTTGTCAAGCACATTTCCAAACAGACGGTAGGTATCTGGAAACCCCTGGGACCGTGCGCACTCACGCACGCTCACGACCCGGTGCTGCTCAGGATGAAGCACACGCCCCTGCAAAAAAGGGTGGAAGACCATGAGCCATTTCCAGCTGATATTTGGGCTGTGTCCTTTCTCGGGGCATAAGGGGTAGAATTCAGCGCTGCACTATCAGCTCGCCAGACTGAACAACCCCCCTCCCTCTGCAGTTCTGGGGTTCTTCCACCCCACACCTGAGCCAATATACCAAGGACTGCTTCTCCCCATATAAACTGACCCAGACTCTGCATTCCTCCACATGAGCTCCAGAGGGTGGCAACACGAGAATGGACTTTTTGCAGTGGCCCCCTGTTTGTGGACTGTTCTCCCCAGGGAGGTTCATCTGGTGCCTTCATTATATAACTTTAGACGCCAGGCAGAAACATTCCTCAGGCCTTGGGCTGACTGACATCCAATGCCCTTTTAAATGTGTTTGTGGAAGGGGGGGTTATTGTTTTGTTGTTTCTGTTTTGACTGTTTATTTGTGCATGTTTCCCAAACTGGCCCTGTTTCATTTATTTATTATATTTACTTACTGCCCTTCATCAAAAGATCTCAAAGCAGTTCACATGATAAAAACATGAGGTAAAATAAATGAAACAGAGTCAATTTGGAAAACATGCAGGGGAAGGAGTGGGGGGAAGTGTCCCTCTGACAGGGCCCTGGGGCCCCTCCTGGTCCTCCACATGGCTTATTTAAGAGCTTTCTTTACATAAAAATATAAAAAGAGAAGAAATCCAAAGCAGCCCATACTGCATAAAATCTTCAGGGAAACTTTTAGAATTCAGAGTAACTGAAGAAAGGCCTAACTGAAGAAAAGAAGCCTTCTAAATGGAAAAGGTTTTCCATGCTTCCTCAGTGTCCCTGACGTTGGGCAGTTGGACTTCCTGAGCAGTGAGTTCTGCGAGGCCAGAGGGGCCACCACAGAGAAAACACACCAGGCAATACAGCTAAACTCACAAAATATGCCACTGAATGCATTATCAAGCAGTTCTCTCTTACCTGTTTGCCCATGGGCTCAGGGTTGGTGACTGTTGTACTGAAGAACCCATCCCACTCTAATCTTCCATACAAGCCAGCCCAGTGGTTGTGGCGGTTCCCCGTGTGGGGCAGACACCAGGGGATCAGGGTGTTGAACTGCCGGTCCGCAGGGTCACATGGCTTGCCTAGGAAGGATGACAGAGTTCAGACAAACCTTCCACTGAATGTGTGGACCAAGGGGGACAACAACCCTTTAACACAAGAATCTGAATTACACCACAAGCCTCAGAATAAAACTGCAAGGGGCCATGGACTGTAACATCCTAGAAAAGCCACCGTCTCTGTTTTCTAATTCGAAATACCGTTTCATTAAAAGGGTATTTAAAATTGCCACAAAATCCTGAGGTCTACTGTCAAAGGAATTCACTGCAATTGCCAATCAACTGATAAGCACTTACAGTGACCTCACTTGAAAGCACTGCTGGGATTGCACCTTCAAAGCGATTTGTGTACCCACTGCCCAGCCATCTGTTGGCCCCAGCAAGCCGCTTTTAAGCTTCGAAGGAAGTGGTTTGAATGCAAACCTTTTGCAGGAGAAAGCCAGTCCATTTGCAGAAGTGGTTAGGATCCTAACCACTTTCTCTAAACGGAGAAAGCGACCCCTCTTGGCTGCACTAGGGAGACCCCAATGAAAAACTCAGTTCCAATGGGGGTCCCTGTCAGGGTCAATAAGCTAATCGACATGGACAGAGAACAGACCCCACCTGCCAACTGCACCTGCTCCACACAGATCACACAGATCCATTTGTCGAGCAGGCGGGGGCTGCTTGTATGGAATGACTCTGTGGACTAATTTGGGTGCAGCATTGGTTCCAATTAGGTCCATGGTTCAGAGGTTTCCCACAGCTGCCCTGGTAAAATGCCATTTGCCTTGTGGGCCTGGGGCTTACTCATGGACTACAAAGAATATTCCCTGGTAGCTTAGAAATGCAGGCCCACAAACCTAGGTCAGGAAAGATCTGTAGCTTTGGGGAGGGGAGAGCAAGGGGTTGTTACGCCCCCCCCGCCCCCCCTCGCAACTATTTCACTGTTACTGCCACTAAATTCCAGTTAGGCACAATGTGAAGATCCAATTTAGACATAAAATCTATCTATCTATCGGCGGCCTGTACCAAAATAGAGTGGCAGAGTTTGCTTATTAACTTGTAACAACTCACACTTCCTTCACAATCTCATATATACACCTATATTCCAGTTTCAATTACAGTATGGTCGTGTATACTCGATCTGCCCCCACACAAGTACCCTTACCTTTCAGAGCCTGTTCGTTGACCACGTTCCTTACCACGCAAGCAAGGTGGAGAGCTTTGAAGCTCAGCACACATTCTGGCATGGTCTTACAAGAACTTGCGGGGCCGTCTGAGTTCCCAGTAGAGAATCCTAGAGCCCATGTGCTAAGCGGGACTTGCCTGATAAGCAAGGCGGAGAGCTTCAAAGCTCTTTCTCCATCAGGAAAAGCCAGTACATAAAGAGCTTTGAAGCTCTCTGCCTTGTGCAATTTCAGTTGGCTGGCTTTCAACCAAATTGTGCGTAAGATGCAATTGTACTATGCAGCTATTCTAAGGTTTTAATCATTTATAGGTTAACCATTTTCAATTAGTTCTCAGCCCTGGTTATTAACATTTCAGGTGACAGACCCAACAAAGACCCTGAAGCACTGAATCCATTAGGGATGAGAAGAGCATCTAAAGGACTGAAGACTGAAAGAACCATCCTCCGGTGACCTTTGGCATCCCGTACCTTCAGCGCAAGAGCAGACCCCCCGGAGGGCTCCTGTGCTGCTGCGCCCATTTTTCTTCTCATGGTGTGTGTAGCGCAGCCTGCGGGTGGTGGTGCCATCGGAGAGACGCACTTCAATGTTGGGCAGATCACGCCAGTCTGAGCCTGGGGCCAGAGGAATGTGTCTCATCCGAGCAGCCACCAGTGCACTCATATCCTAGGGAGACAAAGTCAAGAGTTCATCCCCTGCGCTTCAGCAGCATCAGCTTCCCAGTCAGAATCCATTAGGGCCACCGCTTACCCCTCCGTATAAAAGGGACTACTCTTTCCCTGGGAGGAGACTCCTCAGTGGCACAAAGGGCACAATGGTGAGGAGGGGGCCGCACAGCACAGCTGCTTGGGTCCTTTTCTCCAGCAGCACAAGGGGAAGGGCTGCAGCTCAGTGGCAGAGGGTCTGCTTTGCATGCAGAAGGTCCCAGGTCCAATCCCCAATGGCATCTCCAGGCAGCGCTGGAAGAGAAGGCTGCCAATCGGTGGAAACAATGCTAGATGGATCAAAGGTCCAACTCTGCATGAGGCAGTTTCCCATGTTCAAATTGTGTGGAAGCCTAAGGACTTTGCTTCAGAAATCAGAATGCAGCTATCAAGAGAGCCTAGGAAGCTCTGGACCTCAATACAGTGCATTCCACCCCATCACCAGATAACCATAGTAAGAAAAAGTGCTTCACCTTGCATATATGATCCCTGAGGATGGGCTGATACTGAGAGCCTCGAATTTGCCTCTGGAACCAAGATTGTGGCTCCCCATTGTAGGAGATTTCAAGTGCTGATGCCCCATTCCTGATTTCAGGAAGGTCAGACATGGTGTCCCGGACTGTGATGGTTCGGAATGGGCCTGAATAGGTCCTAGAGAACAGCAGAAGAAGGTGCTTTACAGATCAACTCCTGCCTGGGCCTTCCCCTACTCGGGGGGGGGGGCATGGCTCCACTCATACCAGGAAGCATGGTTCATTAGCAGGCTTTGGCTACAACTTGCTTCCACTGACAAATAAAAAGCCTTACTTGAGAAGAGTAGTTATTCCCAACGTTAAAAAATAAGTTTCAGAAAACAGCTTCAAGATTATGGCTGCTGGCCAGAATAAGGGAAGGGGGCGAAAACTTTTTGCTGCAGGGCTCTTGGGAGCTTTTCCTGCCCTCTTTACGTATGTTGGACCCTGGTGGAAGGCATTCTGCACTCAGTGAACAGGGCTCAAAGCACAAGTGGAGGGGGCTCAGATAAATCTGTCCCTTGTCATGTGAGAATCAGCTCAAACATGCATCCAAAATGTGAATGAGAAACCTGACATATGTAAAAAAAGAGGCTTATCTGCAAACAGTGGTGATCTTGCAATGAAACTGTGCAGTTTGGATAAGGTACTAAAAATGATCAGTGTTCAGTGTGATTCTAGACATGCTGATGCTGAAGAAAGTTTAGGAGCATAGCCTTAAGTCCAACAATGGATGGCAGAGAAGAGCCTTTGTCAGGGGATCCTTGAAAGCTGAACTCTAGCCGGGTTCTGTTTTTTGTCTTTAAAGGCACCCCAAACATACATGCACACACCATGAAACTGCCAACAGTTAAGTTTGAAAGACAGCCGTTACCTTGTGATATTGCTAACAAACTTCTTATCGTCCACCACCACACTGAGCTGGCAGGCTCGGGGAGCAAAGACATGCAGAGGTTCAGGGAACATGGGAAGCTTCTCTCCTGGGGCTGCAGCCAGCACAATCGCTCTCCTGCGTGTTTGGGCCACACCATACTGACCAGCCTGGAAGGGAGGAAGATTAAAACACACACGTTAATGCTGAGGAAGAACAAAAGCTGCAAACTTGCCTACAAACTTGTCGTTTTGAATTTATTGCCTTGCCTTGCATTATTCAATCAAGTTTGCCACAATCTACAGCTAGCACCAGTTCACCACCTGAAAACAATTCCAATCTAAAAAAGCATCTACCCTAGCTTGGAGTTCCGTATCTGGTGGTAACCCTCCAGATTCTAGAGGGCCACACAGGTTTCCCACCTGTGCTCTAAACTCTCTTCAAAACTATTGAGGCAACCCAAGAATTGGCATACTGGGGGTTGGGGGGAGGGAGGGAGGGAGCTCAGCAAAACCACCTAACAGCTCTCACTTTTCATGGCATTCTGGTTCGACTCCAGATCTAAGAGGAATCTTTCTCCTTCTGAGAACCTGCAGAGGACACACTCACTGTGACACGTCCCCTGCTCTGACAGAGAGGCTGCCCAACTAACATACCTGCAGAACCCCAAAAGTGCACTGGTATCCCATCCGGACAAGGCAGCGCAGGGTGAGCTTTAACACCATTGAGCGCTTGAAGGAGACAAAGTTCCTCACATTCTCAAGCAGGAAGAACCTCGGCCTGTAGTAGTCACAGTAGCTGGAGAACAAGAAGGGTCATAGGGGTTCAGTTGTGGGCTCTTTTCCCCTCTCCAACAGCAGACAGGTTTCCTCAGCAACACTAGGATATGGGGGCAAGTCCCAGCCCGACCACCTCACCCACTCTCCCAGTACAGCCTCAGGTCTCACAAGGGTTCCGGTCACTGAGGGACAGAACATTCACCCATTCCATGCATACTTATTCATAAAGTGAACACACTGCAGTAAGGAGTAACAATAAAAGCATTTTATGGTGCTCTGGGGCATTCAAAGCGCTTCAAGCATACCTTACACACATACCTTACCTAAGGCGGTTTGATAAGATTCCTGTATTGGAGGGCCATTGGATGAGAGAGTGGCTTGCCTTAGCAAATCCATAGCAGAAATGAAATTCAAACTGGGACCTTCCCAGTTCAAAGCAGAGTCTCACCACTATGTCACATTGGCTTAACGGGTGTGTACTCTGCTTCTCCCTTGATCAGAGCACAGATGAGGGATCCTAAAATGAAATTATTGCGCAGCTTCTCTCGGCCTCCCACAAATCTACCTGTGATCTCAAATTCCCAAGCCACCTTTCATTTGTTCTTGAGGAAAGCTTCCCCTTACACAAGGTGTACAGTGGGTGCATTTCAAAGTTCAGGCTGTAATTGTGCAAATTTGAACAAACTGCATAATTTCTCTTCATTTTAATGGAAACAATAATTCAGGGTTTTCTAGTTATGTGAAGGGGGAAGGAGATATGTAGGGCACTGAAGCCATCCAGTCACTGGAAATGCTGGTAACAGGAGCAAGGAACCTGTGGCCCTCCCCTCCAGGTGTTGCTGGACTACACCTCCCATCATCCCTGATCACAGGCCATGCTGACTGGGGTTGTTGGGAGTGGGAGTCCAACACCATGGGGGGGGGGGGCACAGGGTCTCCACCCACACTACCTGCTTTGGTTTCATTTACACTTGCAAGGCCTAGAAATGTGCCTCACCTTCACCTCCAGCTTTAAAAAAAAGAATACACAGAGATTTTCCAGGAAAGCTGAACTCTGTAGTCACTGTCACGGTCCATGTTCTATCCTCCTGTGGAACTACAACACATACACAACCCTGATTCAGCTTTTTAGCTGGCGGGATGCGGGTGGCACTGTGGGTTAAACCACAGAGCCTAGGACTTGCCGATCAGAAGGTCGGCAGTTCGAATCCCCGTGACAGGGTGAGCTCCCGTTGTTCAGTCCCTGCTACTGCCAACGTAGCAGTTCGAAAGCACATCAAAGTGCAAGTAGATAAATAGGTACCACTCCGGCAGGAAGGTAAATGGTGTTTCCATGTGCTGCTCTGGTTCGCCAGAAGCGGCTTAGTCATGCTGGCCACATGACCCAGAAGCTGTACGCTGGCTCCCTTGGCTAATAAAGCAAGATGAGCGCCGCAACCCCAGAGTCGGCCACGACTGGACCTAATGGTCAGGGGTCCCTTTACCTTTACCCTGACTGGCAATGGCTCCCTAGGGTTTCAGATTGGGTGGGGGGACATTCCCAGTCTACCTGGAGGCATTGGGGACTGAACCTACAATCTTCTGCATTTGAAGCATGTGATCTACTGCTGAGTAATGGTTTTCCCCTAGAACTTATATTGCTGATTAAGCCACTGTCAACCTGAGGAAGGAGACCACCAGAGAGTTCTTGAACTTTGAATAGGTGCGCGAATTGAAGCGGTTCATCCCACTGAAGCCTTGGCAAGGTGGTCCACCGCACAGCATCTCCACGTCTCCCTTTTGTGGCAGCTTCTGACCCAAGGAGTTGGTCTTCTCCCCAGACATGACCAGCTTGAGCAGGACATTGCAGTCCTCCGTGAACACTGTGGTGCCAGGATTGTTCAGGCGGAAGGCCTGTGCTGCTGGTTCCCACATCTCGATGGCCCACAGAGTCTCTGAGACTTCTGCCATTAGGAAAAGAAACCAAAAGAGGAAAAAGAGCTTTACACTGCACGCCTCACTTCCAAAGCCGGGTGGCAGGGTACAAAATCCCCCCCCTCCCGGCAAACAAAACTGAATCTACCACTGGCTCCATCATCTTGGCTGCTAATCCTGCACTTCCTAGCCTTCCAATGGCTTTTTTAAATGGCCTTGCCTGCTTGGTGGAACCCTTCCGACAAGCCTCCACAGCCAGAGAACACATCCAGGCTGCGCAACTTTGATGGCTTAATCTCAGCAGTTTCAATTTCACTCTGCTCCGTTGCTCCTGAAGATTTCCCTTTGCTTTTACCTGTGTCAAAAACAGAACAAAACTGGGGTGAGAGGGTGTTCAAAATTGGGTCATAGCAAGACAGCTACACAGCTGGCACTCTGATCCCACAGGGTGCAGGACAGGACTTGGACTTTTAAGGCCCCCTTAAGAGCAGTTTCAGAAAGCGATACACTGCAATGCAAGGGAGATTTTCAAGAAGAGGCTTTTGCAGGCCAGCTGCTGGCTTTCCATAGGGAGCTAGGACACTGTACCTTCACCTCCCTCCCCACCATGCAAAAGGCGGGGGGGGGAGCCTCTCGTGGTTTTCCTTTATTTTATTCATGCATGCAAATGCACTGAGAGGAGGAATGAAGAGGCAGAGTTTGGGCAGCAGAACAAAAGGGAATGGGCGCCCTACTTTAAGCTACCAGGGGAGGGATGCTATCTTTTAAAAATGACCCCTGCTGCAGTGAATGCTGCAGCGAAGAAAGGTTCAAGCCCACTCTCTGATCTATTAATTTGCTACTTGCAGGAAGCTTTTCATGCAGGGGAGCATCAAAAAGAAGATCCCTCCCTGCATTCTGAAGTGCAACAGCCCATTCTACAACCCAGAAACTCTGCCTCCTCATTCCTCCCCTCATTACATTTGCATGCGTATCCAGCTTCCCTGGATAACTTACACACATTTGAGCAGCCCATCTAGTTCAGCATCCTCTTCTCAGTGGCCAACCAGATGCCTCTGGGTAGCCCACAATGAAAGCCTCTATTGCCCATTCGCTGGGTGGACTTGGGGCTTTCCCACATGATCAGATATGGGCCCCCAACTACATTTCCCTTTTAGGGTGTTATTATCCCTCGGAGACAGTAGTGCTATTTCTTAGACAAGCTGCTGGAATATTTGGCAACTGGTGGGAGGGAGAGCGGGAGCCTACTGTGAGTGGCTGCCCCACCCTTCAGAAAACCCCGCTATAGATTAGGCTTTCGTGCAGTTATGCAAAATGAGAGTAAGGAACGGGGTGTCCTGTGGGTTCATTTAACAATACATTAAAAGAACACAGGAAACTGCCTTCAGCCACTGGGACTGGAAATAACTCTCCAGAGTTACTACCACTGGATCTAACCCTGGTGTCTGCAAAACGGGGACTGAAATATATAGCGCTAGAGTCGTCCCAGATGCTTGAGGACAGAGCAGCTCCCCTCAGAAGTCAAGGGGGGGGGGTTGGTTCCATGCCCTGCAAAGCTCTTTGTGCCTCCACATGGATTAGCACAATCATGCAAGCCATCAGTTATGAGAAATGGGTGAAATTCAATGCTAGTCCTACTCCAAGTACACATAACAAAATTAACAAACATAACTAAGTTAGGTTCATTAATTTAAATGAGTCTACTCAGAGTAGGACTTGGTCGAACTCCACCCAACGTTGTAGTGTCTGATATGAGTTGCTAAAATCATTTTTCTGTCTGCAGAACTACTGGATTAATTGGGAATTTTGATTCTCTCCCCTTACCCCCAGCCTGCCTCCCTGCAGGGCAGTGTTTACACAGCCTTCCTTTCTACTTCCAAAGGTCTGAGGGAAGAACTCAGCACTCTTCAGCCTTCCACGTGGAACAATCCCCTGCTCTCCTCCCCTGCATGCTGTTTTTGAGGTTATCCTGACCCCCCACGAGGGGAAGGGGGAAGTCTTTGCACAGCCTGCCACTGGCAGGACTAATTAGTCGAATCCCGCCCTAAGAGTGGGCTGGGCTCAAACACCAGTCTGACGGAGGCAGTTATGTACTGATTAAGCACCCACCTTTCCCTTTCCCTTTCCCTTTCCCTTTATTTCCAGAGCTACGGGCATGATATGGTGGGTCTTCAAAGCTTTTCATTTTTGCATTATATGCCTAGAAAACAAAAACATAAATAAAAATAAACTTAACACTAAACATTTTGGCCTTCAAGCTAGCCCAGACCAAGCACAAAACCTTTCTGAAAGTTCCTTGGGCTCCCAAGTACATAGCTGGGACACATGGACAGAGTGGAAAATTAATACTTTAGACCAAAGGCTCCAGCCCACCATAAAACAGCTGCCTCAGGTAGTGGATTCTGGATGCCAGGCAGCAGCCCCGCCTGACCCAAGGGGCGCATCCTACTAAGTGCTTCTCCTGCCCAGGTCCCTCCTTATCATAAATGGGGCTTACACGGGGGAAACGTGCCAGTGAATTGGTCTTCATGTTCATTCGTGCATGTTTGGGGTGGGGATGGATTTTGCATCTCTGACCCCAAAATGCCGTGAGCCACTAAGGGCTTTAGCAGCCTTTGGCTACCAGCTGGCATGTAGAGAATGCATCAATGCCTGCACAAGTCAAACTGTGCCATGGGAAAGGTCACCTCTAGGAAGTAGAAGCGATCAGAGCCACTGGCAGAATAGTCCTGGATGTTTTCTGTCAAATCTTCCCCATACACCACCGTGCAGCGGCCCTGCACATCTTTGAACTCAACGGTGGCCTCTTCATCGCTCCAGTATAGTAAATTGATGTCTGCATGGTAACTGGCTTTCACGGACTTATGGGTGTTCTCTGGCCTGGAAAAACAGCAGCACAGAGAAGTATTTTCTTCTGGGAAGAGAGCAGGCCCAAACAACAAAACATGCAACATGAAATAAATGATGCTTCCTCAGCCATGTCGCTTTCAGAGGTTTTTTTCCCATTGCCCTGGTATTTGAAGGCAGTCTTACCTGCCTTCAGTTCTGCCATCCACATTTTGTCTGGGTGTTGATTTGGTCACTTCACTCCTCTGTCCCAAGTGCATGGAGCCCGTGGCCCTTCAGATGCTCTTATGACTACAACTTCCATAATCCTACCTGGCCACTGGCCATGCCGATGGGGCTGAGACTGAAGGGAGTTGGGCATTCCCTGCACTGCTTTTTCTTCCATTATTTGTTGTCCGCCCCATAAAATAGAAACATGGAACACACCGGATATTGGGCTACAAACACTTGTACTATTAAATTCTGTTTGATGACCAAGCTCTCAAATATTGAATATTGGTGTTTTTCATTTTGATGTACTCAGTAAGGAGCCAAGCTAGAAATGATGGAGCAGCCACATCTGACCAATCGTGTCTCTGTCTTCTGCATAAATAAAGCAGGGGAGGCAGAGGAGGATTTTTCTTGATCAATGGCTTCAAGCAGCTAAACAGGCCCACAAGCCCAGCTCCAATACTAGGAATGAGTCAGGCTGAGAGAAAGGTTGTTGCACTTCTAATTGTGCTTTGAAAACATGTTTATTCTGTTGTTGTTTTTTTAAAATAATATTTATTACTTTTATAGATTACAAAAAGAGAGAAGAAAGCAAAAAGGGAAAAAAACAGGGGGAAAAACAAAGGAGAAAAACAAAAAGAAAAAACAATACAATGCAGTATATAAACAATACAAAACACAACCTAAACTCAAAACTAAACACATTAAACTAAACTAAACAAACCCCACTCCCTGACCTTAACCCTGAATAAAACAAAACAAAAACAATTTAAAAACATACATTGTCTCTTTTCCATACTCTATCTTTCATTCCCTTATTTCCTCGACCTCCTCACACCTCCCTTTTTCTGTTCCACTTCTATTAATTGTTTCAGCAAATCCTTTCCATCTTTCTCCATTTTCTGACATAATGTAAATAACGTATTTTTTAACCTTATTTTCTATTAAAACTAAAATACTTATATGTGCTTAACTCCTTATAACATTTCTGTTAAGCCCATATAAAACAAAAAACAAAAAAAAAATCATTCCACCATTTTTCCATCACTCATTAATTTTACCATAAGTCTATATATAAACTTTAAATTTTCCAATCTTCTTCCACCATCTCCTCCCCCAGTCCTTTCCGTCAATTCCATAAAGTCCATCAACCTGGTGATCTTATGTCCGAGGCTCTTAACTCTTTTCCAAGTCCCTTCTGCAGGTCTTCTTCATTTTCTTTAATGCTAAAGAGCAAATCTCAGGGAAACTCCAGCCTGTCAATCCTTTTCTTCCTTCTGAACAGATCAGCTAAATTTCCATAGTTAAAGCTACAGTCCATAAAGTATTTCTGGGTATATTTCAAAATTCCTCCAATTCCAAAGGCCCCCAAAACTTCAATCTCCTCCAGGCCCGAGTCCACGTCCCAAAAGTCAGTTAATCCCTGCATAGAGGGCTCTTTCCAACTTTCCTTCTTTAATCCAAGCGGGGATCCATTCCTCGGAGTCCAACTTTTCCTAGATTCAATCATAGAAGGCCTCAACTTATAGTCCTCAATTTGCTTCTGTAAAACCACAGATCTCACTTGTATTATTTTGTGTTCAACAACAGTAGCATTCTCCTCCTCCTCCTTCTCCTCCACCATTTGTCCTGCCAAAATGGGTTCCTGTACCGAGTCCTGAATTATTTCTGTGTTGGTGTTCGCTTTTTGACTCAAGTTGGTCACTTTCTGTTCCAAATTATCAACTTTGAAAGTCATGTCATCCATCTTCTTGTGAAGCTGTCCCAGCGAACAGCTTATCTTGCATAAAACAGTCACAATGGCCTCTCCTGTCAACATTTTTAAATAGTCCAAGGTCGCTCTCTGGTTCTCAGAATCCTTATCTGCAACTGGAAATCCCCCAATTACACTCCTGTAACAGTTTCAAAAGCTCCCTCTAGAGGGAAACAGTCTCCACTTGTATCAGTTCTTTCAAGCGCAACTCAAGCATTAAAGATAAATTTTCAGTTACTTTTCCTCTTTTTTGAACGCAGAAAAGGACAATGGAAACAGTATCTTACTCCTATTTAGCTAGCTGTCAAATCCGTTCTGTCGAAAGCACTCTCTCCAAATGTCATCTGGCAGCCCGTTCCCAGGTTCAGAGCAGTGGTAATTTGATTTTTTCACTCTCTCCTGCAGGCTCACTAGATCCAAAATTTCCCCCTCTTCTCCTGCTTCCAAGGGGGGGGGGGTTGTATTTTAAACCGGTGGAAATTGGATCCTTTGCCAAAAGCTTTCAAAGGCTTTAACTTGTAACGTCTTTGCTTCAATCTATTTACAAAAACAGGAGGCGGACTTCCTGTTTATAACCTTCCCGTTTCAGTGCCGAATTAAAGTATTTAAGAATCCAATTTTCCGTTTTACTCACGAGTAAATGTTTAAAGTCCAATTGTCCACAGGAAAAAGTCAGCGCTCTCCGGCAACAGCAATGCGGCTTCACTCCATGAAAGAAGCAGTCGATTCAAAGCACCGCGCCACTCACCCCACGTCGCTCCGGATCCCCAAAACAGGGTTTCCCCGCGAGTAGGGGATGCGCAAAGGTGCCGGCCGAATCCCACGTCCACAGGCTTCTCCCGCCTGTGGTTTTTAATGGGTCTCCGCCTCGCCGTGGCGGTTCAGACCCTGTTTTCCACGGAACGGATTCCTCCCGATCAGAGGAAATCTGCCATTGCCAGAGGTGCCAACCCGGAAGTCCGAAAACATGTTTATTCTGGAAGGCCTGCAATGACTCATTTTTGCATATGCAGATTTGATCTTAGGCAGTATCGGATTTTACTGTATTGACTTTATAGTAATATCTATAAGCGGCCATATGAGATATTTACTTTTGAGAATGGGGTAGCAGACACTCCACCCACATGCTGCTTTTTACATGAACAAAATGTACCTGTTCACATCGTAGCCTAGTGTAGGCCTAACTTTTGCCATTTCAGATGTTTCTCAATGTTGGTTCAGCTACTTTATCTTAGAAGGCACTTTAGAACTATGTATTTTACTTGCTACTGCTGTTTTTAAAAAAATAATTTTTATTAAAGATTTTCATGAACTACAAAACAGCTGCACTTAAGAGTTCAAAAATAAAGGTTTTACTTAAATTGGCTAACACTTGTCTCTTCCACCCTTCCACCTTCAGTTCAAACACTTTGCAGAAATACATTTCGGCGTTTTCTTCTCTGGTATGCCAGCCAGTCGAGGATTTCTCCCTCAGACCCATGCTGCCCGTGTACATCTTCCTTGGTCACCATTTTGTTACCAGGATGCAGGGACTTCCCACAGGACACCTGCCTCCTGACATCTATCAACACCATCACCATAACCAATCGCCATGTAAAAAATCCTCAAGCCTTCTTCCAACCATTTGTTCTCTCAAAACTTCCTTTATGAGGTCTGCTCCCCACGTCTCATGTCCAAAGGGGTTAGTGTGTTAGAAGACCTGGGTTCAAATCTTCACTCTACCATGAAGCTCACTGGGTGACCTTGGGTCAGTCACTCACTCTCAGGGTTTTGTGACGATAAAAGTGGGACGATAACCATGTATGCCACCTTGAGCTCCTTGGAGGAAGGGTGGGCTGTAGGAGGAAGGAAGGAAGGAAGGAAGGAAGGAAGGAAGGAAGGAAGGAGGGAAGGACCCCTCTTTATAACTGTAAGCTGCCCACTGTTTGCTAGTCCTCAATAAAGACCACTCTACACTCCACTATGTAGGGCACATACATCCTAACCCCACTGACCTGCTATACAGTGGAGGAGGAGGAGGGAGCCTAAGTAGAAGAGACACAAAGTGTGTCCACGTTATTGACGCGAACAGAGGATTCCCCCCCCCCCCCGCTAACAGCAGCTTCAATGAGCAGGAATTTTCATCAAGACCACAATAAGGGGGAAAGAGCTAAGCTGCTCCTCCCTGCCTGCTGCAATCCTCATTCAGCAACTGATCTTAGCATTTTTAAAAATAACACGTTAAAATACAAAGATGCATTTGGTTGTGGCCATTTGATCCTGAATCCAAACATTGCTCCTTCTCCTGAACAGCAAGTTACCAGGATCATATATCTTTGTTTTGCTTTGCGGGGGGAAAGGTTACCTCATGGGCAATCCTGAATGCAAGGTCTTTGCGCCCAGGAAGACACAAAGTTTCCCATTTAGGGATATGCATATGGAAGATGCCTTCTGTATCCCCAATTCAAAAACGAAGTTTATTTTTCCATCTTGCTGGTAAAGCCATCCTGCTTGCTGTTTACCTGTAAAGTTTGTATACACGCAGCTTGATTTCTGCTTCGTTGGGCCTGCCGTTGCTGCGAATATTGCAGTAGATTGCCTTGATTCGGCCGATGCGATACGGCTCAGGTGCATCCTGGTTGCTGCCTTTGATGTATTCAGAATACTTGCGGTAATGCTCAGGATGCAGTTCCTCGTCTACTGCCTCCTTTTTCTGCCGCTTGATAGGGCTGGCAAGCCTCAGGCTGGGGAGAGGGGAGAAAATGGGAATGAAATAAAAACCAGGGCAATCAATGAGCGACACAAAGTCAAAGTTTCTGCAAATAGGAGGAGAGTGACTTCAAACTGGTATAAGCGTGAGCAGACAAATGGGCACAAAATTTTGTGGCCTGCACAATAATTATCGTTGATTGGTTTGCAAGGCTGTGCTGAGGACTCTTGACTGATCAATAATATTTAGAAGGCTGCCCTGAAGATCTGCAATGTAATTGCATTTCTTTCTTAATTCTTTAACTCCCACAACTGTATCCAACGAGTTTCCTTCCCTTTTAGTGACCCTTTTCTTCTACTGTTGATGTTTAAATGACGTTTTAAGATGTGATATTCTGAAAAATAAACATTTTTAAATGCGTTGAGCTGGTATGAATCAATTTGGATTTTTGATTCCTGCATTATCAACAAAGGAGCCAGCCCTATACTAAGCAATCCCTTCTCTTGCTCCACCCAGAAGCCTGTTCAAAGACCAACCTGAACAGGAAGGCATCTGGAAGGAGGAAGACTCCATCTCCCACCCGATACTGCACTCCATTTTTCACTGCCATGCTGTAGAACATCTTCCCTTCCAACTCCTCCTGGGGCTCCAAGACTTTGGGGATTTCCTTCTGCCTCACCTCGTCCAAACTTGCGCAGCTCATGCAGAACCTGGGAGGAAAGCAGATGGATACTTGGATTAGATTGAGTGGCGTGGGGTAGACACCAACAAACCCTCACCTTCTAGCGCTAGATTAATGGGACAACGGAAACAGTTTGGAGCATCCAAACCAATGCCATAAAGTTCTATCGCACCTAAGGCCTTCTACCCCATGCCTTCTACCCCACTTTCAATATTTTCCAGCTACACCTCCCCTGCCAAAGCCTTCTAGTCTGGTGCACTAACTTGTATTTGTTGTCTTCAGGAGGCAGAGTCTTTGGCGGAGTCTCAAACCTGGCATACTCTTGATCATACCACATTTGGTAGAAATACGTTCTGCCATCATCTTCCACCATTTTGATCTCTGTATCAAGCCCTCCCTATGGGAAGAAGATTTTGGAAGTTGAGGGGTGGGGAGGAGAGAGATGAAAGCAAGCAGATTATCTAAGCAGAACAAGAATGGCCACTATGATTTCAGCATGTGCACATGCACCCAAACACACGCAGAAGCCACAAAAGCCCAAGTTCAGTTTGTCTGAGGAATTCCTGGCTGCAGGATGTTCTGAATGGCAACACATGGACCGGATACAAAAAGAAAATGTGCTGCAATAGTTATGGTGGGGGAGAGATGAGAGTCATGCCCAAGGTGTCCCTATGAAGCTGGAAGTAAAAATAAAATAAGAAATGCCACAACAGATGCTGGCAGAAGCGGAAAGAAAAATGTTTGGGGGTGGGACAACCTATGCTTCAAGACCACCTTGCAAGGAGACTGCACATAAAGTCACAGCTCCTACTGGAATTATCAGGTGACTTGATCCTTCCAGTGTCTTAAAAAAAGCTGGTGCTTTGCCTGGCCCAGACCCCTGACATGGGGCCCCCAGGGAGCCCTCCTGCAGCCAGCAGCCTAATCTGACTAGGGTGGGAACCTCTTTACAACCTTACCCTATATATGCCCACGCTACTGCTTTATCTGCAGAACTGGCACTTTTACAAATGCCACAGGATGTTCATTTGGCACTTGCAGGAAACTGATGTTTCCGCAGGGAAGAATCTATGCCCTTGAACTCCCTGCCCTTTGACATTAGGCAGCCACTTGGGCTGCATTCTTTTTGGCACCGGCTAAAGCCTTTTGTGTTTAGTTAGACAAGCCTGTGAAGATATGCAAATGTGACATTTTAGCATGTGGTTTTCTTTTAAAATGCTTATTTTGTACTTGCTGATATTACTTATATCTTGTAATTTTCTTTTGGCTAGTTTGTATTTAAGTCTGATTCTTACTGATATAGTGGTACCTCAGGTTAAGTACTTAATTCGTTCCGGAGGTCCATTCTTAACCTGAAACTATTCTTAACCTGAAGACCACTTTAGCTAATGCGGCCTCCTGCTGCTGCCGCGCCGCCCGAGCACGATTTCCGTTCTCATCCGGAAGGAAAGTTCTTAACCTGAGGTAATATTTCTGGGTTAGCGTAGTCTGTAACCAGAAGCGTATATAACCTGAAGCGTATGTAACCTTAGGTACATACCACTGTAATTTGAATGTATGTTTTATTTTATATACACTGCTTAGGGACTTTTTAGAATTAAGAATTATACCAATTCCACTAAATATAAAGTGTGTGTGTGTGTGTGTGTGTGTGTATACACATACACCCCCCACCCCTTACAGTTACCTAACTTCTTCCTATGTTACTCTTCATGAGCAGGCAAAGGCAGCTCTGGCATGGTGCTGTGACCAACCTAAGTAGCTGCCATGGGCCGCTGCAGTGCTGCCTCCCAAATGCTGGAGCCAGGCATAAGATAAGAACAAGACATAGTGGAGAACTGTGAGCATATTAGCTCCAGAGGGAGACAGTGGTGCCACCCTTCCATCTAAGCTGCCAGAGCAGTGGAATTCCTCAACATACCTCTAGGGACCAGTTCTCTGAGGGAGCCTTGTAAAGGACATTGACTTTGCCGTGAATGTAAGTCAGCTGCATGTCTTCGCACTCGTCCACCAAGAAAAGTTCCAGCGGATCAGAGGTTGCTCCCAGAACGGTGTCAGTGCCACGGCAAAACCAGTGGGCATGGAACATCGGCCCAGTGCTGGCGTCTTCCCACATGGCAGTGACTCTGGGAGAAGGAACAAAGATGAGCTTCAAACTGGAAACCAAGGCAAAGACATCACCCCCCCTCGGAAAAAGACGTTTTGTCTGAAGCGCTCCCAGAAAAGGTGGCCTAGCTGAGAATGCATCAAAAAACATGTGGGGCAGGCAAGAGGACTTTACCTATAGCTCTGTGCAAGTCAAAGGGTTAGAAAGGCTCCAAAGAAAATCAGCAATCCTTATGAACTCTGTAAGTAGGCCAGTAGACCCCTTTATACTGAAGACTGGGGGTGGGGGGAGAACTAAGGCTGGGAGAGAGCAGACTGCATAGGGCCACTTGAAAAGTTTACAGCTGAGGCCGTCTTTCAACCTAGGGCTTCCTAGCTCACAGCTCAGCCCCCTAACCAGGACATTGCAACAGCTTACAAAAGAAGCCTATACTGAACAGGGGAGACCACCTTCTAGGAAGCAGCAGTGGGCTCAGAATAATTCATACCAGTAAATGCAATCCCCCTTCCATGGCTTCTCTCTTTCTAACATGCTTGGTAATAAAATACATACATATTGTATACAGCCTAATAAGCAACTTGCCACTATCCCTAAATACAGTTTCTGGGTAGCCTTTGTCCAAGTTACACGACAGGACGGAAGGTTGAGTCCAAGCCCAGCCCCTACACCACCAACATGACAGCACACCTTGCCAAGTAAAGAGGTTTTGTGGGGTCATCCGGGCTGACAGAGACACAGTCACCAATTTGCAGGGCCTCTGAATCAATGCACACCTTCTGGTAGAAATCCTTTTTGCCGTCAATCTGCAGATAGAAAGAGGGTGGTGTCAATGAGACGGCAAGACGAGAAAAGCACCAGTGCTGGGGTCTTGAAGACTACATAAGCACACTGACACCCACCTTGCTTGCTGTCATCACATCTCAGAGCTCCCTCTGCCTTGGCAGAAGGGATTAGAGCAGTGGTTCCCAATCAGCTAATTACTGAGGACCCCCTATTTTTCAAGCCATGGACCCCCTACTTCTGAATATTTTGATAACTCTATGGAAATTAACTCTGCAAAGCAATTTTTTGAACAAAATGTGGGGTACTCCCTAAAAAGCAAAGGATTTTCAGTATACTAAAACCAGACTAGGGCTGAGCAATATCTGGCTTTCAACAACATGATATATCAGCAGCTAAACATCTTGATATTCTGATATATCAAGATGTCTGAAATTGGAGATGAGGCGTGGGGATCAGATGGGTGAGGGAAGGAGAGGAAGTGGAGTCCCCTCCACCACATGGTTTGAGTGGGAGGGGGTGGGGGTGGATCAAACCCCACTGTGGCTGCTGCTGCTTTCCTGCTGAGAAAAGCTGCTCTGCCTGAGTGCCAGGGGAAGGTAGTGCCACGGTGCCTTGGAGTGAGGGTGACCAGCTGCCCTGTTCTCCGTCAGCGTGAAGAGAAGGCAGCACCCTGCAATCAGCTGCCCTGTTTTCCCTCAGCATGAGCAACAGCAGCTCAGATCAGCAGCGTTATCAGCTGAGATCATTGTGCAATTGGTGGTGCCTTGAAACTGGCTGCCCTGCTCTCCCTTGTACAAGGAGCAATATATTACTGTGTATTGCTGGGTCAAAATCATTATCACGGTGTGATTTCAAAACTGCTTTTGGCCAATATATTGAAAAATCGCACAGCGCTAAAACTGAACATAAAATTTGTGATATTACCATGCAAAAATGACAAAAAATTAGTTGGGGGCAGGCAAGGGATGGGGCCACGGACCTGCTGGGTGCATTCCACAGACCCCCAGGGGTCCCTGGACCCCTAATTGGTAACCACTGGATTAGAGGATGTTGCCTGGCCACAACTGCACCAGGAACCAAAGCATCTGGCTGGCAGTGTGTAGAACTGCTGCCTTCTTTAGGTCTCTGCATAGCTTGGATTTAATTTCTTTTCATTTTCTGCTAAGCATGTCTCAAACTCTCATGGTTGCAAAAAAGAAATTGTTTCAGCTTCCTTTAATTAGTTTGTGCTTTAATGTTTTTGGTTTCTGAACTGTCTAGAGAATGATTGTTATGGGTTGGGTGGTTGGTTGGTTGGTTGGTTGGAGACCGTGATGAGATACGCTAGGCATTTCCCAATATTTAAAGGATATCTAAAGCATGTGACATTCATCACATCGAAGATGGAGGAGGCTTGTTTTCTCCTGCTCTGTAAGGTAGGACTTGAACCAATGGCTTCAAATTACAAGAAAGAAACTCTGGCTAAATATCAGGAAGGAAGAACATCCTGACAGTAAGAGCTGTTTGACTGTGGAACGGACTCTCCTTCCTTGGAGGCTTTTAAGCAGAGGTTGACTGGCATCTGTAATCCAGGGGTTGGAGCAGATGATCCCTGGGATCCCTCCCAACTCTCTAATTTTATGATTCTATTAAAAAAATGTAGTATTTTTTTAAAAAGACAAAAGATGTGTCTAAACCACAAATGATAGGGCACCCAGGAATATCAGGCCCATAATGTGGACACCTACTGACTGGGCCTCTAGCAATGCACCACAACATTGTTTTACACCAGGGTTAGCCAATGTGGGGCACAAGGAGAAGGGGACGACAGAGGATGAGATGGCTGGACAGTGTTATAGAAGCGAGCAACATGAATTTGACGAAACTCCGGGAGTGCCTGGCGTGCTCTGGTCCATAGGGTCACAAAGAGTCTGACACGACTAAATGACTAAACGACAACAGCAGCCAACATGGTACCCTCCAGCTGTTGCAGGTGTCCATCTCCCTTTAGCCCCAGCTAGCATGGCTTATTGTCAGGGATAATGGAAGATTTAGTCCTGCAACATCTGGAGTGCAACCTGCTGGGTATCCCCAAATGACACAGTGAAGTGCAATACACAACAAGAATGCAAAGGTTGAACTCAAGGGATCTCTGCATCCCCGCCCCCCAAACTTGGATGTGCGACACCAAGCTAATCCCTTTTCCAACTGCTTGAACTGCCTTTTCCTGTGCAGGCATTATACCTTGACAGGCTCTCCCACCCAGGAAATTCGGCTCTTGCTTTGCTTCTTCTTCCTTCCTTGCAGCATTTTTTTGGGTGAGGGCACCTCAGGGATGTTATCATCCACTTCCTCATCTTCATCAGCTTCTTTTACGGCCAGATTGGGACATCTAAAACCAATTTTTAAAAAAATACAATGTGCAGCTGAGAAATGGAGGCCTAATTTGGCAAGGACATGCACACACACTCCCCTCCCTGCAAACCCCTCAATTCGGCAATGTGTTCATTTTGCAAGCAGATTTCTCAACTGAGATATTATACCAACAGTACAAACATGTTTTGTTTTACATAATCCTGGCTAATTTAGTTTGCCTGAATCATCTCATTTCTACAGTGCTTTACAATACTTTGACACTGAGCAGCATTAAATCCAGCCCTTATTGCTGCAGAGAAGAGTTTGAAGATGGGACTAACGATGCAATTGCTCAGAGACAGAAAGCAAGGCAATTTTAAAAAATCCTCAACTCATAACTGTTCAATTCACATTGATTCTAAATCCATATAGCCATGTCAGGATTCAACAGTTCCTCACATATCTTGACCAGAGATGTGATAAGTTGTGTGGTGGGTGGTTTATTTCAATAAGAGTAGTAACACAATTATGTGCATTATATAAACCTGAGTGCATGTATAAGTTTTCAACTGTTGGGTCGGCAAAAATGGACACAGGTGGATGAATCTCTTGCCCAAGCTTGCAGTCCTTCAAGGCGGAGGTCATAATTACCTTCTCATTATGCAGGCCTGTTTTGACTTCCCAGTGCCACCAAACTTAATCATATCCTGGCAAGCTTTGCATTTGCCACACTCTGGCTGCTGGCAAACCTGGAAAGAGAAAAAAAAGGAAGGAAGGAAGAAGGAGCCGAGACAACATATGCATATGGCCCAACACCTGCCAGGAGACAAGTATCCAAACAAGGGTAGTTCACAAGGAAACTGTGGATGGGTAAGCAGAATGGGCAGGTGTATCCCAAACCAAGATAGGCTCCACTCTGAGGAAGACTCAGCAAACTCTTAGGAAACAGTAAGATGCTGACCCAGCTTCCATTGGTGGCGATTCCTAACAGGCCTCTAAACAAAGCAGTCTCTAAAACAAATCACAGCCTTTAAATAACATAAAGGATGGTAGCCCCGGAAAGGGAGGGAACGACCCATGATAAATGTTTTGGACTACAACTCCCATGAGCCCCAGCCAATTCCATGGGAGCTACAGTGCAAAATATCTGGAGTGTGCTAGGTTGGCAAAGGCTACGAGAGAGAGAGAGAGACAGACAGACAGAGAGAGAGAGACGGAATGAATTTGGGGGAAATGTTAAGAAGTTTGACTTCTTCCCTTAAACTTTATATACAGTTTTCCCATGGTAGCCTGCCTTGTAACCCTTGTGACTATCATTTCACACCAGGAGGATAAAAACATTCATGTTTTCTTAAGACTTTTAAGAATTACTGGGGTTTTTTTAATTTGGGCATTTTTTTTACAGTACATTTGAGTGGATTGCTACTGCTTAAGTTCGGTGTGTAAGGATATATGCTTTATTTTATTTCTCTCCACCCTCTGCCAATGTAGCTTTTGCTGGTTTTCACTAGTTTGTTAACCATCTCAGGAATGTGCAGGATAGAAATTGTGCAAATGAGTTCTGAAAATACGGGTCATATTAAATAGGGTTGCCACCCATCCCTTAAAAATTGGGATTGTCTTGTTTTGGGGGCATAGAGTCCCCTGTCCCGTCTGGCACCCTATTTGTCCCATTTTTGAAGTCATAAAAACAAAATTGGCATTTGTGAGCTCACCCAAACTTGCTTGTCTCATGCAACCAGAATTGCTAGGTGCTCAGGAAACTGAGCCCTCCCTCCCTTCCAAAACCAGCTAATTGGCGCTCCAGGGTGGCCAACAGTGGAGCAGCAGCCTTTTCAAAGGGGAGAGAAAGAGTGTGGATGTCGGAGGCAAGGAGGCAGCCTATGGCTGAACCTGAGTGTTTTGTTTAGTTTTGCTTGCAAGATGAAGCACGTGGCCAGGCATTTGGGGAAGGGGGCTTTCTTTGTTTTGATCCACTACCTTTTTAATATAACAATTCTGTCCCAGAAGCAGCAGCTCTGGAGCATCTGCATACGAGTGATCACTGATCAGGTGTCCTCTATTAATCCTGCCAATTAATTATTTTTGAAAGATGCTTCCCGCACCCTTCTCACACATAGAACTAAATGCATATTTTAATGATGGCACATGCCACCTACAATTATTAGAACTGGTTGCAGGTTTTTTAAAAGCCATTTTTTCAGTACTTCTTAGATCCCTGCATTGCAGACCAACCTTGTTACTCCTGATATAAAAATGCAGGGGGACTGGCAAAATCAGTAGAACTTATAGTGACTTTCTTCTAGGGCTGGGCAAACACTGAAACTCCAAATGGTGACCTGCTCAGGGAAGCCATTCCTGTCTGTTTAAATAGGCAGGAATGGGTTGGCCCAAGACATTTTGCTACCTGAAAAAGAACAGTGGTCTAGCAATCAATCCTTCTTTCCAGAGGACTCTGGGGATTATATCTCTGGGAGAGCAATAGGGGGTCTCAAAACAAACAAGGATTCTTTGGGGGACGGAAAGAAGAAACAGTTCTGACAAGGGAAGATTGGCAATTAAAATTAATGGAATATGCAGAAATGGTGAAACTCACCAGAAGCATAAAAAATCAAGACAAGAGACTTTTTAAAACAGACTGGGGAAATATTATTGAGTATTTGTAAACAAATTAAAACATTTGCAGGACTGATATAAGCACGTGCAGTAAGAGACAATTAAGGGGGAAATAAGGAAAAATTTGTAAATATATTTGAATCAGATATACAGTAATAAAAAGATATGAAATAAAGAACCACAGAAAGGAGGGGAGGGAAGTCAAGGGGAAGAAAGATTTTGTTTTTCTTGTTAACATATTTGTGAAAGCTGAAAATGGAAAATAAAATGATTTTTTAAACAGGATTCTTTGTGGAACTCCACAACTGTTAGTGGCTTTAAATGATGCTTTAGTTAAGATTCCTGCATTGCAGGGGGTTGGACTAGATGACCCTTGGGGTCCCTTCCAACCCTACAATTCTATGTCTCTATGAATTCTTTTAAAAATGCTTCAGGTATGTGACAAGAATCCTCTAGTGGTAGGATGAACTTGTCTGACTAGGATATGTGTGTGTGTGTGTGTGAGTGAGTGAGAGAGAGAGAGAGAGAGAGAGAGAGAGAGAGAACTGGCACATGGGACGTTGGAGGCAAAGCTCTGTTAGGAAGAGAAACAAAACTGTTGCTATCTCCAGCTCTTTCTTTCTTTCTTTGGCTGGGTTTCCACATTTACCATTCTTCTGACAGGCAGAAATTCAGTGGTTGGGGAGGATGTGAATCATTGAAATTAATGTGCATTGCTAACTTAGATCCATAAATTTCATTGGGTCCACTCTATGAGCATGACCAGCACTGGAAACAATCCACTGTAATGGATTGCTTTGAAACAATTTCATTCTGCACCAGGTGAAGTACTTTTTAGCCCACCAACTCCCCTCCCACAACCTGTCCCTTATTTTGCCCAACCAAAGGTGGCAACCCCATATTTAAAGAGCTCCACATTGCCCTGCAGAGAAGGATGACTAACGTCCTGTGTCACGTGACCACAGGTGCTTTGGGGTCTGCTTCAGGTTGCTTCATGCTTCCTCTGGTGGAGCAGAAAGGTAATAGCAGGTAATCAGAGAGCTCTGCTCCCACTCAGTGTTTGGAGCTCCCATTGTTAGGCACATTTTGCAACAGGGAATTTCATTAGCGCAAGCAGTTTCTGAGCTCTGGGCGCAGTACTGCACCTAAGATTTCAGATTAAAACTGCAGAGTGGAAGGAAAGGAGGAGCTTTTTCTGCCTCTCCACTTCCAGCTACTCTCTGAAGACTGGAAACGAGACCCTCTTAAGAATATTAGGGGGGTGGGCAGGGGAAGGACCAGACCATGTGAAAAATGAACATAATACTTTAGCTACAGTTCATATTCTTGTTATAAAAAGTGCGCCTAGACATTCCGCTGTTGGGCCATAACCTCGGTTTAAGGTGCCCTTTAGCTCCAAGCTTTCACATCTCTGTTTCTAACGCCGCTCTCACCCTCAGCTCTGGAAGGTACAACAGTAGTCTTCTCTATGAAAGACCAGATAAAGCTGGAGGAAAATCCAGGAATACATGCTCAGGGACTCTCTTCTTTAGCTACCAAATTAAAGCCAGGGGCCGATGACCAATGCAGGAGCTCATCTCTTTCTGTCTATCTGCCCTGCTTCAAGTAAAAGTGACCCAAGAAGCAGAGGGGGGAGTTGACCTTAATCTGCATGCTGTGTGCTGAACCAGACAGCTCTATATTTGAAGACTTTGGGAACTGTTTGGCCAGGAGCAGCAGTGTTGGGAAGGGGAGTTCCATAAGGCAGGAAATGAATGTGTCCAGGAGACCAAAAAGAAAAGATGAGGAAGCGCTGCTCCTTCCATGTTGGAACTCCTCATGCCACCCTTTCTCTGTAGGCAGAACAGGGTGTCTGGGTCACCAATGCAGCCTCTCTTTTGTTGTTACCTCACAAACCCCACAGCGTCTGCGCTTCAAGCTATTCTCTTTGTCTTCCTCCTTTTCGTTTTTCTCTATTTGCTCAGAGAAGAAGGTGTCAAAGATCAAATGGACCAGCTTCGTGGTGGTTGCCTTGGTAGGGCCCTTGTCCTTGTCGATCTTGGTAGGGTGCCGAATGGCTTGCCTTCTTGCTGCTCGTCTAGGAGGAGAAGACAGATGTGAAAAGCTAAGCACCTGCAGGAGACAGGGAAAACACTGGAACAAGATGGAATCCCCCCTTTCTCCAGCTCTCAAAGCCAATTTGGTGCCCTCCAGAAGCTGTTGGGACTAAGCACCCCACACCCATGACTGGGCTACCTGGGACTGATGGGAGCTGTAGCGCCACCAACATCTGGAAGGTACCACATCGTCTATCTCTGAGCTACAGTATTCTATCCTCATATAGGCAAGAGGAAAATTCACCCACGCGCTCCTCCAAATAGCACACAGCTGATCTGCAGAAGGAGTTCTAGCAGAGTGATAGAGGACACGCTTCTCATGGAAAAGGTCCCAGGCTCAACCCTCATCATCTCCAGGTGGGGCTGGGAAAAACTCCTTCCTGAAATCCTGGGGAGCCGCTGCCAGCTGGCGTAAGTACTGGCTTAGATGGGCTGACTGACCAGGAGGCGCATCTGTGCTGTGCTATGCCAAACATCAGGTCACATGATTGAATCCTTCTCCCTAAAAAACATTCCCTGCACACAGAAAGAGACAGGACCAAAGAGAAAGTCTAGAGCCCACCTCCCGAACATTGAGTGTGGCAAATACTGAGCACCAAAGAAGGTTCTCTGACGCAAGCCTTCTCCTTTGGCGTTAAGTTGCACAGCCCGAAAGAGGAGATGAAGCACCTCCGAAGGGCCACTCCCAGGGTGCAGCTGCTGGCGTACCTTTTGCCTAGCGTGACTCCTGCCAGTTTTATCAGGTCTCTCATGCAGGGGGTGATGAGAACAGGAGGCTCGTCACTGTCTCCTGCCTCATCATAGCTTTCCACTTGCTCTACCACAAACTGGGCATGCCGGAGGAGGGAATCTTCTGTGAAACGGTTGAAGTTTAATCCAGCAGGAGGGACAGTGGTCTGGAGACAGAATTAGAAGGAATTTAACAATTCTACTGGTTTTAAACTGGCAAGTCAGGAGAAGAATTTTAAGCAAGAGCAAAAAAGCATTGCAATAGCAGGTTCATCTGCTCTCTCAACTGCCTGGTGTTCAAAAATGGCTGCTCAGCCATCTCAAGATGGTGACACACAATGGCAGTCTAACCTACTTCATAGGGTTGTTTTGAGGACAAAAAGAATTGAGATGGATAGACAATGTATGCTGATCTGAGTTCCTTGACGTCGGTCTTCTTACAGACACAAGACACAGCTGCCCTGGTCTGCTGGACTAACCTCTATCTTGTTCAGCAGGTCCTCATAGCTGACATCAGGGTTATTTTGCAAGAATTCAACAACAATTTTGCTCATGTAGATCTTCTCCTGCATCAGTGCAAAGATGGGGGCGTATTCCTCACTTGGTTCCATTAGGATATAATCTGCAAAGGCTAGAATGCAATGCAAATGTGTTTCCCAATGAACAAGACGTGGGTACAAATACATACTTAGCCATGAACTGAGTGGATGATTAAGCAACATGTGTGAGCACCTAAGAATGACTAAAACTGCATTAGTGAGCAAGACCAGAGGTCTAACCCTGCTCCCTGTTCCCAACAGCAGCCAGCCAGAAGGCACAAAGATTGCTTGTCTATCAAAGGGCTATCAAAGATACACTGCCAATGAACATGGAGGCTTCATTCAGTTGTCATGGCCAACAGAGAGATATTTACAGGAGGGTAAACCCTGGCAGTTGCCCAAGACAGAAAATTTGAGAAGGCATTTGTAAGGTTGGTATGAATCTCATGTAATATAATTTGAATGCAAGTGTTGTTTGTATAAAAGAGAACAGAATGAGGTTTGTGACAACTTTAATACATGTATATTTAATGTACCTCACTGGGTCAGCAACAAGGCTTTTGAGTTTATGAACAAAGAAAACTGTAACTGATGGGAGCTATTACGTATATTTTTTGCAGGTGCATAACTGAAGAAGCAAATTATGTGAAACGGATACCAAAAATCTGTATTATTGGAGAAGCAAATTTTGTATAACAGTAAGCTCCTATGAAACTGACAAGAAAAAGTTTTAATAATGGAGAAGAAGCAAGTTTTGAAACATGAAAAGCTCTTTTAAAAAAAACACAAGATAAATTTTTTTTGGAACGGATCTTACTGCAGTAATTGCCTATTACTATTGCCTGCATGGGTTTTCCTTTTTTTGCAGTCACAAAATGATGGCAGATGGAGGCAGCATTTGGCACAACCAGCTGGCAATTCCTGACACCCCTTTCTGCTGCTATCTGGTTCATATTTGGAAATGATTAAATTATTTGCAACAATGTTTTCCTTGTGGCAAGGAGTTCCATAGTTCAGCTTTCCTCACCCTAAGAACAGGCATTTGTTCCAGAGGTATTGTGACTCATTTAAGACAGAATTTGTTGAACCAGAGGCTCTAAATGGAGAAGGTTTTATCTTTTGTATCAGGCATAGGAAACCTTTGACCCTCCAGATTTTTGGGACTACAATTCCTATCATCCTTGACCACTGGTCCTGTTAGCTAGGGATCATGGGAATTGTAGGCCAAGACATCTGGAGGGCCCGGTTGCCTATGCCTGTTTTATCTATTTCTCTTCCCACATGTCTCTCAAAGTATTTCTACCCATTTCCTGCCGAGACACTGAAGTCCACCTGATGTGGCCCAAGGACCACTGAGGGGTCTCAGTCAACTGCTTGAGAAACACTGCTCTGAAAGAATGCTTTTCTCTTTTTAAGTTGAGCACAACTTGGCTCTTAAAGAATGCTTCTACGTGATGGCACTGGGCTGTGGAACTCCCTCCTCCTAGATACGTAGGCAACCAAAGGATGAAGGCAACCAAGCATTCTCAAAGCTCTAAAGCAGGGATGGGGAGCCTGTGGCCCTCCAGGTGTTGCTGAACTACAGCCCCCATTGTCCCTAATCATTGAGCATGCTGGCTGGGGCTGATGGGAGTTGTAGTCCAGCAACACTGCTCCACACAGTTTGCCATTCCCTGAGGTCAATTCCATGGTAGCTCACTGACAGAACATGCATGTAAAGATGTGCGGCAGCATGTCCTGCTCCTTGGCTGGTAAAGCACATGCGCAGCTTTGCAAATAGGTCGTGCTGTGGATTTGTGAGGATTGCTTGCTCTGCGCAGTCACATATGCAGCGCCCATAGTGGTGGAGGTGATCAGGGATGAAGGGGGACAATTAGGCCACTCAATTAAGCCCACCTGGAAAGGGAAGGGGATTGGCATCCCCATTTTGAGCACAGCATGCAAGAGAACTGGGGTTGGCAGAAGAAGACGCTTTTCATCGCTGCCAGTAGTTTCTGCAACAAATCCCAGAGACTGAGCTGTGAGTTCTGCAAGGCCTGGGTCCCCCTTGTCTATCTGGCTCACTTAGAAGAGTCAGTGACTTAGGAGTGGTTGTTCTTGTTGGGGAAAACTTTAATTTCAAAAAATATGTAATGTTTTTCTGCTGTTTATATATTTTTGTATTTGTTCATATTTATTAATACATTTTGGGAGGCCTATTAATATTTGTATGGTTGTTTCTTTAAAAATTGTTATATTTTGTAATTGTTGGTGAATTATCTTGAAATATTGCTGGTATTTCATTACGTAGATTTTTCTGATGCTGTTGTGAGCCATTCCAAGTATGCGCTGAGCATGAAAAAGCAGGACACAGACAAAACTGAAAGGGATGATGATTTTCTTAAAAGCTTACCTGTGGTGAATCCAATCAAAGCCTTCTCACCTCCATCAAAACCAGTGATCCACCATGCATTGATGGGACCCATCTTTCTGGCTCGGACACCACCTAAAATCAGTGATGAAAATGGAGAGGCATCATATTTTAAAATCACTTAGTTGCTAGGCCATGGTGGATGCATGTGCTTTAATAAGCCCACGCTGAGGAACAGGAGCTGGGCAACCACCTCTGGCTGGTTTCTTAGGGTTCTTTGCTTCCCCTGGAAGCTTGCAGATACAAGTGGGCTGGCCTGAGAAGCTCACTTCCTTTTCCACCAGGTCACTAGATCCACACCTGCACCAAAACCAAGGCACTTAATTGGTCCGTCTTACCCTTGGGAAGCTGCAAATATCTTGTTACTTGATTTACAATGGCTAATTAAAGACAAAACTTTTGACCTTCCTGTCATGAATGAACGATGCTTAGCTAATTTAGCAGCATCCAGTGGCTCGTCTAGTAATGCAACAAGCAAACACGGGGTTAAGTGTCTCTTTTGTGGGCAAAGTGTACTTGCAGCCTCTGAAATGCTGTCCCACCACCTGTACCCTGGACTGCAGCCCATTGTGACTTGACAGGATGGGTCCAAGGAGTGGCAAATGCCTCTTTGCCGTAGGGGGTGGTACCAAAGGCTTTGGGGAAATGTGTTAATGTCTCTCCCCCTTCTCAGGTCATCTGGGATAATGGTCTGGATGGGGCCCAATAAGCTGGAGCTGAATTCCAACAAGCTGTTGGCTCTGCTGGTCGTTGGTTCCCGATTCCAGAAGACGGGTAAATGGTGTGTCCTGAAGGGCACTGCACTCCCCTTGAAGGATCCGGGTTCGTGGCCTGGGGGCACTCTGGGATCCATCTTTGCCACGGGAGGCTCAGATAGCTTAATGAAAGCCTATTTCTAGCTCTGGCTGGTTTACCAGCTATGGCTGTCACTGAATTGGAATAGACTTGTCACAGCAATCCATGCCCTGGTTACCTCAAGTCTGGACTACTGTAATGTGGTCTGCATGGGGCTGCCCTTGAAGACTGTTCAGAAGCTGGTATAGATTTCAGCCACTAGGTTATTGAGCAGCAAGCCACTTTGAAGTCATATCACATTTATTTTCCATGATCTGTGCTAGTTACCTATTCATTTACATATCTAATTTAAGATTTACCATTAACCTTTAAACCCTGAAGAGTTCAGGGTCCATGTAACTTGGAAGAGCACCTCTCTTGGTATGTGCCAGTCTGGTCACTAAGATTAAAGGGGTCTTCTTTGGGTGCTGCCTCTGGGTGAGGCCCTGAGGCAGTTCCATGGCTGATGGTCTTCTCTGTTGCTACACCCTCCCTGTGAAACTCCCTTCCTTTGGAAGTCAATCAGACATAATTTGCACTCCAGTTTTATGACAGGTTAATATGATGTGTCAGTTATGTATGTGGCAGAGTGAATGTGAACACCCCGCCCTGGAGTTTTAAATTAAGAGCATCATATAAATTAAATGGGGGGGGGATAGGGAAAACCTGCCTGCAGGGCCACACTTACCATCCAGACAAGGGTTATCATCATATATTGGCTTTACTGCACCACTGAAGTAGAGTTCGATATTCCTTTCTATGAGACCAGTATCAAATGGGCACAGGTGGCCTTTTCGATCATAAACACTGCACAGAAAAGGAAAAGGTTGCATAGTCTTTCACAACAGCCAACTAAAAAAACCTCCAGTTTCTCATTAATGTAGCTGTAAAGTGTGTACAAAGTGCTTTTACAGCTCTTGGGGCAAAGGGTGGCAAACCAAGTGGTGATAGCAAAATAGAAGAGTCAGGGCTCCAGTGAGAGTAGTGGCGAGGCTTGAAAACGTAAGTGGAGGCCATGAGATGCAGAACACAGGAAGACTGATTCACCTTTTTCTTTTGTAAAGTAAAAGGAAGCCACACTGATTATAGAATTGCCAAAGGCCAAGAACCATAACCATATATAACCGATATGTACTGTACTAATATTACCCATCACTGCGGACAACTTTCCTGGCCAACCCTATCCTATTTCATAGCTGTACACAGGGAACTGTCCCACCAGACTGGGAAAATCAAAAGCAACAGAAAAGCTGGGGTGACTTAAACCAGGGATAGGCAGCCTTGAAACTTGTGTGTTCTGCTTTATTTACTTACAAACTGAGGACCACCAAGTGGAGCAAAGTCCAAAATAGTGGTTCAGGAACATAAGCTGAGAATAAAAGACAGTGTCTCTTTAACCCTGATCAGCCCAGGGTTAAAAACTTAGCCTGTCTTTTCCTCCAAAGCTTTCTCTATGTCAGAAGTCTAATTTAGGGAGTGCAAGAAGCCTTTAAATTGCTCCCATTGTTAAAGACAGTTCGGATTCAGAAAGTCACCGCTTCTGAAAATCACCCGAGATCCCAAACCCCTTCCTGTGGCTTAAACCACACCATCCTGTTAAGCGCTGGGGGCTCCAGAGGGCTGCCAGTGCAGCTGACTGTGCTGCTGGGCACCCGCCTTCCCAAAGATCTTACTGCACTCAAGCAACACAGTTCCAGCAGGTGCCCCAAGGATCCCCAAGGATCCCTACCAGACTTCTGTGGGGATGCTTGGAGGCTGCAATGGAGCACAGCCCCAAACCTAGGAACACACTGGCGTATCCTCAAGGGGTTGTGTTTATTAATAAGGTGCCCCATACTGCTGCACCCTCGCCCCTGCCCAATCTCAACCCTTTCTATTTGGCAAGCAAACACACACAGCTGCACTGTAGACCTCTGGATCAGAAATAAATGGACATTCAAAGCTTTCTTTTTTGAGCAGACTGCTACCTGCTTCCTTCTGCCCTTATCACCCTCTAGTTTCTAAGCCTCAGAGCTTAGCAGATCCTTCCTCCAACTGCTGCTACTGCAGATTCCTGCTTGGAGTCTCAGAGATGTAGGGAGGGGCAGTCCCCCAGGCAGCAAATTTTCAGTATTCATGACTCCCTCCATACTTGTCCCACCCTGAGATTCAATTACCTAGGCTTTACAGTGGTGCTTGCTAATGTGGCATGCTCCCAATGCTGCTGGACTACAACTCCCATCAGCCCTGACCACTAGTCATGCTGGCTGGGGTTGGTGGGAGCCGGTGTCCAACAGTAACAACTGGAAGACCACAAGTTAACCAGCCCTGCTTTATGGCAAGTCAGCACAAGGCCTCACCTGAAGGAAGTCACTTTGTGCTGAGGCAGGTCATCGTAACTCTCAAACCCATCTTCGTTGGCATCAAAGATGGACAAGCGCTCATCTGTCAGCATCTCGGGTTCATCCAGCTAGGAAGATACAAAATTTTATTCTAGACATATACCAGCAAGATAGAATTCTTTTTGTTCATCTGCAAAGGATGGGCTTACGGCATCATCAGGATCTCCTTGGAAGAACTTGAGATCAGGGTCATCTAGGTATTGCCTGCATTCAACACACTTGGGAGGAGTGGTCTGGAAGAGAAAGATATAAGGAGAAAATGCAAGGTGGTGAATTCAGGTGACCAGGATCTAAAAATGGTGCTGCCAATAAGCTTGTGATGTGGCTGAATAACTCTGGGAATTTGTTACTTAAGTGACATTAGACCCTACCATTTCAAAGTAAAACATTTATAGGTCCACTTACAAAAATCATATTAAAAACAGGTTCCCTCCAGATGTTGCTGAGCTCCAATTCCCATCATTCCTGATCACTGGCCATGCCAGCTGAGCTGATGGGAAACGGGAGCCCAAAACATCTGAAGGGAACCAGGCTGGGTAAGGATGATACCAGGGTCAGGGAACCTGCATCTCTCCAGATGTAGTTAGACTCCAACTCCCATCAGACAGTGTGGTCAGGGATAATGAGACTTTGAGTCCATCACCATCTGCAGGGCAAGAGAGTTCCCCATCCCTGGTGTAAAAGCTGTTACTGTACTGCTCTGGGTCACTGGTACCTAGCCAGAAAGGATACCCAACAGGTTTCATGCGCATAAGTGGCATTTCTAGAAAATGCAGGGATTGCTCACTCATAGTTGGCTAAATCTAGCTGAAAGGGGGAGGCAGGATTTCATCAGTCCTACCATTCCATTCCACTGTACCGGCCATCATTTATGGAGCCCTTCCAAATGCTTAGCTGCTTTTCTGACTCATTTTTAAGAACAAAACACACAAAGTTATGCCACTTTCATTCACTATTTTTCTGTTCTTAAAGACAGTAAACCAAGGCCAAGATATGGTATCAGAGCAATGCTGATGTGGTATATCTGAACCCACCCAAAGTTCCACCTGACAGAGGCATTAAATGCCTGTCCTGAAAATCAGAAAAAATAGTATCTTCTTGAACTGCTGATGTTCCAGTCATTCCAGGGCGGAGTGTGTGCATATGCACACCACAAATGTCTAGTATTCCAACCAGATACAAAACAAACCAACACTTACTGACCTTAACAGGTGGCACAGTTTTAACCTGGTTTGCTTCTTCTTTTATTTCAGACCTGGGCAAAAAACAAAACAAAACCCTCACACAGTGCAACAAGTTGGGTAATATAAGCTAGCACAAGAATAATATTGTTTAAGTCACTGGATACAGAGACTTTGATAAGTCCATGCAGTAAAATGCTTTCATATACAGTGGTACCTCGGGTTAAGTACTTAATTCATTCCAGAGGTCCGTTCTTAACCTGAAACTGTTCTTAAGCTGAAGCATCACTTTAGCTAATGGGGCCTCCCGCTGCCGCTGCGCCGCTGGAGCATGATTTCTGTTCTCATCCCGAAGCAAAGTTCTTAACCTGAAGCACTATTTCTGGGATAGCGGAGTGTGTAACCTGAAGCGTATGTAACCTGAGGTACCACTGTACAAAGACACTTTCAGCTTAAAGAAACTGTGTATTCTGGGGAGCCATTTTATACTCTCTACTCTCACTTCCATCAATGCATGAACAGGACAGAGACTGACTGCTCCATTTCAATATTCTGTGTTTCTTTATTTAGCCTAAGGAATGAAAACAAAGCGCTTCTGACCTGGATGGGATTCCTGATGTTCCTGCTCTCTAAACAATGGTTTTTCTGTAGGGTAATCAGTCTGAGGCCCTCTAGATAATTTAGGCTACAACCCCAACATCCGAGATTTGGCCATGCTGACTGGGCCTGACAGGAGCTGTAGTCCAAAACATCTAGAGAGGACCAGATTCAGGGAAGGAGCCGATTCTCTCCCCTGCACCTCCTACATGCAAATTTCTCCTTTCTTCCCATCATAGAGCTAACTAGTACATCTGTACAGATGTTTCAAGCTAGCCAAGGAGGAGTGGCTTTGTGTAATCCAAACACCCACTGCAGCCACTCTCCAAAATATGGAGATACTTCATTTCTCTCCTCGTGCCAGAGGCAACATTTACAGGGCTTTTTTTTTCTTTTCATTTTTAGAAGTGCAACAGGGTTGCTTTTTCTTCGGACTAGACAGCTAGAGCTCAAAAGAACATGAACTATCACTGCTCCCACTGCACCTTTTATTTGCGGCTGGCACCGCTCTTGGCAGAGGTGGGTGAGCAGCCAGCAGCTCTCAGCCCAATTTCAAAAGCTTCCTGCAAGAAATCAGTTTGATTTCCCTTCCAGCTGCTCAATGGGGGGGGGGAGGAGAGAGAAGGGGCGAACTCCTTGCTTTTAACTCTTGCCACACCCAACACTGGCATGTGACCCTCAGGAAATCTATTTATCATCATCATCATCATCATCGCTATACTACTACAATTACTACATTTATATCCCCCCTTTCTTCCAAAGAGCTGAGGGTGGCATGTGTGGTTCTCATCCCTCTGCATTTTATCCTCACAACCATGTGAGGTAGGTTAGGCTAAGAGACTGTAACTGGCCCAAGAGCAGCCAGAAAACATCATGGCTGAGTGGAAATTTCAACCCTGGCCTCCCACACCACCAGTGGCTTGAGTGTTGGATTTAGACTCAGTCAAACCCACTGAAATAATGTCATGGTCAAGTGCAGGCATAGGCAACCTCGGCCCGCCAGATTTTTTGGGACTACAACTCCCATGATCCCTAGCTAACAGGACCAGTGGTCAGGGATGATGGGAACTGTAGTCCCAAAACATCTGAAGGGCCAAGGTTGCCTGTGCCTGGTCAAGTGCCATTGATTTTGATGGGTCTTCTCTAAGCATGACTTAAGTTTGGCTCCATCACCCCTAGTCTGTAAACAGCGAACTGTCCTAGTCTCCTCAGGTAAACTGCTCTAGATTTTTGGAAACTGGATTGAGGGAGGGCCATAGGTAGGTAGATATTTGGACCTGGCCAATATGGCTAACTATTGCCCAGTCTCAAACCATCCATTATTGGGCAAGGTGACTGATCATGTGGTCGCTGAACAACTCCAGACATGCCTGGAGGATGTGGACCATTTGGATCACTTCCAATCGGGGTTCAGGCCTCATCATGGGACTGAAACTGCCTTGGTCGCGCTGGTCGATGATCTCTGGTGGGCTAGGGACATAGGTGAAAGCTGTTTCCTAGTTCTGCTGGATCTCTCAGCGGCTTTTGATACCATCAAACATGACCTCCTTCTGGACTGACTAAAGGAGCTGGGAGCACTGTTATACAGTAGTCCGGCTCCTTCCTTTGGAACCGTGTCCAGAAATTGGTTGGGGAATGAGTGTTCAGACCCCTGGGCTCTCACTTGTGGGGTGCCTCAGGGTTCTGTCCTCTCCCCCATGCTTTTCAATATCTATATGAAGCTGCTGGGTGAGATTATCAGGGGGGTTGGGCTGAGTTTTCACCAGTATGCTGTTGATACCCAGACCTACCTCTCCTTTAAACTGAAACCAGTGAAGGCAGTGAATATCCTGTGAGTGTCTGGAGGCAGTTGGAGGATGGTTGGCAGCTAACCGATTGAGGCTGAATCCTGACTAGAAGTACTGTTTCTGGGGGATGGGCCAGATGGGTGTGGGGGACTCCTTGGTCCTGAATGGGGCAACTGTGGCCCTGAAGGAGTAGGTGAGCAGCCTGGGAGTCATTTTGGACTCACAGCTGTCCATGGAAGTGCAGATCAATTCTGTGTCCAGAGTAATGTCTACCAGCTCCATCTGGTACACCAGCTGAGACCCTACCTGCCCACAGACTGTCTCACCAGAGTGGTGAATGCTCTGGCTATCTCCTGCTTATTGACATGCGCTCTACATGGGACTACCTTTGAAGGTGACTTAGAAACTACAACTAATTCAGAATGCGGCATGTAGACTGGTGGCTGGGAGTGGCTGCCGGGACCATATAACACCAGTCTTAAAGAATATTCACTGGCTCCCAATACATTTCCGAGCACAATTCAAAATGTTGGTGCTGACCTTTATAGCCCTAAACGGCCTTGGTCATGTATACCTGAAGGAACGTGTCCACCACCATCATTCAGCCCGGACACTGAGGTCCAGCTCCGAGGGCCTTCTGGTGGTTCCCTCACTGCAAGAAGTGAAGCTACCGGGAACCAGGCAGAGGGCCTTCTCGGCAGTGGTGCCCGCCCTGTGGAATACCCTCGCATCAAATGTCAAGGAGATAAAGAACTACACAACATCTGAAGGCAGCCCTGTATCTGGAAGATTTTAATGTTTGATGTTTTACTATGTTTTTATATGTGCTGCTAGAAACCCAGCTAGATTGGTGGGGAATAAATATTATTTATTATTATTATTATTATTATTATTATTAGCTATCATTTTCTGTGGTGGCCATGTGTCGTAAATGTTTAGTTTTGGCCTAAGTATGTTCCCAAAAACAAAAAGAGAGTGTTGCTTTTCGTATCCATTGATGAAAATGGTTACATTTCTTGCTAGCAAACATACATGCAGAGAAAGCTGATGAGATCTCATGCGCCCAGTCACTTACCCTTCTTTGGCTTCTATTTTGATTCTTTTCTCATCTTGTTCCTTGAGAGCAAAAAGGAAGATGGTATTCAGAAGAAAGAAACATTTTCTCTTTCTTTAAAATTAGGTGTGAAGTATTAACCTTTAAAATTAGGTGTGAAGTCTTCTCTTCCACCTCATGAGAAGAGAAGACTCCCTGGAAAAGACCCTGATGTTAGGAAAGATGGAGGGCACAAGAGGAAGGGGACGACAGAGGACGAGATGGTTGGATAGTGTCTTTGAAGCTACAAACATGAGTCTGACCAAACTGTGGGAGGCAATGGAAGACAGGAGTGCCTGGCGTGCTCTGGTCCAGGGGGTCACGAAGAGTCGGACACGACTAAACGACTAAACAACAACAACAACATTAACCTTCTAGGGCAGCCTTCACCACCCTGGAAGCCTCCAGGTGCTCCCATCAGGCTGACAGGAACAGCAGTCCCAAACATCTGGAGGGCACCAAGCTGGCAAAGGCTTTTCAAGGGCCCATAATTTATCCCCACTCCAGGGTGAAACAGCAATATTAAATCCAAAATTCCAAATGCAAGTGAGAATTCAGAAGTTTCATGCATACATTTCAAGCATTCTGGTGGTGGTGGAGTAAACTAGTAAAGCAATCAGCATTTACCTTCTCTCCAGGCTGCTCCTCCTCTTCCTCCTCCTCATTTTCTACACTAATTTCTTGTTTCAGGTCTCCATTCACTTCCTCAGATTTGCGTTTATTGGATCTATTGCAAAAAGGAATTAATTTAGGTAACGTTATTTTGACAAGATGTTCACTGTGCTTATTAATGAAGGTGGAAAGCTAAGAAAAACTAAATGGGTTTTAACTTTACAAACCCTGTTCAGATAACGCAGCATGAATTGGATAGCCATGGATATGTGACATTTTAATTTAATTCTTTTAATTGATTTTTATTGAAAATGATCAAATATACATTTCCATCATTAAATATCCACCATTGTAGCTGTACATTCATCAACTTCCCTCCTTCCCCTTCCATGGTTCTTTAAATTTTCCCATATTTTCTGCATATTCTAAGAACTAAAAAAATCCATTTTAGTCATCGTTGTCCGCCCCCCCCCCGGCAATTATCTCTCTGTACTGTGTGTTATACTACTGAATTTACCTTAATGCTGCTAACATTTTCACTTGCTTTACAGTTATTTTCCAAATATTCCACAAAATTTTTCCACTCCTCTTTATATACAGTCGTACCTCGGAAGTTGAACGCCTTGCAAGTCGAACCTTTTGGCTCCCGAACACCAGAAACCCGAAAGTGAGTGTTCCAGTTAGTGAATGTTCTTTTGGAACCCAAATATCCGACGCGGCTTCCTGCAGCCAATCGGAAGCCACGCCTTGGTTTCCAAATGTTTTGGAAGTCGAACGGACTTCCAGAACGGATTCTGTTCAACTTCCGAGGTACGACTGTACAGTGGTGCCCCGCAAGACGAAAAACTCGCTAGACGAAAGGGTTTTGCGTTTTTTGAGCTGCTTCGCAAGACGAATTTCCCTATGGGCTTGCTTCGCAAGACGAAAACGTCTTGCAAGTTTGTTTCCTTTTCTTAAAACCGTTACAGTAATACAGGGTGCATTGCTTGAAGAGGTGCAGTTGCGACTTGACTTCGAGGAGCAACTCATAGCATGCGGTGTGGTAGCCTTTTTTGAGGTTTTTGAAGACTTTGGTGATTTTTTAAGCTTTTCCAAAACTTCTTTTGCAGCCATTTGGTAAGTTAAACTTTTAAAACTTTTTTGGGGCTTTTTGGATTTTGGGTTGGGGTGTTTGGAATTCAAGGACTTGGTGTTGGGGAGGGGTTTGCAAGAATCTAGAAGCTTGTGTGGTTTTTTTCTGCATTTTTATGATTTTTTGTGACCATTGGGCCACTCTGCTGTTTTTTTTTAAAAAAATCTGGGTTTGAATTTCTGTGTGGTGGGTGGCTGGGGGAACAGTTGAGGAGGGGTTTGCAAGAATCTGGAAGCTTGTGTGGTTTTTTCCTGCATTTTTATGATTTTCTGTGACCATTGGGCCACTCTGCTTTTTTAAAAAAAAATAATCTGGATTTGAATTTCTGTGTGGTGGGTGGCTGGGGGAACAGTTGAGGAGGGGTTTGCAAGAATCTGGAAGCTTGTGTGGTTTTTTCTGAATTTTTATGATTTTCTGTGACCATTGGGCCACTCTGCTGTTTTTTTAAAAAAAATTCTGGATTTGAATTTCTGTGTGGTGGGTGGCTGGGGGAACAGTTGAGGAGGGGTTTGCAAGAATCTGGAAGCTTGTGTGGTTTTTTTCTGAATTTTTATGATTTGTATTGTTCCTTCAATTTTTGAAATGCTCTTTACAGTATGTGTGACTTTAAAAAGCACTTAATAAACTCTTGTTGTACCAAATTTGGCTTTGTTTGGACTTTTTTTGACCATAGGAACGCATTAATTGAATTTCAATGCATTCCTATGGGATTTCGTGCTTCACAAGACGAAAAATTCGCTAGACGAAAAAACTCACGGAACGAATTAATTTCGTCTTGCGAGGCACCACTGTACTTGATCTTCTTGCTCTCTTATTCTTGATCTCCAACAGAGGTCCACTTGCCTGATGTTTCTTTCCCCAGGTCACCTGGCTGCTCCGTGTCTCACATGAACACCTGTACCGTTCAGTGCTCAATGTTAACCACTTGATGTAAGTGGTAATGAGGCAATCAGAGTAAAAGGTGGCAGCAGTATGGGGGATGAGAGTCAAATAAGGAAAAGAATCTTTAAGAAAAACCCACAAAAGAACAGTCACACCAGGTTTACACACAACCTACTCACCCTTTGGAAAACATAGCTACTATGGTTGGTTGCTTGCCAGAACTACGGGTGATCCTTGAACTGCTTGGGGATTCTGCAGATTAATTTAAAAAATAGAATCAGTTGCAGTTACCATACATAAAAGGTTTCTGCTGCTTTCAAAGTGCTTAAAGCAGATTAGATTCCCCGCCCCCCCAGCCAAGCCCAAACAAACCCATCTTCTATTACCAACTGCAGAATCTTAATCTGAAACAGACTTGAAGGACAGACTTGCTTGCATATATTCCTTACAAAGAGCTTGCCATCACTATCTGCAGCAGCCTTCCCCAACCCAGTGCCCTCCAGATGTCACAGGACCCTGATGCTTTCACCAAAGGGAAAGAAAAATAAAAAGGGAAGGGACTCAAAATGTTCATTATCAGGCTTGTTGAATTTTGAAACAGAATTTGCATTCTCAAAATCATCATTATCGTCATCATCACTTCCTATTTTCCTTAAAAATAAAAAAAAAGGGTTCACGCTCTTAAAGCAGGATGAAAATCTATCTGTATGCAAGGAGACAGCAAGCCAATTCTAGGAGCAGATCCTGCAGATGGCTCATTTGTCCAGGCTGAACGTAAATGAGAACCTGCAATGCTCCGCTAATAAAACTAGTCAAAGGCCAACCTCTGGCAAACAAGTCTACAGATGTAACTATGCCACATCTGCCCTCATTTATTTGAAACCTAAATAGTAAGTGGGAGTGGGGAGAGAAACACCCTCAATTTCCAGAAGGCTTTGGCTTTCCTGCCATTTATGCTATGTATCCAGAGTCAAAGTAGTGGAGACTCCCAAGAGCCATGTTAAAGCAAGTCTCTAAATGACGTACTTCTGTTCTCACTGTTGGACTTGCTCTTCCTGCCCCTGCGGGCTTTGGGCACAGAGGGTGAGGCCAATGGTGTGGAGGAGCAAGACGATGCTGCCCCCTCCACCTCCATGGTGCTGTCCTCTTCTCCCTTGCTGCTGCTTCTCTCGGGCTCTTCATCACTGCCATAGGCACCATTTTCTGTGCAGCCGTTGGGCTTCTGGCCAAGCTCCAGGCTATCTCCATTCTCCAAAGCGAGTTCTTGGTGGAGCAAGGTTTTGACTTTGGCCAGGTACAGTTCCTGCAGCAAAGGGAAAGAGGAACAGGATGAGTGCAGTGCACATATTCTGGGCACATCAATGGACTTTGCAGAGGAGGAGGGGGGAGATAAGAAATTCTGAGATCCTGGTTCCACCTGCTGTGTCTTTCTTCTGGGAGCAAAAGAGGAAAGACGCAACCTGCCAGCTCCAGTGAAGGCAATTTGAGCTGCCAATACATGGCGGATGGGGAGCCAAGACGTATCGGCAGCTCAAAATGTCTGAAACCGATAGTGCAGTGTGAATGCCATACCGGTTTCAGACAATAAATCGGATTATCGCCCAGCTGTGGAACACAGTGGACAATCTGTCCATGCTCCTTTACAGCAGATGAACTGCCTGGCCAAGATATAAATCACAGTCAAATCTACACATATATCCTTTCACTCACACAATATTTTTGACATGCAATAGCATGATAAGTATGCTACCAACTGCCCCGAGATCTATAGATGTAGGGTGGTATACAAAAATTAATAATAATACCCCCCCACACACTTATTCTTACAGCACAACACTACAGAGTCTACATGCCAGGCCAGAGTATGAAATCAGTGTTAGAAACAGATACGAAGGCTGGGAGCTAAATGGCACCTTAAACCTAGGTTATGGGTGCAACAATTGAATGCCTAGGCACACTTTTTATAACAAGAATACAAGGCTGAAAATGAATGAACTGCAGCTAAAATCTCATATTCATGTTTCACATTGTCTAGTTCTCATCTGAAGATTTCAAAAAACAAAGCCATGCCCACCCCCCTGATATTCTTAAGAGGGTCTCTTCTCCAGGCTTCAGATAGTAGCTAGAAGTGGGGAGGCAGAAAAGGTCCTCCTTTCCTTCCACTCTGCAGTTTTAATCTGAAATCTTAGGCGCAGTACTGCACCCAGAGCTCAGAAACTGCTTGAGCTAATGAAATTACCAGTCACAAAATGCGCCGAGAATAATGGGAGTTTCAAACACTGTGTGAAATAGCCCTTAGCCTACAATGCAATGATCTGGCTCAGTGTCCTTGAATATGTATAGAAAAAGACAGGCAGAAATCTATTGTTTTGGCAATTGTCTCAACAGAATACTGTGGAGTTATCATCCTAGTTATGATCCTAATGCAGAGTCATACAATTTAGCGCAATCTAGAGCAATCTATGGAATTTACAATCTGCCTTAGATTTAAAAAAAACAATTTATATAAAGCTAGGAACCATGTGACTCCTGGGACTTGTGTTCTAGACGCCAAAACAAAATGTCTAGGTGCCATTTTAATTTTGCTGCCATGCTACCCCATAGACCACCTAATTCGCTCTACAGCAGCAAGCAATCAGTAAAATCAATCAATATTATTATTATTATTAATTATTATTATTATTATTATTATTTTGCTGCCAGGTGCATCAGGTGGTCTGCAGGGAAGTGTGGCACCGAAAGACAAGTCTTTTGCTGCCACGTTACCCCACAAACCATCTGATCTGCCCAGCAGAATATATGTGTGTGTGTGTGTGTGTGTGTGTGTGTGTGTACACATACACAAATAAATACATATATATATATGTTTGTTCCCCACTGCTAGCTAGATCAAGAGTGAATGAAGTTATTATCTCCCCACCTTAAAAAAAGAAATAAATGAGTTGATAACTGCAGCAAACTGGAGAACCTTTCTCATTTTAGAAATCATCCCCATCCAACTGGGAAGGCAGGCACAGTCAAACCCACAGAACGGTATCTGAATGGAACAGGAGGAACTGACCCATCCCTATAATTACCTACCTCTGAAAGCTCCTCTTTGTGAAACTTGGTCTCCAGGTCTTTCAGTTGATTCTGAACATCGGCTTGCAAGAAGCCGTGCATCAGACTCAGTTTTTCCTTAACACATTCCTAAAGACAGACAGAGAGGCAGACAGACAGCATATTAAAGTGGCAACTGACACCTTCTCAGGGGGTGGCTGCAAGGAGGCACCGGCATGACTCTCCATTAAAAGGGGGAGGGGGACACTCATGCACTCACTCTTTCACCAAGACCATCTTCATCCCTTTCTAGATCTTTTAGCCTGTTTTAAAAACAAACAAAAACAAACACAGTTCCTCATTAGGAAACAGCCTTTTACAAGGGAGCTTCAGAGGGCTGAGACAGGTGGTATTTCACCTCCTGGATGACACTGGAGTAGGGAAGGGAGAAAGAGGGGCTTGGCAGCAGTATGTGGGACACCAACACACGTCTCCCTGCTGCCCTCATGCCTGGGCAATAGGACTCAGGGGGGAAGCAGCGTTTATTGGCAGACATGGAGAACCTGACCCCTCCAGATGTCTCAGATTCTTTTATCTGCACCATGTCATCTGTCAATAGTACCCAAGAGCCACCTGGCTTACTGCAGAGAATAAGGAGATACCTAAGTTGGCTGAAAAAATAAAATGTTACTTCCATCTCCCTTATTCTAGCCCTGTTAATGGCTGTGGCTGGGATGGCATCACTTGGTTGGTTCTCCCCACCAGCACTGCTCAGGAAGCCTCACCTCGAGAAAGAGAAATCAATACATTTCCACAGAGTGAGAAAATGGATGTCTCCCTCAGCTGACACGAGAATTTGGTCATCCAAGCCCAGGAAGGACAAAGAACCCGGGAAGAAGTCAAGCATGCCTTAGCATTCCATGCTGTTATTTGTTTTGTTGTTGCTTTATTTGCCATATTCACTAAGATGGCAATCCAACAAAACCATTCTGAGGGAAGAATTGGAATTGAGTGGGGTAGAAACCTATATAGAAAGATTATCCCTTAGAATAGCTGGGGTGGGGGTCTAGAGTGCTCAGTTTAGGGAGGAAATCCATGCTACTGCCCACCCCTTCACAGACCCACAAACTGAGAGCATGTTCTAGCTGGCTAGCAAGGATTATTTCAGATCTGTGGAATGCTTCCCTAATTTCCCAGGAAGAGTTGGCTGGGGGGGGGGGGAGCCAAAGCCAAGCTCAGCCCTTCAGAGGCAGCAGCTCCTGCAGGACATTGTTTGACTACAACTCCCATTCATCCCTGACCAATGGCCAGGCTTGCTGGGGCTGATGGAAGTTGAAATCCAACAATATCCAGATGTCACCATGTTGGCTACCCCTAACCTAGACCCACAGCTGCCTACCCAGAGGGAAGCAGCAGTGGGGTTGCTGACATGCCAATTTGGGTTGGAGGGAAAGAATGGGTTCCACTGATAAAGGCCAAGGGAGAGATGAATCATAGAATTATAGAGTTGGAAGGGACCACGAGGATGATCTAGTCCAACCCCCTGCAATGCACATAGAAAACCTGCTTCCCTCTGGTCACCCCCTTCCTATACTGATGTATCTGTATTTGTGGATTCACATAGAGACCTTAGGCTTTGAATTCCACTTCCCCCAAAATCTGTGTGTCCTCTTCTCAAGAGGCAAACATTTCCAGCTGGAAGCCAGAAATCTACAAAATGACATATGAAAGTTTTCCCTCAAAGCACATGATTAAACAGAGGCCCCAGCTACATACAGGCACCAATATGTTCCAGAAAGCAACTCTGGAGACCCTCTTCTGCACTTTCTGTCATTTCCTGATGTGTACAGACACACATGCCTGTAAGAACAGGACCAAATTTTTCAGAAACTGACTAATTCCTTAACTCCATTGAGGCAAAATGTTTCTCTTTGGATGCGTACCAGGGAACCACCCCCTCAACCAAAAACAAAGAGCTGCTGACACACTTTGCCCCAGGACACAAGCCAAGGCAAAAAGGGCGCCATTTGCTTGCACTTTGCACATTTAATTCCTGTTCCATTGTGACATTCCCTGAGGCCAAGGGAGTGCCGCCACATGCAAGTCCTCCCCCCTCTCCAACTTTGCATCCAATTTTGATATTTTTCCCATGTCTCTTTTTACTTATCCTACAAATCCAAAGTGGCCAGCCACCACTACCCTAGCATATAACACATCCTTAGCACACTAGTCTACATTCTTGTTTTACAACTTAGTGAACTGTAGGGAAGAAATCTCTGTTAGGCGAGAAGTCTTTTTGTAAATAATTTTTTATTAGTTTTCCAATATTCCCTCAATAATAGCCAAATTATAATATCAATTAATTCCCAATTAATACAATTATACAAATGCCAATCAACTTCCAATTAATACATTTTAGTTAAAATGGCTCCCGCATGATGGATTGGATGCAGTTCCGATCTTACGTCACTGTGTTTCATAATCTCATTAATTTCAGTTATATTTCAGTTATAATAATAATCTTTTAATCAACAGCTGCATAATTAATGATTTCCATTCGTGTTGTTATATTATATAAATTTATAAAACTTCAAGTGAGGAATTCAAACTACAGTCATACCTCGGGTTACAGATGCTTCAGGTTGCGTTTTTTCGGGTTACGGACGCACCGAAACCCGGAAGTACCGGAACGGGTTACTTCTGGGTTTCAGTAGTTGTACATGCGCAGAAGTGCTAAATTGCGCTTTGCGCATAAGTTCCGAATTACAAGCCGCGTGTGCACATGCGCAGCACTGTGTGTTGTGAACGCTGTGGGTTGCAAACATGCTTCCCGCACGGATCACGCTCACAACCCGAGCATCCACTGTATTATCTTTGTTCTGTCCTGCATGTGAAAAACTGTTATGTCCATGGAGATTCCTTTTGACCATATATGGTGTTGTCTCTTTCACTTCCCAGCTGATGCTGCCTCCCATCATGACTTGAGGCAGAACTGCCATTCAAAAGTTTCTCAAAGGACTTATCTCTCCATCCCTTGCCTCAGTGTCTCAGAACAGACAACAGCCTGCTAACTGAACCTCTTGGGCTTGCCGATCAGAAGATCTGCGGTTTGAATCCGGGGTGAGCTCCCGTTGCTCTGTCCCAGCTCCTGCCAACCTAGCAGTTCAAAAGCACACCAGTGCAAGTAGATAAATAGATACCCAGTCGCCTTTGACTGGACTTAACTGTCCAGAGGTCCTTTACCTTTGTTTTTCTTCAGCCTTGGCAAGTGGGCTATTTTCGAATGTGCTGGAGATTTTCCTTTGCAACTCTCAGTATCTCTGCAACACCACTCCCACAGCCCTGTTTCCTTTCTTCCTTACAGCTGAGATTTATGGCCAATTATCCTTTATCTTAAATTACATTCTGCCAGAAGCACAAACAAATCTCAGTCTCTTCTTCCTTTTTCGATGTTGGGGGGAACGACTCTTATGTTTCCAGCATACTTGAGCTTCCCCTCCCCCTCCTTTCTTCTTTTCAAGTCACACACAGTCTTCATTCTTGCTAATTAATCTCAATAATACTCAAATTTCTCCCTTCCTCACTTGTAAATATTTTTTCATCTTGCATTCTAGAGAGGGTTGCCGAATCATAAATATAAAAAGAAGCTTAGAATAAGCAAACCATGGGCTTCCCTCTCCCAGCTGTCTCTCGCACCAAATAAAATCTTATTTCAGTTCATGCAGCTGAATGTCCCACAGTTTATCATTGCATATTTTTCCAGCAACCCACCCCCCATTATTTTAAAGCCAATTTAAAAATCAATTAATGAGGTGACCTCTATTTCCAGAAAAGGAGTCCGGGGTGTTGTGGCAGACAAAGTGCTTCTGCACCCAGTGCCTTTGCCTGTTCTCACACTCCATGGGGAAGTGAGTGCCAGACCTCAGGGCAAACAGTGGATAAGAGTCCGTTCCTCTCAAGCCCACCAAGGAATTCTGAGAATGGTTTAACCCCCACCATTCTCATTATCTTTATCTGCTTCTCCCTGCAATGTCAAGGGAGTCGTCCATTCCTGGCGCAAAATGGAAATGGAAGCCTGTTAGGCTGCTAAAATACAAGTACTTCCAATGCCTTCTCTCCTTGGGGAAGAATCTCTTTGAAGACTCTTGAGAGAAGCTGCCAAATCTGAATTATTTTTTCCTCAAATTTGCCATTATCAGACGTGCTCAACAAACTGCCTAACTCTGACTAAAAGTGCTGAATGTATAACTTGCTTAAGGTCAACAATGCAAATCTACTGGGCCAAATTCAGAATCCTAAGAAATGCCACCTACCCACAACCCCTTGCCAAAGAGAAACAGAAGTCTGAACTGTTAGAATAGAACTTACAGGCAGAGCACTTGGGCTGAGCTGCTGGCCCAGAATCCTTCACTCAGAAGCTCCCTTCCATACGAAAGAACCATAGACCAAACTTGTGTGCAAGGCAACACAGAGATGGAAAATAATGGAAGCTGAAGAGGTTTTGTTTGAGAACATGTTGCTGTGTTGGACAAGAGTCTACCATCAGCCCCTCCTCTTCCAAGAATGATATGTTCCCATTGAGGGCAGACAATCGAAAAATGCGGAAAGGGGGAAAATAGTTTAGGAAAATCCCAGAGCTGAAGTTTAGAGCCACCACTGGCTCTCATAAGGGAAAGGCAAGCGAGTTCCTCCCAGACTGTTGACTCCAGACAACAGCAGAGAAGCAGTTGCTGCCCGCCTGCACTGCTCTGAGAGGGAGACTCAGAAAGTAGGGAGACTCAGGAAGAGCTGTTCGACAGTGGAATTTGCTGCCAAGGAGTGTGGTGGAGTCTCCTTCTTTGGAGGTCTTTAAGCAGAGGCTTGACAACCATATGTCAGGAGTGCTCTGATGGTGTTTCCTGCTTGGCAGGGGGTTGGACTCGATGGCCCTTGTGGTCTCTTCCAACTCTATGATTCTATGATTCTAAGTAGATACGCAAACAGATGCACCATGCGGCACAAGCTACAGCCTCACAACCATTCACAGCTGTAATGGTGGGCAAAATGCACATACTAGAGCCTTCAAGGTGGAAAGCAGGCTGATAAAAGGAAAGAAATGAGAAATAACCATTTCCTTCTTTCGGTCTGCATGGCTGTGCAAAGGCTAGCTTGTTTACTTTCCAGATTCCATTTTGCAATCGGGCCCAAAGGACCACCTAGGTTGGCTCTGAGAGCAGGAACACAGAGACATGACAGACCCTGAGCTACAACAGCACCCTATAGCACAAGGATTACATGGCTATTTTCCATCTGAGAGAGAAAAGTGAAAGTTAGAAAACAGAATACAGAAACAATGATGTTGATAAATATTTGCTACCAACAATTTCAGAAATAAGATCAAAAGCTCAAAAATAAGTTGAGAAACAGTAAAGGTGTGCAGCGTTACTTCAGTGTAAAGAAGCAACTGGCATCCTCTAGGTGAGAGGCTAGGAAGAAATCCCAGTGGGGCAAGAGAGGGCAGCGCCTACCTCCCATCCCAGACCCAACCTGTTTTGGCAGCAGAGCACAGATATCAGTTTCAGAAGCAGCAAGCAGAGGCATATCGACAAAGGAAATTAGGGAAATAGACAGCTACTACTATGTGGAATGACAGGTAGGCGAGATTAGACCTGGGGGGGGGGCACCCAAAAAACACCTCCCAAGGGAGCGGAGGGAAGGGCTCCACTGAAACGCAGCGGGCATTAGAAAGCGGAGAACCAAGCAGCCATTGCAAGCTCGTGGCTGGCAATGACGCCAACCCACCATGGCGTTTGCCCGGGCTTCCGCTTAACCCTTCCCCTCAAGAGACCCAGGCACATTCCCGCCAAGCCAGGCTTTCCACTAGAAACGCTCCTCCATTTCCTGTCGCAGGTGCCAAGGGGGGCACAGGGAGAGAAGGGGGCCAGTGAGCCCCCGGAAAACTGAAGGGCTGCTTTCAGCTTCTCTGCTGGTTCTCCCCTCTGCACCCCAAAGAAAGGCAGGCTGGCTGCAGGAAAAGTGACTCCTCTTCCTCCTCACATCGTCGCTGCTTTTGGAAAATCCTAGCAGAGAATTAGTCACCTTCATTCCCCAGAACCCTATTTTTTCACGAAGAAAAGTTGGGGCACCAGCCCCTTCAGAAGGGACGGGGCGGAGGGAGCGGAAAGTTGACAATGAATTCCTTGGGGACATTTACCGGCAGCTGAACCCCCTTCGAGTTGTGATTTGACAGCCACAGCAATGCGGGTCGAGGAGCACCCCGACAACTCTGCATTGAGAGGGAAAGCGCTTTCCTCACTGGGACGCGGCAATTCCCGGAGGGGGAGACCTCGCCCCCCCCCCAGTAATGCGGGCCTCCGCGCAGGCGAGGCTCCCTCCGGCCGCCCCTCCGGAGACCAGAGTCCTCCTTTCGGGAAACTTTCCTTGGGAGGCTCCGTGGCCGGGAGGACGCGGGGCGGGGGGGGGGGCGCTGAGGGAGCCCCGGCCTCGGCGGGAGAAGGCGCCCCTCGGGAAAGGGGCTGGGGACCCCCCGGCGGGGCGGGGAAGCGCCTCCCCCCCCCCGCGAGGAGACCCGCACTCACCGCCGGCGCAGCTCCTCCGGGGTCAGCGGGGCGGCCCGGGCGGGCATCGGGGCAGCGAGGCGGCAGCAAGGCGGGCGGGCGGGCGGGGAGGGAGGAGAGGGATTCGCGCGCGCGCGCCGGGAGGGAGGGAGGGGGCGGAGCGGGACCCAGGCCGACCATCCGGAGTCGGGGAGGAAGGGGCGGGACTTCGCCGGCCGCCACTCACCGAGAGAGAGGAACCAAATGGGGGGGGAGCGGAAGAGGCGCGCGAGGCGGGTGGGAGGTACCATTCTCCTTTCTGTCTGTCTGCGTGCAGCAGATGCGTCTCTGGAGCCCGGAGGGGGGTTGGGGAGCCGGGGCGGGCGGGAAAGGCAGGCGCTCCTGCCCGAGGGACGCCCGGCTTCGGCCCGCGGCCTCCCCAGCCCGGTCTTCCCGAGGCTCCTGCCAGGCTTCCGAGCGCGGCTGCCTGAGGCGGCAGGGGCAGCCGATCCCCGGGGGGCCCCCCCCCCGCCCCGCCGCCCCTCTTCTCTCCGCGCTCCTTCCGCGGCGGGCCCACAACGCCCCGGAGCAGAGCCGGCCCTGCGCGGGTGAGGCGCCTCCCGCTGGCCCTGCGGCTCCTCTCCCGGGAAGGCGCCTCAGGGAAAATAACAAACTTTTTTTAAAAAAAAATACAAAACCCCCTGTAATTATTTTCCCCACCCCACTGTGTCGCTGTATTTTTTGTCTCTACTATCATTCTGTTGTTTGGTTTTTCTGTTTCCTCCTTTACCCTGACAGTCATAAGGTTTTATCGGATATAGAAAGTTGTAGCAATCCAACCTTTTACTCAGAAAGAAGTTTTAAAAGTCCCGTTTTTTTCTTCAGCTAAAAACACAAATTTTAAAGACAGGGATAAAACAGTATCAATCCACAGTATTTATCGTTTGTTTTCTTCAACCTCTTGAAAAGCCCTCCTATTATCCACTTTTGGGAAATTTAAAATCTTTTAACCAACTAAGCCTCCCTCCTTTCTTCAGATTCTTCAAAAAGCCGTTAATCCATATTTAGAATAATCCACCAGGCTGTCTGATTCAAACATACAAACTTTAAAAGCAGGAGATTATAAAGCAAAAATATGTTGTTGTTATTTAGTCGTGTCCGCCTCTTCGTGACTCCATGGACCAGAGCACGCCAGGCCCTCCTGTCTTCCACTGCCTCCCGCAGTTTGGTCAAACTCATGTTCGTAGCTTCGAGAACACCGTCCCACCATCTCGTCCTCTGTCGTCCCCTTCTCCTTTAAAAAAGAAAAGAAAAACGTTACCCTGCTTCAAAACCATTTCCAGCTTCTGTCAGTCTCAAAAAAAACTTCATTTTTTTAGATAGTTCTAAAAATATTTTCAGACAATTCCCAATATTAAATATTGTTTTTTTAACTCCACCCTTGCAGTGCCTGCCTCTTTTGGTTCAGAAGATGAAAAGGAGCAAGAGAAAGAAAAATGTTTCTTAATGTCAATCAATCCACAAAGTCCACGTCCTGCTTTCTTCTCTTTACCTTCCCCAATGTCCAGTTTAATTTAAGTCCTTTTGCAGTTTGGCAAACTTGCCAGAGAGTGTTAGGATTCTTGCCCTGTGCTTGCAGTCATGGGATTGTTTTTCTCACATGACAGTGTATGTTTTCATTCCACATAGTGGGAAGTGATGGAGACAGGATGTTTGCATTACTGTGTTCTGTAATGTGGAACTATTATCCTTTGTCTCTTTCTCTTTGCTGTCTGATGAGAAAGAGGAAGGAGCTGAGTCAGAATGCTCCGAGTGTATTACATGGAAATAAAGTAGTTTAGCCAAAATGCTGTGCTGCTGAGTCTGTCACGCGAACTGCCAATACTCTGCAGAATCCTGAAGTGTGCTGATGCTTCTTGATATCAGTCGCTGTGATGTTTGGGCTCTAGAAAGCTTTTGAAGCTCCCGAACAATGGACCAGGAGGGAGAGAACATGCCAGTCGGGCATGTGTCTCTGTCGGATGCCTACTCGTGTGTAGGACGTTCCTGACAGAGAGTACTTATAAAGTCTAAAAATAATGCATCCAGTATTTCCTTGATGCACGTTTTTAGCTCAGTTCATGTACTGAACCCGGCCTTGAGCCCGGCCTTGGCTGGGGAGGGCGGGGTATAAATAAAAAATTATTATTATTATTACTGGAATGCTTATTAAAAAGACTGTTAGCGGGTATTTGTTTATTCTTTTGTCAGCCCCTGCAGATTTTACTCCATGCCAACTCTGCAGGCGGGGGGAGGGAGGGGAGGGGACATAACCGGGTTCCTGAGCCCCATAGGGGTGCCACAGAAAGAGTAGTTGGTCAAGAGAACTGTGGACTCAAAAAGGTTGAAAACCTCTGCTATAGACCATGTTCTGTTACACTTGCCCTATTATCAGCATGCTTGTGCAAAGATTATTGCCCCATTGCTTAGAATAATACCCTGAAGTTCAAGTTTGGAATTGTTCAGGGAACAGAAAACCAAACATCAGAAAGAGCGATAGTTTAGACAAAAAATACAGCGACACTGGTGGGAAAAATAATTACCGGGGATTTGTTTTGTTTGTTTGTTTTACGTTTGTTATTTTTCATTAAGCACCTTCCCAGGAGAGGAGCAACAGGACCATCTGTTGGAATTTTGAGGAAATCACAAGTACTGATTCTTATTTTATGGAAATTGAAAATTTAAGACAATAATGATGATGATGATAAGTTTTGTATTTTGAACTTTAATAATTCAACTCATAACATTATGGCTAACACAACAAAAAAGCCACCTTCAGGCCCAACAACTACTCCAGGTCAGAGTAAAGGTTCAATCGCAGAAAGGTAAACAAAGTCAGACCTGATGACAATTTTATTAGAAATTAGGAAAGAAATGAAAAGAGGTATACAGAGACTGGAACAGAAAACCTCAGCAGTTGCAAATTTACAGTGGTACCTCAGCTTACATATGCTTCAGGTTACAGACTCCGCTAACCCAGAAATAGTACCTCGGGTTAAGAACTTTGCTTAAGGATGAGAACAGAAATCGTGCTCCGGCGGCACAAAGGCAGCGGGAGGCCCCATTAGCTAAAGTGGTGCTTCAGGTTAAGAACAGTTTCAGGTTAAGAATGGACCTCTGGAACGAATTAAGTACTTAACCCGAGGTACCACTGTATAACAGAAATTAAAGATTTGTCACATAAAACATTAGAATTGGAAAAACAGTGCAGACATTAAAGGCCAAAACTTCATATTTGGAGGAATCTTCCAAGAAACTACAAGTCAAAATAAGAGGGAGCAAGAGAGGATGAAAGAAGACATGGAGGCATGATGCAATGAACAGGCACGATGTGATGGTGGTTCTGGAATTAAATAAAAAAAACTTCACTTTTCGATTAAGAAGCGTTCTAGAGGATTTGCTGGAAGAAATAAGTGAAAAAATAATAAAAGAACTTGCTAACCTGATTGAATTAGAAGAAGAGGTCAGTGCGGCAGTGGACAAATTTTTCCATGTGAAATCTAGATATGCAAAAGCAAACAAAAAACTGAGGGATTGTATGGTTATTTTTAACTTGAAAGGAGTTAAAGAAAGAGTAATGCAAATGTACTACCAAAAGAACCTCCAGATTGATGGCCAAAAAATAATGATTTTGAAATAAATTTCAATGAGATTGCTAAAGAAAAGAGCAAATTATATTTGTCGGGTGCACTGAGATATAATAAAATCCTCTTCATTGGGAATACCCAGAATGTCAGGGACGAACCAGGGGTTTCAGGTTCCCCAGAGGGAGCGGGGAGCCTGGGAGCAGAAGAAGTGGACGAGGTGCCCGAGGGGGAGGGAGATAATGAGGAGAGAGCGATGGGAATAAGCCAAGAGCAGGAGGCAGGAAGGGCTAGGGAGCCGGGAAGTTCACAGGAAACGCAAGGGTTAAGCTCGAGCTCAGAATTGGGGGCTCTTGCGAGGCATGTGGAAAAGAGGAGGGCTGAAAGGAGGTGGGAAACCTTGTTATTTTATGAGCTGTTGGAGGGGCAAATGCAGGCCTCAGCAGAGATCTGAACTGAGTGACTCTGATGGATGATAACGATGTGCTAATGACCCGTTGTAAATACTGTAATTAAAGACTATAAAAAGGTCGAGAGGCTCCCATGGTGTTTGTGGTGAAGAGAGAAGCCCTCAGCTCTGATACAGAAGGAGTATATTTTACATATAAAGGGAGAAAACAAAGGTGTCAGGATCCTACAGAAGCAGACAAATTATGGAGAATATGTGGGTGGGAAAGAGCTAGAAGGAGAAAAGGCATTTGGACTGGAAGCAGGACAGGAAGAATAAGACCCGACAAAAGTCAAGGTGAAAGAAAAATAAAGAATAAGATGGCATTGAAAATCTTAACCTGGAATGTAAATGGAGTGAATAGTAAAACTAAAAGAAATAAGATCAAACATGTGGTGAAGAAGTTAAATCTGGATGTGATCAGCCTCCAAGAAACACATATTGCGAAGAAACATAGAAGAATTCTGATTAACAAAAGATTGGGAAAGGACTTTGTAATCTCTGACATAACAAACAAAACAGCATTGTAATGTATTTAAAACCAGAGTTGGGCCCCGAAACCACTATTTAACGATGTATAAGGAAGAATAAAAAAAAATTGTTAATTGGTGTGGGTGCACCAAATGAGGAAAAAAACCTTATTTTTATAAGAGACTTGAAGTAATTAATTTAAATCAAGAGACAGATTTAAAGGTTGTTTGGGATGTGAGTAAAGCGGCAATGCAGGGCTTTTTCATACAGCAAAACACATACCAAAGAAAGAAAAGAACAGAAAAACAAGACATTTTAGAAGAAATGAAAAGAAAAGAAAAGAAAAACAATAAACTCCCAACGAAAAAGGAGACAGTGAAAGATATTGCAAACACAGTTTTCAAAGATAGTAAATCAGGAAATAGAGTGGAGGATTAAATATTTAAAACAGAAACAATTGGAACAGGCCAATAAGTCTGGAAAACTATTAGCTAGGCAAATAAAGAAGAAACAAGAAAAAACTTGTATTAACAAAATATATATAGGAGGAAGAGTTGTGGAAAATCCGGAAGAAATAAGAGATCAATTTGTGAGCTATTTTACAGAACTCTATCGAGCTAAACAAGGTGATATACAAGAAATGGGGAAATATTTAGAAGACAGTGGAATACCTAAGATAGCAAAAGACAAAACGACATTTCTGAATGGTCTGGTGACAATGATGGAATTACAGCAAGCAATATTATGGGTAAAAGCAGGGAAGGCACCTGGACCTGATGGACTTTCAGCAACGTACTATAAAAAGTCACAAGATTACCTATTACAACCATTAAAAGGTATTATTAAATACAGGAAAGCTCCCAGAATCCTGGAAGTGTGCATGTATAACTAATTCCTAAGCAAGACAGAGACCCAGAGTTGCTTAAGAATTATTGACCTATATCTGTGTTGAATAATGATTATAAACTTTTTGCAGGCATATTAATTAATAGATTGAAAACTGTATTAAAAGATTCATCAACATCAGGCAGGGTTTCTTCCAGGAAGACAAAGGAAAGATACCATTAGGAACGTAATTGATGTAATAGAATATTCAGAAGTGAGAAATGAAAAGCAGGCAGCCTTAATGTTTTTAGATGCAGCGAAAGCATTTCACAAAGTCTCCTGGGACTTTGTTTAAAGTTTTGGAACACAGTGGTACCTTGGGTTACAGACGCTTCAGGTTACAGACTCCGCTCACCCAGAAATAGTACCTCAGGTTAAGAACTTTGCTTCAGGATGAGAACAGAAATCATGCTCTGGCGGCAGCGGGAGGCCCCATTAGCTAAAGTGGTACCTCAGGTTAAGAACAGTTTCAGGTTAAGAACAAACCTCCAGAACGAATTAAGTTCTTAACCCGACTGTATATGGGTTGTGGAGACACTTTTATCAAAGGAGTTAAGGCAATACATACTGAACAGTCAACAAAATTGATAGTAAATAATGTGTTTACGGAGAATGGTAAAAAAACCCAACCAAAAACCTAAAGGGATTAGAGAAGGCTGTCTGCTGTCAACTTTATTATTTTTATTTGTTTTAGAAGTTTTGGTGCAAAGAATAAGAGGTCATCAAGAAATTAAAGGAATAAGGGTGGGGACAGAGACAATATAAACTAAAAGTATTTGCTGATGATGTGGTGATATTGATTCCAAAAGCATTAGAAGAGATTTAATTTTTTTGAGAAATAGTAGGTCTTAACATTATCAAAGATAAAACCAAGCTTCTGTTAAAGTTGCAAAACAACGAAGCACGGGACGATAGAAAAAATTCTGGAACAATAATGGGATATCAGCTCTGTCCAAGGCATGACGGATAACAGCAACAACCGGGGAAAACACAGACATAATATCTTACAAGGACAGGAAGAAACACCACGGACAAAATAATTGCCACACACAGGAAGAACAAGATAATGCTTGAGTTCCTCACTTGTTTTATAAATCACTTAATGTGTCAACCTGAATAGAAGTTATTAATGTTGCAGTTGTTGTATGAGGGGCGATGATGACGACTGGAATGTAATTGAGATTAACAAGATTTTGGAACACAGAAAATAATCAAATCAATAATCAAATCTAGCACGTGGGCCCCCACTTTATTTAAATTATATAATTCGGTATTTGAATTATTGATATTAGAGTCGGTGGAAGAAGATTGGAAAAAGTTTAAAGACTATCTACAGAAACATTGCAAAATTAATGAATGTTAGAATGATGTTGGATAGAAATTAAGTGGTTTTTAGCTGTAATATTATAAGGGAATATGAAAAAAGGATTATTAATAGGTTAAAATTCAATGTCACAATATTTTAAGATTAAAGATTAGGATAAACAAAGAGGGGAAGGATTTGCTGAACTAACAAACTGAATTGGAATACAAAAAAGGGAGGCGCAAGGAGGTACGGGAAACAAGCCAATGAAAGATAAGTAATGGAAAGATTGAGTTGTTTTTAACTACGTTTATTTTGTATTTTTTTCTTTTTTCTCTTTTCATTTTGTAATATTTTGAAATTTTTAATAAATATCCTTTAAAAAATATGAATGATTGATATTAATAATTGTATTATAAATTGGTATCGTTATAATGAGGCTGTTATTGGACTGTAATTGTAAATTAATAAAACTAATGAAAATTATTATTTAAAAATGAAAACTATGTAGCGTATAGAAATTTGTTAAGAGAGGAAAGTGGAGAATTCAAATTAAAAGTGTTTAAGGATTTATCAGGAATGTTAACAACTTGGATACAATATAATCAGTTGAATGAAGTGTTTAAAAAGGATATGAAACGAGGGTTTTTTTGGGGGAGATATCTCGAAAAAGACCTGTTAGACTGTACAGTGGTACCTTGTTTTGCAACCAGGATCCGTTCCGGAGCCCTGGCCGCGAGCCGAGAAGGACGCTCTGTGCACACACGCAGAGCGGCTTATGCTTCTGTGCATGTGTGATCACGTTCTGGTACTTCCGAGTTTGCCGCGGATGTTTGCTGGAACGGCCACTTGACGAGGCAGACATTCGCGGAGGTATTACGGTAATGTTAAAGTGATGTCTAAAATGTATAACGTTATTGGAATGAGAGACAAAAGATGAATAAGTGAAATCTTCAGTGATACATGGGCAATCGATATTGGTCACAACATAGAAATGGAGGCCTGGGAACAATTGTGGCATGTGGATATGCAATTTACAGCGTGTTAAGAGAAAATATATGAAAATGTTATATTGATGGTAACTAGCACCTAGTAGATTGGCAAAAATGTATAAATTAAAATCCAACAAGTGTTGGAAATGTAAAGAGAAAGAAGGTACCTTTTTCCATATGTGGTGGTCTTGTAATAAGGCTTTAGCTTACTGGGAAATGATATATAATGAACTTTTCTTTTGGGGATAATGGGATCAGAGCTACCTAAACAATATAGAAACTTATTTATGTATGCAACTACAGCCGCAAGAATATTTCCCCAAAATGGAAAGAATAGTAAGTCCTGATGAGAAGAATGGTTGCAAAAATTAATGTAATATGCAGAAATGGTGGAACTTATCGGGAGAATAAGAAATCAAGACAACAAACTTTTTCTCAAAAAATGGAACTGGTTTATTGAATATTTGCAAACAAATTACAAAAAGATCAGGACATTAGCATGACTACTGTAAAAACCTGCAGATTGTGTGTGTGTGTTTGTGTGTGTGTGTAGTCACCAACAGAGGGGCCCACCACTTGATGTTACACTTCAAAAGTTCAGGGGAATAAAGTCAGCCCCAGGTGCTTTCCTAGACTTACTTTTCCAATTAGTGACTTGATTTCCTTGATGGTAACAGGTGGTTAATACAATACATCCAACGACTTCCTTGTACTTCCAAGATTAACTGCATATTCTGTTTCTTCCCTCTAGTTTCCCCTTTTCCATTATATCTTAATCTACATTATACTGTTGAATTTACAACAATCCTGCTAGCGTTTTCACTTGCCTACAATTGTTTCCCTGATATCCACAAATATTTTCCATTCATCTTCATACCCTCGTCCTTCTTGTTCTCCTGCCCTGCTGGTCAGGGCTGCTGGCTCTGCGCATCCATCATTTTCAGCTGCCACTCCTCCTTCTCCTCTGGAGCCTCTCCCCCCTTTAACCTTTTACAGTTGAAGATTGGCAATAATTTATTCAGCGTTGCTGAGAATATTGTATTGAAGATGCCTGTGGTGGGACAGGAAACCATTCAGTAAACAATCATACATATTTATTTTGTTTACTAAATTTGTATACTGTACTGCCCTTCATCCATAGACTCAGGGTGGTTCACAACACAGAATTACAATACAAAATCACATTAATGGGATGTGCCAATTCTCATGATATGGCTCTGAATACGTACACACTTGGAAATGTATCGGTAACAAGCATCTGAGGAGGATATTTTGAAACTTCAGGTGGGGAACAGATTAAGCATCTTTATCAGAAATTGCTCTCCTGAAGTTGATTTTCCCTTAAAACAAAAAGCCTCAAACAGCATTTGTGTTTCTGTTACTTGAGTTTGCAGCTAATATGTAGTTAGGCAATAACTCATATTTTAAAGTTTTCTAAATTAGAAGGAACCCAAACACTAAGATTTTCCAAGTCAGGAATGTCTCCAGCCTTGGATAATATTATTTTATATGATTTCTCTCTCTCTCTCTCTCTCTCTCTCTCTTCTTACCTTTATCAAGTCTACAATCTTTCATAGATTTGGCAACAAGAATAGCACACAGTATTCAAAACAGGGATGACCACAAATGCGTGAGTGAGAGAATATATATGATATATTTATTTCCTTCTAATAATTTCATTCTAATTTCTAACATTTATTTTTTCCTTCATTTTTTCATTTGTCATTTTCAATAAGCTTTGTAACCTGACCCCAAGCATTTTGCTATTTCATTCATTTTCTCCTGTAACTGTTTAAAGCAGGTATTGGCTAACACCCACTTTATGGGTTCCTGTCAGCAATCTACCTGCTGTATTCTGTATCAACTAAACTTATGATACATTTTAAAGACAGCACCATTTAGACCACATTTATTTCTATATAAAAATATTTATATACTTCTATTCATAAAAAATATCAGAGCAGTTTACAGCAGTTATGCATAAAGCCATAGTCAAAACCATAGTGCTATTTTAAAACTGGAGATCAGCTAACTATTGCTGTATTCCTAGAACAGCTATACTGGCCCTGGTAAACTGATTAACAGGAGTATTGTTAGGAAGGCATTGAACTCCTTGTTGAAAAGAATCCCAAACAAAGGAGTGAAAAATTTTCCCCAGGCAAGCACAAAGCTGGACTGAGACCAGTTTCGGAATTTTGTGCATGCCAACTCTGCTTTATTTTATTTATTAAGATACTTATATACTGCCTATTTTGCAGACATGTACAATATTTTTGCAAAGACAATTCAAAACTATGCAAATACAATGGAAATTTAATCAAATCAAGCAGGCAGTAAAAATCTTTAAAAGTCTACAGTGGCTAACATCATGAGCCAGCAAAAGCCATAGTGAATAATAAAAGTGTCTAGTGTTTAATTTGTGCTGAAGTTGTATCACAGTCATACTTGCTTTTCATTCTCTCAGCATTATTTTTGCACTAGAATCTGAAGCCAGTTAAGTTACCAGTGTCTGAAGACATTCGGCAAATATAAAGCACTACTGCTTGGGCAGCAGATGGGGCTATTCACTAGGTCTTACCATAAAACCCGGTCCCTTCCTGAGATCACTCACAGCCAGCAAGTGTCTTTCTACTGAAACAAACTCCTGGACTCTGAACGTTCATCTGCACTATCTCAAAATTTGCTTGTTTCTTCATTTTGGGGGGTAGGAAGCACATGACACCCACAGGCAGGGTGATTTGTCAGGTTTCTTGAAGCTAAAATCCACTTTTCAACTAATTGGTATTAATGTGAAATTTTCTAAATCCATTCCATGCCACTGTGCCATGTGATATGTGTTTGCCATATCCCGGTTTTGGGGTTCCCCCATTTCCGTGTCTCTGGGCTGCTCCCCATGCCAGCGCCTCCCAGCCTCTGCCCTCCTCATCTCATTTCTTTTTCGTTTTGCTGCTGCTCATTTCCAGGTTCAACAAGACAGCTCCGCCAGTAGAACATAAGACTCTTAATCTAAGGGCCATGGGTTTGAGCCCCATATGGGGCAAAAAGATTCCTGCATTGCAGGGGGTGGACTAGATGACCCTTGTGGTCCCTTCCAGTTCTACCATTGTATGATTCCATGAGGTGCACCTTTCTCTCTTTCTGTGTGCATTTACCTGGGAGGACTCAATGGGGCTTACTTCTGAATAGGAGTGCCTGATGGAATCTACATGCATATAATGCACCGAAACCTGGAAGTACCGGAACGGGTTACTTCTGGGTTTCGTCGCTCGCGCATGCGCAGAAGCACTAAATCGCTCTTTGCGTATGTGCAGAAGCGCCAAATCGCAACCCACATATGCACAGATGCGGTGGTGTGGGTTGCGAACGTGCCTCTCGCATGGATCACGTTCGCAACCCGAGCATTCACTGTAGTGTCATATTTGTATATTGCACTTCACAACACATTTGAAGCGCAGCTGTGTAACTGAGTCCCCTGAGACTGAGTTGTTCTTTGCATTAGTCAGTGAGGAACGCAACTAGATTTTCCTTTATTTGAGGGGGCGCTGTTATGAGGGAATGACACACCCACACCCAAACTCACACGCCACTGCCACTGTTCAGCTGAGTTCCCTTGTAGGGAACGTGATAGTGCAGCCGATCCCTCCAGAAATCAGCTTTGCCCACCCTATGCTCAGGACTTAGGAAGTGTAGAGTCTCACCAAGCAATTTGAACAACGCTTCCCAAACAGCCAGCTTCGCAACAGTGGAGCATAAGGTTGGCAAAGTCCTGTACTCAGCATTTCTCAAGCACCTGACAATCAGCTGGCTGCCGAGTGCTTGGAAAGGGCTGAGCAAGTACAGTGGTACCTCGGGTTACAGATGCTTCAGGTTACATTCGATTCAGGTTACAGACTCCACTAACCCAGAAATAGTACCTTGGGTTAAGAACTTTGCTTCAGGATGAGAACAGAAATCGTGTTCCGGCTGCGCGGCGGCAGCGGTGGCCCCATTAGCTAAAGTGGTGCTTCAGGTTAAGAACAGTTTCAGGTTAAGAACAGACCTCCAGAACGAATTAAGTGCTTAACCCAAGGTACCACTGTACCTTGGACAGGCAGACAGGACAACCCACCTGCCTGACATCTGGTACAGGCAGATTTAGGGGAGCGTGACCGGTTTGCCTGTACTGGGTGCTGAGACGAGGGGGCACTGCAATAATGACGAACAACAGAAGGCAAGAGGTGGTGGTGCACACCAAATTTTGGGCTCACACAGGGCATCACTGTAATTGTAAAGCCCAAAGTCCACCACTGCATCAGGCAATTGACAGGTGGGGTTATCCAATCCACCTGTCAAAGTTGGCCTGAGGGGCTGGATAAAGAGAAAAGTCTGATCCACCAGGCCAAAGAAGGTTCCCCACTCATTGCTTTAAACATTTCCCCAACAGTCTCGCTAGTTGCCTGTGCTTCCTGATCTGAAAAGTCCCATGAGTGGTGTGCTTTCGTGGTTCCCCACCCCCACCCCGGCACCCAGGAAGGCTACAGGCTGCAGACCACTAGAGAGATGATTTGAGGAATGCCAGAAAGGTCCCTCACAAATACCCCTCTGCCACCATGAAAGTATGCTAAGCAGGATAAAAAGTCTGCATCTTCCCTTTGATAATTTTTGAATGCAATTTCTTTTCTCATTAATTGATGGAGAATGGTTCTGAAAGAAATAAAGGAAGCACATTTTTGGAACAGCACCACTAATGAGAACACTTCTTGAACCTAAATGGAACATCCAGGGATGGCCCACACACCGGGTCCTCAGTCTTTCATAAGTTAAAAATGATATCTGATCAGATGCTCATAGCTGACAGTGGTCACAAGACTGAAGCAGGAGCAAAGTATAGTCTCCATTGTCAAAGACAAGATACAAAGACAAAGAGACAAAGACAAATTAAAGGGCTGGTGGGCTCAGCAGCAACACAGCAGCATTACTGGGGCAGTCCAGGGTTGGTAACTGAATCATTCATCTGAAGGGGGGGGGGAGGAACAGAATGAGGTGAAAAATAGACTTGAGTGGGTTAGGAAGGCAAAACAAAAGCAAGCAAGCAAGCCAGCAAGAATTAGGGGCAGGCAGAGGGTCTACGGTTTACATGAACAATAGGCTGATCAATCTGTTACCTAGGCAGGCTGTTCTCTGGAAATATCTATACCCACCTATCATCTGCCTTGGAGACACAGCATTATCAAGTACCAGTGTTCTGCTGGATTAAAGGTAAGCATTGTTGTCCAAGTGGTATGAGATTCTAGGGATTCCAGGCCCTTATCCAAGGCTTGGTTTCCTTGGAATGAGGGATAGCCAAGACTGTGGTGTCTTTAGGATATGTGTTTATTTACCTATATATACAACCTAAGCCTACACTAAAGGGGCTCACAGCACCCCAAAGGTCTTGCTTCTCTCACAGCCACAGCCTTGGATTCCAGCAGAAATCAAGCCTGTCTCTCCCACTCTGGCTTCTGCCCACTTCTGGCCCTACTTCTGAATTGGAAGTGGCTTAAAAAGTACACCCCCAGTCTTGTAATCAAATGCATCAGAATGCAGCTTCTAATTAATTTCTGGAATGCCTGTTTCCACCCTAAACCTGGTACTGGAGGGGAGTAGTGAAATCTACAGCTGAGGCACCCACCAAGGGCAAGGAATTTCAGTCCAAATCCTGACACTAACCATAACTTGGTCACCATTGCCATTTGGCGGGCCTTTCCCCAGCCCCTTATTAACCCCTTGACCTCTCCTGCTCCCAACTCCAACTTGTTCATTTAAATCAGGGGTAGCCAATGTGGTCCCTCCTGATATTTGGGACTACGGCTCCTGTCATCCCAGATCACTAGCCACGCTGGCTGGGCTGGAAGAAGTAAATTTCTGGTGTGAACAGGAGGAAGCTCAGCTCCTCTCTAAATTCCATATAAGATGCAGTCACAGAAAGCAACTATTTCCTCTTTAAAGGGGCTTTGACTTTCTCCAGGTTTTAGATTATTCAGAGGCCACCTCCCCCACAAGTCCAGCATTGCATATGAGAAGTCCCACTGCAACAAGGCTCATTACTCTTCAGGATCCGGTCCCTAATTAGGAAGTGGAGAACAGACACGGAGGCAGCGGATGTGCGCGTGTATGCAAATAGTTTTTATAAGTCCCTGCTGAGCTGTTACAAGAAGCCCAGCCAATAACAGCAGCCCAGCTACAGCCAGCTGTATTTTATCAAAAAGTTATTTCCTTTTGTAAGGAGAAGGAACCACACGTCAGCTGAATAAGGAGACTCACTGGACCTAGGCCTCGTCCTGGGACCTCTCTGGTTTGCCTTTGGAAGGATGGGTGTAGCCAGGACTTTTGTGGGGGGCAGAACAGATGTGATTGGTCGGTTAGTTAAACATTTCTATTGTTTTACTTATTGTTTATCTGGGGTTCAGCTGCCCCCCCCCCCCGGCTATTCCCATGCTTGGAAGCAGGTTACTTCCTGAGATAGATCTTGCTGGGGGTTGTGACATTGTTTGGGATTGCAAGGACCTCTTCTTGTCACCTCTGATGATGGAGCAGGACTAAATCACTGCTTTTTCTCCAATAGGTTTCCTTGAGGAGGCACAGACCAAACCAAAGGGCGATTACATGGTTGAATTGTAAAATCCAAATGGCCTTCTGTTCCCCAGCTTTTAATATGTGTGGGAGGCACCTTGCACAGCTCCTGTTCTCTTTGGGAAGAATGTCCTGGTGGAGTGAACCCATCCCTGGGCCAGATCTTCGTGTCCTCCCTCTTTTGCCCTTAACACAATGTCTGACCCACCACTTATGGGAGCTTTCCTCGGGGCAAAGAAATCATGGAGATCATAGAGTTGGAAAGGAGCCTGAGGATCCTCTAGTCCAACTCCCTACAATGCAGGAATATGCAGCTGTCCCTTACAGAGATTGAACCTGCAACCTTTCCGTTATCAGCGCCATGCTCTAACCAACTGAGCTATCCAGCTGATGTTATGTCTCTCACTACCACTGCTCCCTGCCCTCCTTGACTGCTTTGGCCTGGTTGGAAAGAGTCCTAAAACTGTGGCAATGCCTCTTGCTTGCCAAGATGGAGAGGTGTGGAAATGTTTGGCTTTTGAATGCCTGGATTGTGTAGCCTGCATACTAGGGTAAGACTTGCTAGGAGCTTGGGGGGGGGGAGGTAAAGGTAAAGGACCCCTGACAGTTAAGTCCAGTCGCGAACGACTCTGGGGTTGCGGCGCTCATCTCGCTTTACTGGCCAAGGGAGCCGGCGTTTGTCCACAGACAATGTGGCCAGCATGAATAAGCCGCTTCTGGCGAAACCAGAGCAGCGCACGAAAACGCCATTTACCTTCCTGCCATAGCGGTACCTATTTATCTACTTGAACTGGCATGCTTTCGAACTGCTAGGTTGGCAGGAGCTGGACCAAACAACGGGAGCTCACTCCATCACGGGGATTCAAACCACTGACCTTCCAACCGGCAAGCCCAAGGCTCAGTGCTTTACACCACAGTACCATCCACGTCCCTAGAAGCTGGGAAACCAGGGTTCACTCAGCCAGGAGCTTGTTAGGTGATTTGGGGGTCTGTCACAGTCTCTCAGCCTAACCTACCTCACAGGTTTGCTGTGAGGAGACCACCTTGAGTTCCTTAGAGAATAGTTGGAATATAAATTTAATAATAAGCAAACAAACTTCTGCTTCTGGCCACCAGTGGCACACGGCTCTTACAGTTTGGCCAAAAGAGAACGCAGTCCTCAGACTGAAAATTCCCCCCCCCCCTTTAAAATCTGCCCCCAAAGCTGTCACCTTACCATCAATGTAGGATCAGCTCTATTTATCAGTAAGCTTGTGGGCTTCACCAAGGGACTTTCCTCTTTTGAAAAATGATGTGTCTTCCTTAGTATGTAATACAGTTTCTGTGTTTTGAAATGAACACACTGGCAGGGCATATAGCACTTGGTCAGATGCCAGACGATTAAGCAATTCAAACATTGGCGTACTAGAGATGCTGAGCATCTGAGAGCTTTGCCAGCAAAGAAGTCAAACTGTCTGACTTGGAGGCGTATTATTTTTCACTATGCGAATACACGTCCAGATCATTTGCATCAAATGCTGCCACTCAGAAATTGGCAGCTCTCTCCGCCGTTGAGTCACTGGTTCCGCAGCCCCTTCTTCCACCCCCACAATGCAGCTACTGCCACTGCCAGGCAGGCCAGGGAAAAAAGTAGCTCAGTCATCATGTGAAATTGGGCAAGTGGCCAGCATTCACCTGCAGGATGTGCGCGAGGCCTTGGTCAGGAAGATGCACAGGGCCTGCCTCCAGTGGCACATCTTGGTGATTGTGTAGACCTTGGACTTAATGGTCTTATTGTTGAAAGTGCAACAGCAGAGATCATTCAGTATGTAACTTAAAGAGTTAAATTTGTTGTCAGTAAGCCAGCTACCCAAAGGGTGGGTGGATGGGTTATGTGACGGTATTGCTTAGCATCCAGGCTGGGTGGCATGATATTTACTGAGGTAACACATGCTCTGATTGACTGTGTAGTTCTGAGGGCGTTTTCCTCTGTATTTTTCTGTTAAATGTCTCCCTGCTATATGTACAAGGCCTGAACTAAGAAAGACAAAAGCTCTCTGTTCCTTTCCCCTCAAATTATACAGTTTTAGGCTTAGTAAAGTGTTATCAGGACATTTGCTTCTAGACTCTGCATTATTTAAGTGACTTTGCTAGCACTTATTGGGGTAACCTTTAGATAGGCAAGCAGATTACTTCACTTGTGAAAGTGCCCAATTAACCATTTTGTTCCTCCTGCCCTTGTACTGCCATTCCATGCATCTGCTTCTACGTTCCTGATACATTAGCACACACACAAAGTTTGCTAGTCCTGTTTGAAAAAGAACATTGCATTTGAAACTTACTTCAATAATAGTATCATCATTACTACAGGAATAAAACATGCTTTGCTTCTGCTGCCCTGATGCTAAACATGGGCATGGGAATAAATACCATTTTATTGTTTTGAAAAAGAGGGGATTATATATATATATATATATAAGTAGAATGAATAAAATTAACATCTGTAACCATGTACATGCCTGGAAATAAACTTTTAAAAATGAAAGAAAGGGTATCATGGTGGCTAGCATCAGTCCTGGTGAGCACTTACATGCCCATGCCACCCCTGGTACTGATGTGGGCCCTGTCTGCCCTGCCCCCACCAGCTGTCATGCGATACGTGGTCACTGGAGGCCCTGTTCCAGGGCTGGCCCACCCAGGAGGCAAGGTGAGGTGACTGCCTCAGATGGCAGGACCCACAGGGGCAGCAGATCCTGATGTGGTTTTTCATTTCCCGCTTATTGACTCACCCCTTCTTCCCTGGAGGGGAGGGGATGCCATTTTGTGGCTCACCTCAAGCACAAAATGGTCTTGGGCAGACCCTGCCCTGTTCCACAGAACATGGCTCTCCCTGCCCTCTGCAGAGGGGGATTTAGGGCAGCAAGACTGGTCCCGCTGCGCTGGATGCCAAGCCTAGGGGTGCTGTAAGGTGTCACAACTATGACATAGGGAAATGAGCAGAATGGAAGGCAAGAGGTGGGGGGGGGGAGAGCAAATTTTGGCATTGTAATTTTGGCCACCGAAATTTGAAAGACCAAAGTCTGCCCCTGTCCTCTGAAATGAAATGGGAAGCTGCACACGAGCGAGGGCCTTATCAGGCTACTTACACACTACAGTTTAGTGTACATTCCTGGCACACTGTGTGCTGGGTTGTTTTAGCATTGTACACACAACATCAATCCCAATCCAGACATGATCCTGTTTTTTTCAATGAGTTAATATGCTGAATTCCCTCCATGGTCTCCTGAACTGATCTGTTGGTCAGATCCTTCTCTAGAGTAATCCATCAACACCATCGCACCATAGCCCTCCGTTCCCAATTTTGTGAGATTTCCACTTGCCCAGGGTCTCCTTCCTCACTTAGGGATGTGCAGTAATCTGTACCACACACATCAGAATGAAACTCATGTAGAACTTTGCATACAAAGTGGAATAAGTTCTATAGAAAGGATGAGTCAATTCTAAACAGAAGAAATGTGTTAATACTGAGCATTCGTAACCCAGTTAGTTTCCTGGCAGCGGTGCATAAGTTACAATATATTTTCAGTTATAAGCCTGCTCAGGCGTTCACAAGGTGTTTCAGGCTCATCTTGCGGAGAGAGAGGGATGCTTCATGCTGCAGTTTTTGTGTGGTGGCTGGATTTGGTTGCAGGAAGCATCTCAAAAGGCGTCACAAACTAGAAGCTGGGCTGCATCAAGAAGGCCAGAGCAGGGTTACGTGCCAAAGTCAAACTATCCATGAGGTCAGATAGGCCAAGGGCAAAGCTACTCGCCTGTGGGGAAAAGAGAGGGAGCAGGGCAGGTAGTGTTACGTTATGTTCCTGCGTGCCCCCTGCTCTGAGCTTGAATTCACATAACAATGGCCAAAGTGAATATAAATCAGAGCCTTTCCCCTGTTTCCCCCAGTCTGTTCCTGATGCCTCAATAAAGCCATTAAGGTGAATCACTGCCTTGGGTCTTGCTTGACCCACAGATACTTCACTGGTGACAAGGAGGGGAGGCTAGCTTCCACAAGCTGAAATCACTGCTGGGAAACTGTTGCCTCGGCTGAGCTGAATCTCCGCTGAGGACTTACTGCTTCAGCTGGCTGGAATCACTGACCACAGCCACAAGGCCGGACCTCATGGCCATGCAGGGCCACATCGGGGAATTTGACCCCACAGTCCCAGGAAAATGTGACTCCTACATCACATGGCTTGAGTTTTTCCTCACAGCCAAACGGGTGACTGACTTCAAACTGAAGCAGACCATGCTATTCAGTGTGTGTGTGGACCTGTCATGTTTGAGATTGTCCAGGCTTTATGGGCCCTGGCCAAGCTGAGTGAGATGCTGTGCGACACAATAATGGGGAAGCTGAGCACACACTTTGTTCCCCAGCCTTGAGAGATTGCCTGCCAAAACACCTTCTATAAATGAGACCAGGCCTCAGGTGAAACCATGGGGGCCGCCGGCCACTGCAACTTCAGCAATCTGGAGATAATGTTCCATGGCTGTCTCATGTGTGGCCTGAGGGACAAGAAACTACAGTCGCGCCTTTTTGCCAAGAAGGACCTGACCTTCCAGATTGTCTTAGACGAGGCCCTCATGGCGGAGATAGCTGACAGGATGACAAGAGAGACTCATCAAACAGAAGGCCAAGGCTGTGAACCCAGAGGAGATTGTGGACAGTGAGAAGGTCCTGACACTGCGCCTCGGCTCGTCCAAGTGTTTTGGCCAACTGAAAAGTGCCAGGGGGATTTGCGCCAGTTGCAGAGGCCCACATGAATGCCAGTAATGCTGTTTCCATGATGCTCAGTGCCGAGCATGTGGGAAGACTGGCCATATTGCACACGCCTGCTGGGCAAAGGAGCAGGGGAACACCCCCCGGAGTCCAATGTTAGGGTCTGGGGAGGGTTGCGGGACCCCAGATGCAGAAGAATGCCACGCCATCTCGAAGTGTGCCTGCACACAGGGGCCAGCTGCCATGTTTATCCAGAGCGTGCAGCAGCCTACTCGAGAGAAGATTCCAGGAGTTACCTTGCAAAATGGAGGTTGACTCTGGGTCAGCACTCTCAATGATTTGTGTTGAGACATATCAATGCATCTGCTATAAGGGCAGAGCCTCCCACCTGCAACCGTTTGAAGTGATCCTGACTGACTTCCATGGGAAGCGTGTGCCCATTTGGGACATCGGCACATTCACAGTCCAGTTCAAGCATTTTAGCAGACCCCTGCAGCTGGTGGTCATTTAAGGCCACCATACTTGGCCTCGACTGGTTCAATGCGCTGGGCATCCATGTCACTGGGATCCAGCACACTGGCCAGTCCAGGTATAAGGCCATCTGTGACGAGTTCACAGCTGTGTTCAATGGGAATGCTGGGGTGCTACCAAGGCCCACTGGTCGCACTATGCCTCAACCCAGCTGTCGCACTGATCCGCATGAAGGCCAGTGGGTGTCATTTGGCCCGAAGCCCAAGATCAATGCAGAGCTGAATTACCCCACTGAACAAGGTTCCACACACTCGATGGGAAACTCCAATAATCACTCCCCCTCAAGGCAAATGGGGACGTGAGGATCTGCACTGACTACAAGTGCACCCTCAACGAGGCCCTACAGCAGCACAGGTATCCTGTTCCAGTCGTGAGTCACCTCCTCACATTGCTGGCCTGTGGAAAGGTCTTTGTGAAGCTCGACTTGGCCAGGCATACCAAAAGCTCCTGGCCCATCGACCAGGAGGCCACCTATGAGGCAAAGACAAAGACCAACCGCAGGGCTTTCTGCATCAAGTGACTACAGTTCAGTGTCAGTGAAAAGACAGTGGAAAAGACAGGCCTTTTCGAAAATCTAATGGAAGATATACTGAAGGGCCTCCCTGGTGTCATTCCATCTTTTAAAGACGTCGTCATCGCGGGGGTGGGGGTGGCAGGAGTCCCAAGGCAGAGCTTGTGGGCCATCTTCAAGAGGTCTTCTGCCATTTACAAGACACCGGCCTAAAGGTGAAGAAATAAAAGTGCTGAGGAACCCAAGTTCCTCGGGTTCCTGATTGATGCTGACAGCATCCACCCCACGCCAGCAAAGGTTGAGGCCACCCAGAGCACTCCACCGCCACATGCCAAGCAAGAATTGCCGTCCTTCTTGGGCCTTGGAACTTCTACCATTCCTTTCTTCCGCATAAGGCAGCAAATGTGGAGCTGCTACACCAGCTCTTGGACAAGAGAGTTCCTTGGATCTGTGGCCCACTCAGGACGCTGCTTTCAATGCTGTCAAAAACCTGCTCTCCTCTGAGTCCTTACCCATTTCCATGAGACTAAGCCTGTTGTGCTTGCCTGTGACGCCTCCCATATGGGATCAGGGCAGTCCTCAGCCACTAACTGCCAGGTGGGGGGGAGGCCTCCATTGCATTCTACTCCAGGACCTTGTCGTCAACGGAATGCAATTGCACCCAGATCGACAAGGAGGCCCTGGCTGTTGTGGCAGGATTAAGAATTTCCATCCACAATTGTGACTGACCACAAGCCTCTGCTGGGCCTCTTTGCTCTTGATCATCAGATGCCCCAGATCCTGTCCCCAAGGATGCTGCGGTGGTCCATCTTTCTCAGTGCATATGACTATGTGCTGCACCACCGTCTCAGAAAGAGCCTGGGCCACCCAGATGCCCTAAGCTGCCTGCCATTGCCAGGCATTAAAGCTGACCTGTCCCCAGCCCACAGCATAATGCTTCTGGAGACTCTGCCTCAGCCCCCACTCCGTGCCAGACATTGCCGTGCACTCGGCGAAGCATCGCACCCTCTCCTGCGTCCTCCACTCTGTGTGGAGGGAGTGCCACAGATGTTGGGGGCCCTCGATGCAGAATTCTCCCCATTCAACTTCTGGTGTCATGGGCTGGGCAGAGGAGCAGTAATGGTGGAGACCGCCTCCCCATCCTGACCATTCCTGGGAGAAAGAGGAAGGCAGTATAGATTTACAACAGAGGTTTGCAGGAAGTCACAGCTTGGAGGCAGATAGGGGAAAAGTTGGGAAATAATGGGAGAGGAGGAGCAGGCGGAGCCAGAGCAGCAGCTGGCAGACACGTTGTCACTAGAAAGCATTCCAGACCCACCATCTCCCAGAATACAGTGAGCTTTAAAAGTAGAAGAGCAAAGAGCTTGAAGACAGATGGCACTGTAATAAACGACTATAATAAACTTTTCATTGTCTCTGTACTTCCCTGGGCAACCACTGACAGCACTCTGGCACCTGGCAACACAAATTGTCAGTCCACAAGGGATGGCTGATGTGGGGAAACTGGGTTGTGATCCCTGCTAAGCTGTGGACCAAAGTGCTGGAGGCTCTGCATGTGAGTCACCCAGGCATCGTCCGTATGAAAGCTCTGGCCAGGAGCTCCATGTGGGGGCCAGGCATTGATGGGGCAGTAGAAGAGTGGGTCCTGCACTGCCAGACCTGCCAAGAGTCCCAACTGGCCGTACCCCAGGCTCCGATCCTGCAGCGGGAGATGACATGCACACCGTGGTCAAGACTCCACATCAATTTTGCTTTTAGACTGAAAATAGACTAATTAGGATTGTAAACTGCCCCCTGCCCCACTATCTGTTTGTCATTTCCTCCAATGTTTTCTGCCTTGTAGCAAACAGTCACTCTTATTTACACTTAAAGGAAATGTAAAACGATTCCCCTTTATTGGAAAAAATTGTTTCTACTAAATTTCCCATGTACTTGCAGTGACTGACCAGAAAGAAGACCTAGGGGCCATTTTGGATTGCTTGAGGAAGATGTTGACCCACTGTGCCGCAGCTGTGAAAAGGGCTAGGGATTACAGTGGTACCTTGGTTCTCAAACGTAACCCGTTCTGGAACTCTGTTCCGAAACCAAAGCGTTCCAAAACCAAGGCACGCTTTCCCATAGAAAGTAATGCAAAATAGATTAATCTGTTCTTTTAAAAACACCCCCTAAAACAGCAATTTAACATTAATTTTACTATCTAACGAGACCATTGATCCATAAAATGAAAGCAATAAACCAGGAATGTCCAGCTTCAAATAGGCTGTGATCTACTACCCAGTATAAAAAAACTGGCAGTGATCTCCCCATTGTCATTGGAGGAAGAAGGAGTGCGTCCAGGGTGCATGTATGGAAGGAGGTGGCTAACTGGATGTGGGAGGGGGAGAAGCAAAGGGAGGCAAAAGTTCTCTGTCTGAGGAGCCAGTTGACCTCTCTCTCTCCCCTCCCCAAGCCACAGCTTTCTCTCTCCCCCCGCAAAGCCGCTCCCCCCCCCATCCTCTCTGTGTTGTCCTGCGCCCTGTGAGGAGAAGCGGCAGCTGTCACTGCTGGGGCCGAGCTGCTCAGCATTGCCCCAGGACCCGGAGTGGGGGCTGCCAGCAAGACCCGGAACCGGAGGAGGGCAGAGGCTGTGGGAGCGGCTGGGGATGGTTGCTGCTGCAGTGGCAGCGGAGGAGGAATGCAGCGCTTGGGAGGCAGCGACACCCCTTGCTCGCTTGCTTGCCGCCTCCCCCCACTCAGCACTGGGGCTGGCCTGGGACAAGGCACCACTGGGCATCCTTTCCCTTGCCCTGACAGGACGCGGAGAGCAGGGCAGAGGGCAGCCGAGAGGGCAACCAGGGGAAGCTTTCAATTCTCAGGGGGCATGAGCAAGGGAGGTGGTTTCTGTTCTTCCTTGCCCTGACCATTACAACCGCTGGTTACAACCGCCGACACGTGGCACTCAAATCGGAAGTGTGGCACTCAAAACGGAGCATGTCCGGCTTCCCAAAAAAAGTTCGCAAACTTGAACACTTACTTCCGGGTTTGTAACGTTCGGGTTCCAAGTTGTTTGACTACTAAGCAAAAAAGAGGACACAGTTGCTGACTTCTATGTTTAACTAGGGATCACTATGAGGACTCTCATTTTAAATACAGTGGTACCTCTGGTTAAGAACTTAATTTGTTCTGCAGGTCCGTTCTTAACCTGAAACTGTTCTTAACCTGAGGTACCACTTTAGCTAATGGGGCCTCCTGCTGCCGCCATGCGATTTCTGTTCTCATCCTGAAGCCAAGTTCTTAACCCGAGGTTCTGCTTCCGGGTTAGCAAAGTCTGTAACCTGAAGCATTTGTAACCTGAAGCGTTTGTAACCTGAGGTACCACTGCACCGCTATAAATCAGGCCCGTCTTACCCATTGAGCCTAGTAGTGTGGGGCGCCAAGGCGCCACGTTCTGGAGGGCACCAGGCGAGAGTTTGGGGAACACTGAACAAGCGCGCTGAGTGAGCGAGGGTGCATGCGCCACTCCCGCAGAGCATCGGCTCAGTTTTTTCCCTTCTAGCCTGCAGGCACCGAATTCTGCGGGGCACCAGAAGGCTAAAAGGGAAAATACCGAGCTGAAGCTTGGTGGGAGCGGCGCACGTGCCCTCGCTCGCTCGGTGTGCTGCCTGCTGTGGCCCCACGGCACAAAGAGGCCAGCTGAGCCAGGAGGCGCTCCATCCAGCCTCCGCCTCTTCAGCCGCCCTCCAGCCACTGCCCGCCTCCTTCAGCCCTAAAAAAAGGTCAACTCTGGGAAGGAGGGGGCGCCGGAGGGATCCTTGCACCATGGCGCTGGATATGCTTAAGACAGCCTTGCTATAAATATAAACAAATACCTCATGGTCTGTCACTTTCAGATTTAAAAGAGGGTCATGATTGTATTGATATTGATAATAGTGGGGAGTGTGAGTGTCTTCAACTGGGGGGGGGAGATCTGCCGGCAGCTCTCTCTTTCCCCTTTCTTTTGGGCCTCTTCTCGGCGTGTGCATTTGGTTAGGAAGGTGGCGCCACGACCCTCCCAGTCTCCCAGTGAGTAGGAGAGAGTGGGGTGGAGGTTTGTAAACCTCAGCTACCTGACAGGATGCCGCTTCCCCTTTCTTCCCTCAGGAGGTGGGGAGTGAACATGGGAAAGTTTCCCTCCTTTTTCTTGGGCAAAGCCAGGAGAGCCAACCAGAGCTGCCTGCGCCCACCTGTCAAGGAATGGGAGAAACCACTCAAGCACAGACCCAGGAAGCATTTACTGTATTTTTTGCACCATAACACTCACTTTTTCCCTCCTAGAAAGTAAGGGGAAATGTCTGTGCATGTTATGGAGGGAATGCCTACGGGTGGCGGGGGGATCTGCTGCAGTCGTGAGCAGAGGATCCATGGTTCCCCTTCCTTCCCTCCTCCGTGGCTCGCTTTGAAACAGCAAAGCGGGAGAAGAGCCGCTGAGTGGGGAGGAGAGAGGGACAGAGAGCCTGCTTCTTTAAAGGAGCAAAGCGGGAGAGGAGAGGAGCCGCTTACACTCTTGTTGGCTCTGTCCAGTTACACTGTCCAGTTGGCTCCTTTAAAGCAAGCAGGCTCTCTGTCCCTCTCTCCTCCCCACTCAGCTCGCTAAATAGCAGCAAAGTTTTTCAGCTTGCTAAGCCGGGGATGAGCGGGGAGGAGGGCGAAAAGCAGAGCCTGCTTGCTTTAAAGGAGCAAAGCGGGAGAGGAGAGGAGCCGTCTCCCCTTATACCCCTCTTCTTCATTATTAGCCGCATCCTTCTCCACTCACCCCACACATGCTCCTTGTCCCTTGAGTGCTTTTCCTTCCCTCCCCACTTAAAACATGGTTACAAAGCACGGATCCACATGGATCCTCAGGATTTTTGCATTGGGCTACTCCAAACTCTCTGTCAGATCACATGTCTGTGGCCACAGCATGAACCACAAAAATCATACATCCACTGTTTCGTTTAGAATATTTTTTTTCTTGTTTTCCTCCTCTAAAAACGATGTGCGTGTTATGGTCGGGTGCGTGTTATAGAGTGAAAAATACGGTATATGAGGAGGGACACAGCTCGGGGGGGGAGCATTGTTCCGACTGAGGACAGGGAAGAGGAGGCAGAGGAGGGGCGGCTAAGGCGCTGGCTCATGTCCTCCACTGCTGCCACTGGCCGCCTTTGCTCCCCCCCCCCAACATTTGACCAAATTCTACATTTCCCCACAGACTCAAATTTTAACACCGAAAAAGACGACCTATCCTGGGGAAACTGGACATATGGCAACCCTACGAAAAGAGGAAGGATTTCTTCCCCTGGCACATGCTTAGCCTACGGAATCCACTTCCTCAAAAGGCTGTGATGGGCGCCAGCTCACAAGAGGAGGAAGTCACATTCACAGAGGAGAACGCTATCTAGGGCTGCCAGCCACAATGCCTAGCTTCTCCCTGCACGGTCAAAGGTAGTACAGTGGTACCTTGCAAGACGAATGCCTCGCAAGACAAAAAACTCGCTAGACGAAAGGGTTTTTTGTTTTTTGAGCTGCTTCGCAAGATGGAAACGTCTTGCAAGTTTGTTTCCTTTTTCTTAACACCGTTAATACAGTTGCGACTTGACTTCGAGGAGCAACTCATAGAACGCGGTGTGGTAGCCTTTTTTGAGGTTTTTAAAGACTTTGGTGATTTTTGAAGCTTTTCCAAAACTTTCCTGACACCGTGCTTCGCAAGACGAAAAAAATCGCAAGACGACAAAACTCGCGGAACGAATTAATTTCTTCTTGCGAGGCACCACTGTATCAGCACTGGGGAAAGGCAGGTGGAGAGCGGGCCGTTGCAGCCCAGTCTTGCTTGCAGCTGCAGGCTTCCCATGGAAACATGGTTGGTAACTGTGAGAAAAGAAGGCTGTGTTAGATGGGCCTTTGCCCGGATTCAGCAGCCAGGCTCTACTCTAATTGCCAGGCTCTACTTTATGTCCTACCAAAATTCCCTATATGGATGAAATCTTTCCATAGCTGACAAGCAATTGCCTATAACTGAGAAGGGAGGAAAGTACAAAAACAAACACACACTTGCTTCCTTTCCCCTCACTGGTGAGGGGATGGAAATTTAGCAGGCTTTTACTACTTCCCATGCTTGCCAGTTATGCTATTGTGCCTTTGCACTAATCGGCTAGAACACTGAAAGGCAGGCGCTTTCTGGGCAATTAGGGCGAATGCCCCGAGCATCTTTCCCCTCTTATCACCCCCTGTGAAAGTGTTTATGACTTATCCCCCCCTTTCCCCCACTAAATGAAAGCTGTAATATACCAGAGAAGGGATTAAGCAGGGCAAGGCAGCCCACCTCAGATGATATGCAGATTTTGACATATCATTAAAATGGATGGGTGTGGCCCTGTGGATGTTTTAGTCAAATGTGCTTGTTGGGGCAGAAGGGAAAAGGAGTCCAGCAACATCTGGAGGGCAACTGGATCCCCATCCCAGGTCTCCTAGCCCAGTGAAAGTTCTGAGATTGATACTTTGTGGTCTATGGGAGATGGGGAATGGTGGCTGAACTAGGAGAAGGATAATTATTTGTGAAATCACAAGAACTGAGGCTTGAGTTACTGCTGGGCAGCAAGAAGGTATTAAAGACCTATTTTGTTTGCATTATTTTACAATTTTGTTTTATCGTTACACACTGCAGCTTAGCGTGCATTCCCCACTTTGAGAATTTCATACCAAATATGTAAGAATGGTATATCAAATAGATAGTGGCTCTTGCACTGTGTTTTGTGGCTTCTGTGGTCATCTGTGCACCCAGAGTCAAGCAAATCCATTGCAGATGCTGGTCTGCAAAAGAAAAACATGCTTCCCTCACCCCCCCCCCGGCCGCCTGTGGAGCCGCAGAGGAGGCAGTGACCCCTCCAGCTTCCCTGGGAATGTTTCTCTTTCGGGTCTGAGCTCTCAGTAGCTCTTGGCCTCACTCTGCTGAAGACGGAGGACCTTGTGTCCCCAGTGGGATGAGCTCAGTAAGACGGAGGAGGTGGAGGGCTTGAAAGGAAGACTGGGAAATCTGGTCTTGTACTTTATTAATAACTCCCCTAACTTCTTTTCAGATCCTGCACCTTTTGATCAAATAGTTGTGCATGTAATTACAGCAGAGCTTTTCATGTTGGTGACACACTTTTTAGATAGGGTTACCTATCTAAAAGTTGATGAACTTTTGGGGGCAAAGTTGTTGAGCTATTTTTAGACATGCAAAAGTTCATGACACAGTAATTCAGTTTTACTAGCAAACCAGGGGTTAAACTTAACCCCTTGAGCCCTGGGAGGAGCACGTTCACGCAATACACCTACACACTGCAGCTGATACACTAATGTGTCACAATACAGAGTTTGGAAACCTCTGCATTACAGTATTGCTGCGTGGTATACTTTACCCTGCCTTCTGTGGCCAGAAAGTAGTGGGAGCAAAGCTGAGGTGACACTGGATTACAAAAGCTCAAGCTCTAATATATTCAAAAGGGTAGGTGAAATTTGTTAATTAAAAAAAACAACAACCCTGGGTGCATATTTTGGATTCTGGGGTTTTTAAACCAAAAAACGTTCAGGAAAAATGTAATCATAGGGTATAACAAAAAAATTCTGAACATCTCAGATTTTGGCCTTAGAACTTAAGTGCTAGCAACATGTTTCAAAATTAATATTGTGAAGAAATATTAGTACTTCTGAACCTGATCTTACTCCTGGTGGGTCAGGTTGCTGCTGTGGCTGAGGTGCTTCTGCAGAGGGTAATAATAATAATAATAATAATAATTATTATTATTATTATTATTATTATTATTATTATTATTATTTATTTATACCCTGCCCATCTGGCTGGGCTTCTCCAGTCACTCTGGGCGGCTTCCAAAAAAATATTAAAATAATGTAATACATCAAACATTAAAAGCTTCCCTAAACAGGGCTGCCTTCAGATGTCTTCTAAAAGTCTGGTAGTTGTTGTTCTCTTTGACATCTGGTGGGAGGGCGTTCCACAGGGAGGGCGCCACCACCGAGAAGGCCCTCTGCCTGGTTCCCTGTAACTTGGCTTCTCGCAGGGAGGGAACCGCCAGAAGGTCCTCAGCGCTGGACCTCAGTGTCCGGGTAGAACGATGGGGGTGGAGATGCCCCTTCAGGTATACTGGACCGAGGCCGTTTAGGGCTTTAAAGGTCAGCACCAACACTTGTTGTGTCAAGTATAGTTGTTCCTGAAAAATGCAGATCTGGCCACTGTCACATGTGGCGCTGTGGTCTAAACCATTGAACCTCTTGGGCTTGCTGATCAGAAGGTCGGAGGTTCGCATCCCCACGATGGGGTGAGCTCCCATTGCTGCTACAGCTCCTGCCAACCTAGCAGTTCAAAAGTACGCCAGTGCAAGTAGATAGATACTGCTGTGGCGGGAAGGTAAACGGTGTCTCCATGCGCCAGAAGCAGTTTAGACATGCTGGCAACGAACCAGAAAACTCTCTGCGGACAAACGCTGGCGCCTGAAGTGAGATGAGTGCAGCACCCTATAGTCATGTTTGACTGGACTTAACCATCCACTTGCTCCTGCATGATCCCACCCACCCACAGCTCTGGCTGTGTACACACAGCAGTTGTTTAAAGTGGATTTGATGCATCCCGTGTGGGCATGTGATTCACACAATGTTGGCCTCCCCCAGGTGGCAGCCTGCATTTTCTGACCACTTAATTCAATTTGCCCGCTTTCCGGATAATGCAATAAGAAAAAAAACAGTGTGAAGTAATATGTTACTCAGCCGTGGATGTACTAAAGCGTATTGTGTGGACATAATTTTTTCCCACATGAATGATGATGCTTTGCTGAGGACCATCCATCACTACACCCCCGACTTCTGCCTGGTGAGGCACTCCTCAGGGGGCTGCTGGTGACACTTTAAAAAAAACTGAAATGCAACTCACTGTTTTGTGCAAATCTGGTATGTCCAAAAAAGTATTTTTTTAAAAAAGCACGTTAGTGCACATGTGCACAATGTTGTAAAGCAACACAATTCTCTGTGTTATTTTCACTAATATATACATTTTCATTTACACTTTACCATGCTGTGTGAATTTTCATCCACTACATGGCTGGAAAACTGCATTGCAAAATGAGGAGAAGTATGAATTTCAAAGGCTAGCCTGTGTATTGTTTCAGAAAGTGCAAATTAGGCAAGAGGGGAGACAGTGGGATGGATATGGGTAATAAGGTTAGATATGCAATGTTGGAAAAATTAAGCAAGTTCACCTTTGTGAACATTTCATTTCTTCCACATCCCTACTGAGCAACAACAGATGTGAAAGTTCTATGTTCAAAAACTCAGTTGTGTAGGTAACATCTTCTGGCAGTGTACCAGAGTACTTGTTGTACCCCAACCCACCCACTTCTAGGTTTGCTGATTTATTTAATTTATTTATTTATTGAATTTATATACTGCCATATACCCAGAGGTCTCAGGGCGGTTCACAGAACAAAATAAAAATATAAAACCACAAAATATATAATCAAAATAAAAACAACAACCCAATAACCCCCCCCAAAAAACCCCACATTTTAAAAGGGCATAGGATGTCAATCAAATCAGCCAAAGGCCTGGTTTAAAAAGAACATTTTTGCTTGGCGCCTAAAATATTGAATTCTCTCTTGCTCTCTTCCTTACAACACAAAACACATTTGCCTTTTTATCAGCACTTTGATTCAAATTTGGCTGGGTTGTTAAGGCAGGGTGGGGGAAACTGTGGCCCTCCAGATGTTGGTTAACAACTCCCATCACCCCGATCATTGGTCCTGTTGGCTGGGGATGGTGGGAGTTGGAGCCTAACAACATCTGAAGAGCCACAGATCCCCAATACCTGTGTTATGGGCTAAAAAACAATAGCTTTAGGGTCCAGACTCAGCCCTTGGGTCACTAGTCACCATCCTTGATGGTGGGGTGGAAGAAAGAACAGCTCTGAAGGATTCTGTGGATGTGAGAGTCAGGAAAAGGGCTTGTTTACGTCAGTTGTGTTGTTACTTTACACCCAAAGGAGCATGGCTTTCCTTTCAACACTACTGCACCATCATCCCCAAAGTTAAATAGGAGTGGCTGGGCTAAGCCTTTGGGAGCAAAGAAAAGTGCTGTTCTCAGCAGGATTCTTGCCTGGATCCCTCTAGGAGATGGGGTGGGCAGGAGGCCTTTTAACAGTAAAAAAATACCAATCTTGTACAATCATTCTGTCCCCCTCAATGTGAAAGGGCTTGGCTCCCATAGCCCCCTGTCAGACAATGTGTGTGCGCGCGCGCCTGCACAGAGCCAAAGTGGTGTGTGTGTGTCTCCCAGCTATTGCTGTATTTCAGCTGTAAATTGATACATGAATATTTCCTTCCCTGCCCTACCCCACAGAAGGATTGGAGGGAATCCAGGAGGCCAGGGGCTGGAACAAAGAAATACACACTGCCCTTTCCTCTTTGCTAGAATGGATTGGAGGAAAAGCAGCAGTAAGATTTGCTCCAGCAAGGCTGGGGAAAGCCTCATAATTTGGACTATGGTCCTATTCCATCCATGACCTAGTGTTGGATGAAATGCTTGGAAATGCTTGGAGTCCCAGAAAGCAAAAGTGTTGTCAACCATGAGCTGGAGATTCAAAGAAAACAGCCTTTTCACCACCAGGTCAACCTTTCCCAACCTGGTGCTGTCCAGATGTTTTGTTGGACTACAACTGCCATCAGCCATAGTCAGCACACCCTTAAGGTGAGAGAGCTGCAGACTCCCTTATCTGCCCACTTGGGTACTCTTTGCAATGTGGAAATAGAGGCATTCTTAGGAGTGGGAGGCCCAATGTTGGGGCCCTGCCAAATGCCTGGACTTACCCCTCTTAAGGAGCCGTCCATGGGACTATTCACTAATTGTGACAACTCCTATAAGAAAAAGCAGGTAAGATGTACATAAGGGAAGAGACCTCATGCATTATGGATTCGACGGATCCTAGTGAGTGAAGAGTCCAAAGGGTAGACTGAGCATGAGGGATATCAGTGGCTCCTACAGTAGGAAGGAGAAACCTGCGGCTCTTCTGATCCTGCAGACCTCCAAATCCCATCAGCCCTAGCCATGCAAGGAAAACCATGGGGATTATGGGAAGAGTTACACGTTCTCCATCCTTGATTTACGTATACTCTTCCTTCAAAGTACACTCTTAGCTACTAAGCTGAACCACTTCTTTCATATACAAATGCAAAATTTACATTGAATAGCTGCTGTCATCTGTCTCACATTAACATTCCCATAGTGGAAATGCCAAAAAGATGCATTTTAAACATACTATGTGAAAAAATCATTGTGCCTTCTTGCATAAGCCTTGGGAAGTCTGGGGCAGGGAAGAGGTGGTCAGAACCTGGAAGCTTATATGATTCTATTTAGAGCAGAGACTCCTAATGATTATTTTTTCCCAGGGTAAAAAACCAAAGAGGGTCAGCCCTTAAGTGTTTTTGCAAATGTGCACATCCTTAGATAACACGGGCAAGGGAAAAATGAACAAAGGACAACTGTAGAAGCAAGTATTTTAATACATACAGATCTCCATTAAAAGGGAGAATTATGTTTAAAAAACACCCCACCCCCCATTAGTGTTTCCACAGGCAAGATTCTATTAGGGAAAGGAAAGTAGGATTGAATAGTCAAGACTGTACCCTTTGGTGTGCGCAAGAGAGAAAGAGAGAGAGAGAGCGAGTGCAACAGTCTGCTTCTGCCTCTAGAATTCTTCCAGTGACTGACCCAGTGCTTTCCAACACTAAATTCACTTTGTACTACAAAATGTATTGCCAGCTTCGTATATTTTTAAGGTCATTTATTCCTCCACAGAAACCTTGCAATTGCAATTTAGTGAGGGTGCTGAAAATTCTATTGAAAGATCTCCAAGGCCTCACCCGGCGCTAAAATTCGCAGCTACAGCCTGTCCTGAAATTGTCACTACTCACAGCAGTGTCATGAAGTGATGGACATGGGGGAACGGGGAGGGGTGGCCATCAAGCATGGGCTTGATGCATTTGGATGTGGGAGCAGGGAGTGGATTGGCTGTTTCCAGAAGTGAGGACAAACAATAGTTCTTAGGAGAAATGAAAGGGTTCAGGTAGAGCCATTTTGTGTGTGCGTGTTGTACACAAACAACATGCCGTTCTTTTGCCCCAGTGTTGTCTCCAATTAAACAAGGTTTTTGAAGTTGGTCTGCCGAAGTCGAAACAAAATAAAAAAATTCCTTCCAGTAGCACCTTAGAGACCAACGAAGTTTGTCATTGGTATGTGTATCTGAAGAAGTGTGCATGCACACAAAAGCTCATACCAATGACAAACTTAGTTGGTCTCTAAGGCGTTTCTGGAAGGTTTTTGAAGTTCTGCAAAATCCTGCAAAACCTCTGAACAGTGGGAAGAAGCTCACAGTAGAGGCAATAATCCTATGAAACATTGCAAGCCACACTCTTGGTGGGGGGGGGGAGAGAGATAAAAATGTTCTGCTCTCTTTTCCCTGGGTGCACATCCATCCCCTTCATTTGCTTGCAGTAGCTTGGAATAAGTGCTTAAAGCAGGGGTGGGATCGCCCTCACTCTCCAGAGGCAGAAGAATACACTTCAGCACCATGTAGCAGTCTCCTCTTGAAAGCAGCCAAGGGCTCAAGAGAAGCGAGAGATATAAGCAAGTACAAGAAAACCAGACACAGGGAACAGGGAGCCAGTGAGGTTCTGCATGGCATCACAGAACGTGCACACAAGTGTTACAGTGGTACCATGCTATTGCTGGAGGAGAGCAGCACTCCAGGTCCATTCACACAAAACGAGAATGTTCATATGCACAAACCTAAATGCACATGTCACTGGCTTGGATTGCGTGGACACAGGCCACAGACCTGTGTCAATGCAGATTACAAAATTATAACTCAAGAAATACCTTGCAGCCAGACAACTTCACACATCCACATCTACTGGCACTTGCACACAGAGGTTGTGTGCGCACACACATGCAATACTTCATTGCTACAAGAAGAAGAACAAGCACACATATGCTTCACAGGCTCTACAGCTTTAAACGTCAAACCTACATACACTTGTCTGGGAGTAAGTCCTATTCAGTTCAACTTGCTGTGCACTGGCTCACTATATACATGCACATGGGTGAAAATATTTGCAATTTCATCCATCTTCTGCATACTTTGCCATGTGCCTGGTATCTGTACCTTTCAGTGCTTAAATTTATAGCTGCAGAAGGGCCAGGGCTAAAAATATCCTAAGGGCTCTGTTTGAGGTGGATGACTTAGCTGGCTAGCTACTATCCAACTAAAGAAATCCCAATTCACATATTCTGATGAAATAGACCTGACTCAGATATGTCCTGATTTGTGCATCAAGGTCTTTATACGCAACATTTGACAGGGTGCATAACTGCCCATTAACAGACCCTTACACTGCAGTTCCCCACTCCATAAGCAAGTCTTACATTTCTATGGGTTCTTGTTTAGAACCAGCAGCCATGTTAAACCAAGAAGCAACACTCTTTAAAGTTTTGCTTGCTTTTTAGCCAGGAAAAGGATTTTTAAAAAGAGTACCACACAGGCTTATTTTATTCCTACAAAATGTTGTTCTGAGGAGGTGAAGGCAGCGAAGAGGAGGGTGCGTTATTTAAAGCAATCTCCCACCCCCTCCAGCCTCTGGGCTGCATCACCCGTGCTTGAGGAGGGACATGATTCCCACGCCTGCATCTCATTCCCATTCATAAAAACACCCTCCTCATTCTCAATGGCATGTCCCTGCACATCATACCGGGTGAATCACGTTTCCACCTGCAGCAGCTGTAGGCAGGATACCCACCCACACCTGGCTCTTTCCTTGAAGGAATAGCCCTCGCACACCTCTCTTCTTTTCACCTCTTCCTTAGCAATGCCCCCAGCCTCACAAGCCCACCTCCCCCAAACCCACACGTTTGTTCCCACACTACAGAAGAACTTTTGCAGAGGGGCTGGAAGTCCAGGGCCTCCTGTTGTCGACTGGTATTACAGGTTGGGGATGCATCCTGAGGGTGGCTGCATGTGTGTGCAAATCTAGCCTTCCAACACACACACATGCAGTGCTGGAGGAAAGAGGGCTCTTGATTCTGATGACTCAACAGGATGAAGCCAAGTCTGTCTAACCAGCCATCAATCCTACACACACTTCCCTGGGAGTAATTTAAACTGAACTCAGCAGGACTTACTTCTGAGTAGACATGCACCACACTGTTACTAATCATCATAGAAGCAACTTTCCCCTCAATGCTGCCTTGGCACACCCCGTACGCCTGTCTCCCTAGGCTGCAGTGTGTTTTAAATTCTTCTGAGCCGTCCTCCAGTTCACCCAGGGTGTGCTGAGGATGGGGTCTGGGAGCTCAGCTGGTGATGGGCTTGTTCCAGCTCAGGGGTAGGCAACCTAAGGCCTGGGGGCCGGATGCAGCCCAATAGCCTTCTCAATCCGGCCCGTGGACGGTCCGGGAATCAGCGTTTTTTACATGAATAGAATGTGTGCTTTTATTTAAAATGCATCTCTGGGTTATTTGTGAGGTATAGGAATTCGTTCATTTTTCTTTTCAAAATACAGTCCAGCCCACCACATGGTCTGAGGGATGGTGGACCGGCCCACGGCTGAAAAAGGTTGCTGATCCCTGTTCCAGCTCAACACAAGACATTTAAGGGCCTGGAGAGGGAAATCCAGGTGGCAGCCTCTCCTGCTAATTGTCATGGGATACAATCCAGTGGGAAACTGCTCTGCATTTTAAATACAGAACCTGAGCCATCAAAAGACCGGCACTTATCCGCATGTTGGCATGGGTTGCCCTTCAAACAAGGTACAAAATTTGAAACACCCAGTTCTCTAGCTTTTGCTCAGCCCCCTGTCCCGGCCCCCCATCTCTGCCAACAACCAAGGGGACTGTTGATGCACCTTCCATCCAGGCTGGACACAGGAAACTGCCTTATTTGGAACCAGACCACTCCTGCTCCTGCTCCTGCCTGGAAGTGGCTCTCAGGGTCACTGTATTTATTTCCAGCACGATTCCTCCCTTATAACTAACTGCCCCTGTGACTCTCTCCTCAGTCTTAAGTCAGCAAGGCAAGGCTGCAATGATTTCTTGTTACTTCTTTGCAAAAAAACACTTTAAGAATGGGAGAGAGTGAATGCACTGTTCAATAAGCCGTGCTAAAAATAATATATATTGGTGTGTGTGGGTGTGTATACACACACACATATATGTTAAGTGTGAGCATAGGGCAGGGCAGTTTCATACGACCCCCCCCACCCAAGAGCTCTATATGCATTTATGCACATCCTTCACCTCACCGGGGGGGGGGTGGGCGGTGCGGTAACCAGATACCTTTAGAACAGTTGCCAAAGTGATCATCAGTGATGGAGAGAGCACATAGATTGGCTTTACTGAAAAAACAAACTCTAGCCAACATGCACTCATGCCAGCCACACATGCATCTCTGGATTTGCCTAATGACCTTTGGGGTCCCTTTCAACGCTACAGTTCTATGATTCTGCGATTCCAGGACCCAGGACGGGAAGAATTGGCCTTTTCCTGGCTCAACTTGAAAGGCACAGAAAACCTGCAAAACCAGTTTGAGCCGAGCCCAGAGCAGGAGACACACACACACATTTGCACTACAGGCAGCAACAGAGCTATCAAAGTGCCCTTGTTGTTCCAAAAATGTTTTGCATCTGTTTTCACTTCCAGTCACTCAAGGAAGCTCCTTGGCTGCTCTATGGCCACATTAGGACCAAGGCAAAGGGAACCAAGCAGATTTGAGTGACTGGTTGCTACTTCCTTGGAAAGAAGTGAATGCTTTGGGAAGGCATGAAAGCATGCTCTGAGGTGCAGGACAGAAGGAACTCTGGGCATACAAAACAGGCAGGGCACCTTTTAGGGTAAAGGAGCAGAACTGTACCAAAGCAAAGTGTCAGCATCTGAGCAGGCTGCTCACTCACTTCAAGTCATTCAGTCTCAGTCTCTCTCTCTCTCTCTCTCTCTCTCTCTCTCTCTCACACACACACACACACACACACTAACAGAACGTTCTAATACTGTGCAGGTCTAGTGAACAAACGGACACCTCCAGCTATGTCAAAGGCAGGTTGATTTGGCCACGAGGAGGTTAGCATCCCATGTACCACATCACCTTTGTACCGCTCACTTAGGTCCAACCCACTCCCCTTTCTTTCATCATCCACCCCATAGTTCCCTTCCTTGTGTTTTTTCACACAAAAGTGGAATGTTCTTTCTTCATGAAAGGCGCAGTAGGATTGTCCTGCTTTTGGGTGCAGCGTTCCAAGGAACTGGAACTGCGGAGGGGAATCATGCAACGCTCTGACGGCTTCCCCTGCCCCATCATACCCCAGCAGCAGAGGACTCGCAGGAACTCCTTCCTCATGTCCTTGCTGCGGAGGGTGTAGATGAGAGGGTTGATGGCTGAATTGAGGGTAGCAAAGGCAAAGAAATATTTCGACTGGAAAAGGATGGGGCAAGACTTCCTGGCACATGAAGCATCTATTGAGAGGATGATGAAGGCAGGGAGCCAGCAGATGATGAAGGCCCCCAGGACAAAAGTGACTGTCCTGAGCAAGGCTATAGTCTGGGAGCCAGCCATCTCAGCATGGCTGGAGCGAACGATGCGATAGATCCGGACGTAGAGGACCACAATGGAGAAGAGAATGGCGGTGAAGATGGTGACCACAAAGACAACGTAGTGTTTGGAGTAAAACGGTAGGACAGTGGAGCACTTGTCAAGGTCATGTATGCAGTTCCAGCCAAGGATGGGCAGCCCCCCAATGGCTGCCGAGATCACCCAGCAAGCGCCAATCAGAAGCACCATACGGCAGTTCTTGTCGCTACTGTAGACCTTCACCTTTGTGATGGCCACATGCCGCTCTATGGCAATGGCCAGCAGGCTGAAGACGGAGGCTGCCAAAGTAGCAAAGGCTGTGCCCTCTCGCACGAACCACAGCAGCGGGGTGAGGTGGAAAGTGGCTGGGCCCGAGAGGACAACGTTGGCTATGAAGGCTGAGCCAGCCAGTAGGTCTGAAAAGGCTAGGTTGCCAATGAAGATGAACATGGCCGAGTGGAACTTCTTGTTCCTCCAGACGGACATGAGCACCAGCAGGTTCTCCAGGATTATAAAGCAGCAAAGCACAATGATAGCAACAGAGCCGCTTGAGAGTGAAGGGTCATCATCTTTCTCCAGCCTATCCTTGGTGTAGTTGTAGTGCTCCACAATCTTGTGCTTGTTGAAGTAGGAATCGAAGGTGTTCCCCATGGCTTTCCAACAACAGGTTACACTTGTGCCCACTCACGGACGTCTGTATTAGAAGGCATCAAGGCAAGACCACAGTGAGAATGTGTTCTTTCAGAAGAGAGGGGTGAGGGGCCAACTCGCAGAAGCCTGGGGTTGATGAAAACACATAAAATTAACAGGGTTAGGAGCTTAGAACAAGGAGTGTGGTGTTGGGAATGCAAGGCAAAATATAGCCTTACCCTGTTAGAGAGGCATGTGCATCAGAAGCGCTAGTCTTCAATGTCTTAGCCTTCCATTTACAGGGTCATGGCCTGCAGGGTGTGTGGGTGTGAGTTGACTGCAAGAGAGCAGCTTTCCTTTCTTTCTTCTTTTCCTTCCTCCCTTCTAAAATGAATGCACAAGTCTTTAGCCCAGAGACAAAAGCCCTCCAGGTATTGCTGGATTCTAACCCCCACCAGCCCAAGCCAGCAGGGCCAATGGCCAGGGATGATAGGAGTTGTAGTCCAGCAACATCCGGAGGGCTGCAGATTCCCCCCTCCTGCTTCAGCTTTTTACTAAGGGAGATAGAAAAAAAGTGTCCTGGTTGCTAACATTCCTTTTGCCTGTTGCATTATGGAACTGTGGTGTTTTGTTTTTTTATCAACATGCTGCCATGTTGCACTAAATTTCATTTGCACTAGTGGGCATGGTGCCACACAACAGGGGAGGCCATTGGACATGTCACCATCCTTTACGCGTGGACATGCTTCTGTTTCCCCATTAAAGTGGCAGTAAAGAACTGTATGCCAGGATACCACTCCAAATTTAATCACATCGTATGACCTATGAAAACATTGGGAAAATTACAGCACAAAACCGTTGTGACAACCAAATACCAACCGCACATGTGTGCAATGCTGCACAGTCAGGCAATTGCAAATTTGTTCGTGCTATTTTCTGATTTTGCACAAATTGGAAGTATGAAAAAGAAATGAAAGCTATTGTAAGTAGATATGGGAAGGCCTGGAAAAATGTGGGGGGGGGAATCAAGTCCCCCCCCCCATTTTTTTCCAAAGCCATTTTTTCTTATTTGACAAAAACAAAAACGGGGGAGGGGGGAACTGTTGTTGTTTTTCAATTTTTCCAGTTTTTTCCCAGGCCTCCCCATTTCTGATTGTAAGTTCTCAGCACACACGGCTGTTCAATATATTCACCATGGAAATTTTATGTAAGTTTGGTTGTACAGTTTTGTGTTTGTGTTAATCTGGGGATTCAAAATAAAAGGAAACATTCCCATATTCAGGAGTGCCCCAAAAAGAGTTACGAGCCCAGATGGGGGGAAACAAAAGCACAGAAGAAACAGCAGTTATGGGAGCAGCAGAAACGACAATCAATCCCTGAGCTGGCTCAGTCTGTAGAGCAGGACACTCTCAATCTCATGTTGGGCACTGCATTGCAGGGCTTGGACTATCATAGAATCATAGAGTTGGAAGAGACCACAAGGGCCATCGAGTCCAACCCCCTGCCAAGCAGGAAACACCATCAGAGCACTCCTGACATATGGTTGTCAAGCCTCTGCTTAAAGACCTCCAAAGAAGGAGACTCCATCACACTCCTTGGCAGCAAATTCCACTGTCAAACAGCTCTTACTGTCAGGAAGTTCTTCCTCATGTTTATTAGGAAGACTAGATGACCCTCGTAGTCCTTTCTGACTCTACAATTCTATGATGCTAAAACAAATAATCTCTGACAATGCGTAGAGCTGTTTGGAGCCCAATTTCCCCTAATTTATCACATTAGCCCTGTGTCAAGTAAACCCAACTTTAGAAGGGGAAAGTATCAAGACCAGTGTTGTTTGAGAATAATGTCAGGTGAACTACGCAAATTAAATGGGAATGCAAACAGCTGCAGGCAGACAGTAAACTGATGTAGACTTGATCAGCCCTACATAGTGTAGCCCACTGGCCATGGACAGAGTTCCAGTCAGGGTGTTGATGAGCCTCTTATTTGGCTACCTGTCAGCAACTGCAAAAATAAAAACAAGGGATGGTCAAGCCCCTGACCTCCATGTGTGGTTGGGGGGCCACATTTGGCTGGTAGGTCAGGCCTTGGCCAGCTGTTAGGGAAGAAGGAGAAAGAAGGAGCAATTGGCAGGCCCTGCCAAGGAACCGTGGCCAACACGGCTTCTGTTAAAGTCTCAGCTTTCATAACTCATTGCTTTGATCTTTTCAACTTGCTTTGGTAGAATACACAGTACAGTGGTAATGAGATCCTTACATTTAATGAAACATCCATATAACAATTAAGGTGTGCTTCCACTTACTTAACAATGTAGCATTACTGTCAGAGCAACAAGAGAGGTATTCAAGTAACAGTGTTTTTCTTCTTAATTAAATAGATATCACACTTCAACTTTCACTTTAATACTAGCTTGGGTGCGCCACCTTCCCTCTCCGACACAAGTCTCTGGGAGTTGCGAGGTCTGGCCCGAGGGCAAGGCGGGAAGGGCAGGCGGGTCGCACCCACGGAAAGGCAGGAGGTGGGGGTGGGATGGAAATGGCTTCCCTCAATGACGCTGCCTTGTCTCTATCCCAAATCATTAATGATTTACCTTCTTAAGCACCAGGCATGAGAGCAGGCACCAGCCCCAAAGAAAAGACTGCCTGTTAGAATGGGAGGGGATTATGCTGGGACATTGCAGGGCTGCTGTGTTGTCATGTACACATTAAGGCACAGGGAATTTAAAGGGGAAGTACAGGGGCCGGGGTGGGGGTGGGGAGAGAAAGTTCATAGCTGACCAGGGATTGTTGAAGGATAGAAAACAACCTTACTGATGGCTTGCCAAGCATATTCCACCCTCCTCCAAGCGCCCCCACCTCCACTGGAGAGACACAGTGGGAAGCCACCAACTTTTAAAATGCAGGCAACAACCATTTTACGCCACACGTCTGAGTGAAACAGTGCATATTGAGAAGATCCTTGAAAGAGCCTGCAAACACCCTCTAAACCTCTGGAAACCCTTGGAAACCCCTTTTAAAAACCAGCAGCACTTGACAGACTCTCCAAACCTCCTTGCTCAAACTCCAACTCTCCACAGGCCTCAGTGGCTGATGGCTCCAGGGATTGCACTTGTAAGGCTCGTGGGACTTGTTGTAAACATAGGTGCTGTTTTTGCAACATTTTTGCCTTTTCAGTGTTCTTTTTAGGGCTGTTTTTGACATTTTTCTAGTCACTTCTGGGTTCGGGGCAATGCACATGCGCACAGTTGCACACATATTCAACACATGTACAATGGTTGTTGCTTGTATTAAAATGGTGATGGCATTGGAGATGAAGGGACCGGGGATAAAAGTGTTGCACTTTGCCAGTGGTACTATGGGCAATAGGAGCAATAAAACAGCACAAGCAACACTGCAAATTCTAGCACTTCTCCAGCAAGCAAATGCAGTCGGCGATCTGTTTAGGTGTATCCAGTTGATGCGTGACCCCCGACATGTGGGTCCTTTTAGACCCAGAAGTGGGATGAATGGGGGAGTAACGGGGGCAGGGTGTAACAGGGCAAGCTTATGCACACTCCATCCCCGTGCAAAATGGTCGTGCCTGTACTACAAAAATGTCATTCCATGCAAAGATGTGCGGTTGGGGTGAATGAGAAGAGTGCACTTTTGATCCTATGGAGCCAATAACTACATATTTATTATGGATTAGAAGAGAAAGCTCTCCAGACACATCTCACTTCTAGTATTGAAAATCAGGTAAGTCCTCTATGGTAACATCTCCAAGAATTGTGGGAAATCTCCCCCCCCCCAAAAAAAAACCCCCACACAGATAACGCAGCAGTTTAAGCACAACGGAAATGCAAGTTACCTGAGGAAGCAGAGCCTTCGCTAAGGCACAGAAAAGGCCTGCTGGCCGATGCAGAATATCCTTGCTTCACTTACACTTCAGAATCCCAGCTTCCAGCAGCAGCCAGCACTGCAATCTTCTGAGGAAGAATACAAAATGCAGAGCCGTTAGTGGGTGGACCATCCACAGGTCATTTTCTCCAGGCTTCTCATAGCTGCAAGTTATGCTGCGTTTCTGGTATGCATACTGTTAGCTGCCTTAGGTGCCCACCTGTGAAAAGGCAAGGTATAAATTTAAATAAGTTTAGGGAAACACCATGCATAAAGTTGCATAAGCCAGAGCTGTAGCTGGAGGGGGGCTAGCCAGGATTGTTGCTCTGGGTGAAGCCTCCAGGGTGGGGTGCCATTGAGGCTCCCAGCCTGTGTGTGTGTGTGTGTGTGTGTGTGCGCACACACACACAAATGTGCATGGGAGGGTGTGCCAAACTGGGTCTTTGACCCGGGTGAAATAATGCCTAGTTTTGCCTTTGCATAATCTAAGCACCTTGGATTGCTGCTAAGAGAGCAGGACTCTGTGCAGACAGTGATTTAGGCACTAGATCCCAAATGACTCGGTGACAAGGAAGGTGGTTTGGATGGCCAAAGACGGCTGCAGGCACAACCCTCTCACTCCCACTGTCTCTTTCCCCTGAGTAGTTTGCTCCCAGCTGGGGGAAAGTGCCTGGAGGCAGAGTCTGTGGGCAGGGATGTTGCCAAGCACTTCAGAGAACTTGGGAAGGGAGCTGCCAGGAGAGCCTCTCACACCTTTTCCTTGCTCAACTGCCGCACAACAACCCTGCAGTGCTGCCAGGGTTGCTCTCTGACAACTGCTGCCACCACCACCCTTTTTGGTCACCTACAGCCCCAGAAGCAAGGAAGGAAACGGGGGGATATTTAAAGTGCAGTCAAACCAACAATTCATGTTTTGCTAGATAGGCACAGGATCAGAGCTGAAACTCAGTTTTCCTGTAAACTTGCCAGAGAGAACTCTGTGAGAGATGCTCCCACTGTGCCGACATGGAGAGGGCAGAGCTATAGATATTCTCCCACCTGCTTCTTTTCACCATGCCAGCAATGTGAGAACATCAATTTTAAGCTAGACTTAAGTATGTATTTGTAACTGAATTACCATGTTAAGCCTGCCTAAACAAAGCTTCTGTATCTGTTACTCTTCAACAAGTATTCTGAGTGAGTAAATGTTATTTTTACCTTTTACAAGACTGTTTGTGTGATTATTGTTTTAAGGGAGAGAAAGGGGTGAAATACCAGGAGAATCTGGTCTGCCTTAAAGCTTCCTGCATTACTTAGACTAAAAGGCTAAAACTAGCCTATCTAGGGCACTCTGCTGATCTCACAAATGTGAGGAAGGAAGGATAATACGTAAAAAATATATCATCTTCTAGCACCTTTTCACATCCCAATATAAACTGGGAATGTACGGTTAGTTCTTCAGATCCTGGGATCTTGGACCAGTGCCCTCATGCCTCCAGCCAATCCCTTGCCAAGTGGCAGAGCGAAAAGCCAGCTCCCCAGCCCTCGGCTCCTCTCCCAGAGCAGGGCAAAGGTCTGGCTCTACCCAGCCTGGCCTCAGGCTTCCAGCAGTGCGGAGCCCAAAGGGAGCTGGGCACATGGGGATTTCTGAAACGGAGGTTGCCAACTGCACACACCTCAGTGGTCACATGGTGAAACTTTATTAAAAATAAAGTGGGGGGGGGGCAACAGGCCAAACAGAACACAGAATGCTGTGGCTCTGGAACTAGACTAACCTCTGCCTCTTGCCAGTCCCTAACACAAATCTGTATACAGTGGTACCTCTGGTTACATACTTAATTCGTTACGGAGGTCTGTTCTTAACCTGAAACTGTTCTTAACCTGAAGCACCACTTTAGCTAATGGGGCCTCCTGCTGCCGCTGCGCCGTCGATGCATGATATCTGTTCTCATCCGGAAGCAAAGTTCTTAACCCGAGGTACTATTTCTGTGTTAGTGGAGTCTGTAACCTGAAGCATATGTAACCTGAAGCATATGTAACCCGAGGTACCACTGTAAATGTATAAAGCACCTCTGGGAAAAATTAAGATGCACCCTGTAAGCAAAGTAAAACATATAATTATAAAAAGAGGGACGGAACAGAGAATTTGGGGCCTGGTATGAAAGATTCAGGATCACTGGGCCACCTGCTAACCATTGTGGGCTGTGGGCACGAGCAATTCCCAGAGAGAGCAGCAGCTGTGTAAGATACCTGGCGGTCAGAGGACCCTGCTCCAGCGCATAGCACTCTGCCGCTTCCCCTGATTAGCAACCTGCTATGCAAAACAGTAAAAATGGCAGAATTTTAAAAATAGAAGAAAAATCATGCAAGACAACTCATTTTGCATTTATATTGGATGTGAAATTCAGACACTGGACACAGATTTGATTTTTTTATACATAAAGAGTTCATATGCTCATATCTTCTTCTTTGGCGATCACTCGTAGCTGAGTAAGATTGTCTTCCATAAACACGGTTTTAACAGTGAGTCCGTAAGTGACTGTGGAGGCCAATTCTGGATCCACATGTCCTTCCACAGTGGGGACATTGGTTCCTGGGCAGGAGTTGATCATGGTGTGGATTTGCCAAGTGTGCCTTCCTCTTAGCACGTTTCTCCCTTGTGTTCTGAGTTCGAGTGTCTTCAAAGTCCATGACACCTTTGGTAAAAGCTGTTCTCCAACTGGAGCGCTCACAGGCCACTGTTTCCCAGTTGTCGGTGTTTATACTACATTTTTTTAGATTTGCCTTGAGACAGTTGACCACCAGCATTACGCTTTCCATTTTTAAGTTCGGAATAGAGTAGTTGCTTTGGAAGACGATAATCAGCATAGCTGTCAACTTTTCCCTTTTCTTGCGATGAATCCTATTCGGAATAAGGGAATTTCCCTTTAAAAAAGGCAAACGTTGACAGCTATGATAATCAGGCATCCGCACAACATGACCAGTCCAACGAAGTTGATGTTGAAGAATCGTTGCTTCAACACTGGTGATCTTTGCTTCTTCCAGTACACTGATATTAGTTTGCCTGTCTTCCCAAGTGATGTGTAAAATTTTTTGGAGACACTGTTGATGGAATCTTTCAAGGAGTTGGAGATGGCATTTATAAGTGGTCCATGTTTCACAAGCATACAATAAGGTTGATAGTACAATAGCTTTGTAAACAAGCCTTTTGGTTTCCCTGCGAATGTCCAGGTCCTCAAACACTTTGCACTTCAATTGGGAGAAAGCTGCACTTGCAGAGCTCAGGTGATGCTGGATTTCGGCATCAGTGTTGGCCCTTGTGGAAAGATAACTGCCTAGGTAGGAGAAGTGATCGACATTTTCCAACGTTACACCACTGAGTTGGATTTGTGGTGCTGCAGAGGGGTTATTTTGTGCTTGTTGGTGCAGCACTTTGGTTTTTTGGATGCTGAGCGACAGACCAAGCTTTTCATAAGCTTCTGTGAAGATATTTAGGATATAGCATGAGACTGGGGTGTCCTTCCTAGGAAAGCTTATATTGATTGACCTTTCCAACACTTGCGGAGGAAAGGTGGAAAGAAACTAACTGGAAACCCCCAGATGAAGAGTAACACTCCCAAATGTGCTTCTCCTTCATGCCAGCAATCTGGTGGAAAAAAAAACCTATATTTTTGGGTCCTATTTGAATATTGCCTTTTAAAAATCTTAAGACTAAACTAGCAGAACATGCTTTGTATGGTACTGATCTCATTATGGCTGTTTGGGACCTTCCAATTATGGAAAAATGGGCAAGTCTACCTCCTGGTGGGGACATGTAACTCAATTTTTTTACTATTAATTATTATTAAATGTAATTATTATTATTATTATTATTATTACTATACTATTACATGATGAGAAGGTGTAGGAAAATGCAGGCAGGACCGGCTTTGGTCTGTGTGGGCTTGAGGGCCAGCCCTTTCTCCTCCTCCCCGTAGTCTTCCTCATGTTTGCTCATATGGCGCCTTCCTATAAAGGCAGCAAAGGGCAGAAGGCAGATCAGGATCTACGCAGGTAGAACCTCAGGATGATTTGCATATAGCCACAGATTTCCACTTCCCAATTGTTTAGCAACAACACAAAGGCATTCTATCATCACCAGTCCCTAATCCAATTGGGCAGCTGAAGCTAAGAAGCCTTAGGAGAAAGCCAGAAATCAAATTTCCTGAGAATGAACCCTGAGCTCAGTGTTGGTACTACTGAGAACAAATTTCTGAACGGAGTAGGTTTGTAAGCAGAATCCTTCTAGATATCTACCTGAGAAGGGCTTCTTCAGCCTGTAATCTCCATCTTGGAATTGTGTCTACAAGTTTTCATTCATGGCTCCCCAGTCTTTTGTGCTTCTTCTTTTTGCTTTTCTTTGCTTCCCTCGCCCCTGCTTTGTGTAACACCTTGCCTGATGGAGAGTTCTGGAGAACTCAGAAGCTTGATACACTTTGGTGACCTTTTCGCTGGTAAAGTGTTGCCCAATGTGGATCTGGGACTTGTTTTCTTATAGGCCAACATGGCTACTTTGCTTTTTATGGACTGGGTCCTGGCTCAGAGGTGGCCTGTCCTGATCCCTCCTTTTAAGTGTGCATCTCTCGCCCTTCCCTTTTGCCCTGCTCCAAATGACTGTGTTGCATCTGGTTCTGCCAAATGGACCTCAGAGTCCTAGTACAAACCACAACAAAGTAGACCTCACAAGCCAGCTTAAGCTCCAAGTTGCTTGAGCAATATGCATGAATCTCCCACACCCCATTTTGTCCTTACAATGACCCTGTGAGAAAGGTTAGCCATCTGTCATGGATGCTTTAGTTGAGATTCTTGCATTGCAAGGGGTTGGACTAGATGACCCTCAGGATCCCTTTCCAATGTTATAGTTCTATGATTCTATGGCAGGTCTCCCAGTGAGTTTCAGGGCTGAGTGGGGATTTGAACCTGGATCTCCTCAGTCCTAGCCCAACACTCTTACCACTACACCACACTGCCGCCATACCTCCTTTCCTTGTGCCTCTCTACAGCCTCATTCTCCCCCTTGCATTGGCTCCAAACCATCATCTCAATTGCCGAAGCTTATCCACGTCTTTCCCAATTGCTGTTCGTTTTCCCCAATAACGTTTCTTGTTTGCTTTTGGGGGCATCACAAGCTGCTTTCAGGTCTGAACCTCCCCGCCTCTGCCAAGCCTAATACTACTGCTAAGGGGCAAATGGCTCTCCTGCTGTTGTAGAACAGACTTTTCCTGGTAAGATCTTATTTCAGGTAAGACATATTTTCCTCCTTCCTGCCCCAAGTTTAAGACAGCAAATTAGTTCAATTAACTTTCTATGGAGAGAGTACAGTATCATAGAAAGTCCAACTTAGCTCTTTTGGAAAAGAATGTCATTTGCTTCTTTTTTATTCTAGAAAGCGCCAAAATAAAGTGTGAAGACATAAAGAGAGAGGATATTATTATTATTATTAATTTTATTATTTCCACAGTCTCTTAGCAAGAACACTCAGCTGCTTTCTTGTCCTTTAAAAAATCTGGATGTGTTACATTTTTAATTATTAACTGCTAACAGCCTTTAAGGAAAGTAGACTGAAATAAATAAAAATCAGTCAGGCAGGGAGAAATGGCAAGGTTTTTCCATGCTCTTCAATTAAACGACAAAAGAAAAACCATGGAAGCTTATGCTTGGCTATGCAGGAACTGGTCAAAATTAACAGGGCTTCTAAGAATTTGGTTATTATACATAAAGTTGCTTGGGGTTTGTTCACTCCGAGATATCAAACCTGGTTAAGGACTCTGTAGCAGAAATTCAGTACCCACATCCAATGCAACTCCATTGCTAAGGTTGTGTGTTTGTGTGTGTGTGAGAGAGAGAGAGAGAGAGAAAGAGAGAGGGAAGCTTTCCTCAGGCCTTTTTTAAATAGCATAATTTAGGCTGAAGCAAACCAGGACAGTTGCAAGCAACAGAACTCCTTATCACATGCTGATTTCAGCACAGCAGAGCCTGGTGTGGCTGCTTATATCCAACAGCCCAGGTGGGGAGGGGAGGGTTAATAACCTAAGTGAGGACACCTGTTTCTTCCAACCTTTAAAAATTACAAATTCAGTTATTGTTAAATGTGTGGGACTAAAATAGGGGAAGGGCCATTTTTAATTTGACTGACACTCCTTAGAAACATGGTTCCTGTGAAAACAACAAAAAATATTACCATTTGCTCTTGGTTTTGGGAAGGGGTATTACCAGAGGGGCCCAATCCACTGGACAGTTCTCCAGCAGCGAGCCATGTGGTGGAGTGGGTAGAGCATTGGACGGGGACCGGAGAGGCCAGGACTCAAGTCATCACTCATTCACAAAGCTCACTGGGGCAGTCACTACCTCACAGGGTGGTTGTGAGGATAAAAGGAGAAGGGAGAGAACCTTGTGGTGAGCTGCAACTGTAACAATAAAAAATAAAAAGCCCATTGAAATGAGTGGAAGGCACAATGCCTTTCAGCCAATAGTCCAGAAAGAAGGAGGACCTTGCAGCAGAAATCCATCGAGTGCAACAACTTCCTAGTCCTCATGGACACACATAAAAGCCTGAAAATCAAGTTTCTTCAAAATTCTTAGGAAATTTAAAAAGGAACATTTGGCTGATGCTTTGAGTTAGCTATGGAATGCTGCCATACATACAAACGTATATAGAATGTTTGAAACTCCCATTGTTCTAGGCGCATTTTGCGACAAGGAATTTCATTAGCGTGAGCAGTTTCTGAGCTCTGGGTGCAGTACTGAGCCTAAGATTTCAGATTAAAACTGCAGAGTGGAAGGAAAGAAGGGTCTTTTTCTGCCTCCCCATTTCCAGCTACTCTCTGAAGACTGGAGAAGAGGCCCTCTTAAGAATATTAGGGGGGTGGGCAGGGGAAGGACTAGACCATGTGAAAAATGAACATATTTTAGCTGCAGTTCATTCATTTTCAGCTTTGAATTCTTGCTATAAAAAGTGCCTAGACATTCCATTGTTGGGCCATAACCAAGGTTTAAGGTGCCATTTAGAGCCTAGCTTTCATACCTGTTTCTAACGCTGAATGGTCCTGCTTAAGATGAGCATACCCACCCCATTTTCTTGCCTTAAAGATGGAGTAAGTATCATATGAATCCCCATACTTGCTTGCTTACTTCCTAAAATAAGATTTTATTTAAGCTTTTTCATACTACAATAAGATAAAAGAAACTAATCTAAATAAAAGCAAAAACAGAGAAAGAAAACTCAGACTCCTGTCTCCAAGGTCGTTCTTAACCCTTGTCACCCCCAGAAAGCTCTTGCCTGGAAGCCTCCCTTTCTTCTCTCACTGTTGGATGTCTTCCCTTCTCATTCAGGCTCCTTCCACCAACCATCCACTACCTTCATGTGTGTATAATCCTTGGACCCCAAAAGTGGCCCAGAGCAGAGGGCACCAAAGGGGGAAAAGGGGGGGGGAGAAAAGAAGTTACATAAATGTCAGTTACATAAAAGAAAGTATTCAAAACATTCACTCCAGGATGTTAAGCAATATTTCCCCAATGGCAGCAATGGTTTCTGCTCTAATCAAACATATCAGCTTTGTCTCCAATAACTTCAACAACCATTTCTCTATATTATTAAACAATAATACGCCTTTCCATCTTTGTCCACATCAGAGTCTCTACACCATGATCATGTTTTTATTATGCTAGCATTTTTCTTGTATTGTGTTGATGCCTGCCTGCCCAGGGACCCTAATGGTGAAGGGTAAGAACTCAATCGTTTAGTGGGCGAGGGAGGTTATTGAGGTTTTTTTTGTTCTTGTTTTTATTGTGGTTTTTTAAAATCTTGTATTTTTGTGTTGTGAACCACCCTGAAATCTATGGATGGAGGGAGTTACACAGATTTATTTATTTAATTACTTATAGTGGTACCTCTAGTTGTGGACTTAATCCATTTCGGGGTGCCGTTTGCACCCTGAAAAGTATGCAACTAGAGTGCCTCTTTCGCGCATGTGCGCAGTGAGATTGAGTGCTTTTGCGCATGCGCGAAGAGCACAGATCACTTCTGCGCATGTGCACATGGCGAACCTGGAAGTAAACACTTCCGGGTTTGCCGAGTTCATAAGCTGAAAATCCATAACAAGAGCGGAACGCAACTAGAGGTACCACTGTATATTAAAATAATATACCATAGTTCGTTTCTTGATATGTATTCCTTAATTTGCACCCAGTTTAACCCTCAGGGTCCATTCCAACTCTATAATTCTATGATCTGTTGTATTTGAGGGGTTTTCCATCCTATTTTTAAAAATTATCCCTTCCATTTATGCTTCTTCAATCTTTTTCCAATAAACGTGCCAGAGGTTTGATAGCTTTTTCTTAGCTCTATCGTTGCTAGCGCAGGGTGTCTCTTAATCTCCTCTTAATCTCTCCATCCATGGCTTCATTCCACTCCTCCATCATCACAATTCCACCATTTGACTGTTTAATATAACATGCTATGATTTTCAAATCAACATTCCATAACCTCTCCCATGCAGCCAATTCAATGTTATAACCTATATCCCTCGCCCTGTGTATTATCACTGATCGTCTTTTCTTTGCCATTCCAATAGTACGTAATTTGTACAATTTAGAAATCACTTTATCTTTATTTTCTATTAGATCTCTTTCAAATTGTGAGGTTAGGTTAGAAAAATCATTCTTTTATCAAACTTAATGAAACATTAAGTTGACGATACTGTAGCCAATCAGTTACTTGCTGTCCTAACTCTTCAAACCTCTTTAATTTTATATCTTGATCTACTTCTGTTAATAGGTATTTATATGTCGCCCAGTCATGTCTTTCAAGTGGCAAAAGCCACCACGGTGTCTTCAGATATGTGACTTTTATATCTAAATTACTTCTTATTCTTCTTGCCAAGACCTCTAAAACCAATATAAAAAGTAACAGTGATAAAGGACAGCCCTGTCTTGTCCCTTTTGATATTATACATTTTTCTAAAGTTATATTATTTACAGTCAAACTTGCATATTGGTTAGAATATATAGCTTTATTGCCTTTTATAAAAGTCTCCCCAAAGTCAATCATCTCTAGTGTTTTGATCATAAAAGTCCACAAAACATTATCAAAAGCCTTCTCTACATCTAAAAGCATCAGTACTGCTTGTTTCTTGTTTCCTACTTCCAGGTATTCAATTATATTTCTTACATTTTCCTTCATCTCTGTACCCTGCAAAGATCCAGTTTAGTCTTGATGTATTAAGTCCTTTAATATTAATTTCAGCTGATTTGCCAATACTGCTAAAAATAATTAACAATAGTTATTTAGCAAGGTGACTGGCCTATAATTTTTCACTAACGCTAAATCAGTCTCTTGTTTCAGAATCAACATAATGTAGGCATTTCCCAAAGATTCCGGTAATTCTCCCAATGACCAAAACAAGAATTTCAGAAATAGACTTGAAAGAGAAGTTGCTGAATTACAACTTATTACTAAACTGAAAACTATGGAGAGACCTGGTCTAAATAGAGATACTGGATTCTTGTCTCATTACATATGCTAAAGCTATTTTTGGTCATCTGCATACTTGTTGTTGTTGTTGTTTAGTCGTGTCCGACTCTTCGTGACCCCATGGACCAGAGCACGCCAGGCAATCCTGTCTTCCACTGCCTCCCGCAGTTTGGTCAGACTCATGCTGGTAGCTTCGAGAACACTATCTAACCATCTCATCCTCTGTCGTCCCCTTCTTCTTGTGCCCTCCATCTTTCCCAACATCAGGGTCTTTTCCAGGGAGTCTTCTCTTCTCATGAGGTGGCCAAAGTATTGGAGCCTCAGCTTCAGGATCTGTCCTTCCAGTGAGCACTCAGGGCTCATTTCCTTAAGAATGGATAGGTTTGATCTTCTTGCTGTCCATGGGACTCTCAAGAGTCTCCTCCAGCACCATAATTCAAAAGCATCCATTCTTTGGCGATCAGCCTTCTTTATGGTCCAGCTCTCTGCATACTATCCCTTGCTTTTTCCTGTAGGACTAATTGCAGTCATTAACGGTCGTCAACTGGTTTACCATACCCATCATTACCCATCTCCCACTACCCTTCTGAGAAAAACCCCACCCCACCCTCCCACTATATATATGGGTCTGGTGACTTCTGTCTCAGTGTATCTGAAGAAGTATGCATGCACACGAAAGCTCATACCCAGAACAAACTTAATTGGTCTCTAAGGTGCTACTGGGCATTTATTTATTTATTTATTTCTATCATTATTTAGCGAAGCGTTCAGCAACACAGACCAAGAGTTTTATTCAGACTGCCTTTTTTGCAGACAATAAGGCTTTGTACTCTTTATTTTGAAAGGGGTTGGAGGTAAATGTCCAACAATGTATTTGCAAGACTGAATGTTCTTGATCTTATTTACAATTCCTGACTCCACTTTAAGATGTTCACAATGTTATCAAAACATATTCCTTTCCCACAGAGGAAGTATGAAGTGGCAAAATTACTTTCAATTTCAAGGCTACACTTTCATTGAGAAAACAGAAAATTACAAATAAAGAAAATAAAAATTATTAGCACTCAGAACTCCCTTGTTCATTTAAAACTTTCTTGGCTCAAACAATTAGTGCATGCTTTTTGTTCTGCCTCCAGCCCTTCTATGATTGACTTCCCTTCCCTTCTTCTTAAAGCCAGTAAGTAGCTCACACACTGAATGTAAATTTCCACCAGCGGATAGAGAAACCTCTTTTAGTTGTAAATTATAACTATCTCAGAGATTATTTTAAAAGAGGGGCTTAAGCAGATCCCATGCCCATTAGGGTTCTTAGGTGGCTTTTGGGTACGATGTAGTCCTCCACTCATAAGTTGCTCACACCTGTGAAGGTTTCCAGGAGCTGACAGTCTCCCAATGCAGAAAACAGCTTTTTCAGAGCAATAGAGATTAATCCCCTGTTCACTCTTATCTCCAGAGTGAATTCAATAGTCAAGATTTACACCTGGCTATCATCAATTGCCACCTAATTATCTCTGTCGGCAGCCTGCTGGCAAAGGATGTACAGTGGTACCTTGCTTTTCAAACGCCTTGGTATTCAAACGCCTTGGTTCCCAAACACTGAAAACCTGGAAATAAGTGTTCCGTTTTTCGGAAGCCGAACATCCGATGCGGCTGTTGGCTATTGTTTCTGAGGTGCCTGCGCCAATCAGAAGCTGTGCCTTGGTTTTTGAACATTTCAGAAGTCAAACGGACTTCTGGAACGGATTAAGTTCGAGAACCAAAGTACCACTGTATTTGGTACTTTTGGTTTTGCTATTTATTTTGCATTTTTGTTTTTGAGGCTTTTTTGGTTAATTTGTTTTTGTGACTGTGTGGAACCCAGTTCAGCTAATGATTGATTGTGTGACTGTGGAAATGGATAAAAGCCCACCATGCAAACAATGACTATCACCAGTGTAGGTAAGAAAAAAAATTAATTTCAATTTTTATCATCTCCAATACTGTCTTATTTATTTTATAGTACAGTACATTGATTATTGCTTTAATTTATGGATCAATGGTCCCGTTAGATAGTAAAATTCAAGTTAGTTTGCTGTTTTAGGGGTTGTTTTTAAGAGTATGGAATGAATTAATCCATTTTGCATTACTTTCTATGGGAAAACGTGCCTTGGTTTTCGAACAGACTTTCAGAACGGATTAAGTTTGAGAACCAAAGTAACACTGTACAGTCCACCATGTTTCTCTTCTTGAAGTGAACCCCAATGCTTCTTTCTATAGAAATCATAGTTCACACAAATGCGTAATATATAAAGGTAAAGGGACCCCTGACCATTAAGTCCAGTCGCGAACGACTCTGGGGTTGCGGCGCTCATCTTGCTTTACAGACCGAGGGAGCCGGCATTTGTCCGCTTCCGCAGACAGTTTTTCCGGGTCATGTGGCCAGCATGACTTAAGCCGCTTCCAGCGAAACCAGAGCAGCACATGGAAACACCGTTTACCTTTCTGTTGGAGTGGTACCTATTTATCTATTTGCACTGTGTGGTTGGCAGGAGCAGGGACCGAGCAATGGGAGCTCACCCCGTTGCGGGGATTCGAACCGCTGACCTTTTGATTGGCAAGCCCAATCGACACAGTGGTTTAACCCACAGCGCCACCCACGACATTATATATACTTACTGCTAACTTTTGTCATCCACAGTCTTCCAAATTACTCCACAAAAAAGTAACTAACCTAGGAATTCTTTTTACTAGCCTACCTACTATGCATACCTGTCTAATGAGTCACTATGACTCACCAACGGCCCAAAAGAGGCAAAGGGAAGGAACCAACTATTTCCCACTTTACAGAAATGTCCTTGCTTGGTTGCCTGGAGAGTATCATTGCAAGCCTGACTGATTATTTACAAACTTGTCTTAATATAATTAAATGCTTTTACCCTATGCAGAGTGGATACAAGACCAGCGCCACAGGGCTTTTCCAACCTCCCAAGTACAAACAGCAAGATGCATCTGAATGAAGATTCAACCCCATCCCAGCTTCATTTCAGCCCCAGTTCCAGCTGGCTCCCCGCTTCCCCCCTCCTTCATAGCTGCCAATAACTTGTTTGGCTTATTGCCATCTGCGGAGAGAGGAAGCACAACCCTGCCCTGGCACAGCCTCTTGCCTACACACACGCAGTTTCACTGCTGACTCTTGAAGCGTCCAGTAGCAGATTTGCTTGAGATATGTCAGGGCTCACCCCCATGTGCATGGGAGCTGAAGGCCTGGAGAGAAGAGGCAGAAGCAGGTCTCTTGATGGTTAACATGTTTGTTGGAGCAGGCCTGTCTGGAAGCAGCTGGCAGGATCTGCTGTTGTTGTTTTAACCAACAACAGAAACAGGAAGCCTTCAGATCTTGGATGTTTCACATTTTGCAATTTTATATTTAGCATTAGCTGTTTTATTGGTTTTATGTTGCTGTCAGCTGCTTTGGGTTCATTTTGATAGAGGTCTCATCTGTATTCCACCCTCAGAGATCTGAGTTCCCTGGGAAGAGGGACTGACTGTTAAGTCACTCTGCGGATTGTAGCTCTGTCAGGGAAATGGGCGCCTTGACAAAACTCTCAGCACACTTACCAAACTACACTTCCCAGGATTCTCTGGGAGAAGCCTGAACTGCTTAAAATGGTATGATACTGCTTTAAATGTACAGTGCAGATTGGGCCAAAGAGAAGTGGGATAGAACTTCGTACAAAAGAAGACAACAACAGCAATTCAACTGGTCCAGTTTAAAGTGACTTACTTCAGGGGACAGCAAGTGACTTGTTTCCCCAGCTTTGTCCTCTACTGTCTCTCAGCACACTGACCCAGTAAAGAAGCAGCGGACCTGGCTTGGATCAACGTTAAGAGTGGATCAAGCAAATGTTACACAGCCTATTTTTCACCTGGGTGATATACCAGTGTCAGGGCTGCACCAACGTCAGTTTAACCTCATGCTACACTGCTCCTTCTGACTACACTAATATTTTATCCAGGTGGGAAACTAGATTGGCTTCTGGAAGCTCATGACCAAGACTTCTAAAGAGAGGTTTTTGTAAAGGTATTTTGCGGGGGAGCCCAGAGTCCTGCCTCATGGTGTACATAGGACCAAGAGACATGGAGGGCTATCATTAGAGAAAACATCGGAGTCCATCCCAAAGGCGTTAGAAGAAAATTTAAAAATCTGGAGAAATTGCAGGTTAGTAAAACTAAAATGTTAGTGGAAAATATGAAGGATAGCAAGAAAAAAGAATTAGAGGGGGAAAGCAGGATTATTAATCAAGAAAAACGTAAAATATATAGAGATATGGTTAACAGCAAGAAATATAAATTTCACAATGTAACAGAGAAGTTGTCTTATAAAGCCCCCTGACCACATGTGGGTACAAATGATACTACCAGACACAGTCTTTTGTGTATAGCAATGGACTATGAACCTCTGCGCAGGAAGCTGAAGGGCTGTGGGGCACAGGTGGTTTTTTCCATCACTCCCTGTTGAAGGTTGTGGCCCAGGAACAGAGAGGAAAATCGTGGAAGCAAATCACTGGCTGTTGAGGTGGTGTTGTCAGGACATCTGCTAGGGTGGGTATTTTGGCCCACCCACTCATTAGTCCCCAGTTCTATCTGGCTTGTATGTGCCCATGTGACCTTCACTTAGAGCAGCAACTGGTTCAATATAACTTAAAACAAGTTCATATATAACACCACACAAAGTTGTACATAAAACTAACTTCGTGTACATCATACACCAAGAGAAAGAGAATGTTAGTCACTAACAATAGGTATGATGATAATAATACTGTCTTAACTCACAAGGGTTTTTCGTGGAAGTATAGAAAAAGGATGAAGTGCAGATCTGGGCGTGGAATCCAGCTTCTCAAGAATCACAGCTTTTATTTTTAAAAAAGAAAAAGGAGGAGGTGGTTGTGGTTTGTAGCCTTTATTACTATGAAGATATGCTCAAATTGTGTGGGCAGTGAAAACTCAAAAGCCAGAGGGATGATTGTTGCAAAGCTGCTTGCTGCTCCCAATGAATAGCATGTAAGTTTTTGCAGATTGCATAATTTATAGAGGATGCAGAATCCAGTTTTTCAGGTTTGTTTTTTTAAGGACAGTGTGCAAAAGCAGTATGTGACCACTGACACATGCGAAAATCAGAGAACACACACACACACAAATAGCTTGCATAAATGTTATTGATTTGGCTAGAATGCTACAGCTTCACAGTGAACAACTTTTCCTGCCAGGAGTCAAAATACTAGTGGAGAGAATTAGGGGTGGACAAGCTGGTAATCGCAGGGAGCCTTGGGATAAAACAGGCTCAAATCTGCTTTTTAGGGCTATATTTTTTAGAACTAGAAACACTCCCTGTCTCAGACCATTCAAGTGAATCCAGTTCTAAAGAAGCACCAGAAACACTCTGATAGAGGCTGGATCAAAGAAGCGTTTCGGTTTAAAATGTTGTAAATTTAAACTGGGAAAACTGGTAGAGAAAAACGGGACTCCATGTCGCCATCTGGTGGCACAATGTTATATCGCACATACAACACATATAAATAGCTTTTTCTTTACCAGTCTAGCTGAGTCCTTAGAGCTTCAGGATCCAGCAGTCACCAGTCCTTTGCCCTGTATTTCACTTAAAAAAATAAAACCCAAAACTGGAAAAGCAAGCAGGACCAAGCCAGGCTGGGGGGTGGGCTGAGGGCAGATCACACTGCGTGCCCCCCTCCCACTTTCATCCTTCCCCTGATCTGCCTCTGCTGCCACTCTTGCTCGGCTTACTTTTTGCTTGGTCAGGAGTTGCCACTGCTTTAGAACCACCATATTCTCTTTCCTCTATGTTTCCTTTTGCTGCTGCAGCAGCAGTTGCAGTATGACAAGGCTCCTTGCTCGTGTCTCCTCCTTGGCTGCCGTGCAGATGACACTGTTCTAAGTGCTGCTTCTTTGATGCAAGTCCCAAAAAACTAATTAAAAACGAAGGCTGAGCAATGGAGAACCAGTCACACTTCTCTGACAGCTGGAAGGTGGACATGGCATGAATACTAACAGTATAAGCCATTAAGCTCCTCTAACAGACCATCATTTTTGCTCCCTGAAAAATATGCGTGATGAAGAATGAACAATTCCCATGCCTGATCCAGATCACCCTTGAGAGATGACAAGCTGCTGGCACTGAAAGCTGCAGGAATGGCACACCTCCGGCCAGCAAATCCCCAGTGGTGACTTACAAGTCTCCATCCCATACAAATACTGTCCCGACTCCTCCTGCCTTTCTCCCCATGGCCCATTGCAGAGCCTTAGGGCTGCTTGCTCTGGATTTAGCTTTGCTAGAAGAATGAAGCTGCCTTTGCTCCTCCAGCTCTGTCACTGATAGCTGTTCTGGCGACAATAAGGCAGCTTGTTTGGATCCTCCCAAGACACAAGCTTCCTGCTGTCCAAGGGAGCTCATTACACACACAGAAGGAGGCCTTGTTCCCTGCTTGCCCCTCCCAAAAGCTCATTCATCTCAAGACCAGACAGCCCAGAAACACCCACCCACTATACATCCCAAGGGCACCGGGGCAGATAAATGGGATCAATTCCTCCTCACTAAAGGAGATTAAAAACAGAAATAGAAAGCAAAGCAGGAAGAGATATATCCACAGACTGGGTAGGGATAGGATGGTAAAATGGGGAAGCTTGTGGTTAACACTGATAGCAGGGGCAGGAGGCAGGCTTTTGGTGCCAGCATCCGGGTGGGACACATATGAAGCTGCTCATTGAGAGTCAGGCCACTGGTCTACCCAGTCTAATATATAATCACCTCCATCTGGGCAGCTCTCCAAAGTCCAGCATGGGTCTTTCCCAATCCTTTCTACTGGAGAGTGAAGCTGAAATTATATGTATGCAAAATTTGCTCTACCATCAAATTATGGGCCTGTCCCAGACAGACCTATCTGATCCACGGGGCATAGCTGGCGGGAGAACTCTCTTTCACAGCAGACCCTCTGGAGTGAACAGAAGCCCCCGAGCACAGGGGGAGGACATGAGAGAGAGACCTCCTTCCTTACAGCCCACACTCCTTGCGCAGTACCACACCTTAGGAGCGCTGAGGGAAAGTATTGCAGTGAAGCAAGTGAACACGAGAAGAGACCAGCTGGAAAGTGCCAAAGGGCCTTCTAATCCAACCTCACAATGGCAAAGTGGGTAGATAAAAAAGGGGGTGTAAATGTGGGGAACCTGACTGGCCCATTTCCCCACTTCATGCATTTGCTGCATTGAGACTCACATGTGCACTGGTGCAACACTCATGTTTCCCAAAGCAATTCTAACATGTAGCGTTGCCGTTAGCGGCTTCGCTGCATCCTTGTTGTAAAGAAGGGGTCAGCAAACCTTTCCAGAAGGGGGCCGGTCCACTGTCCCTCAGACCTTGTGGGGGGCCATGATTATGTATGTTGCCATGATTACGACCTGCATTTTTGGCAAAAACCCTTATTGGGACCAACCCCAACGTTGCCCAAATGCGATTTGGGGGGATGGGTTGTTCCCTCAACGTTGCTTCTTTTGTGTTTTACGCGTTGGCAGTTATTATTTCTCTCATAAGGCCTGGTGGGGGGCTGAGGTAAGAGCGCTATTCCTGTCAGCCCTGCAGAGCGTGTGCGCATGTGTGGGTGAAGGTAAAAGCCGTTGGCCACGCTAAGCCAGGCGGGAGCTGCTCAAGCAAAAATGTACTTTTCCCCGCGTGAGGGAAGACGAGGCGGCAGAAGCTATTTATCTTTCCATGGCTCACGCCGTGTAGCTAACGAGTGGCCTCCCCAGCAGAGCGCAGAACGGCCTCAGAGTGCAGCCGCCCAGGCGCTCCTGGCTTTCTCTGGCAGGGAGTGCCGCCGTCACAGACACCGACGGGCGTTGTTCCTGAGGCGCCTCTGAGCCCCTTCCTGAGGTCAGTCGCCGGCAGCTCCATGGTGGAAATCCGAACTGTGGCTCCTTTCCCCTCTTCCCCACCCCCCACCCCGGAAGAAAAGATTGCTGCACACGCGCGATGGAGGGACAGACGGAGAAGGGGCCTGTTTCAAACACTTTTGACCCCCAAGCCTGGCTGAGTCACAAAAACCATTGCGCACGTGCACTATGCTGGCTGCCTGGATTCCCAGACCGCCCGCAGGCTGGATCTAGAAGGCAACTGGGCCTGATCCGGCCTGCGGGCCTTAGTTTGCCGACCTATGTTGTAATGCAATAGGCTTTTCATGTACCAAAGTCTCCACTTGGGTAGATGGGGTGACAAACATGTAATAAGTACTTAAAAATTAAGCAACCTACAGAAGAAATACATGATGCTTGTCGGGCAGGCTCATATTTGGAAAAAGCAAAGCAGAAAACAGGGAAGGGCAGGACAGAATGCTCTCAAAATGCCAAATTTGTGGAGCCAGTGTGGAAAAACTCAGGAGGGAAGATGAATCTTGATTCAGGTTTTGGAAAACAAGGAGGAGGAAGGTGAATGTCAAAGGGGAGTGCATTCCTAAAACACGAAGCTGCAAGAGAGAAGTTATGAGGAAACAGAAGAGTGAATAGGAAGACGTTCTGAGAAAAAACACCAGCGCTTTGGCTGGAGGCAGACAGTTGGGAGACACCCTGTTTTTACCTCACCACCCCTCTGACAAACACATTTTGCAGATTTTTGAAATACAAAAATTTACCAAACGTATTTACCTAGAGCTGGCATGGAGGGTCAGCATGGCCAGGCATCTTCCAAAGAATCACACCCCAGCAGGGCTCCCCTTAACGTCCTGCAGCAGCCTTTGCCAACCAGGTGCCCTCCAACTGTTGCTGGAGTTGGCTGGGGCTCATGGGAACTGTAGTCTCTTAAGAACACCTGGAGGGCACCAGGCTGCCAAGGGCTCTCCTACAGTGAGGGTGTAGGTTCATTATGGAAGGGAGTGTGGGCCACAAGGGCCCTTCAAAACATTTGCCTTCTGAACGGTTTTTAACTGCTTGTCTCTAGCCTTACAGCTGCAACACAAACATTACGATAACCCAGGAAAACAAATGATTTGCACCCACTCACTTGCATGTGGCAAAAGGTGTGTTTGTCTCTGGCTGCCTTCCAGTCACTTTCCTACAAACATTGGCTTGAAAAGGTTTGGAGAGGGGGCACCAGCAGTTTCCATAACACAAAAGGAGAAGAATCCCTGCACAAGCACCTCCTCTCCGGGGAAGAATGCTAAGATGCTAAAGATGGCATCTGAACTAATTCTCCAAATATTTCCAGTGTCCTTATCCAAGCCCTCGCATCTCTGCCGCAGCAAGCTGCTACTTTCACAGCGCTGTACTAGAGGGCAACTCAACGCTCCCCACCCAAACTCTGGGAATTGTGTCAAGACCCAAGAGTGATGGCCAAAGACCACATAAAGCAAAGCAAAGCAAAGCTCCACGAGGCTGCCTGGCAGACAGAGAGTCACACAAGCAGAAGGGGTCACTTAGTTTGATGTGCAGGTACAAAGCTTCCTCTGTGCACAGCAGCTGATGGATTGGGGCACTTCGATTTCTGTGGCATCTTTCAAAGCAAACTAACAGGATGGATCCATCTCCCCAAAGCTTTAGCAAATTATTATATTTATATTATAGATATAGAGACCACACATACATGACCCTTTAACATATTTTTTTAAAAACAGTTGCAAAACTGTTTTGTGGATTTGGGCTAGGGAGCTTTTGGGGGGGGGGGACATAACAGAGCCAACTTTTCCCCCATTCAAAACCGAACCACTCTGAAAAGTTGCAAGACAGGTTCCCTGCCTTGATTGCTTGGGCTCTGCAATTGTTACATGGGTCTTTTACTCTTCAGCATCCTTTAAAAAAGCAAGCAAGAATGTATTCTGAGAGATGCAGCCAAGGTTCAAATGAAGCCATTTTGCTGCTAATTGCAACTGGCCCCCAAAGACGTGGGCAGGTTAACCTAGTCAGCTTCAGGTCCAGAATTTCCTTGCTCTTTTGAAGGAAACAAGTTGTTTCTTTAAAGCACCAAGGAACTAAAGATGCTGTCTAGTGTATGCATTTCAGCATCTTTATGCGGAAGTTAAGAAAATCCTCACCTACAATGCTAATATCGACAATGATATTACAGTTGATAAGATTAAGGCTGGGTACATACCATCTATTTTAAGTGCACCCCCCCTCCACACACAACAAAATAGATTATTGGGAACTGCAAGCTCCAATTCACGGAGCTCCAGTTCCCAGCACCCTTAAACTACAGTTCCCATGATCCCCATGTTTCCTGACCCTGGGTATGTACACATTCACGTGCATAATAATCAGTGGCTTGAAATGCAGCAAATTCGCCCGCCCCCCGCCCCCCGGATTCTTAGTCATATTCATACATTGCTGTTCAGAGCAGAGGAAGAATAGAGATGTCTTCACCAAATGCCCATTAACCAATTTATTTTCCTGTGCTGATCTCCGATTCACCAGGGCTGCCACCTGTACCTGTTCCACTGCTGCCTGAAATGTACCCATCTCAGTTTAACTGTAGCTTCTGTTTTCAAATTGGATGGAAGTTGGTTTGAGAGAAAGTGCATCAGACAGGAGTATTTCTCAATAAGCTACAGGACACCGAAGTGGGTAATGTCATGCAAAGAAAGAAAGAAAGAAAGAAAGAGAGAGAGAGAGAAAGAAAGAAAGAAAGAAAGAGAAAGAAAGAAAGAAAGAAAGAAAGAAAGAAAGAAAGAAAGCATTGCAAGCTGATCCACCTCAGCATTAAAATGCCAAGCAGTCTGGAAAAAGACTGCAAGTGCTTGATAAACGTAATCTGAACTGCAGGTAAAAAGACAAAGTAGCTCAGTTAAGAGTTCCAGTGGTAGATTTTTGTGGGCAATATGTATTGAGTCTGAGATCTTTGACTAATTTGGTACAAAGGACTGAATTGAATAGAAACAAATCAAAATGGGATGCTGACAAAGGCAATAAGGATGTGTTTCAAATTTCATGCAATGCCTTATTACCAGAGTGTAAGCTGTGGCCCTCCAAATGTTGTTGGACTCCAACTCCCATCACTACCAGCCAGTGTGGCCAATGGTCAGATATGATGGGAGTTCTAGTCCAGCAGCATCAGGAAGGACACTGTCTCCCCATCCCTCCACAGGGATCCGCAGGTCCTACTTGTAATTCATGCAAGTCGTAAGGTTCCAATGGCATTAAGAAGACGTTAAAAGGAAGGGCTGAATTGTTCAGAAAAGCTGAAGATCATACTCAAAGCAGAAGGATTTACAGAAAAGCCTAATTCATCTGATGTGGACAGGCCTGGCAGAGTCAAAATAGGAATATGTTTGGACTCGCAAAATATGAATAAATCAGTTCTTAAGACAACATTTTCAGCCACCTGATTAGAGACAATGTGGCTTGTTGGACTCATGCCTTTATAACAGGGATGAGAAACCTCAGGCCTGAGGGCCAAATAAATCCTTCCAGGCCTCTCTATCCATCCCTTGGGACTCTTCTCCTGGCCACACTGCTTGCCTCCTTGCCCTCAAATGTTTTTCCTGGGCTGGAATGGATCCTAGTGATAATGCTTCTTTGTTTGCCTGGATGAAGGATGCAGAGATGTGGGGCGTGGGGATAGAAACCTCTGAATTTTGCATAGTTAGAATGTGTCCTACACATCCTTTGATTTGCCCACTTTTGCCATCAGCGCACCAGTGATGTCACCAGGTCAGGACTTTGGGACAGAGGTAAGGGGTTCCTTTCAGCAGGAGGACTCACCAACTCAGCAAGGCTGGTTTACTGCAATTTGAAGTAAGTGAAATAACACACATGACCATTGAAAAAGTGGAAACGTCTGTAAGATGAGTAAGTCTAGAGTGAAATAACAGAAGTGTACCACTATAGATTATGTTCTCATGTGGGGAAATACCATACCAGAACATAATTCCAGACAACTGCCCAGAGGAATCTGAAATTGAATAAAGGAAAATGCAAATTTGCCATTTCAAAAACAAAATACATCAGCTGTATCTTACTCAAAGAAGCTTTAAAACTTGATGCATCTAGAACAGAAACCATAGCTCAAATACCTAGACAAAACAAGACGGCTGATTGCTATGAAAAGGGTTTCTAGAGGTTACCATTCATTTAGCAACATTTATTTGAAACTGACGACAACGAAAATACTGCTTAAGACAGTTACGGACTCGCATGCATGAAAGGAAGAGCAATATTTTTTCCTTGGTGGCTGCCTGGAGGACTCCCAAGGAGAGGGGAGAGGAGAGGAGGCTGAGGGAACACTCCACAAGGGAGGGTGTTCGAAAAAGGGTGAGGGGCTGCCAGCTCTGTAGGCAGGGGGTGACATAACTGGGCTCCTGAGCCCCACAGGGGTGCCGCAGAAAGAATGTAGTTGGTCAAGGGAGCCATGGACTCAAAAAGGTTGAAAACTGATGTAGTAAGAGATTCTGGATGTCTTATTTACTTTGGATCAGAAAGAACAGTCTTATGATCAATCAGAATGGAATCTGTAAACCTGAAAAAGTGACTGAGTGGTATATGGCCCCAAACAGACCACAGGAGGAAGGGAAGAAAATTGTGGAGCAGCACTAAAGGTTCCTGAACCAGTGACTGATCAAACAACATGAGAACGCAGATGCACCGACATCAGAAATACACATGCTAACATCTCATAAAGCATCCTAAAGCGCCAGTGAGACTTCGGAGAAGGCTTTGATGCTGGGATGCCCATCATTACATCAAAAGCAATATTAACATACAGAGAGTAATATTTTCTTCTGATGGAGAAGTATAGTAACAATAGACCCCAAACTAGTGTCTCATATGTGGCTGCATGGAGAGAAGCAATTATTGGGAACCTTTTCAGGTAACTGAAACGGGGGCACCAGCAATTTTGAGATCAACTGCTACATTCTTATGGACTTTAGTGAAGTTTGGAAGAAGCAAACTTCTCTTTTGCAGCAGCAAATATTACAGAGAGGGAAAAAAGCCGAATGAATGGATTCATGCACTTTTGTCACATTGTAGGGCTCTGCCTCATCCTTTACAACAACAGAGAAGAGGTAAAAATACCTGCACCTCATTTTCAGACAACAGTGGGTAACAACGCTCTTGAAGCATGTGGGGATGCTAGTCAGTTTCACTGTTCTTTCTGAAGGTCAACCTCATCACAGCGCTGGAGAGGCTAGTACGGTAAATGCCATGGACAAAGGAAGCAAATGGGAAAATGCTCCCATAGCACGTGAAAGGAAGGCCATAGGATCAGGCTTTGTGAGCCAACAATGCCATAGAGCATAACCAGATACCAGCTTTGAAGGGATACGAAGTGTATGTCCACATCTAAGGAGATGTAGACCATGGAGTCTGCAGGAACTGCATCAGGCACACAGGGCTACTACCCACTGTGGCATCTCCAGTTAAAATGATATTTGAGAGCAGGACTACAAAATTCCCCAGAATGAAAGACTCTGGAGAGCTGCTGCTAGTCTGAGATGGCAATACTGTACTAGATGGACCAATGGTTTGACTCAGTATAAGGCAACTTCATATTTTCACATTCAGATTCCTCTCTTGCCAGTGAAAGCCATCCTGTCAATAAATGTGTTAGTTGAAGATGCTACAGGGATAGCTTGCATATGCATGCAAAAACACACAGAACATTTTCAAACAATCCCCTCAGCTGGTTTCTACAACTTCTAACTGTACAGTGCCAGAACCAAATAAAGAGGATGCAGAAAGTGGCTGCTTGAGTAGGCTTTTAAAAGCTTTCTAAAAGCAGTATTGAACAGGCAGCTTCTCCCACATTCAAGATCTGACAGACCCCTCTCAGCCACAAGATTGTGTGCGGAGCACGAATGTGACATGGGCTTTATAGAAGTAGCATTCACAACAATTGCTCTGACTGAAAGAGTTGCCTCAACCACAGAACATGCAGTCTGATTCACACTTAGGTTTCCTTATAGCAGGGGTGGGGAACAAGGGCCCCCCTCAGAAGCTGCTGGACTACAACTCCCATCATCCTTGACCATTGGCTATGCTGGTTGAGACTGATCTGAGTTGGGAGGCCAGTGACATCTGGAAGGCTGCCAGTTTCCCATGCCTGCCTTACATGGTTACAGCACACATTTGTCCAGGTTGTGCGGAAAGGGAGAGAATGACTGTTTTTGTATTTTAACTTTTGTATATTTTAAAGTATGGCTGGGATTTTTTCTTGATTTTCTTGTTTTATCTTTTTGTAAACCGCTTTGAGGATTTTTACAATCAAGTTGTGTATAAATTTTATAGAAATAAATATATAATAAATAATACAGCAGGAGCTGCTTTCTGTGAACCATGCCTTATTCTATAAATGCAGGGGGCAGACAACTTCTGATCACATGACTGCAGCAGCTTTTAGCCCACCACATTCACTCCCCTACCAAACCCCTTCAAAGGCTGCATTTCCAACCTTCGGTTGGTTGAGGGTTCCTCAAATGCGTCTCCCATGCTGTTCAAGTGATGCTTGTTCTCATCTCAGGTGTGAGGACCTTTACAAAGTGGATCCTGCACCGTGACCCGGCAGGATTCCCGCACTAAACCAGGATGCTGAGATGCACCAGCAGAGCCAGCCCCAAAATCATATCCAGGCATGTCCCAGCCTACAGCTTAGGGCTGTTGAGTCACTGGCAGAGGCAAGAGGGAATACTTGTTTGGGAGCAGGGAGGGAATTAACTACTGGGAAGCCAAGAAGAGAAAAGAGCTACAAGCCAGAGAAAGAAACCATGCAAACAACAAAGTATTAAAATACTCTGAGTATTAAAAAATTAAGCAAGAGAGCTGAGAAGCATGCTAAGCAGGAATATGTTAATACAGTGGTTTTCAACCAGTGTGCTGGGGCACCTTTGGGTCAGTGGTGCTTCGGGCACCACTGACCTCTGTCCCTCTTTCCTTACCTCCTTCTGATGCCCTCTCGTGTCTGCCTCCCAAAGGCTTGCATGACTGCTTGTTGCAGCAGCCCTGGTTACAAGCTCTCCAGATGAAGGGCGCCTCTGGGGCTGGTCAGCGGAGCTGGTTGCCAGGAGCTGCGGTGGCCTTGAAGTAAGCGAGCAAGGGGGTGAGGGAGCCCAGCCCGCCAGCCCTTGCTGTTGGGAGGCCAGGCAGGCAGGCATGTGCTGAGCTGGCCTTTCTTGTGCTTGCTGTGTGCAAGGCCTGCCTGGGAGCTGCGTACCTGGTGCTGAAGGGGAGCCTTTCCACCACACAGGCCTGGCAGCACCCACTGCTGTCTCCCAAGGTAAACTGCTAGCCTCATGTTCACCTTTGGTCAATCTTTGTTGGGCCTCTAAGGCTGGGGGCATCCTCTTCCCAGGCCCCTGTGGGGCAGTGTGAGGAGGCACCTCTCTTTGGGGTGGAGTGGGGGTAGCTCAGAGACCAGGGGCAGCAGCAGTGGCTGCCCAGAGGACTCTCAAGGAGAGGAGCCTGAGGGAACACTCCACAAGGCAAGGTGTTCGAAAAAGGTTGAGAGGCTGCCAGCTCTGCAGGCGGGGGGGGGGGGACATAACTGGGCTCGTGAGCCCCACAGGGGTGCCACATAAAGAGTGTAGTTGGTCAAGGTTAAAAACCTCCGTGTTAATATGTTAAGAAGAATGGGAAATGAAGAATATCCCCAAACAACAGATGAATGGGGGACCAAGAGACAGCAGGCAGGCTGAGACGCAAGAGTGCTTGAGCAGCACACCACAGTGAAGGCAGCTGTAGCTGGAGTCAGACTCAGAGCTGGAGTAGTTTTCAAGCAGCCCAGAGACTGTCCAGATGCAGCAACCGAGAAGTGCTATTGCTGCTCCAATGGCTCAGGCAGCCGTTAATGATGTGTACAACCCTGCACTCCAGAAGGAAAGTCTGATGGGAAGCATGAATACATACAAGCTGAAGGCTTGTGCCGATGCATCACACACACCCCAGAACTGACGCAGAGGGTTGCTTGTGCTCTGTGTTGCAAATGCTAAAATTCTGCATCAAGAAAAGTTGAGTTCTGCAATCTGTACAAATTATGCAAACAGAATTATGCAAATCAATTATGAGTTTATACATCACAGGAAGGGGCAAAAAGTTGCAAAGAAGCCTCGTCCACAGTCACTAGAGATCATACTTGGCAGCTCCTCTTTCTTTTGAGATTGTGAAAGCAATTTTTAAAATTACACTTATCTTCCACCTTTTTCTCCAAGGAACTCAAGCTAGTGAAAATGGGTCTCCTTTTCCTCATTTAATCCCCACAAAAACCCAGTGGGGTAGGTTAGGCTGAGAGGAAGTGAGTTCTGTGGCCAAGTCTCCCAGCTCCTAGTCTGACACTCTACCACTGCACCACACCGGCTCACATTTGGCACAGTTTCAATCATATATTTGCAGCCAATAGGACTAGTTTCCCCTCCTCTTTCAGCTAAAGCTAAGATTCTTTTGGAAGCTGAATTCTGTGCTCAGTCCCTCATTCTGCATTTTCTTCTAAGATCCCACAGAATTATGATACTGTATAGGTTTAGTTCTATGGATACTGCATAAAGCCACTACTGTATTCTGATAATCCCTCCTTAGTGGATTTTTAATTTTTTAATTTTATTAAATATAATTTCACAAGATTGCAAACAATATTCTATATTCAGATGTGAGATTCAAAACACTAACAAAGAAAACAATATATAAGGGCAAGAAAAAGAGAGAAAGAAGCAGACCAAATTGACCCATGAGGCACAGTTCAATGGGGAAGTTCTCTTGCACAAGCCCCTTTGAAATGAATGGAAGCTGCCCAAGGGCACAGAAGTCTGTCCCCCCCAGTGGATAACTTTGATAAATGCTCAGACACAAAATACACAGCAGGGGCTTTTAGATCAGTCACTATCTCCTAGCTTCAACTTCTCTGGAATTCCCCTGGCAATCTCAAAGACTGGATTATTGCAATATGATCTATGTGGGCTGGTGCAAAAGCTGCAGCTTGTGCACAACTTGGTGGTGAGGCTGCTGAGTGGAGTGAGCTACTGTAAGCAGGTTGTTATACCTTTGCTAAAGGAGCTGCACTGGCTGGCAGTCTGCTGCCAAGTCAGGTTCAATGTGATGTTACTACAGTGTTACCTCAGGTTAAGAACTTAATTTGTTCCAGGGGTCCATTCTTAACCTGAAACGGTTCTTAACCTGAAGCGTGCTTTTGCTAATGGGGCCTCCTGCTGCCGCTGGCGCGCAATTTCCGTTCTTATCCTGGGGCAAAGTTCTTAACCTGGAGCAACAACTTACTGGTTAGTGGAGTCTGTAACCCGAAGCGTCTGTAACCCGAGGTACCACTGTAATTTATAAGGCCCTATGTAGCTCTAAACTCGGTTGCTTGAGAGATGGCATTATCTCAGTAGAACCTTGCAACCCATAGAGACGTTTCTCCCAAAAGTTCCAAAGATTTCAGATACCCACAATGGATTAACTCAGAGCAGGGCCTTTTGTGTGGTTGCCCCTGTTCTGTAGAATAGCCTTCCTGTCAAGATAAAACAGGCAGCACTATTTTCATGCTCCAGAAACCATTGAAGACATATTTGTTCCAACAGGCTTTCCTAGCTGGATAAATGTGTATTTGCCATGGAATTTGTTTTGCTTTGTATTGCTTTTGTTTTGTTTTAAATGTCTTGGCTGTCTTTTTAACTGTCTTTTTGCTGTTTTTACTGTACATTGCCTTGAGATGGTTGGTGGTTAACAAATTATTGATAATAATAACAGCAAACAAGTTGGGATCTGGTTATCAAAAAGACCACCTTTTTCCGTACTGACTTGGCTGTTTACTAAGATCTACCAATCAGGCCTTCCTGCCAGTGTTAGAAATTCAGATATATAAGCGATGCATCAAATGCTCCTTAAACCAAGGTTACAGTCACCCAAACGGTATGTTTAGTTGCCACTTTTGGGTAAGACAGCTCTAACATCTTATTTTTCTAATGATGGACTGACTGCGAGTGATTCTCAGTTAAACATCCAGCTAGCTCAAATGATAACCTTGAGCTTGGTTAAGAACTTTGAGAGCTTAAAGAAGAAAAGTCACTTGATCCAGGGACAGGCCACACAGAAACTGGCCTGTTCCAACCTCTTTTTCTTAATGGTGACTGTGCCTATTCAGGCTGTACAGAAAAAGCATTTTGGTTTCTGAAATTCATTACAATTGTGCAGATAAAATAGAACTGATAGAATTCTACAGGATGTGGTACTAGTGTGTGAAAACAGTCAAGATCCAATGATCCCCCAGGTATGCACCTCCAGATGGTGGAGATGTGAGGCGTCATCCTGGCTCCCAGGCATCATCACTTGGTTGATAGACAGGTGCAAAATGTGCCTGGCTGATTTTAAACACTGCTTCCTGCTTCCTTTTTTACCTGCTCATGTACATCTTTTGGAGCATAGGAGCCAACTCCTAGGGGCCGAGGTCCCTTTGCCCCCCCCCAATAAAATATTTGAGAGGGCTGCCCCCCAGTTCATGGGCATTGCCATTCAAATACTGTATGTTTGGCGTGTCATGTGATCAATTATGTGGGGTGGGGATTACCTCCCCCCCCAATATTTTATTCAAGTTGGCACCCCTGTTTTGGAGGGTCTTTTCTGTTTTGGCACCCAGCTTCTGGAATTACCATCCTTAGTTGTGTTTTGACACTTGTTAAAGACCTGTTTGTTTGTTTGTTTGTTTGTTTGTTTGTTTATTCAATCAAGCATTTGCTAATTTTTAGTCCCTAGCTTTAAGTGATATGATTTCTACTGTAGATTGTTTCATTAATTATTTTACAGTTATTTATTGCTGTGCAATTGTATCCTGTACACCACTCTGGAATTTTATAATGAAGGGTGGTATATAATTTTTTTTAAAAAAAAATACAATATTGTTTTTAGAAATGAAGAAATAATCACAGTCCTGTTGTACACAGAAAAGAGTAGTAAAAGTCTGGCTCTTTCCCATCATCGAGGACATACTGATGCAGGGAATGGAAATTCCAGTTCACATCATGAACAAGAATCAAGGATGCAATCTTGTGTATAAGGAATGTGTGATCATTACACAACTTGGAGGGTGGTAGTTGCCCTGGGTTAATTCATGCAGACCACAAAGGTACAATCTTATGAATGCACTCATTTGAAAATGCTAAGAGTGGCTCAAAAGTTGGTACACTCCCTCACTGGATGACAGCTGGCTCAACAGAAATAAATAAAAAACAAGTTAGAACCAAGTTGTCACTACATTCGCAAAACTAGAGAAAAATATGATAAGCACAAAAGCTGGAATTGGCTGAGAACAGAACAGACATGACGTATTGCATCAGGAGGTCTGGTTTGGTTATGGATGGCTCAACTCCACAAGCAACTCACGTGATTACCTTGAGAGGCAATGTGTGATCAGGGGGACATTGCTGCATTGTCCTCATTTGCACATCACTATACAGTGGTACCTCAGGTTACAGACGCTTCAGGTTACAGACTCCGCTAACCCAGAATTAGTGCTTCAGGTTAAGAAATGAGAACAGGATGAGAACAGAAATTGCACAGCGGCAGCGGGAAGCCCTATTAGCTAAAGTGGTGCTTCAGGTTAAGAACAGTTTCAGGTTAAGAATGGACCTCCAGAACGAATTAAGTTCTTAACCCGAGGTACCACTATAGTTAAATTTAACTATAGTTTAAAGGTGAACAGAGAAAGAATTGCAGCCACTTCACTCCTTCCCTGCTCCGCCATGGTTTGCCTTAAATCTGTGGTTTGTTTTCCCCAAGTAAACAATAAGCAGTAAGTCAAAAACAAAATGTGCTTATACTGTAGCCTGTGCTTTGTTGTTTGCAGAAAGACAAACCATGATTCTTGTTTCTGAGAGCAGGGGGCCATACTAAAATGCCTGCGATTTCAGCAGTGTGTACCAGCATGCTGTGCTTCCACTTTGTACCACAATGAAGGTTAACTGTGGTTTAAAGTGACATGCAAATAAAGCCGCTGGATTACTCGTGGTGCTTCACTAGGGCAATGACCATTTTGAAGTTAGGCTGCTCATTTGTCTTGTCCTAGAGCAGGGGTTCCCAATTAGCTAAGTACCACAGACCCCCTGTTTTTCAAATGTCAAGCCATGGAGCTCCTATTTTGGAAAATGCTGGTATCTCTGTGGTAGTTTTTGTTATGTGAATGGTGCCCTGGACCCCCTGAGTGGGTTATGCAGATCCCCTGTGGTTCGCAGACCACCACTTGGGAACCACTGCCCTAGGAGAGAAGATAAATGGAGCCATCTTGCCTCAAGGCAAGGCATGGGGAGTACCGCACCAGTCTATGATAGCCTCAGTCTTAAGGAAGTTGTAGGGCTGGGAAGAGAACACACAGTTCTAAAGTCTGTTCTATCAAGAGCAGAAGAAAAAAGGGAAGAGTGTGTCGGACACAGAAATGCGGAAAGGGGGAGATGATGACATAAAGGTTTCCTAGGTCTGATGGAATCCCAGCCGCCCTTCAGAGGTGAGCCTGACTGCAGAGCTATGTTCTGCCAAGCTGAACCCTCGAAAAAGCTCGTCTTTCCCACCCCTTAGACATCAAGTCAGATGTCCCCTTCACGTTTTAAAAACAGTGCATGCACGCTGCTTCCCTGGTATGCCCCTCCTCTGAACCTGACCAAGGGGGGCGGCCTCCAGCTCCATTTCTGCTCACTGGCACGAGTGTCTTGCCTCTTCCGTAGGAACAGGGACACTAGAAGGGAGGTAGCATTTTGCAACCTTTGCATCCTTTAGAAAATATCCTAACTTCCATTTTCACATTCAATCAGGTTCCTTTTTAAAATCTGACTGTAGGTTTAAAAATAACTCTCTTCCACTTTCCATTTGCCCCTGATTACTTCTGGACTGACCTACTCACATTTACTGTAATCGGAAAGGATTCCTTGACCTTAAAAGCATCCAAAGATGCAGACATATATCTGTTCAACACATCCAGGACAAGAAGTTGGGAAAACTACTTTTCCAAAGTGTTTATAATCCTATTAACGTTTAAAACCAATAAAAATTATTTGGATTTGAAAAAATAATCCTATTAACCTTATAGCATCAGTAGCTTTTGTCTAGTTTTTTTTACAGTTAAACCCCCACATTTCTCCATCCCACCGGAAAAACTGCTTCCCCACCCAACTTTCAGCAGACTTTTAGAGGTCTAAACATTGGAAACAAAAAACACCATTGAAGTAGGGCAAGCATGGAGTGTTCTTTCATTCCACCTGTGATTGTTTCCCAGTCCCTTTGGTCAAATCATTCATTCTACACACTGAGCACCTAACTGATATAAATCAGGGACAGAATTCTCACCTCCCATCAGCCTCAACCAGCAGAGCCAGTGGTCAAGGATGATGGGAACTGCAATCCAAAAACATTTGGAGGGCCACAGGTTCTCCAAACCTTATAAATCAATTAAACACACAAATCCCTTTTCTTTCCAAATGAGAAGGGAGGGTGAGGGAATTGACTTGTGTTGATTAACATTGCTATATTCTCAGAAGAGGTATTTTAAGTCATTGCAACAAATTATTTCAAAAACACACTCTTTTTGAACAATATATTTTTTAATCCATCCAAGACTGGGACTTTGAACCTTGCCCTATACCCAGCTTAATTGAAAATGGCATCTATCAGAGTTAAAATATGTCTAATCATTTTCAGCCTTTCCTGATATGTTGTGCAGCCTGTACCCTACAATGAGGAACTAAGCAATCCAGACAGCTCTCTCTCTCTTTCTCTCCCTGACACATACGCAAAAGCCAACTTGAGGAAGGGGTTATTGTCACAGTCCCTCTAAGTGTCCATATTTTCCAGGGACAGCCCCAGATTTACAGAAGCTGTCCCCGTTTCTGATCTGAACCTGGAATGTCCCATTTTTCCTTAAAAAAGGTAAAGGGACCCCTGACCATTAGGTCCAGTCGCAGATGACCCTGGGGTTGCTGCGCTCATCTCACTTTACTGGCCGAGGGAGCCAGCGTACATGTGGCCAGCATGACTAAGCTGCTTCTGGCGAACCAGAGCAGCGCACAGAAACGCCGTTTACCTTCCCACCAGAGCGGTACCTATTTATCTACTTGCACTTGATGTGCTTTCGAACTGCTAGGTTGGCAGGAGCAGGGACCAAGCAACGGGAGCTCACCCTGTTGCGGGGATTCGAACCGCCGACCTTCTGATCGGCAAGCCCTAGGTTCTGTGGTTTAACCCACAGCGCCACCCATGTCCCTCCACTTTTCCTTAGGACGTCCCTATTTTCATTGGATAAATATTGGAGGGTATGGTAGGATGTCCCTATTTTCATCACAGAAATGTTGAAGGGCATGGAGTTATGCAACCCCCAAGCCAAGGAGATAAATAACTATACAACCTTTAGAAGACATCTGAGGGCAGCCTTGTATAGGGAGCTTTTTTCAATGTTTAATATTTTACTATGTTTTTATGTATGTTGGAAGGTGCCCAGAGTGGCTGGGGCAACCCGGTCAGATGGGCTGGGTATTATGATTATGATTGTGATTATTTAGAGCATCCCTATTTTCCCTGGAGAAATGTTGGAGGGTATGTCATCACTCCTTCAGTGGTGATTGGAACCAACACAATTTCTCTGCATAGGAGCATAATAAGCATCTCAAGAACAAAGGGGGGGGGGCGCGGAACTTGCATCCCCGCCTTGGAGAAAAGGGTGCTTTAAAGAGTAATGTTACCATTGCTAGGAATGGCTAGCTCTGAAAGACAATGACGTGGTGGCTGGCGCTGTGCACCTTCAGTCATCAGCCCCTGCTCCAACTGAGACATGGGGACATCCTTCGGCTTACGGCAGAGATCCAGCCAGTCTGTTGAACTCAAGAGCCAGAATCTGCCGCGTGTCTGGAACACCAGAGGCAAATGCCAGAGCCCTGCTAGATGTTGATTTCTGCATTAACCCACTTTTGTCCCTGCAGGCCTGATCCTGATCTGAGTTTTGTACATACAGCATGGACACTCCTTGTCCACCCACCTCCCCTTGTGTCCCTGTCCACAAGCAGCCAAGGATGCCTTGCTTGGGAGCCAAATGCCATAAAGGCACTTCCTGCTCTGTGGAAGTTGAGAAAGACTGTAGGAGTATTAGGGTGGAGCAGATTCCTTGCAATGGATGAGGTCATCCCAGCAGGAGAGTTCCTCCAGGTTCCTAAATAGCACTCGTGGGTGGAGAACAGCTATTTCTTCCTGGTCTAATTTCCAGTGATAAATATCCTGCCACCCATCTCTTAATTTATCTGCCTTGGGGACATCTTGCAGCACATGGCCGGACAGCAATCCTGGCCTGATCTGAACAGCTGCAATTGCTTTATCAGAAACAGACCCCCACCCCAAGCCTCTCCAGCACATCCGAAGCCTGAGGAATGCGGTTGTGCTGGCCACAGATATCAACAGATGGTTTTTGTTGTTTGGCGGAGATTTGGCCAGAGGCTTTGGGAAAAGCAATGAGGCAGGAGGAAGGGATGGGGGGAGGGGGGGAGGATCTCTCCTAAGGATCTCTTCCCACAAGCTGGGGAGGGAGGGAAGAGAGAGAAAGAGCGTGCTGAATGAAAGCTTCGTTCGGCACTTTCTGATAGGCTGATTAGAAGATGGTGATAAAGTGAATGGAAAAGTCCTTGGTCTGTATATTCATTAGCAAACAGAGCAAGAGGAGCACTAATAGATTGCTGGCAGGCAGGGAGTGCCGCAGAATGAGAAAGGGGACAGCTGATTTGAAGGGCAGTCTGAGGAGCGTCTAAAACAAACAGCTCTGGCTGGGATCAGATCCTCATGGCCATCCTCTGTCTCAGAACTTTCTGAGTGTGGAATATTTAAGGTTTGCTGCTGCTCCATTCTGAGTTCAGTAGCTGGCAATCAAGAACAAGCACCAGTTATATGCATGTTATGTCAATGGGGTGCCCTACAGATCTTGCTGGACTACAACTCCTGTCATCCCTGACCATCAGTCTGAGGCTGATACGAGTTGCAATTAACATCTGGAGGACACCACTGTGTTATGTATAGAAACCAAAATGCATTTTAAAAATGGGTTTTCCTGCCTAACTCCTGATTTGGATAAATTTATCACTGGGCCTTTAAAATTGCCCAAGAAGCACCTGACAGTCCCCAAAGAGGCAATATATGTAATTAATATGTGCACTTCACTCAAAGGGTTTCCCTGGGTCAGTGCTGAGTAGAGTACTCAATGTTCTGTGGCAGTAAAAACCAGAAACTCAGTGTTGCTGTGAAGTACTGTGAGACAAAATGAAGACTTTTTTCTTATAACACTGTTATTTGCCACAGTGCCATTATATAAATCTGCAGTGTGACTGCCTTTGGAAAACTAGAGTTCTGACGGCTCCCCGTCCATTAGGATATTCAGGAGCTGGAAAGAGTGATGTGTTTGGGGGGACCACAAGTCAGTGACAAGTGTAGGCATCCAAGCAGGTGGCTCCAGGTTCAACCCTCGGTGTCTTCAGCTAAAAGGGATCTGATAGCAGGTGATGCCAGTGTCCCCTGTGGGACACTCCCTGTCCGTCAGAACAGACAGTATGGGGCTACATGGACAAATAATCAGAGCTAGTATGTATGTACCAAAAGAGAAAGCAACTAACAGTGCAATCCATGCACTATTCAAAAGCAAATCTCAAGTAAGTGTGTACAGGATTACAGCCAAAAATGACCAGGAGGCTGGCTTTTTAGTTTAGAAATAAAAGATAACCAAGTTAGGAAAAAGATCAGTGCAGAGAATATGGACACAAACATTTTTGCCCTCTCTTGTAACCATGTTGAAAGGGAAGAGAATTGAGGGTTGATGGAAAGAGGTCTTTGTACAATGCAATTCAGCATAACATTGATATTTACCACTGAGATGGTTGATGGCTCTAAAAGGGGATTAGAGAAATTTGTGGTCTATCTGTGACTATTAGCCACATTGGCTACATGGAAACACAGTGTTCAGAAGCACTGTACAGTGGTACCTCGGGTTAAGAACTTAATTCGTTCTGGAGGTCCATTCTTAACCTGAAACTGTTCTTAACCTGAGGTACCACTTTAGCTAATGGGGCCTCCCGCCGCCGCCGCCGCTCCACGATTTCTGTTCTCATTCTGAAGCAAAGTTCTTAACCCGAGGTACTATTTCTGGGTTAGCAGAGTCTGTGACCTGAAGTGTCTGTAACCTGAAACGTCTGTAACCCAAGGTACCACTGTACCCCTGAATATCAGTACTGGGAGACATAAAATGAGACATGTTTGTCACTTGAGGCTTCCTGGGACATCTGGCTGACTACTGTTGGATCTTGGATGCGGGACTCTGTAGATTCTTGTTCTAATTCAGCAGGGATTTTCCTATGCCATTTATTAATTAAATTTTCTATACCACTTGCTTGTGTAAAAACGAAAAAGTGGTGAACTGCAACATCTATATTGAAATTATCCAGCAAATACACTGGATACACACATAAATACAGTTGAAGAACTTAGTGATTCCTCTTTACACTTGAATGTATGCAGCCTCTTCATCAATCTATTGGTTCATCGACCCAATATCCCTTATCCTAATCCCACTACCAATTCCCTACCCTCACTGTCATAAAACAGACAAGCAACTGTGCAGGTTCACAGTGCGTTATCATCATCATCCAACCCGAAAACCTCAGCTCAGTGCATTTCCACTCTAGAGACCAATCTGCATGAGGAAAAGCATGCTGTTTCCAAGATGCAGCAGCCTTTGGGGTTGGACATGGCACTAGTTCCCATACACAATGCCTCCACCCAAATGCAGTACTGTGACTCAAAGCAAAAGAAGGGAATTATATGATCTATGGTTCTACCAAGGCCAGTATAATTTACTTTAACAACCAACTGCTCTCCACAATGCCCTGGGCAGACGTTCTTTCACAGCCATGCTAGAGATGCAAACACCTACAAAAATCTCCCAAGAAAAAGATGTGCCTTCCTCTCTCATTTTCCTCAGAGCCTCATCTTCTACCAACTTTAGGAGGTACTTCTAACTGCATTCTGGACCTGGGACCATCTGCATGCGCTTGACCACTGAGCCTTGCCCCCTCTCACGAGGACACAGAAAACTGTGAGTCCTAATAACAGACTGCAGAGGAACAACTGAGATCTGGGGACAGAGGCAACCACAGGAAACAGAGGAAAAGTGACTCCAGGGAGGACAACACAAACTCAAGATCGAGGAGTCAAATTGACAGGTCATTCTGACAAGACATTTGGCACCCAGTTGTGTAGAGCAGGGGTGGCCAACTCCCAAGAGACTGCAATCTACTCACAGAGTTAAAAACTGCCAGTGATCTACCAGTGATCTATCATGGACGTCCAGTGATCTACCTGTTGGGCATGCCTGGCGTAGAGCATCTGTCCCTCATATCTTTTTCTTTGTCAGAATAAAAGCAGGCTGGGAGGTGGCTGTTTTGAACATTAACAATATGGCCAGAGGGGAAAGAGTTGGCAGCAAGCCCCTTCCATGCTGCTGATAGGAAGAACTTTCCGATAGCAAGAGCTGTTAAGACAGTGGAATGGACTCCCTTGGGATGTGGTGGTTCATTGGAGGTTTTCAAGCAGAGGTTGGGTGGCCATCTGCCGTGGATGCTTTAGTTGAGATTCCTGCATTGCAGGGGGTTGGACTAGATGACCCTCGGGGTTGTTTCCAACTCTACAATTCTATGGTTCTATGAACCCCGTCTCTGGAGCCAACAGACTGAAAACTTTTGCATCATTAAGACATCAAATTCCTGCCTTCCACCTATTCCCAGCCCCCACAGTGCCACTCAAAGCATGCCACTTCACTATGCCGTGTGGCCCTTCCAGACTTTGATCTGAGACAGCCTTGCAGTTTTAATAAGCCTGAGAGCAAATGATAGATTTAAGATCCAATGCTTGAAGGCATAAGGCCTCTTTGAAAACTATAGGCTGGCTTGTGCCGGAAGAAATAATTATATTAAGAGAAGCTTTGTGACCTCTTTGTGGTGCCCAAACATTACATTTGTGGTTAGGTTTCCAGGTCAAATCCTATGCAATCCTGATAATTTCTGATTATAACCATGCAGCTGATTAAAACCTGTAAATCTGCAAATTCACCGCAAATCTGTGAATAGTGTGGGCTGAGAAGCTGAGTGTGCAAGGCAGGTCAGTCCTGTGGCTTGTGTGCTAGCTTTCCATCTGAAAGTTCACTCATCAGAGTCCATCACAAGCCCCTGAGTGTTTGGGGATGCACAAACCCTCTTTACATTTTATGCCATTACTATGCATGTGAGAGAGAGCACACACCCGGAAGTACCTAGTCCAAACTCACATCAACCATTAACCTTCTAGATTGCCTAGCTTGGCTCTCTTCCCCACTTGCAACAGAGGGATATTAATACTGGCCTCTTTTACAAGGTTGTTAGAAAGATTACCAAGATAACAGGCAGCATAGTGAACACTCAAAATATACTTTGCATCCATACTGTGTAAACGCTGCTAGGAGGCCCCACAAGCACCCTTTCAGCCCGGGCTTTCCAGGCAAAAATATAGAATACTGTATTGATGTGTGGATTGTAAAGCTCATCACAAGAACAGTCCATAACTGGGTTCAGTCTCCTTTCTTTTCATAGGTAAGGGAAGAAGATAACAATTCTCTCCCACCAACTGCTCCAATTTGTCTGTGGAGAGGCTATATTAACCATTAATGTATTAAGAATATGCTTGAAATGACACTACAAAGTCCAGGTAAAGGTTTTTTGTGAAGATTGTATTGCATAACTAGACTTGTTCCAAGTTATTGTTGTAACAGTTTTATTATTTTCAAAAGCAATTTCTTTTGGGGGGGAATAAGTAGCATAATCGCTTCCAACAGATCAGTGTGCTTTGAGCAACAAACACCCTTCATTAGGTGACCTGTGTGTGTTAAAGAAAATATAAGCTTTGACTGAACAGAAGTGTCTTGCTTCTTAAAATCAAAAGCTATTCTGAGCTGCCTTCAGAAGATACAGTCCCACAAATCTTCTCAACCCACATGCCCTGAATAGAGCTTGATTATTATTATTATTATTTTATTATTCAAAGCTTATGTTTACTTAACACAGAGTTCCCCTCGTGAAGGGCCCAAAATGTGTCAAGGCTATTAGAGCTTATATGTTTGCTTTGAATAAACTCATTTTTTCTGCACCTGCTTACAGACTTTCCTCTTTTTGTGCTCATTCTGGGATGTTCTCTCAAGCTGGACGGGACTGCAAGATACCTTCTGTATACAAGAGAAGGGGAGACCTTCCTATCCAAGTCATTCACTTCCCTGGAGAAAAGCAGAGCAGGAGGGCAATAGCTGAAGATGCCCCCAGGCTGGAAGCGGACTGACCTGCGGGGGGGGGGGGCGCAAGGCGCCTCTGGAGGCTGCCCATGCAGAGATGCTCTGCCCCTCCGCCCCCCCCCGCCCCCCGGCATTTTCCTTTCAATATACTGCGCCCAATGACATGAAGCAGGAGCATAAGTAGCAAAGATCGTATTAGGCCTTCAGTCCGGACTGGGGCCATTCCCGAGGGGGCCCAGGAGGACTCCGGGCTCCCGCCCCACCCTTCCAAAAGTCACCGAAGAGCGTCCCTCCCGTCTCGCAGCCGAGCTGGGCGGGCAGGCAGGGAGAGCCTCGCCGGGGCCCGATCCACCCCTCCCTGGGAGCAGCCGCCGCCGCCTCCCCGCCCAGCTCCGCCGAGGGCGAGCCCAGCGCTGCGCCGGGTCGGGGAGCGGGCGGCCTGGCCGAGGGCGCGGGCAGCGGGGCGCGGGATGCGGCGCGGGAGGAGCGGGCGGGCGGGCGGGCGAGGGCGGTCCCGGCTGGGCACTCACCTCCAGGCGGCGGCGGCGGCGGTGGCGGCGCGGGGGCTCCTGCGGGCCGGGTGGCGCGGCGGGGCTGGCCCGCTGCCTCCTCCATCGCAGCGTCCGCCCGCCCAGGCGTCGGGGCGAGCCAGCGGCGCGCGACAGGCGGAGGAGGAGGGCGGGCGGGCGGGAGGAGGAGGAGGAGGCGCGCCGACGGCGGGGCCGCGCTTTCCCCGGCAGGGGGAGCTCCGCGCGCCGCCCGACGGGGGGGGGGGCTCCGGGCTGAGGGAGCTGCTGCCGCCGCTGCTCGGCGTCGCGTCGCCTCTTCAGGGGGGGTCGCTCGGCGTCCTGGGCTCCGTGACGCGGCCGGGGCTTCCCTTGGCCCCTGGGGCTTCCTTCCAGCCGGCCCCTCCGCCGACGGGGCTGCTCGGAGGGATGAGATGAACCGGACCCATGAAACTGACCCACCGCCCCAGCCCTGGGGGAGGCAGAGCTGAGGTAGCTGAGACCAACTGGTTGGTTAGTTCAGCATTTTTATTTTATTTCCTTGATGGGGGGCAGCCCCAGCCCTCCTGGCTACCGGTGGCCACAGCACAGGAGCAGAGGCGGGTTGATAAGCTGGCAACCTCTTTGCAAGGCCAGTTTCTGCTTCAGGATTGCTGGAAGGGAGCACTGGAGCGCATTGGGTGCTGGCAGTGCCAGTTCTGCAGATGGGCATTTGGGGTTTTGTGGGTCAGGTGTGCTCACAAGTTTTGAATGAGCAGGATTCCAGTTTTTCAGAAGTGATTGAGAAGGTGCTCCTTGTTGCAGCTACACATTATATAAAAGAATTACCAAATTAGGGTGGTCTAGTGGAAAGGAGGACAGGGCTCTTGCCCCTTTAGTAGCCTCCTCTTCACCCATGTTAAAGGTACAGGAGCCCTATCTTTCCATCTGGCCAAAATTAAGTGGGTCTCACTATTAGGAATGCAATCTATTATTAAGTTAATATGTGATAATAACATACACCATTGTGCAAATTAGTTGAAACAAAGCATGTTTTCTATCTTACTCTTAATCCTGTACTCAAAACAAACATGAAAAGCCAGTTGATCACTATGGTGTCAGAAGCCTGCAGCCAATAGAAGGAATGATGCGCTCGCCACAATATATTGAGGTTCTACGAAAGAGAGTTATTCCAGAGCTGGAAAAGAGGTATCATGATGGTACTGGGTTATTGCAGCAGGACCTAGCCCCCTGTCACACATCAAAAGCGGTGAAGAAATTCATGACAGAGCAGCAAATACAAGTACTTGATTGGCCAGGGAATTCCCCGTACGTAAATCTCATTGAGAATTTGTGAACTACAGTATATGCAAAAGTCGCCTCCATGCTGTAGACTGTACAACTATGGAGAAGCTCATTCAGGCTCTGATTCAAGTGTGTGTTATAACCTGAAAGAGATTTCATGAAAATGTTTTGCCGTTGGTACCGAACACCTTCAAAACTGGCTAAAATGTATAAAACCGGGTCGAGCAATTGTTGGAGATGCAGAGAGGCGGAAGGCACAATGATACACATGTGGTGGAACTGTAAAAAAAAGAGAGAATTTTGGGAAATGATATACAATGAGCTTAAGAAAATGTTTAAATTTTATTTTGCAAAAAAAAACCTGAAGCCTTTCTGCTGGGTATAATGAGTAACGATATTTCAAAAAATATAAGGAGAATTTTCATGTATGCAATAGCCGCAAAAAGAATCTTAATAGCTAAAGGATGGAAAGGAGAATCCATTCCTACTAAGTAAGACTGGCAGGTGAAAATGCTAGAATACGCTGTTAGCAAAAATGACAGGAAGACTTACAGATGATACAGAACAGTGATTTAATAGAGAATGGGACACTTAGAGAGTATACATAAAAGAACATTGTAAACATCTAAATTCTTTGGCAGGTCTTGATTGACCCCTGAAAGACACTAGGAAACTTTACAGAACCAAGACAATTGAGACAATTTATGAGAGACAGTGGAAAGTGTGCAGTCAAAAATGTAACTTAGGAACCATGTTGGGGTGATCGGAAGTCATAATGGAATCTGTTATGTATGAATCTAATTTTTTTCTTTTTGTAATATGTTTTGATCTTGGATTGTTTTTGTCGATTGATTTTTGCAAAATTAATAAAGCATTAAAATAAAAAATGAAGCACCACAAGTTCTCCTTCCCTGCTTTACACCTTCATATCTAGTATCTCTTCAGCAGCTGTGGCTGCTGGTTCCTCCCTCTCTGTTCTTTCCCAGGTATGGTAGCAAACCCATTTCCAGTGGTGGCACCAGAAAAGAATTATGGGAGAGCACTAAATGGGCAAAGTGCATTTTTTTGGAGAGATGAGGCTGCAACAAGTGCCCTTCTTCCAAGGAACCACAGAGGTGCAGCGGGAGGGAACTCTTTGTCCAGGGAGGTGCTCTCTTGCCTCTCCCCTGGTACTCCCTAGGATCTCTTCCCCCATCCATTGTAACAAACAGAATATTGATTTTGCCTGACAGCAGGTTGGGAATGTGAATGAGCCCAATAAATGAGAAACAGAGAAACTGTGATGGTGGCAACAACCTCCCTCAAAACAGAGGTTAGATTTTCTGGGTTTCAACCTTAAACTTTGCGCACACATGCTGGGAGCCTGATCCCATCTGCGCTTCCTCAGTGGCACTCCCAGTAAGTATGCATAAGATTGCAGCTAAGGCAGAATGCATAAGGAATCCAATCAACTCCTTGACTGGACAGGATTGCTTGGGCTTCCAGTCAAATAGTGTGCAAAGTGAAATTAGTTTCACCCTCAGCTATCATTGTGACATTTGAGGAAGGCACATAGCTCAGTTGTAGAGCAACTGCTTTGCATGCAGAAGGTCCCAGGTTCCGTCCCCAGCATCTCAAGTTGGCCAAGAATTTCCTCTGCCTGAAACCCTGGGGACCCGCTGTGTGTCGGTGTTGGCAATACTAAGCCAGATCATGAACCAATGACCTGACTTGGTACAAGGCAGTTTCATGTGTTTCCCTGACATTGACATTGCAAGGAGTCCTTGGTCTCTTGTAGATCATGTAGCCCAGCTCCCAGGTAAACTGTGACACTGAGGTGTCAGGAGCTACACACATAACCCCAGGACTTGGTGAGTCCCAGCACCTCTCATTTAGAGGTTAAACCACTCATGCCATATTAATGCATGCATTATTTAGGAGAAAACATCATATACCCATGCTCAATAGCCAGTCTATAAAAGCCTTTAAAGGGTCAAGGAACAATTCTTGTTGCATGTGGGAGTCAGATGTCCTTCCCCCCCGATACTCTTCTTTCCCTAACATTGAACAAACTAATCATTTCAGCCACTTGGACAACAATAATAGTTTAATTGGAGCCAGGGCCTACGATGGCATAGCATTGGGAGAGTTTTCAGTCCTGCAAATGTGAAGCAAGAACCTATGAAGTGTGTGCAGACTACTTTTCACCTCTGACTAATCACAACCAGCCTCCACATGCCTGGGATTGGACAGAATACCTTGCCGATTTGGGGATGGGAGTGAACAGTCAGTGTGTCATCCACACCAGACTGAGACTTGTGATTCTACTTTCATTTCATGATTTCACTGACAGCTGGGCTACACCTTTAAAGCACATTTGCAGCACATTTCACCCCCTCAAAGAATTCTGGGCGCTGTAGTCTACCCCTCAAGGGGGTACAATTCTCACCAACCTCACCAGAAGCCTTTGAGGGAAAGAATGTGCTTCAAATGTACTTTAAAGATGTAGTGTGTGCACAGCCGAGTGGACCCTCAAGAACACCAGGCACTAGAAATCAACGCTGCAAAAGCAAAACCTGCCTTGCTGTCTGCGGAGGAGGAGGAAAAAGTTGAAAATGTATGATTCCCTCCCTCACACTTAAGCTGTAGGGAAGGTGGCAGCAACAGGAGGTCCTGGCTGGAAAGTAGTAAAGAGGAGCAGAGTTAAGACAACTCAGACTGACAGCCAAATAGACATTAAAATGGCACCCATACCCCCACTTTATACATTCATTTCAGAATTTACATTATTTTCTTCTGTTATGGAGGCTTTTAAGTGCATTAAATATTTAAGCATTTAAATGTCATGGATTAATGCAACAGCAATACAGTACTAAAAACAAGAGCATCAGCGCATCAGCAGCAGAGCAGGGCATGCGCAGAGATGACCCAAGGAGCCTGCCTCCAAGAGACTTCTGAGAGTCATGTGAAGCAAGTTTCCATTTATCATTACTGAATTTTTATTAACAGAGCAAGAGAGGTACTGACAGAATTTTACACCTCAAATGCCAAAATAGTTCAACTGAGTTCTTCTTTTAAAAAAAACAAAAAACCATTTTAAGTTTACATACATGCATCATCTTATAGACTTCCCAACCTATCTTCCATGGACATCCTATATGACTTCCTTTGATCTGCTACATCTCCTTTATTCCACCCTTTTTTATCCCCTCAATTCTCTTATGTTTTCTGCTGCTGTTCAGAAATTTGTCCCTATTTGAAAGTTTACCATCTCTTTTTAAGTACTCTCCAAGGCAATTCCACTCACTTCCTATTTTCTTTTCATCCCAGTTTCTTATTTTGGCAATCATACTCACTAGTTCCACAAATTCTATTAATTTAGGGGCAGGCCGGGTAAGTTAGTGAGTGTGCCGTGTGCCAGTCCCTCCTCCAACCTGGGGAATTGTGGTTGTCATATCAGCCAGCCCTCGGGTCTGCGACTGCTGCTGTTGAATGCCAGGTCAGCCCAGAATAAAATCTCCCTTATTCATTATCTGATTATGGATGGGGAGGCAGATCTGGCATGTATCACTGAAACTGGGCGGGGGAACAGGGTGGAGCAGCTGTGCCCACCTGGGTACTCAGAGCAGCGGCAGGCCAGACTCGAGGGTCGGGGAGGGGGAGTTGCTGTGGTTTAGAGAGATTCTCTATCTCCAGGTTCTCTGTCCGGGGGGGGCAGGGATCTAAAGAGTGCGTTCCTGGCGTTGGGCAATTGGGAGGTGGTAGCTCGCTGTGACTTATTTGCAAGGCATTTTGAGGATAAGATCACTTTCATGCACCAAGACCTTGACTCTGCTGTTATAGCAGATGAAACTCATGGGGTGTCCAGAACACAGTCTAGTCCTGTTGTACTGGATGAGTTTCAGTTGGTAAGGCTCGAGGATGTGGTGCTTGGATCAGTCAGGGCGACCACTTGCGCTCTGGACCCTTGCCCCTCCTGGCTGATAAAAACCATCAGGGAGGGAACAGCTGGCTGGGCCAGGGAGGTGATCAATGCCTCTTTACAAGAGGGGGTGGTCCCTGCCTGTTTGAAGGAGGCAGTACTAAAACCACTCCTTAAGAAACCTTCCCTGGATTCGGAAAACCTAACTAACTACTGGCCAGTTGCTAATCTCCATTTCCTGGGCAAGGTTCTGGAGCAAGTGGTCGCAGACCAGATCCAGGCACTTTTGGAAGGAACTGATTTTCTAGATCCATTTCAAATGGGGTTTAGGCCTGGTTTTGGCACAGAAACTGCCTTGGTCACTCTGTATGATGACCTCTGTCGAGAGAGAGGCAAGGGAAACATGTCCTTGTTAATTCTCCTTGACCTTTCAGTGGCTTTCAATACCATCGACCATGGTATCCTGCTGGAGCGGTGGGTGGCACCGCTTTGCGGTAGTTCCAGTCCTACTTGGATGGTCTTTCTCAGAGGGTGTTGCTTGGGGAATGCTTTTCAACCCCGTGGAGCTTTCACTGTGGGGTTCTGCAGGGCCATCCTATCCCTTATGTCTTCAACCAGTGTGCCATGACACCCTGGGGTGCCTTGAATGATAGTCAGTACTTTCCGGTACATCTGGGTTCGGCGCGTCCGTAACCCGAAAACGCTCAACCTGCAGCGATCGCAACCCGAGGTATGACTGTACCTTCTGCCAGTTGTGTCACATAGGACAGAGTGTGGACAAAATGCAACAAATGAGGTTGGCTACAAACTGGTCTAGTCCCTATATTATTTATTACCTTTTTAGGTGCCAGGTGAAATATTCAGTCGTAAATATTCTTTTACTTGTACTGAATATTGTAGTGAATATTACCCACTTTTTATGGTTTTAGTCTGTATTAGATTTTAGTTTCTTGTTGTATTTTACATTTTTAATTTGTAAACCACTCAGAGGTGGTATATAAATATTGGAAATAAATAGTGAATAAAGAGTGAATACAGTGCTTCTAGCTACCAAATCCTTCTTGGGATTACAGCCAGACATGTTCTCTTCCCACACACTCACACACTGCCCCAGTCTCACCCCCCTCTAAATTAAAACCATTATTCCTAAAGGATCAGTGCTGTTAGCTAACCCAAGAAAAGAATGTTTTATCTGAATGAAAGTGTCTCACAATAACTTAGCACTAGAACCTATTCTGAAAGGCACAATGAAAAGAGAGTCCTTCTTTCACCAGTAAATAACTACAAACGACTTGCATATATTGTTGTGAGTTTGGGGGATTCCATTGTTGAAGGAGCTAGGCAAGTTTCTTGGTGAGTTAATGGGCCCTAAGTATGGTGTGTGTGTGTGTGTGTGTGTGTGTGTGTGTGTGTGTTTAGTATAAGAAAGGAGTTGCTCTGTGCAGGAAGGCAAATGGGTGAGCTCTCTCTCTCCCCAGGCTAGTAGTAAGAAAGACAAAAGCTGAACTAGAGTGTGTGAAAACTGGGCTACAAGTAGCAGAAGTCATTTCTGCCTGAATCCAAGGCTGTGACTAGGGGGGAAGCAAGACCCTCGTGGGGTATTAATGCTGTGAGCCCCTCCATTGTAGGTTCAGGTTGTATATATGTGTCAATAAACCATCTGTCATAAAGATACCACAGTCTGCTGTCCCTCAGTCCCAGGAAATAGAACCCTGGGTAAGTGCCTGGAGCCCCAGGAATCTCTCACCACTCAGAGATTGGGGTGGCGGGCAACAACATGATGGGGGTCATAGAAAACAGCTTTGGTGGGGATATCAGTTGATAAAGTAAATAAAATTAGAAGGAAGGAAGTAGATTTTCTGTCATTTGTTCATTTTCACTTGCTGAAGAGCTGCACTTCTGTTGTGCAGGAGGGGAACTTTCAACTTATGAAAAAATATGCTTGTTTTTAATTGCATATTTGAAAGATCAGAATCGGCTATTGCATCAGACCTGCAGATGTAGTCATCATCACTGGAACCGCATCTTAGGGGGAAATTATGTTGAAAACATGCCTGGTTTTCCTAGGTACGGTTCTGCATGAGTTCTCTGACTTAGTCACTCTTTAAAACAGAAGTTGTGACGGGGAAGGGTCTTACTGTCACCCAGAGTCAGAGATGGTTCATTCATCATTCATGATAACCACAAGGCTTACCATATCACCAAGTGACACTCTCCCACTGTCAGACAAGTAGGAAGTTCACCCTATGCACAACATCAGGCTGGTAAATGATGGGCTTGGAGGCCTTTGCACTGCTGGTGTTTGCACCAAAGATAAATAGAGAGAAAATGGGCAGGAAAGCACTATTCCCAGAAGGGTAGCTATGCTTGTCTCTTTCAGGAAAACATCAAAGTCTTGTGGCTTCTGAAATACTAACACATTTATGATGGCATGATCTTTCATGGTTCTCTTCATTGGACACACAAAACCTTATTTGCAAGCAGGGATTTCATAAAACTTGGATTACAGTTGTATCTGTATGTGAAAAGGACTTTCAGAGAAAGTAAACACTTGACAAATGTTTGAGCCATCTTCCAGTAGTGAGCTTAAAAACTCTCCGTTGTTCAGTTCTGTGGGAAAACCAGCCTCATATAACCAGCATGCTTAAGTCTACTTAATGCATGAACGAGTGCCTTGGGTATGCGTGCCACAGAGTAAGCTGTCCTGCCAGACTTAGTTAGGTCACTCCCCCTCACCTTGGGCGGAAAGTAATCAAGCACATGGGAGATCTGAGCTGATTGCTCCAAACTGCGTGGCTCTCACAAGTCACCCTGGAGTTCCTATACCAAGAATTTAGATACTTTCACCACGATAGCTAAGCCAAGTTTTACTGCCTGTGCAACTTTTTCTGAATGGTGTATGGAAAAACACATGAATCTGACCTTTGAACAGTTTGCATGTAAACCATATTTTAACTTACCAAATGTGTGGTCTTTTTCTATGTTAAGGGATGGGAAAAGCTTTGGAACGCACAAGGGCATATTTTAAAGGTCCCTAACAACCGATGTTTCCGTGCTTTACTTTGCTGCTTTTTTGTGATTTTAAATCCCTGCTGAGGTTGTCTCACCAAATAGTACATACCCCGAACCTGGATATCAGCATCCAGGGAATTCTCATTTTATATACCCTTTTTTTTTTTTTTTTTTTTTTGCTTGCTACCAACAAGTTCAACAGGAAGTTCTTTTCCAATACATTATTTTGCCAAGAAAATAGAAGTTATAGAAAATAAACTGAAGATGAATTGATAGTTGCCCTTGGTGTAACAAGCATGTTTCTTTTGCCCACTGCTCAAATGGTGTTTGTCAGTTTTTGAAACACTCCAGAAATCCACAAAGCTTCTTTGACCAAAGAAGGGTGACTTTCCTGCATCTTTTAGTGATTCAGGATGCCCCTCAGGACCCTGCACCCCTAAGATTGTGTCCACTTTTATAGATCTAGATTCCTCTGCCACCTCCAACTATAGTAATTTGTAGAAATCGGCAAACACTTAAACAAACTCTGTATTTGGCAACTTATTATTAATAATTTAAAATTAAATAAATTTATAAGACTTACAAACAAATGCTTAAAGAATGCTTTCTTTAGATAGTTTATTTATTTCATTCAACAAGAAAAAGACTCTCTGCACTTTTTCAAAAGCATCCAGTTTGATATGCTAAAATTTAAAATAAAAGTTAGCCACTCTTGGTGCCTACTTCTTGGTGCCCAGGGAGCCAATGGGAACTTTCCTATCCGGCACAGGAGTCCCCAAATAGTTAAAGCCCATACCCCTTCATCCAGGGTCCCAATTTGGATCCACTCTTGATAGTTATTCCACCTTTCTCAAAATAATGGCAATTGTCCGGATGGGATCATATCCCCCTGGGCAATTTTCACATCAGCTTTTCGTCTTGAGGTTCCAGCTTCAAACAGCTGTGAGCAGCAGAGAACTGTGGGTGTGGGTTTTCCCAGCGAGAACTGCAGGACCAAGCCGGCCTTATTGTTAGTGCTGGAGCCACAGGTGTCTGGGGTGTGCATATGTCAGCTTTCACCAAAAAGTGACTTGTCCTGCTATTTATTCATTTGTACACCCACTCAGAAAACAGATAGATCTGAGACTGACAGCTGCATGCACTGAGAGAGAATTTTCCTGGGCCACATTAGGAAGGAAGTGATGATGTTCCAGATAATTATATCATGTAGATACATTTCCTGTGCCTATAGCAGTTTTGGGCTGACCTCATTCAACCATCAAAACCACAGATTTACCGTAGTTCTGTTAACAAATCTTAGCATTTTGCTGTAAAGCTCAGTTGACTTTTGTTGTCCATGGAACAGCAAAAGGCTTTGTCACTGGAACAGGATAATACTGTACTGCAGTTTTCTAAAACCAAAAAGAAAGGGAAGGAAGACCAGTTGCTGAATTTTGCAAAGTTTGTTGTTGTTTCTAGTGATCTCACTGTTTCAGATAAGACAGGTAGAGATACTTAGGGTGGTATGCAACTAAGTTTTCCTCAGTGTAGATCCATTGAAAATAATGAACATCTGTTAGGTCCTTTAATTTCAGTGGGTCTGCTCTGAGTAAACTTAGTTAAATGCCACCAGTATTAAGCTGGCTTTAAAATAATGGCTTCAAGTAAAAAGAAAGTGATGGGCTCTCCTCCATTGGAGGTTTTTAAGCAGAGGTTGGATGGCCTTCTGTCACGGATGCTTTACTTGAGATTCCTGCATTGCAGGCGGTTGGACTAGATGACCCTCGGGGTCCCTTCTAACTCTACAATTCAATGATTCTATTAAATCTGTGAGGTGGATTGTGTGAGGCCCATGGTCAGTAAAGTAGGCATTTCAACTGAGATCTTCCCCAGTCCAAGTCCAACACTGTTCTCTGTGCAGCACTCATATGAAGACATTTCTAATTAATGTATGGAACCCCATTACCACAAAGGGGGGGTTATGGCCAATGGCTTTTAGAAGAATAAGATAAATTTGTGGAGAGGTCAGTCAATGGTTATTATCCATAAACACTAAAGTTCAGAAGAGAGTTTTGCCACTGAGAAATAAGAGTGGGAGAAGGCTATTGCCCTCGTGTCTTGCTTGTGGGCCAGAAACAGGCCCCTCAATGCCAGTTGCTGGTAATCACAAATGAGGAGTTGGTTGGCCATGATGAGAACAGAATGCTATACTGGAGGGCTTTTACATTCATCCCACAGGGCTTTTCTTAGTGTTTTTGCCCTGTCCTAGCTGGGTTCCAGGTACAGACAGCCTCTTGCAGCACCGTTGCTCCTGGGGACACAAAGGTTGCTCTGTCTCTGAGTCAGACACCAAATTCCCATTCTGAGGGGAAGGATCCCTGTCAGTCTTCCCCAAGGGCCCCATTTCTTCCTTGGCTGCTGTTCTGGGCTGCATCCAGAGGTTTCAGGTCATCCTCAGCCAGAACCTTGGAGAATGAGGAGGAGGAGACACCTGGCAAGAGCATGGCCATTCTTAAGGTTCCGTGACAGGAACATTCACACTGTGTTCTACAAACTTGACAGCTGGCAGAGGTGCTGCTGAATCCACCTGGAACTGCGATAGTGACCTACAGGGTAAACATTTCCTGCTGATATTTTTCCAGTTAAAAATCTCCCACCACACTGCTATTTGCCTGGCATATAGCGATGATAAAACCTGCAAGCACCAGGGCTGGCTCTCTTGCTCCCCCTCCCCCCGTTTTCCTTCTCCATTTCATCCCCCTTGCTTCTCCTCACCATTTCATGTAATCTTCCTTCACCCTCCTTTCCATATCTCTGTCAGACCACTAACCCACAGAGTTCTACTCAAGTTCCACGCTGTGTGAGCAGCTGCCTCCCTGCCCCTTGGCCGTAGATAAGCAGTACAAAGAGAAAGCAGTCTCTTACCCAGGGGTCAGCAAACCTTTTCAGCAGGGGGCCGGTCCACTGTCCCTCAGACCTTGTGAGGGCCCAGACTATATTTGGGGGGGGGAATGAACAAATTCCTATGCCCCACAAATAACCCAGAGATGCATTTTAAATAAAAGCACACATTCTACTCATGTAAAAACACGCTGATTCCCGGACCGTCTGCAGACCAGATTTAGAAGGCAATTGGGCCAGATCCGGCCCCTGGGCCTTAGTTTGCCTACCCATGCTCTTACCAGTAACAGAAAAGTTTAATGAATGCAGCAAAAGAACAAGCAACCATTCTCGGAGGTGCTCCCAATTAAGGTTCCTTCCACTTCCCTCCAGTCACTTTTGTCCTCTCGTCTCCTAGCCACCTGATCTCTCAACCACTGAGCCTTTTGTGAAGCCACCTTATCTAACCTCCTAGCCTTGGGACTGAGAGGCTGCACATCTTCCAGTGAAAGTTGGCTAGCTCACTCTCTTCCCGTTCTTCTTCTTGCTGATCACCTCCCAGTTCCGCCCAGCTATTGTCTCCCAAACTGTGCCCTTCAGCAAACCATTGTTCCAAATCAACACTACTCCACTGGTCCTGTGGAGTTTCAGGATACTGGCCATGAGCAGGGGGAGGGGTAGGTTCCCACCATTCCTCATCGAGTTGTACTCCTCAGCCAGGTCTCTGACAATATATTTCAAAAAGCACCACCTTTCAGAAATCCCAACCATGTCAATTCTGCCTTTGAAATCCCAGACGTACGGCAGCCCTCCCTGATGGTCAGGCTCCCAGCTTTGCATAGAGCAGCTTCAGTCTCCAGCCATGGGGTAAAGGCACATGAGAGACAGAGAAGTCAGCAGAATGGAAGGAGGAGTTGTGTTTTGGGGTGACGGGGAAAGGGGGGGAGATGAGTGCTTGTCTGAATGGAGGACAGAAAGGAATGTGTGAATATGAGGAAGCCGTCCCAGGGAGAAGGAGGTTTTGTCACTATGAGCAAGCAGGCCGGCTGCAGGGAGGTGGGTACAGCACTTAGATTCAAATCTGCCGCCTCTCCCAGAAGGCCTCTTGAGGTGACTGCCACAGAGAGGTGCATGGTAGCTCCAGGCCTGCCAAGCACACAGGACCACTACTCACGTCTATTATAAACTTTCCCTTTTCTGATGATGGGTTCCAACGTCAGCTTCCCCCACTGCTCCATAGGAGGAGAGTGTTGGGGCTAGCAGTGCTGATATAAATATAATTTTATTTGCAGCTAAAGTGGTTTGTTGGAACCCTATACTTACAACATATGAAACAAATGGCAAATGTCATAGGATCACAAGTGTGAAAAAAATTATATGAATGTGGACAAAGTTAAATTTGGCATTCCACCTCATGCTGAGGCAGTCTTCCTTAAATGGCTACCCTTCAGTTACTTTGGACTCCCAACTCCCTTCAACTGCAGTCAGAATGGGGCACCAGAGGAAGGCTGCTCTAAGGCACCCTCCTCAGTCCCAATGAAGATCCACCACATCTCAAGCCCTGGGCTCTGAAGTACACATCAGAAAGTGAGAAGGTTCCCAGCAAGATTGGCTAGCGTGGCTGCTGAGTCAGATGGCTCTGAGATCCAGAGATGCTCTCCTCATTCACTTTCCACTCACGAGGCCTCACTTTCACATACTGTGGTCCTTGTTTGGCTGCTAAGATTGCCAAAGCAAGTCAGCTTGCAGATGAGTTCTAAGACTGGTCCTTCTATTTGGCAGAATGAAGCAGCTGCCTCAGACAACTGCTGCAGGAATGGTGGTGAGGTTTTAGAGGACAGAACTACTTGTGCCACAAGGGCTAGATTATGTTCCATTTTACAGATGAGGAACTAAGTCTGAGCCACACGTCACATGGTACACAGTGGAGTAGGGATTCAGCATCCTCTTGCCCAAGCTCATTTCAAAAAGCTGGTGCTACTGAACCCCACGGGCCTTCTGCTCACACATCTTGAACATGGGAGAAATGCCCACCCCCTCCTCAGTTCTGCACAGTGTTTAATATCAGACTTCTAGCTCTTTGCCTGGTTGAAATGGGAGATCTGGGACTTATCTGTGCTGCTGCTTCCTCTAAATTCCTAAGCGCTCTGGGTGGCTGCCTTAGCCTTCGAGGACCCCTGGACACAAGAGACGCCTTCTTGGATGAAGAGCTGCAGCTGGGACATTTCTCTAAAGACTGCTACTGCGTCTCCCTTCATTTTAATGAAATGATGCATCCAGGGAGAAAGAGTCCTGTGCAACATCATTTACAGAGCAATGTGAAAATGCTTGTGGGAGGACAATAGGCTCCTATCACCCCTCTATGTCAGCCTCAGAGCATCTGCACACAGGACAGCTATTCTCACCAGATGTGGCAGGGACGGGCAGAGAGAGAACAAGAGGAAATGGCATGTGGATGGGTGGGTGATCTATGATGCTGGGAGGTATATGTGTACAGTGGTACCTCTGGTTACGTATTTAATTCACTCCGGAGGTCCGTTCTTAACCTGAAACTGTTCTTAACCTGAAGCACCACTTTAGCCAATGGGGCCCCCTGCTGCTGCTGCACCGCTGGAGCACGATTTCTGTTCTCATCCTGAAGAAAGTTCTTAACTCGAGGTATTATTTCTGGGTTAGCGGAGTCTGTAACCTGAAGCGTATGTAACCCGAGGTACCACTGCATAAAGGAGAAGAAGGAATTGTATGGGCATGGGAAAACAAGGCTAGATGCAGTAGTTTTACTGCCCCAAATGGTCACACCACATGATCTGCAGAGCATGTTGGAAGTGCTGGGGTGCAACTCAACTTGTATTTAAGACTGGTGGTCTGGATGGCGAGAAAGTAGACAATAGGAGCCGACTCCTAGGGGCCGAGGTCCCTTTGGACCTCCAATAAAACATTCGAGGGGGCTGCCCTTCCAAAGTTGATGGGTGTTGCCATTTAAATGGTGTTTGTACATCACATCTTGTGATAGATTATGCAGAGCAGGGCTTACCTGCCCCCCCATATTTAATTTAAATTGGCACCCCCAAAGTAGAGAGGCATATGAATACCAAAGCTTCTTAGACTGTTGTTTAACCTGTGCTGATCCTCCTTCGTATGTTAGGCGATGGTCTTAGGGTTGCTGATCTCATTTCCTACTGCTCCCTTCTGCATCTTCACCTTCGGAGTGGATACATATTTGTGTATGTCTCCTGCTGAAAACAAAGAGGTTCTTTGTATCTCCACCTCAGTTAGACAGAACTAGAATTTTTCCTATCAAGTATGTATTTCCTTTAAATTTAGCTTACTACTTTTTCCAAACTCAGAGTCTCAGTGTGATTGTATCCAAGGGTAAAGTGTCCTCTTCCACAGGGATCCAGTGCTCAGTTTCACTTCCGCAGGTGCATTTAAACTCCAAATGCCATTAAGGTGCAAGCCCAGGATCCCATACCCTCAAACGTTCCTCAGGTGAAAATAGGGGCATTTCTGACTCCCCTCTACTGACCCCCATTTTTTGTCCCATCCCTCCACAGAGCACTTCTTATTAGAAGGGCAAGTGCCACCCCCACTTCACCAATGGGACACAGCACACAGGCCCCCCACTGCCCTGAGAAAACCCCTTAATCCCAAATTTATTCTTTGGTAGACTTACAGAAGGGAAAATGCACACCAATAAAGAAAAACAAATAAAGGGGCAAATTTAGACACAGACACAAGAAGGAAGGAAGGAAGGAAGGAAGGAAGGAAGGAAGGAAGGAAGGCAGGCTCCTTGCGCTCTGCTTCACTCCCCCTTTCTTCCTGCCCTCCTCCTGCCCCCTCAGAGCCAACACATCACACAGGGCTGGGCCTCGACAGCGGCAGCCTCTCCTACTCCTCACCCGCTCTCCAGCAGCCACTTTGAGCTGCCCAAGGGAGGAGGCTGGCAGCAGCAACCATGGAGAGGCAACAGGATGCTTCCTCACCTCAAGGGTGATTTCCAACAAAACACAAATTAGAATGATGTCTAAAATGTAACATTTATTAAAAACAACCTTAGAGCCTGCTATTTGTTTTTGGGATGGGACTGCTGTTGCTTTCAAGACTAGCCCTAGTGGCAGTGTACTCCTCTGCACAGAAAGTGTATATCTGTAAATAATGCAGAAAGGCACACAAGTCTCTGTCCAGTATATTTGTGGAAGGCACACAAGCTCATTTAAGTGAGAGAGTGATTTACCCATTGTTGTTGTTGGTATCCATCTGTCTTGGGAGACAATGGAGTATGCCTCCAGGGTGAAGTCCAACCGCTGCATTTTCAGCATCAAAATGACGTCCACAGGGTGCAAGTCTAGGCATTTTGCATGTAGGACCTGGGCTGCGCAGCCAACAAGACTGATGTGGTCCAAAGGGAAGCAGAGCAATACATTCGGCACCTGCTTGGCTGCAGGAGTTGCCAGAAGGAGGCGTACAAAGAGCCATCCAACCGTCTTAGGGACTCTGGATTTGTGTAGGGTTTACTCTTGAGCCTTTTCTTCTCTCAAAGATGTCCTGCAAAGTTTAGGACCAGAGTTACCCTTCTCCTGGATGGGCTAGGTTCCTAGGTTGACGAGCCCCATCTGCCCCTGCATGGTTTTGCCAGGGGTGGGAAAGCCTTTCATTTTCGGTTTCTCTCAGTATCATTTTTTCCAAATTTAAGTTCAGTTCTCCATATTTTCATATTAGTTTGCAAGAGTCAGGGCTTTATTTCCAGCTGGAACTCATTGGAACTCAGTTCTGACACCTCTCAGGTGGGCGCCCTTGCCATTATAAGAGAACAAGGGAGGCATTCATGGTGAGTTCCCACACCACTTTTTCTAGAAAATTGCACTGGAAAGAAAATTCCAGTAAAAATTCATCAGCATTTAGTGCAAATTTATCTTAATGTATGTGCTGGAAACATTATAAAATAGTCTGTAAATGTTTATTTTCTACTTTTGACTTCTGAAAACCTCTCCAGCAGCCTTGCATTATGGGAGCCACTGTTAGCCCTACGCCCCCCCAAGTGCACACTCACAGAGGCTGCCCCCCATGGGGAAGCACCTGGAAAAGGCTTTTCTCTTTACAAAAGCCCTTGATAACAGGAATTGACTATGTACACAGTACTGTTTGTTCAGACCATAGGAGCCAATTGCTAGAGGCCTGAGGTCCCTTTGCCCCACCCTCAATAAAATATCTGAGGGGGGCAGAACCCCCCCCCCAAGTTGATGGGTATTGCCATTCAAATTGTGTGCATGCACACTTTTCTCGCCTCAGGCTGACCTGCCCTCCCATATTTTATTCAAGTTCAGACTATCACAGGAATGACATTCACCGGTCAGCTTGGTTACCTATGTTGTGATTTGAAGGTAACTTGTGTTAACTAATCAAGAATCTCAATGCTGTATGTAAACTGTGAGCCTTACAATTCACAAATTATTTGGTTGACATATTGTAGATTTTGACCTGTCTGACCTGCTGTAACCCCTCCTCGAATATGATGTATTTCTGACGTTTTGCCTACATATCATTATGTTCTATATTTTTGCCTGGTAGTCTTCTCTTTTTCTTCTTGCTGTGACTGAGGAACCTAGCCTTCAGCAACAGTGACTCAAGTAAGGGGCTCTGGCCCCAAGCAAGCCCCTGGTTTTCTGGCAACAATACCCTTTTATTGCAATGCATTTTTGTATGTGTATATTTTTATGCACACTCTCCTCTGAAATACATTGTTGTACCAACTTTTGCTTTGGAGAACTGCACTGCAAGATTTGGAGAAGTTTGAATCTGAAATGATAGTTGCATTTTGGTTTCTGTATTGTTTCAGGAAGTAGGAATTAGTTCTGATTGCCTTTAAATGCAAAGTGAATCAACTTTTTCACACACACACACCACTTAAAAAGTTGTAAGTCACATGGTGACTGGAACTGCTGTGTAAGGAGCAAGACAATAACATTCTTGGATTAGTTAGAGAAGTTAGGGATGGACTGGGGCAAGAGAGGACATAGAAAGAAAGATGTTTAAATTGTTTGCAGCTGCATAGTTTGGTGTTAGTTGTTGTTATAGAGGGGATTATTGGTTAATCAGATAGCATCTGTTCACTCTTCAGTTCTTGTGGTTGTTTCTAAATGCTTTAACAAAGCAAAGTCTGCAGTACTCTCTCTATGCAAGGAAACTCTCCTGGGGTAGTGGCAGCTGAGGATGGAACATGAAAGGGAGGGGGGTAAAACTTAGCAGGCCCAGCATGAGGTGCAGCGGGACAAACAGGGCTTCCTTGGGATCACACTGAGAGGGCGGACACAGTCAGGTGGAGGCTTTCCGTTGTTAGCTATTGGCACTCAGCCACTAGGTATGCTGGCTCGCACCACAAAGAACTGGTGTGTTTGTGTTGAATGGCAAGACCTGAAAGTCATGTTTTTGTCTGACCAAGTGGACCTTGAAAACAGAAGCGTTTTCCCACTTGTCTTAACTCACAAGCATCTTTTTCCTGCCACTGTGTTTTGCAAAAGCAGAAATGGAGTCTTCAGTATTCAGGCTTAGTCAGGGGCAAAACTAGGCTTTATTTAACCCAGGTCAAAGTCCCAGTTTGGCACACGCACCCATGCACATTTGGACATATACATACACAGGCTGGGAGCCTCAATGGTGCCCACCTGGAGGCTTCACCCAGGGCAAAAACCTGGCTAGCCTCCCGCCCGCCGCTCTGGCTTAGTAATAGATCTTAACAGGTAATTTGGGGCAGTGGCTGCAGCAGAATGAGGCATGTGAGGGAACCTGCCACAATGCGAACTGTTCCAGCATTCAGATTTGCTTTCTGTTAAGCAAACACAGGTTTCATGAAACAGGTAACGCTGCACCTGCAAAAGTGGCAGATGAATTACATGGTCTGCATTGAGAGGGATATGGACACAGCTTGGTGGCTGAGGTGGGAAACCTGAAGAGAGTACACACAGACACAGACACCCCACGCCTTCCCCTCTACTTAATTTAGGGCAGTGACAGTCCACTTAAGTCTCCTCAACAGTCTTCTCAACAGGCTCCACTGAGCACCATGACAGTGTGCTGAATCTGGCCCTCTGGTATCTGCCAACCCAATATTTATTATGGTAGGACAGACTTTATCTGAAGCTTTACTCACAAGGAAAAGAAAAAGCTCATATGTTGCAAGAAATTGAGCCTACTTGCTTGGAAAACCTTTTAAAAGTTTAATGTGTTATTAAGTTTTTACATATGTTGGAAGCCGCCCAGAGTGGCTGGGGCAACCCAGTCAGATAACAGAGTACAATTATTATTATTATTATTATTATTATTATTATTATCGTCTTTTCAGATGTTATGTTTCACATTTTTGTCCTTGGGGGCCTCAGGACTGTCATTTAGGGAACCCAGTTATGGCTTTCTGAGGATGTTAAGAATTGCAACTGAATTTTCAACTTCACTTGATATAACTTTATGTCTGAATGGACTTTTGCTGCTTTGGGGTGTTGCTTTAATTTTCCATATTTTATTTAATTATTTAATTTTATTTCCTCAATTTATTTTCTATTTTTGTTTCTTAGTGCTTGGTTGGACTCCTTGTAAACATAAGGGTACGAGATATTAAGTTATTTAATCTGTGTGAAGTGCAGTTCCTGAGCATATGTGCTCCATAACAGGGAAGTCTTTGTTTTAGGGTGTGGTCTGAAGGCAAATTGGGGGCTTGCTGCAGCTAGGCAAGCCTGGATCTTTTTGGTACCTGAATGAGTGGCTACCTGAGAACCATATGTATGCACCTTTACCAAGAGTCCAGCTGATGCAAGTTGTAGTTCTAAAACATCTGGAAGGCTATGGGAAGGAACTAATGCAACTATTAATATTGCACAGCTTGAAGCAGACAAACTGGAATAAAAAGTGTCCAGACCTGCAATTATTACTCAGAGCTTTACTAATCAGAACTTCATCAAATCAGGTACAAAAACATCAATGATACATCCAAATAATTCCATACAATCATGTACACATCCAGCACAGGCTCAGTTTCTTATAAAATATGAAATAGTCCAAAAAGATCTAAAATCACAGGTCTGTCTCTCCCCACAGCCTCCATTACCACCTACAGCTGTTTTTCCTTTAGGAGAGACCTCATTATCACGTTCTTTGTCTTTGGTTGCTTGAGAACAAAGACTCAAAACACACAGATTAACATATGCAGAGAGTGTAATTCTACCTCTTTTCCCTTTATTTTTTTAAAGTGGGAGATCCCACCATTGTAAAAATCATACAAATTTTGTGTTGTTGTTGTTGTTTTTTGAGGGGGTATAATGGGCATAGGAAGGATTTGGCACCCCTACCTCTACACTTTTTCAGCTGGCTCTCCCCCCCTTCCCACACTTTGCTGCATGCCAATGGCCTGTTTGCAGACATGACCGACTGTTGTGAGGTGCCTACAGTCTGAGAGAGAGGTCAGTTTTGCCCCGTGGTAGCTGTTTTCCAGAGTTCATGAGTCCCGACAGACTGCTTATCTGGCCACGGAGCAACAGAGTACCATGGGCAACCTAAACTGTTTTGAGTAGCCAGATGCGTGTTAAATGCTTTAAAAAGCTTGCAGTCCAGCTTCCAACCCAATCCACTGGCAGAACTGAACTGGAAACTGGAAAGGAAAGTGTTTCCATAATTGAAGGCAGCATCAAGGATTTCCTAGGGCCCTGCTAGGCAGAAGAATAAACCTGGAGGCAGGAAGGAGCTGCATAGTTGGATAAAGAACTGAGAGGAGCTGTGAGTGTTTATTAACACACATGGCTTCAATCAGCACAGATGTGGAATACAGAGAAGCATAGTGTGAAAAAGGGCCCTGCCCTTCTATTCTGACTCCTAAGCTAGCTATTGCACAAAACCTGGGAGAGCAACTAGAAGAACATTTTCTTCTTACCATGAATTTCAGTTTACAGATTGGGGTGGGGGGACAACATTCCTGATAGAGATGACTCCCCCTACTGGAGACAGACAGGGTCCTCTCCAGAGGGGGAGAGTCATCCCGTCACCGAGTAGCAGAGCAGAATAACTCCTCACCCTGAAGCAGATGTCCGTATGCCAGCCAAATCACTGGAGCACAGACCTAGAAAGGAAGGACACTCATACACAAAGCATGTGGTTAGATAGCAATGCCAAAGGTAATACCCCACAAACGCCTCCTCATATCAATCTATAAACCAACAGAAGCCGCCACTAGAGGCGACAAGTGCTGCAATGCGTTGAACCACAGGAAGATAGAGGAGGGTGGAATATCGTCATCCCCCTTCCGTAAACGGAAATTCAAAGTAAGAAAATTTTCCATTTTTACCAGATTTAGGGGGATGCCATTCCTGATAGGGATATACCAGAGCAGTATCCCAGCATTGGGGAGGGCTTCCTCCGCCTCCAAATTACTGTGGAACTACTCTCTGCAGCACCTTGCAACCAAAGGCCGCATCAGAAGAAGCGAAGGAATCAATTTTGTAATGCTTAATGAAAGTATGCGGAGAGGCCCATGGAGCAGTCCTATAGACATCCACTATTGGAAAACCTCCCTTACACACACTGAGGCTGCTGCCCCATGCAAGGAATGAGCACCTCTGACATGGAACAGAGCTGATTGATCTAAATAAAGCTTTAGGGCCTTATGCACACCCAATGAATGCCAACTATACTCTTCTGGGCAAGAAGGATTAGGACAAAAGGAAGGCAGAACCATTTCCTGTGATCTATAAAAAAAAAGGGAATTCAATTTAGGGATAAATCCTGGGTCAGGTTTGAGAACTACCTTATCTGAACAGAAGAAACAAAGTTTGGGATCAGAGGAAAGAGCGCCCAACTTGGAAATCTACCTTGGTGAAATAATGGAAACTAAGAAAATTATCTTATAGGTCAGAAACTTTAAGTCACAAGAATCCATAGATTCAGTTGGAGCCTCTATTAACCCTGTCAGGACCCAATTAAGATCCCAAGTAGGAAAACCCATGAACTGTCATGGGAGCCAACAGTGCAAACCACTTCATGGAAAGCTGAGTCAAAACGTCAGTAGATAGAAGAGGGCCCCCTAAATTGGACAGAATGCTGCTAAGAGTGGGAAACTGCCTCTTAATGCACAATGTCCTTTATCCCCCTTGCAGGGGGTTGGACTAGATGACACTTGTGGTCCCTTCCACGGGGACGGGAGCTCTGGAATGGATTCCATTCGACTGCCCAAGGTATGACTGTATTACAAATCTGGGCCATTTGGGTGGGTGGGTGATGCATTTCCTCTTATTTTGGCAAGCCTCAATAAGCTCATGAGAAAGGAAAAGTTAGAGCCACAGACTTCCTGTTTTATAGCCCACTTTTTTCAGTCATTATGCCCCTCCCCCCGGTCTGTTGCAGAGTTACATACTTGTTCAGAAACTCTGTTCTGGAGAAGGAAGAAAGTGGGTGCAGAGAACAAGAGTACCTAAGGGGAGACTAGACAGATAATAGCTATCTAAGCCTATCGGAGGAGGCAGAAGCAACATCTCAGCAATAGACAGGAAGGAAGATGCACCTTCTGTGAATGTGTTATGACTGCACCAGCTCACAGCCCCTGCAGACACAACAGGCCTGGGGAGAGAATTGTGTGTTGTGTGCATCTGGGGAAGAAGTTAGTGTGAAACAAAAGGGGATGTGGTATGCATACTGCCAAAAATGTGGTTTTGCTGAGTAGTAGGTGTGATTTGCATGAGTAGAGTTGCCATGTACAGGTATCAAGAGTTGCATAGAAATGAAGTTAAATTGCTGGTTTCCCCAGCACACTATTGCAATGACACAGGAAGCCACGTCTGAAGGTCTGGTGAAATTCGAGCACCTCTTAAAAGGACAGTTGCCTTTCAAGATGGGATGTGAGCAACCTAACACACATGGCCTGGCCAAGACCTTGTGCCCCATGAGAAGGAAAATCCAGACAGTTCCTTTTTCCACTGCCTTGCTAAGTAACATGAGCCTCAATCCCCTAGCGTTTTCCCTAGCATAAGCTCCACTGAAATGAAGGTGCCTTCACCTGATAAATATCCTGATGCAAAGTCCTTCCAGGGGAGGAACATGGTGGATTCAAGTATTTTGTCAGCAGGCTACTAATGAAGATAGTTGTGTGGCAATTGATGATATTCAGATATAAATCTTGGCTTTAAAATTCACTCTGGAAAAAAGAGTGAACGGGATTGACCTTTGATGGTCTTTAAAAGGCCGTTTTCTGCATTGGGAGCCTGAGAAATGGTCAGTTTCTGGGAACCCTGACAGGGTTAAGTGACTTGTGAGTGAAGGAATCAACATCTTACTCAAAAGCCACACAAGAGCCCTGATAGGCACTGGATCTGCAAAAGCCTCTTTTCTTAATTATTTCTAAGATGGTTATAATTTATAACGGACAGAGATTTTTTTGTCTGCTGGTAGACATTGACATTTGATGTGTGAGCTACTTTCTGGCTTCAAGAATAAGGGAATAAGCCTGCTCCAATTGTTTGAGGCAAGAAAGTTTAAATGAGCAAGGTAGTTCTGTGTGCTAAGAATTTGTATTTTCTTTATTTTTGTTTTCTTGATGAAAGTGTTGCCTAGAAATCAAAAGTAATTCAGACATTTGGCTGTGAAGATTGGGAAAATATTGCTTAACAGAAAGTAGAACAGTTGTATGTAATACTAGAGTGCATGTTTAGAATAATTTCTTTTATGTAACTAGCAGATGGAAAATTGGAAATCTTTTCAGCTATGTTGATAGTTGAGTTAATAATAACAATTTATTATTGTTGTGGTTATTAATTATTCATTGCTTACTACATAAAATGCCTCAAAATTATTTATTTATTTATTTATTGAATTTATATAGTGCCCTATACCCAGGGGTCTCAGGGTGGTTTACTTTTGTAATAACATTTAAAAAACAAAATTTAAAAAGTTATTAAAAAGATAATACAACAATATTGACTAAAAGGGCTCATCCTGCAATATTGTAAAAGGACAAAGCCTATTCACCCTACTAAAATATGAATACTTTGTCTTCAAACAGCATCAGCCTAAGGGATTGAGCTATCACAGAGCACAAAACTTCAAGTAACTTATGGAATTCTTTATTTGTGACCTGCATCAAGATGGCGGTGCTCACTGGCTGCTTCTTTGCTGTTGTGTATTCCATAATGCAGTGGTTTTCAACCAGTGTGCCGTGGCACCCTGGGGTGCCTTGAATGATGGTGATGTGGGCAGAGGAAGGGAGTGAGGAGGGAAGAGAGCGAGCAGCTGTCAGGTAGACTTGTACAGCAGCACAAGCCTTTTGGTGCTGCGCTTCTGCGTGAGCCAGTTATCTCGTGCAGCAGCGTGACTCACATCCCAATTTTCAGCTGAGAAATGTTGGAGGGTATTTGTCAGGGAACTGCCATCGATTCAGGAGGGAGAGAGGAAAAGCCGAATGGATTACAGAGAGCCTCCAGGGATCGTGGGAAGCAGCTCCTCCTCAGCGGAGGAGAGTAACCACGTCTCCAGTGGAGAGGAGCTGCAGGGCTCGGAGGGGGCGAGGCGGTGCCAGGACACCTTGCCTGGGCAAAGCGGGGAGGAGAGGGGTCCTCCGTTACCCACGCCCTCCTTGCGCAGTAAGCTTCCGCGCAGAGAGGGAAGGCGCAGGCTGGGTGTCAATAAATTACTTTGCTGGGGAAAGTTTAAGGACCGCCCACTCACGGATTCTGCCAGTGAATGAGCCAGCCACGGGAGAGTGGCGCTCTGGACAGATAAAGTTTATTTTTGCAGCTAAAGCAAGGCTTTACAGCCGAGCAGGCAGGTATTTGCCTGCTTGCTCTCGAGCAACCACTTGGAACCTTTACAGTATTGCTATGTATGTATGCAGGCAGTGCAGGCAAAACCCAGTGCATGGCACCGTTGATGCCTCCTGGAGCTCAGGAGCTTTAGCAGCATAACAAAAGATAGGAAGGATTCCAAAACCCTCCAATAGTATTTGTTGGTAGCTGGCAGGCAGCCAATCCCTGCTGGCATAGGGCCAGTGTTGTGATTTGCTACCTGCAGCATAAGGTGACCTATCTGTTAAGTTGTGGGTGAACATATCAGATGACACAGCGATTCTTCAAACAGCTCTTGTTTATTCACAGGCCAGAACAGAACTGAACTGAAGGGTTCAGCCAGCCTGCTTATATAGAGCTCCATTACAACGCAACAGTAACCACTTTCTGTAACTATCCATTCACTGAACATCACTTTCAATCCCTTATTTGCATACGTGGACCTGAGTGAAAACTATCTACAGTATCCCCCTGCTGGCCCAGGGTGAGAACTTCAGTACATAACACTATCACAGGTGGGAGGGTGTTACCTGGGCTGGCTTAAGGTGTCTGTACACTGGGCCGAGTGCCCCAGTTTGTCACTCTTGTTCCGGATGCTCCAATAAATCCTTCTGAGCTCAACCTAGGCCTCAGGTCATGCTTGAATCCACCTGCACTTCAGGCATGATACTATTAGTGTGGCCCAGCACAAAGTTTAACCCAGCAAGCCAATATCCTCAAGGCTGTCAGCCCACAGTTCCAAAGTACTGCCTTCAAGAGCCACTTCTTTTTTCTCCTGCAGGAATCAGAGAGCTATATAATGCTGGGCTTTGGTTTTGCTGCTGACCACAGGAAGAAAACCACAGTGCTAGTTGTGTCAACCCAGATGTTACTTCTAAAACAAAAGGAAGTTATTAATTGCAGACTAATGGAACTGCCTTCCAGTCTGTTGGCAGACACCTGGCACAGACCATTCCTGGCAGCTGCTATTATCCTGCTGTAGCCACTGACATGCTGCTAATTATCCAATTGAGGCAGCCTAATATTATGGGTTCTGGAGAATAACAGTGGGATGGATGAGGACCACAGTTATCTTAAGTCTAATGGTGTGTCAGGAGAGAGACCAGGGAGCTCCTCAGGGAGCCCAAGGCAGTGAGCAGCATATGGGATTGTTGTCCCTTGACCTGGGGCTGCTTGGGCAGGCTGGAAGTATTTTAAATCAATGCATAAAATAAAATTAAAACAACAACTTAGCAACTTATAAAAGAGAATTTGACACTGGCAATATAAAGCAGTCATAAAACAGTAAAATGAGAGAGGGATGCATCAAATGGGAATAAGTATGAGGGTTACAACAGTAGTCAAGGAGAGACACTGACACCAGGCAGGGATTCAGCACACAACATATCTCTAGGGGGACAGTGGACATGATTCTCATCACTCGACAGCTTCAAGAAAAATGCAGAGAGCAAAACCAACCCCTTTCCATGGAGTTTATTGACCTGACTAAGGCCTTCAGCACTGCAAATCGTAATGCCCTGTGGACTGCCCTTCTAAAAATTGGCTGCCCAGAGAAATTTGTAAACGTCATTTGGCTCCTCCATGATAATATGACAGCAACAATCGCAAATAACAATGGCTCACAAAGTGGGAGAGTGGGATCAGGTGTTAAACAGGGTTGTGTTATTGCCCCTACTCTATTCATTATTTTCATTGCCATGATCCTACACTTTGTCGAAGGGAAACTCCCCTCAGGAGTAGAAATCATATATCAAACAGATGGAAAGCTCATTACCATGAACAGCAGAAGGCAAGGCAAGGCTTTCCTCTAAGACTGCATGACATACCCTATAAAAAGTTTACAGCATAAAATTTGAGAGCATTAACATATCCAGAATGGAGCTTCTTAGTTGCCAGAACAAATTTGACTACCAGGTGTGTAAGCTGTAGATCTTTATCAGCTAGGAGCTCAACTGTCAGCTGCTTATTTTGTTTATTAATAAATTTGTATAACACCCTTCATCTGCAGGCCTGAGAGACAGTCAAGAACAGATGGTAAGTCTTTTCCTCTGGACACTGACTATAAGGGGCAAAGCAGCAGGTAATGGATGACATCCTCAACCTGATTGCATCCACAAATGCACCTGCGTTTCATATGGGGAATTCCCAGGTATTTCCCCTCTAAATAAGCTGAGGGCATCTGTTGGAACCTTAGTTCAACAAATGCCCTATGTAGCTGTGGGAAAGTTAGTGTCTCAAGGTAATGGAGCCTTGAGTAGCTGATCTTGATTTGGGGGTACCAGATAGAATAACAGGCAGCCATGGATGCCCTATCTTGGTTGGCATCCTGATCAAAGTTCCAATTTCTTAGGTCATGTGGACTGAGGACTAAATATTTCTCCATTTTTAAATTGTAAGCCCTAAGCTTATTGTGACACTTCTGCACCAGCCACCTGACCTTAGTTCCTCTAACCAGCAGAGCTTCGTTGTAATATGTCCTCGGAGGCATTTAGTCTGTGCCCGTATCTGAGGGAGGCTAGATTGATTCTGGCTCTTATTGAGGGGAGACCAAACTCAGCTCTGAGGTGGACTGCCGGTTCCCCAGTGGAAGCCCCAACATCTGCCTCGTGGATTTGTTTTGTTGGGCTTCTAGTTCAGATTTAATACCACTTCCCCAGATCTCAACCCTGTAAAACTTGTTTAAAAACATAAACTTGTTTTATGTTTTATAATACTCCTGAAATAGGGGGGAGAAGGAACAGTACAAACAACCGAACAATGTCAAAAATAACTTAATCACAACAATCAAAATTACTTCAGAAAGGGAGCAACCTCTCATGGCCCAAAAACCGTTCTTAAAAGGAGGGCTTTATTTTTTATTTTATTTATTATTAAATTTGTATAACACCATTCATCTGCAGACCTCAGGGTGGTTCACAACATAAAATTACAATACAAAAACCACCAAATACATAGTAGAAATGAAAGCAACAAAAACCCAATAATCCCCACTCCCACAACACATTTAAAAGGGCATATAATAATAATAATAATGATGATGATGATGATGATGATGATAATAATAATAATATAATATTTATACCCCACCCATCTGGCTGGGAACCTTCTCAATAGCGGCACCTGCCCTATGGAACGCCCTCCCAACAGATGTCAAAGACAAAAACAACTACCAGACTTTTAGAAGACATCTGAAGGCAGCCCTATTTAGGGAAGTTTTTAATGTTTAACAGACCACTGCATTTTAATATTTTGTTGGAAGCCACCCAGAGTAGCTGGGTAAACCCAGCCAGATGGGCGGGGTGTAAATAATATATTATTATTATTATTATTATTATTAAAGAAACAGGGTATGAACTTTGTGAACAAATTAAATGTAGAGGGGAAAGTAAAAGATAATCTGAAAGATATACAAAGGCAATTTACAAAATATTATACAGAACTATACCTAGTCGGTTCTGAAAATAAAGAGAAAATTGTAGAATATTTAAAACAAAATAACCTGCCAAAAGTTCCAAAAGAGAAAATGGCTTTATTAAATGAGCCAATTTCAACACAGGAGGTGTAAGAAGCAATTATACAAGCTAAAATAGATAAAACACCAGGGCCAGATGGACTACAGTGGTACCTCGGGTTAAATACTTAATTCGTTCCAGAGGTCCGTTCTTAACCTGAAACTGTTCTTAACCTGAGGTACCACTTTAGCTAATGGGGCCTCCTGCTGCTGCCATGCAATTTCTGTTCTCATCCTGAAGCAAAGTTCTTAACCCGAGGTACTATTTCTGGGTTAGCAGAGTCTGTAACCTGAAGCGTATGTAACCCAAGGTACCACAGTATCAGCAAAGTACTATAAAAAATTACAGGATTTTCTGGTACAACCACTTAAAGACTTAATGAATGAGATATTAATGACTGGGGAAGTACAGAATCCTGGAAAGAAGCCTATATTACAATGATTCTGAAACAAGATGCTGACCCACTGTTAGTCAAAAAGTATAGGCCAATCTCTCTATTAAATAATGATTATAAAATATTTGCAAACATTTGCCAATGGAATGAAGAAGGTTTTAATTGATCTAATTCATCATGATCAGGCAGGTTGCTTGCCAAGCCTCCAGATGAAAGACAACATAAGAAATATAGTTGAAGTTATAGAATACTTGGTCAGACCACAATTTAAGAAGGCTATTGACAAGCTGGAATGTGTGCAAAGGAGGGTGACCAATATGATCAAGGGTTTGGAAACCAAGTCTTATGAGGAGCACTTGAAGGAACTGGGTATGTTTAGCCTGGAGAAGAGAGTGAGAGGTGATAGGATTGCCATCTTCAAAAATCTACAGGGCTGTCTCATGGAAGATGCAGCAAGCTTGTTTTTTCCTGCTTCGGAAGCTAGGACCTGAAGCACAGACCCTTCAAGTGTCCCTATTTTCCAGGGGCGTCCCTGATTTAGAGAAGCTGTTCCAGTGTCTGATTTGATCCCGTAATGCCCCACTTTCCCTTAGATGTTCCTATTTTAATTGGAGAAATGTTGGCGTGTATGGAGTTATCCGACCCCCACACTGTCTGAAGGCAGTCCTGTATAGGGAAGTTTTTTAAATGTTTTATTATGTTTTTATATATGTTGGAAGCTGCCCAGAGTGGCTGGGGCAACCCAGTCACATGGGTGGGGTATAAACAGTAAAATTATCATCATGGAATGGGATGTCCCTACTTTCATCCGAGAAATGTTGGAGGGTATGTTACCATGTTGCAGTAATCTAACCTAGAGTTTACCAGATCATAGACAACAGTAGTTAGAGTGTCCCTGTTCAGATAAGGGCGCAGTTGGGCCACCAATCAAAGCTGATGGAAGGCACTCTGCACCACTGAAGCCACCTGAACCCAAAGCAACAGCAAAGGATCCAGGAGTACCCCCAAACCAGGGGCAAAGGTACAAAATTTGAGTTTCCGGCTAAACATCAGGAAGAACTTTCTGATAATAAGGGCTCGTCCTGCTTGCACCGTGCGTAGCCAGCACAGGTCTAAGCTCTTTTGCCTTGGCTCCACCACATTCCTCCAGAAAAGCTGCTCGTTAGCACTGAATTGGAACAAATGGCAATCTGCGGAAAACCTGTTTACTGTTTGTTCCGATTCAGCACTAAAGATTGGGTTTCCCCAGGGGAAAGTGGCAGGGGAAACTGAGGTTTGGATAAGCCCTAAGAGCTGTTTGACAGTGGAATGAGCTACCCTGGAAGGTGGTGGACTCTCCTTCCTTGGAGGTTTTTAAGCAGAGGTTGGGTGGCCATCCGTCATGGACACTTTAGCATTGCAGGGGTTGGACCAGATGATTCTTGGCTTCCTTTCCAGCTCTACAATGCTATGATTCCATGAGTAGCACAATAACCAACCCATTTTCTCGAAGCAACTTTCCAGATGTTTTTAAAAAATGCTTTAGTTGTTATTGAGTGAAGGAGAAACACGTAGAGGGAATGCAAAAAACTCAAACCTGGGGAAAGAAGCCCCTTTCTTCCTCTGAAGTCACACATATATTTGCCTCTTTTAGACATAAAAATAAAACAGTACAAGACTCCCACTTCCCCTGCATCACAATGCCTAGCTATTTAAAGATTGTTTTAACATTTATTTTTCACTGAAGGGAGCGCCCCGCCCCCCCGTCAGCACTAGAGTGAGCAACATCACCTGGCATTTAAAATATTTTAAAAATCAACAAACAGTTAATCTTCCCCTCTCCTTATCAAGGCTTCTTCTACCAAAGGAAAGGAGAAAATTCTGAAAATGTTGCCTCTGTCAGCAGCCAAAATGCTTCCAGTTGAAAGAGATAACCATAGCCCTTCTCTGATAGGTCAGTCATATCGCAGGAAGGCCTCTTGCTTTCCCTCCACCCTCTTCTTTTGGCTTAAGAAATAGATGTTCTCTCCCAGGAATCCATGTCCTCTGCAGTTCCAAGAAGTATAAATCAACCTTCAACCTACAAGCGCTAATGGGAAGCAAAATGAAAAAGTCTAGAACTTAGTGTGTGCCTGATTGCAGGGTTTAAGAACAAGGGTAATGTCAATTGTATAGGTTGCTGTGCTTCCCCAGGGAAGGGCAAAGGCTGTGTTTGGGGAGCCCTTTCACGGAATACGTGGAAAGACTGTGAAGAGCAGCAGTCCGAGCAAATGGATCATGGGTTGGGTCTTTAGCGACCGTGCCACTTTTTCTTCCTAATGATCCCTCCAATTTTGTGTGTGTGTGTGTGTGTGCGTGAGAGAGAGAGAGAGAGAGAGAGAGAGAGAGAAGCTTATGGGTAGGCCAGATGTACTAATTCATTGTTTGCAATACAATACAATTGTCTGCAGCACAACTGATAGTAGTGTCTTGGTGCAGATCCCAACGCAGTCTTTGCTGCTGTGGTGCACGTCAAAATTAGCACCCACCTTTGGTAAACAGGCGAGGCATTTTCACATGTCACCTTTTGAGCCTCCCTTGCTCTTTTCATTTTGAATCCTGATCAACTGTCAATGCGAAACAGGAAGCAGAGGAGGGACATTTGTCATGTCAATGAGCATTCTGGGTCAAGGTAAGTTACAAATTTCCTTCCTGTTACAAACTCAGTTGAGGCAAAAGCCTCTTGGAGCTTCATGAGTGAAAAGGCCTGAGTTCATCATATTCAAGATTTGTCACAATATTGTGGACCCTGAGGGTACAGATGATAATTGCTACTGGGGAAAATAATCCCCTCTTCAAATCTGGCAAAGGCAGTAGATTACACAATGAGCATGACTATATTTGGCCCCACACCGTGTGGGCTGTAAGCAGTGCTATTTTTCTAGAAAAAGAGGTGCTGGAATGCAATCAGTCAGTCAATCAATCTCCTTTTTTGGCATAGTAAGGGTACGTCGTATACATGGATCAGAACACAACACAGGTAACGAAATGTAGTAGGAGGTACTTTAGGGTAAGACTGTCCAGACATCATGAAATACAAAGGTGGCTCTTAGGACCTATGGCAGGGGTAGGCACACTAAGGCCTGGGGGCCAGATCCTGCCCAATTGCCTTCTCAATCCAGCCCACGGACGGTCCGGGAATCAGCGTGTTTTTACATGAGTAGAATGTGTCCTTTTATTTAAAATGCATCTCTGGGTTATTTGTGGGGCATAGGAATTCGTTCATCCCCCCCCCCAAAAAAATATAGTCTGGCCCTCCACAAGGTCTGAGGGACAGTGGACTGGCCCCCTGCTGAAAAAGTTTGCTGACCCCTGACTATGGTGAAGTAATTTCATGGCATCAATCAAAAATATTGCTACATTCTCCACAACGTCAATCCTACAATTATTCAACAGATAGGTCACTCTGAAAGAGTCAGTGTGATAGATCCCCTCCTTCATTAAGGGGGGGGCAAATATTTATCATATATTCTTGCATATAATAGGCAATGAAATAAAACGTGTGATGGATTCGACCTGTTTTGTGTCACAAGGGCCACCTTTCAGAATATGGGATTTTGAAGAATCTCCCTTTCAAGACTGCAGACGGTGAGGGAAAGAGATCTGCATAGATGGGGATCATAAAGGTGATATAAATTCCTCCTGGCCAAATAAAGGTGGAATTCCCACCCCCAGTGGGAAATAGGTCTTAATGGCTGTGCTGCTGAGGGTTTGGCATTAAACCTCTTGAATTCTGCACTTGATTATCTGGAATGCTTCCAACTGTGGGAGCATAAGCAGCAACTCGAGTGATAGGCCACAGGTTCTGATTTTGCTCTCAATGCGAACTAACCATTTGGAATGGTGAGATTCTGCCAGCATATGGAAAGTTAAAGAAGATGAGTTGGACTTGAACCCACCATGAACACCTCCCTCATTTTCTTAGAATGGCAATGGAACTCACCTGAGAGGTGCCGGAACTGAGTTCCAGTGAGTTCTGGAGGGGGGAAAGCCCTGGCTGTAGGTGGTCATCTAGTGGAGGCACCAGAAAAAAATGGTCGAGGGGCACAGAATGGATGATGGAGATCTCTAGGTGGGCCAAAAAGAAAAATATCAGCATGTACTAATGACAGGAATTGTTCTCCCACCCAGCTGCCTCTTTCTTCCTCGGAGCTGACTGGTTAGAAAGAACCAGGGATCAGGTTTCCTCGATTTCTGTCTCTAGCTGGAGAAAAGAAGTCTAATTGAAAACAGCTATCTCTTTACTCCCACACTGCCATTTCCCACCCACTCAGGCACAAGAGGCTGCAGGGTCTGGCGTCTGCATTCTGAGGCTCCCTGCTTAAGAATGAAGAGGGAAAGGGGCTGGTGCTGAGAAAGGCACAGGCAGAGGAAGGATAGGCGTCTGGCCAAAGCCTATGGAGGCAACGTATGCAGATTGCACCCACTCTCTCACCAAACATGGGTGGAGCACCTCCACCAATGCGCCTCAAAATGTACACTCTCAGACTTGGAACCTGCCTCCCTGGCCTGAAAGAAACAACCTCTTCCCCTGCTCATCAAGCCACTTCCCTCTCTTCTTTTAGAAATTCATCCTCAAGTGCATACCTCTCCAGAAAATAGTTTCTGCATGAATAAAGCCTTTGAATGCCAGAAACTAGAAGTGATTATTCCAATCTAATTCACCCAAGCTGCAGGGTCTGCTAACAGGTTATGGACACAGGCATTGATTTGGAACTCCAAACTTTGTTTCCCAGAGTTTCCCTTCCAAAAGCCTTCCCAATCCAGCTGCACTTCTCCAAGGAGAGAGGCAGCAGGAAGGGGAGTGAATATCAAGGAAACTGAAGAGAAAAGATTGGAGTGGGCTAGAAAGCAGGAGCAGGCGGCAAAGAACAAAGGAAGGAATCAGCAAAAGCTGGAGGAGACCGTTTGTACTGCTGAGAACTGCAATGAGATTGGGTTGGGGTTAGCATTAGTGTTAGGGTTCTGGTTACTGTTAGTGTTATTTGTGGTTAGGGTTACATTTGGTTTGAGGTTAAGGAGTGGGTTAGGACTAAGCTTGAGGTTCAGATAAGGGTTGGGGTTAGAGTCGGAGGTATGTTTAGGACTAGGATTAGGGCTGAGGTTAAGTTTATGATAAGGGTTAGGGCCAGAGTCAGGCCCATGCGTGGGTGGGGGGCTGCCAAATACACTTGCCCCAGGTCTGAGAGGGCTAAGCAAGCTGGGGACCCTGCAAGTGGCCGGCTGGACTTCTGCTGTCATGCCAGGAATGCCCTGCACCTCCCAGCCACCCAGGGCCTTTGTATGGGCCTGGCCAGAGTTAGAGTTAGTGCCGGGGTTAGGGTTACATACCTTTCAAGTGCCCCTATTTTCCCAGGACAGTCCCGGAATTACAGAATCCACCCTGGCTTCTGATTTGATCCCGGAGTGTTTGTTTCCCCCTCCAGCCAGCCCTGCCGCCCAGCTTGGGGAGTTGGATGAGCCGGCACTTGTGCTTGCAGAAGAACCCTCAGGAAGCAGAACTATTGTGTCTGGGAGAGGCAGCTTCCTGCCAAAGCGGGGGTGGTGGATGGGCACAACCCCACAATGCTGCCAACTACACTCCAGTAGTTGTTGCCGCCACCTTCCCACTTACCGGTACTCCTGCAGCATTGGTCCTCTATAACAGAGGTGAGTTTATCTCACACCACGTGAAAATCTGCCTGAGGGAGGAAGGAATAAGACACATGAGAAGTGTTAGTTACACCCCACAACAAAACTCAGTCATTGAAAGTTTATATCTCCTCTGGAAATGGCATTCCCAAATGCTAAGTCAAGTTTTACTACCTGTGCCACTTTTTTCTGAATGCTATATGGAAAAACACATGAATCTGACCTTTGGAGAGTTTGTAAACAACCATTTTTAACTTACCAAATGTGAGATCTTCTTATGCTAGGGGAAGTGAAAAACACTAGAAGGAACTTGGAATTACAGTGGTACCTCAGGTTACATATGCTTCAGGTTACATACGCTTCAGGTTACAAACTCCGCTAACCCAGAGATATTACCTTGGGTTAAGAACTTTGCTTCAGGTTGAGAACAGAAATCGTGCTCCAGCGGCACGCCAACAGCAGGAGCCCCCATTAGCTAAATTGGTGCTTCAGGTTAAGAACAGTTTCAGGTTAAGAACAAACCTCTGCAACGAATTAAATACTTAACCCGAGGTACCACTGTACATACAGTATTTTAAAAGTCTTACTTTGCTGCATATTTTGTGATTTTAAATCTCTTCTGGGGTTCTGTCACCAAAGTGTACTGGCCCTAAACTTGGATGTATGCATCCAGAAATTCTCCTTTCTCTATTTTTTCCTTGCAGTTTTGTCCCCATCTTCCTCCCTCCTGAGTTCTACAAGGGAAAACTGAGACAAAGGAGCCTGGCAGCCCGGGCCATCCTCTGGGCTGGTTGTTAAAGTCAGGTGGGTGCCGGCTGGGGGAGACTCACATTGGTGGGACGTGGCCCCATTTGCCCTATTTGGCTAGCCTCCACTGTCGCTGTTAGATTGCAATGCCAAACGCACTTATTGGAGAGTAAAATCCATTGCACACAATGGAAATTCTTTTCACGTAAAGCTACACAGCACTGCAACATTATCATGGCAGGCACATTTGTGGACTTGCGCACACATTGCCAGATTCATCAGTAATTATTTGGCATATCAAATCAATGTGTGCAGAGGAGGGCTGCCACATGGGTGGTGAAGCAAGCCTCTTTTCTCCTGCTCTGGAGGGAAGGACCCAAACCAAGGGCTTCAAGTTAAACATCAGGAAGAACTTTATGGTGGTGACAGCTGTTCAACAGTGGAATGGATTCCATTTGGAGATTGTGGACTCTCCTTCCTTGGAGGTTTTTAAGCAGAGGTGAGATGGCCATCTGCCATGGATGCTTTAGCTGAGATCCCTGCATTGCAAGGGGATGGACTAGATGACCCTCAGGATCCCTTCCAAATCTACAATTCTATGTTTCTACTAAATCTTTATTAATGACCATCATTAAGAAACTGGGATAAGAAGCACATAGAACATATTCTAATTTTGCAGATTTACTTGTATACATAGCTGGGTGGGTGGGTAATATAAATAGCAATGTCCAAAAGCCATGAAATGCAGGAAGTACATTTTCAGTCTGTGATTTATTGTTGCTGGTTTTAAATGTCGTTTTGTTTTTAACAGACATGTTGTTTTAATTTTTCATTTTGTGCTGCTTGCATTTTATAGAGATGTGACTAATGCACTTCATAGATAAGAAAATAAATCTTTGTCTACGTGAACCCTGGAGAGCCATTGCTTCAGCTGAACTCCCACAGCACGGGGGGCTCCAACCTGGGAATCAGAATGAGAGCCCTTCAAAGTCTGTGAATCAGAAATTCTCCTCTTGATGCCTCTAGTGCCACTTCATAAATTTGAACAGCCTGGAAAAGAGCTGAACAGTTCAGAAAATTAGATGTATGACCACACAGAAGTAGTATTTACAGGAATTTAGAGCAGGAATTGAAGCACCAAGGAGCTTCAGATTAAGAGTTTTGATTGCAGTATTGGTGGTGGTTGCATAACTGGATTGAAAACGTCTGGAGAAACTGTGAACTTTGACTTTAAAAATTAAAATTAAAAAATAGCTCAGTTCCTGAATTGTGCTTTACATCATTCCACAATTTCACATAGTTTCATCCATGGCTTTACAACTCCCTCCCTCCAGGGCTTACTTATTTTAAGTAAAGACTAAAACTGGAATGTGTTTTCTATGCCAAGGCTTAACCTCAGAATAAATAAAGTACTACTGAGCATGTGCACAGTTTGCCCCAGGGTTTCCAGGCAATGCATTACTGGACAGTTCAGCATGTCAACACTATCAGGAATTAACTGCCAGCAAGAATGTCTGTAAAATTTAAGATTCACCTATGTCAGATCTGGAAAACAAAGCAGAACCATAAATTAATGCTGTATAGGGATTGTGTTATCAAGCACAGGATTCCATAATGCTTCCAACACTTGACTTACAACAAGGATCTTGTCTACTGCGGGGAAGCTGCACTCCAGAGGGAGCCTCATGTCCAGCACTGTCTGGTTGGTTAACAATAGTTACTAGAAAGTAATGGAAAATGATTCACAAAGAATTTAAAAAATATTCTTAAACTCACATTTCCCCAAAGACCAGAGGCCTTTCTGTTAGGGATAATAAGTGATGACATTCCAAAAAAGGCACTCACAATCATTTTGTACATGACTGCTGCGGCTAGAGTAGTATATGCAAAAAAAGTGGAAAGAAGAAGAGGTGCCCACAAAGGAAATTTGGCAGGACAAATTGATAGAATACATAGAACTAGTAACTCTGACCATGAAACTAAGGAATGAGGATGAGTTAAAGAGAAGAGTGGAGGTGTTTTGGAGATTATTTTAGAGGGTGCAATATACAATTTAACCTTCGAGTAGGAGTTAACAAATGAGCAGAAGATAACATCAGAAAAGTAAGACTTGAGATGATAATGGGTGGAATATCAGTACCGTATATGCAGCAGATCAGGGTTTCCCTAGAATGCCACGGAGAGATGGACTGGGAAGTCCTAGGAAAAGAGATAAGTGTTGTTGTTGTTTAGTCGTTTAGTCGCGTCTGACTCTTCGTGACCCCCGGACCAGAGCACGCCAGGCACTCCTGTCTTCCACTGCCTCGCACAGTTTGGTCAAACTCATGCTGGTAGCTTCGAGAACACTATCCAACCATCTCATCCTCTGTCATCCCCTTCTCCTTGTGCCCTCCATCTTTCCCAACATCAGGGTCTTTTCCAGGGAGTCTTCTCTTCTTATGAGGTGGCCAAAGTACTGGAGCCTCAGCTTCACGATCTGTCCTTTCAGTGAACACTCAGGGCTGATTTCCTGATGGTGATGGATACTGTATGTTAAAATTGCGTAAGTAAGAGTTGTGCTTTTCAAATAAAAAAATTGTCACTCAGAGTGCTTCCAGACATGGGCTTAATTTCGCCTTAGGTGGCAAAACAGGATGGACCGTCCCTGGGACAGACACTCCTTTGTCATCCCCTTTCCTTCGGACAGTTGGGCCACGTAGACTCCAAGGATCTTTACTAAGCACCACATGGGGGCTGGGTGTGATGTCCAGCTCTGCTGCAGATGTTTGACCTTCAGAGAGAAACAAAACAGCCTATGGGCATAGCCAAGGGGAGAAGGGGGGCAGCTGCCCTCCTAAATCAATAAAATAAATACAAACCTGAGGTTCTGCCCCCCTAACAAAGGCCTGCCCCCCCCAATAATCCTTTCAAACAAACAGAGCTAAGATTAGCAGCTTTTGCTGTTTCTCTTTCTCATCTCTGCCAGCTTCTCAGCATTTTTCACAGGCAGAAACAACTCAAGGAGGCACCTAACGAACCTTTTCCCAGACCCAACTTTTCTACTGCGTTGGGAGATGCCAGTGAAAAACTAGGACATCAGATGTACCTGAGTCTGGGAAGCAAATAACTGCTGCTTCTCTTCCTCATCAAGTAGATGGGATTAAAAGATCTGCATCTTCTACTCCTGTTGGGTCAACAATGAGAACACTTCAAAGCCCCTTTTTATTTAATGGTTGTTGCATTTGGCATCCTTTGGGAGTGAAGTTGTTGTGGCTGTAGAAACCAATATGGAAGAGAGATGTTTTGTTGCAGCAGGGCAGATGAAGGCACCCAGTTGTACTGTTGCAGACGCACCATGATGTTTCTTCTCTCTGTGCTCCTCCCAGCGGTCATTCCTCCTCCAGTCACTGTTATGGATGCACAACCTGACTGTCTCCAGGCACTGTGATTGTCTGCCAGGGAGGTTGATGCTGCCAGCCTTCATGGCACATTTGCAGACATCTTTGTGATGCGGAGTTGGGCTGCCAAGAGGCCTGGTGCCTGAAGCCAGCTCCCCACACAACATATCCTTGGGGATCCTGTCACCTTCCACTGTCTGTGCTGGCTTTATTTAATAACCAGCCTGCTAAACACGGGCAGCAATAAATTACATGCAGGCCTACTGGGGGAGAAGCTGGTGTGGAAGGAAATAACCATTATATTTATTATATTTTATACTGCCTTCAACAGTATTTCCAGGGGAGCTTACATTCCATCAGCTTTGCCAGCACAGGCCTGCTCTCCTGGGGGCAGGAGAGCTAAGAAGCAGAAGGCTCAATCCATCCAAAGCAGGGGTAGGCAACCTAAGGCCCGGGTCGCCTTCTCAATCTGGCCCGCAGTTGGTCCAGGAATCAGCGTGTTTTTACATGAGTAGAATGTGTGCTTTTATTTAAAGTGTATCTCTGGGTTATTTGTGGGGCATAGGAATTCATTCATTATTATTTCCCCCCAAAATATAGTCCGGCCCACCACATGGTCTGAGGGACGGTGGACCGGCCCACGGCTGAAAAAGGTTGCGGACCCCTGATCAAAAGGAACAACGGTTTACAAATGAGTGCCTGAGTTTTGGTTTTAGTTTTCCTGTTTCCTCCCTGTCCCTTTCCCCTTGCATGTCATGTTTCTGCAGGTAGGGACCAGGGGTGACAACTAAAACAAAATATTGAGGGGCAGGCAGGTAAGCACCACCCTGCATAATTGATCACAAGATGTGACACACGCCCCCCCATTTAAATGACAAAGTTCATCAATTTGAGGGGGCAGCCCCCCTAAAATATTTTAGGGGCACGTGCAAAAGAATCTCGGCCCCTAGGACCTGGCTTCTATGGAAGAGACTGTCTTTTGTAAGCTTCTCTGGGAACCTTTTTGACTGAAGTAGTACAAATCTTGTAAATTTAATAGGATTAAAAGAATAAAATAATTATAGATCACAGAATCATAGAATTGGAAGAGACCCCAGGGTCATCTAGTCCAACCCCTTGCAATGCAGGAATCTCAGCTAAAGCATCCACGACAGATTTGCCGCTTGCTTTTAATGCGTCCTGATCTATTGCCCGCTTCACAACTTGCTGGCAGGAGATGGAGAGCTCCAACATTAAACCCTTTTGCTCCATCAATTGCCTCTTTAGGGGGAGGGGGCTGGGGGCGAGGAGACCCTCAAAACTTGGCAAGCCTCCAAAGGGAAAACTTACATCGGGCAACATCTCAGTGTTGCTCCACCATCCATCGCCTGCCCATTGCCAGTCCTCAGGAAGAGCTTCTTTCGCAGAGCTCAGTGGATCCTTCTGGAGACGATTTCCCGGGGGGGGGGCCTCCACTGCCACTCTCCCCCCCAAAGCCAGCCCCCCCGGCATGCCTCTCCTCCTCCCCGCTCCTTCTGCCTTCTTGTGCGTTTCCGCTGCGCCTCCAGAGCATGATTTCTGTTCTCATCCTGAAGCAAAGTTCTTAACCCGAGGTAATACAGTGGTACCTCAGGTTACAGATGCTTCAGGTTACAGATGCTTCAGATTACAGACTCAGCTAACACAGAAATAGTACCTCGGGTTAAGAACTTTGCTTCAGGATGAGAACAGAAATTGTGCAGCGGCAGCAGGAGGCCCCATTAGCTAAAGTGGTGCTTCAGGTTCAGAACAGTTTCAGGTTAAGAACTGATCTCCGGAACGAATTAAGTACGTAACCAGAGGGACCCCTGACCGTTAGGTCCAGTCGTGTCCGACTCATCTCGCTTTATTGACTGAGGGAGCCGGCATACAGTTTCCGGGTCATGTGGCCAGCATGACTAAGCTGCTTCTGGCGAACCAGAGCAGCGCACGGAAACACCATTTACCTTCCCACCGGAGCAGTACCTATTTATCTACTTGCACTCTGATGTGCTTTCGAAATGCTAGGTTGGCAGGAGCAGGGACCAAGCAACGGGAGCTCACCCCATCGCGGGGAATCGAACCGCCAACCTTCTGATCAGCAAGCCCTAGGCTCTGTTGTTTAACCCACAGCACCACCCACGTCCCTGTAACCAGAGGTACCACTGTACAAATCATCTACATTCCTCCACTGGGAGAACTGACCATTTACTCCTACTCTCTGCTTCCTATTGCTTAATTAAGGCTGTCCCCTGAGTAAAGAAATCTTAAGCTCTTTTCAGAATATTCATATTGGGTCCAAGGAACCCCAGCAGGGAGAGTCACATTGTGGTGGCCTCCATGGCCTAAGGTAACCCTGGTTTGCTGACTGCAGGGAAAGAGCCATCATGCATGCAGCTGTCACACGCAGGGCTTTCAACAGAGGTTATAGCTGCAGGCTAAGGGTAGAGCCAGACACTGCAATGACACACTACCATGTGCAGCCATTTAACTCTAAATGAAGGTCTGCACAGGGCTTTAAGTTAAAACCCTAAATACACTTACTAATGCATAAATCCCACTGAACTTGCTGAAATTTGCTTCTAGTATAAATTTAGGATTGCAGTTAGTTGATTAAGTAGATGATTTTTCATGGTTTAATCATTAATTGATTAAATTTGCATAAAGGTAAAAACAATACATTCTGAAGCCAAAAGTATGCTTTCTTTATTTGTTTTCAGTGTGTTGTCCCAGACATTATTTATTATTTCCTGTATGAGTCAGAAAATGTATCTGCTACTTGCTCTCTGTAATTTGTTATAGGGTTGTCATATTTTGAAGAGCAAAAAAGAGGACTCGCATGTGCACCCCCTTATTCCTGCTCCTCCACACAGCCAGAGGCCAGGATGCTTCACAACCACCCAACCCCCCCTGCCCCCCCAAGGGGCCTCAGGCTGCGTCATTTGCATCATGACCCAGAGTCCATCCTCTCTCTCACCTTAAAACCGCCTTCTGTTCAGCAGGACTTAACTCCCAGGTCAGTGAGAATATAAATACGGCAACCTAAGAAGGGGCTGCTGGGTTTACATGTTCGTTGGGCTTTCCCGTGGAAGCCAACAGAGAAATTCATTCCGTGAAGGCTGCGATCAAATGGCAGCAGAAGAAACGGTGGAAGCAAAGACCGGGCGCCTGATGGATTTCAAGCCTTCTTTCTTGAGGGGAATTTATTTATGCATTTATGTATTTATATGTGCACACACATACAATCATTATTATCCCATATTAAAAATTGAGCGAGGGTGGCTCTTAGGACAGCCCTCCTAGTCTTGTGTCCCTCATTTTGACTCAAGAAAAATAAATACAGTAAATGGACAAAAGTACAAAGATTCACAAAATGTTTAGGGGTATGCGTACCCCTGCGTACCCCCAGAAGTTAGCACTGCTGGCAGGGGAGCAGCTGAGTAAGCGTATGTGACCATAACCCAGCAGTGTAGTCCAGGCTTAGCATCCAGCGTAACTGCACATGTAATGTACCCTCGCCCTCATTTCATAGAATAATAGGTAGTAGTAGCCCAACAGAATTTCCCCCAGGATTATATTGTTAGCAGAGTTTAAAAGTAGGTGCTGCAATAGAAGTTACACTAGTGGCCAAAATTGTGGAAAACTTTTGGGAAAAGTGTATTTCTGTGGTTTGATGACTCATAACACCACTTTTTGGGGAGCAATACCATAAAATTATATATCAATGGAAAGATAATTTCATGAAGAATGTAATGCAATGACTTTTATAAAGGATTATTTATTACAACAGCAGTCATAAAGAAGAAATGTGAAACACATAGAAAAAATGAGATGTACAAAAATTCTCACCATGTCAGTTAATACTTAGTTGGGTAACCTTTACCTTTAATTATGGCCTTATAATGCCTTCCCATGGAGTAAACCAAGTTTTTTTTAGTTCTGCAGCTGTAATAATGTGAAACCAATAATTGCCTCTATCAGTTGGGTTTTATTGCTGGGTTG